TACAAATATGATAGTTCAGAACCTTATAAATAGCGTATAAAATTCCTTATAGTCAACTAGCTTCTAAATGAAATTACAACAACGCAGTGTTGCTCATGAGCCATCCACTGAACACTCCCAGTTTCACAATTCTGTGTGTCTTTCGCCCATTCCTCCGGCTCGTGGAATCACGCAAACGGGACAAATTACAATTTAGCAGAATGAAAAGTTGGGCTGCAAAAGGACAAGTCAAATACAGGCCCTCCTCGAATGACTGTTGTCTGATGAGGATTTTTTTTTTAAATATTCGCACTTTTTCACACAATTGGCCTGTATTTGTCTTCTGCCAACAGATCCTCCAGACCACGCGAGATCCTGCGGTCTGTGTGTGTGTGTGTGTGTGTATGTGTGTGTGTGGGTCTTGCGGAGTGACTGCAGCTCGTGATAGAGTGGGTTGGGCGTCAGTGGTGGTTTTGTGTTATATTAAATTCACCCGAAAGGCATGCAGCATGTGCTTTTAATATGATTTTTACGCCGAAATTTGATTTAATACTTTTATTTATTTCATACACTTCGCCCCACCGTCCCAACAATTTTCCACACGAGTTTCACTCGCCTGGTGAAATTTCAACCCCCTTTGCTCTTGGGTGGTGTGAGGAGAAAAGAATTCTTGTGGGAAATCTTGGCTGTTTGTTTATCTTGAATTTATTCTGTGGCAATTGGACACACACACACACAACCGGAAAAGCAGTGGGCAAATATAATAGAGCAGAATGAAATTTACCAACATACAAGATGCAATTTAACTTCTATCCTTCTCTTCTGCTAATTCACTTTTAATAACATCCACCAGATTTATTCATACTAGGGAGATTGCAAAATAATTTAATCTTGAGAAAGAATTGACACACTTTGTACTGAGAACGACAAATAGATAAATTCCAGAATGGTGAAAACTTTCGAATTTCCTCTGTCGTTCTGGCAGGAATTGTTAGAAATTGTTGAAACGGATATTGGCGAAATGTTCCAGAGCGAAGGCGGAAGTCTGACGGCCAAAGTCATGTGATGCAATCCAATATGAAATGATCCAAAATATCTCACACATGCCTTTTATTCCTTAGACACGATATTTTCTTTCACCAACCAAACTCGTGGAGAGGAAATGGAATTGTGGCTGGCAGAATCGAAGGGTGATGATTTGACTTCTCATCCTCCTGGAGAAAAAACTTAAATATTCACCCCACAAGTTTGGTTGTTGGACAAGTTTCAGCCTGCCAGAGAAACCCTTTTGTCACCCTCACCCAATTCTACACACGCTTTCCTTTTAGGCTCCTCTCTGTGTAGTGTGAGACACTCAGACGCGTCATTTGATGGAACTTTTAGCTGAGCTTTCATCCCCAGAGATTCAAATTTCCCAATATGTTTGTCGAAATCAACTGAAAGGCAAACAGTTTGGGTTTCATAGATGAGAAATAAGGATTCTTCACAACACGCACGCCTCCGAACCCCCAGAAACCCCTTTCGCAACTCTGGCGCCCACCCACGAAATGAATTGGAGAAATAGCCAGAAATTCCCACTCAACATCTGCCTCAAAAGACGCTTCGCATGACGATGATGAGATGAAAAAGGAAATGAGACACTTTTCCCGACCATTCGCAATTCCCTGCCGCATTGGACACTGCTTGATCGTCCGTGATGCCTGAGCGGACCTACCAAGTGTCAAAGTTCAATCAGATGGTCAAACTTTGACCAAATCTCTCCCATCAACTCACAACATGGCAGTTGAATCAGTCGAATTGATAAATTTTCTCTCTCTCACACACACACAAACACAGCATTTGGACAAATATTTGTCTCATTGCGGATTTCCACAAGGCGCATCATCAGGCAAAAACTTTTTCTCCACGTACGACAAAATCCCAGTCTCCCAGTTTTCTTCTTCTCTTGTATTATTTAATGCGACCATAGAGACGTGGCGGGAAAAAAGGCACATCACAACAAGATTTGATCATTTTTCTGTGGCACTTTTCATGTGGTTATGCCAAAAACTCGCCGAACTTCTCAGTACTCCTCTTGTAATTCTCAGCGCCTCTTCAGTAAGAGGGTGGCAATCCTCAAGGAGAATATTAATATTGCCAGAGCATTTTCGCGACAAACAAACCTTTTTTGCACACACACACACGAGGAGCATTTTCTGCAGCGCGATTTTACCAAAGAAAAGGTTTATCAGATTGAAAAGTTACTCAATGCTGGAAGGTGAAGAGGAGTGCATAGAACCTCATCTTCAGCATATTGTCACTAAATATCCTTCCGTTTCTTCCTCAACCCAAATGCAAAACAGTGGAAAATAAAGGCTCCTTGATTACTAACCCATTGCTTTTCCGATGAAGTTAGATCAGATATTTTAGGCTTTAGCATCAAATATCACTTGTAATAGAGATTTACTCATAGTTACGAGTCAGAAAAGCAATCACGAATTAAAAAAAAATAAATAAATGAATGAAGACAAAGAATCAGGTGATGCTCTATATATGAAAAAAATGCAGATTTTGATGGTTGTAAAGAAACAAACACTTGCTAAGGGATTCAGAGTGCACCACCCTCAATTCTCCCTCTGATAAACCCCTGAGGAGTTTTCGCCTGTTTGTTGAAATTCACACCGAAGGGGTTTTAAATATTCATACTTGTTGGGGATTTTTTGGTGGATTTTTTCCACGTCATTCCCTCTCCGCATCCCGACTTCAAATCCACTCACACACACACCCTCTCGAGAGTCTCATTTTCGCACCCAGAGACGAAACTTTCTGGTCGAGTCAAAAGCACTTTCGTGTGCATAAAACACGAGCGCCGCACACGCGAAAAAGATGACTTTCTTCGAGAAAGGCGAACAGGACAATTCAGAATTAATCAGAGAATGAGGGTCATTGAGCCCAAGTGCCCCCTAAAAGACACCCTCTATCGAAATTTTCCAGCAAAGCACGCGGATAATTAATGAGAAATTCCATGCAGAGAGATGAAATCATCCACTCGATGATGAAGAATCACCCAAGGAAAAGTCACGAAAAAGCAATTACACGTCAATTGTGTGACGACTTCAGGTGATTTTTCGAGGGGTTTTCGCGACGTTCAACTCATGGTTCATTGACTTTTTGAAAGCATCCCAGCAAGCGAACATCTTGCGAGAAGAGCGCGCAGAGATGCACTTGAGAATCATTGCTCTCAATATAGTCCAACCCTTGAGAGATAGTTGAATAAAAATGCATAAGAATTCACAGTCAAGTGACATGTTTTTATGGAAAAGAAACCACAGAGGAAAAAAAAAGAAACTCATATCGTGATCAAGTCATTTCAGACGATCAAACAGCGGACAAAGCGAAGTGACGAAGGCATTGAACGTGATTAATTGATTAAATGGACACTGATGAAGGTCTTCTGGGAGTTCGAAGATCGTCTGAGGATTCCTTCACCATCGCGAGAACACCCACGACGAATGCCTTCGATGGGCGAGATGGAATCGCCCACTAGTCTCTAATCATGCAGCAAATACTTGAGAATTTTATTACCTGCCTCTTCGGCAGCCAATCATCCGCTTAGTCACACTCGCGGGCCCGTGAAAATTGCGATAATTCACACCACGCGAATCTCCGAGTAACTCATCCACAACTTGATTTCTCTAGGACTTTTCCATTAGGTAAATGAACAGGACAAGAAATACATTCAATCTTCCGAGAATATCAAAGAAAACCACTACTATTAGAGTTGAATCACGTGAAAACAGTCAACTTTTCTCTCCAGAGTGTTAAATAGATCATCACAATGTTTATCATAAGAGAGAATAATATTTTCCACGAGAGCGCCAAATAGCCAAGCGCAAACCCCTTGAATAAAATCCCCCTTAAATGAAGCGATGCGGGTTGAATGTGAGCATCTCAAGGGATAATTTAATTGATTTATGATAACCAATTCAATTTGTTTGGTCTTGCGCCTCTTAATTGCCCATCCCGCTCCCTTTTCCTTGACAACACCGCGCGATCTCGTGTTATTTGCATTTCATAACAATTCACAGCGCACGAATGATTTATTTTTATTCTATCTCTGATGGCGCAGTTCTTCTGGGAAATCTTTTGGAAACATTTCATTGATTGGACGAGATGGAAATTAAGATGAAAAGACATTAAAACGGAGGGATGAAATTTGATTCGAGTGTATCGTGCTCAGACGCCTCGTGAGGGCGCTCAAGTCAGTGCTGATCATAATTAACCCTTGCAGAATTTTATGTGGAACTTTACTCAGAATTATTGTTTTATAGAAATCGGTAAATCAGTAAGACAGGCTTCAAATTTTCACTATTCTAACGATTTAGGGATTTTCATTAAAGTTTTATTTCGCTTCTGAACATAATCTGCAAAGGCAATAATTTAATGAAAAAGAATAAAGAAATACAAAAAAGAGTGGCACAAATATATTCTTAAAATTGAAGGACCTTCTAAATAAAGCTTTAAACAGAGATTGAGATACGCAGATAGATGAAAAATCGGAATTATTACTCGAATTCTTGTCAGTCCCGTCGGCGAATCCGATTCGGATAAACCGAATTAATCTAATTACGACGTATATTTATCAGGTCATTTTAAAATGCTAATTTTCAATGTCTTGGACACATACTCTCAAGTCTGAAAACATTAAATAGCTGTCTCAATCAAATGAAACCTAAAATCACCCTCAAATTGTAGACAACATGCAATATCTAATGTGGAGAATCCCTGACCGATGAAGTGTTAACTTTCCTCTGAACTGGTCATAGCAATTCAAACATCCCCAAGTTTGAGAAGCACTACGAATTGGGGAGAGAAAATCATCGTTTGGTCATGTAATGCATGCAATAAATAAGAAAAGATCATTTCCTATCCTTTTCGGGGGCAATAGCGCCCCTTTGGCTTTCGAGACACAACAACAGTCCTTTTGGGGAAGCCTTCAGGCCCTTTTGCGCAGGAGGTGGGGCTGCAATGGCGGTACTCACCGAGAACAAGTTAGGGCGCTTCTGACGGAGTCTCAGTGGCCTCTACACAGCATTTTCCTTATTGGAGAGTCATTGGGGGCGCCCTGGCGCCCGCTTTTCCACCCGCACGAACGGAATCGATGCTGAGGAATGGCGAACTTCACGTGATTCCGGGAGCGCGCCGAGGAAAATTCCTTCACACGCGTGCACACACTCCTTCGCTACGCACACCAAAGTCTCACTGCACTCACGAGGTGGGAAAATCACTGTTTGTGCGTCCGGAGAGTCGAAGGTTTTCCTGGGAGGCCACTTGAGGGGAGAGAGAGTCGCGAGACGGAGCGATGTTTTTCCTAGATGTTTACATGTCAAATCGCCAAAGATAAATGACAGGGTGGCGACTGGCACAGACACACACACGCCCGCTGGGAAAGTGACGGGAAACTGCGGGGAAAATGTCGCGGAAAATGTGGGAAAAGAGTCTCGAAAGTCGGTCGAACTGTCATGGAAGGCGCTCTCTCGCCCGAAGAACTGTGACCACTGCTGCCAACTGCGGCGCTTCCACTGGAAAGCGCGCACTTCCACTGGAGGGGATTTAAATTTAAAGAGACATGCCAGACTTTTAAATTATCATTTGATTTAATTACAACAATTATGCACAAGTAATCACAAATACAGTTAAAATTAATCCTAAATCAGCTCCTAAACTCATTTACACTTCCTTCTGACTCAAAATCTACTCTCCTCAATTTCACAATCTCACGCCAAAAGTATTAGAGGAAAGTATTCTCAGAGTTTTCGGACGGTATTTTGCCATTCATTCTCGAAGCGACTTTCAGGGCTTTAGTTTTTTTTACATCTATTTACAAAACTTTCTAGCTTGAATCGCGAGGACGACAGAAGAGACTGAAAACAGCAGTAAGTGTGAATTAAATTCAGTTGACTCGCTTATTTAACAGAAAGAAAACATCTCCTCATGAGCACTGAAGGGTATTTTTGCCGAGGAATTGGAACAAAAACGGACTGAAAAGACTCTGCTTTACAAACTTCTCATCTGCATATCACAGTTCATTCTAATCTTCATCAGTTCTGGCTTTGAAATGTGTACAAAAAGGAAGAATATCAGCAGTTTATGTTGCTCTATATAAGTTTCGAGGAAATTGTTAATAAACACCTGCTCTCTTCGATCAATCACGAAGCGAAGCTGTGACGTGAAATCCCATCTCCTAAAATCCTCCATTCTCTGGACAAAAAAGCCCCCAGTGCTCTTCTTCATTGCGTTCTTCGAGCACACGCACACACAATCATCGCTCTCTCAGGATGCAGTCTTGGTTATTTCAATATAATCCCTACAGCTAATTTCTGTAATAATCTTGCAGTGTAATAATTTAATGCGCCATGCACAGCGCCAGAGACTCACTCCTGCAGATTGCTCTTAGTGCGATGACGCAGGTTCAGCTCCGATCGATTCCTGTCCAGGTACTTCTTCCTCGCCAGCGCCACCAACATTTCCTTCCGCCTCTGCAGGATTCTCTCCCTCTCCTCGCTGCTCTTGGAGAACCTATCGCCCAGCGGCACGTCCTCCACACTATCGTCGCGCAGCAAATCACTCTGGTTCCCGAAGATGTTGCTTTTCCTCTCCACTTCGTAGCCACCCGGTTCTGAAGAGCTGGAACTCGTGGAGGCGCGCGAAAACACCGGATTGACATAGTAGTCGCTCGCCGAATTGGCGGCAAATGCTCCAGAATTGTCTGGAGAAGCGTCTGACGAGGACGCTCGACTGCCAGGCTCGCCAAAGTCATCACCCTCGAGTTCCTGGAAGCGCGCCGGCACTTGCAATCGCCCCTCCAGTATATTGTCAATCGTGATTTCAATGGAGCGCGTCACTGTGAGATCGCCAATGATCACCGTAAGTGGATATCGAGGGAACATCTGCTGCACTTGCAGTGCCATGTTGCGAATCTGACTGGTGTGAGTGTGAGTCGGTGGCTCATTCCTCAGCATGTTGTTGATATTGGTCACCTCCACCGAAAAGTTGGGCAGCCACGAAACATATCGCGAACCTGGAAAACACCAAAAATATCAACTTAAACACAAAGTTCAAAGACCCAAAAAAATAATAATTGTGGAATATTTTTGCTTAATTAACCTCGTCTGACTTTATCACTATTCAATTTGCTTCCTTTATCGTAAAAACCCCAACGAAAAATTATACGTAAGCTTATTAAAATTTACCATTGAAGTGGAAGAAGTGATTGTTGGCACGTCCCGCCGTTTCTGGCTCATCAATTCTGTCCATGTTGGGATGCAATGTCACATTATTCTGGACACTAAGCGCTAAACGACATGTTGGACAACTTGTATCCTGTTCCAACCACGATTGTAGGCAGGAACTGTAAAAAATATATCATTAGCCTCCTTGAAAACAGAAAAAAAGGCTTTTACTTACTTGTGAAACAAGTGAGAGCAGGGCAGCTTTCTCGCTGACTCCATCTTCTCCCAGCAAATGGCACAATTATCCGAATTCTCAGACAAATCCTTGGCCGTCGCCAGTGGATAACTCTTCTCCATGTGATTCAGCACCCACAAGTAATTCCTGTGCTTCTTGATCTTGCGCTGGATCTCATGAATGAGATAACGGAGCTGCATGACAATTACCAAGCTGGCCATCGAGAGGAAGATGTTGCTCCAGAACAGCATGTGCAGGTGATGAAGCAAATCCACCAGCAGAGCGGCCACTTCGAAGCCCAGCTCGATGTAATACGCTACAGGTCCACGTTTGTCCCATGACACGGCCTCTCCGCCCAGACCGCCGTTCCTCATGTCATACAGAAACAGGCCGTAACGCACCAACACGTGCAATGTGCGAATAGACAACAGAACGCACTGGGGAAGAAAAAAGCTCTTTAGTCATTTGATAATGAATTTTCCGTGGTTTTTCTAAGTAAAATACCACTTTAAATGCGGTAATTCTCTGAAGACACAGTGATAATCAACGGTGTAGTTTCCAATGAAACTTTTTGTTTGTGAAACGTAACAAGAATCCGTCAGACAACTAAAAAATTATATAGATAGATTTGATATTTTTCGAAAAGCTCTCCTCATTGTCCTTCCAACTTATTTCGCTACTGGCAAAAGTGCGTGATTTTCCAAATTATATCTCAAGTTTCCCCTTCAAAAATAGTCCCGATAATTTCTCAGATAAATATTTGTTACTTTTCAGTGAACATATTTTTCTATTTCGCAACATTTCTATGTCCACAAAAGAACTCAAAGAAAAACACACGAGAATATGAAGTGGTTTTTTTGCCTCAAAATATTTTATTTGATTTTCTGTGTGTGGGTCTTTTTATGCGAATCTCCCTCACTTTTCTATAGAATTGAAGAAGGAAGAGCCTCAGAATCCACTCGAGAGTGTCAATTTTGAAGATATTCTCTCAATTGTGCTCTTCTTGCAATCATAATAATTATTAGAATTCTCACAATCGTGCGCTCTTTGCGGTGTGTCTGTAATTTGTATGAGTTGCTCGTGAGTGGATAATCTTGACTCGTTTTTCGAGATTTTACACACAATTTCAAGGCGACAAAATCTATGCGCTCTCACTCTCGATGCTCACTCATTGAATTTACAGGCATAATAGAGGCGTAATAATGGCAACTCGTGATGGAGGTGTTAAGAAAAAGGACAATAAGTGAAAGTTATTTCCATGGCCTCGTGAAACTTTCACTATAATCCAACAGAGTCAGATTTGTAGCAGAGACGCCATGAATTTGCCAAGATATCAGTTCTCAAATTCACTCCATTATCACCTTCTTAGAAAATTACCAGCGAACATTACCCTCAGTTGAGCTTCAACTGCCCTAGAAATGTTAACTCCTTGCGTGATAATGAAAAATTCATGGCAAAGTTCATGAGCCTTTTCTCGAGCTTCGCGGGCACGCGAATTTGACTCATACTCAGAATGTTTTCATCAAGCCATTCTCATTAGGAATTCCACCAATGTGGCAACAATAGCGTAAACACCCAAAGATCATTAATCAATTGATTTGTTTAGGAGGCGAAAATTGGATAAAAATCCATCATCATCTTCAATTACTCGGCAAATTATGGCAATTTGAATATGAATCTGTCTATAACACGGATTTTACAACTTTTGTGTCACAATTTTTCTTATTGCTGGCAACATTTATTACGTGTGCGACTCACAAACATTTCAATATTGAGAAAAATTCTATTATTATTATTTCCTTCGTCGCCGTGTTTAACGCGTTTTTTCTCCCTCTCCCTCTTCACATTTTCATGATTAATTAGGTAGAAATTTATCACGCAACACATGAATTAACTTGGCTCAAACTTGAGATAAAACGCTCTCAATTGTGTGTGGCTTTTGCATTGTGATTTTTGTGGTCAGGAAGGTCAAAATCTTTTTTTACATTCAGTTTCTCAACTCCTTTTAAAGCACTCTTTGCAGAACATTTCAAAGTATTAATTGGCCATTTCCAGTTCATGTGTTTTTCCTTCTTTCTGGGGCAAGACCTTCATTTGTGGTTTGATGATGCGAAGAATTAGCAGTGAAAAAATGGGAAGATTTTATAGTTTAGTCTCAAGGAGAGAAAGCTCTGAATGAGCTCTGTCTCATTGATAAGCCACAACACAGCGTGATGAGTCACTGAGAATGGGATCAAGAAAGTGCCAAAAACTCCTCTGCAATATTTGGCACACAGCAAAACATTATGTTTTTGCCAAGACTCACCTCGGACGCCATGAAGGCGAATGTGTTGATGCCATGGAAGAGTCCCACGCCGATGCTGATGATAAACATGAGGCCTGACAGGGTGAGAATGGCTGAGAGTAGGGCCACGAGGCGGAAGTGTGACCAACCCGGTGTTGTGGGTGAGAAAGAGAGCTGCAGAGATTGAAAAAATGTTATTTCTCTCAAATTCGATATCCGAACCTTCGTTACATACGTTATGTGATACATAAAATATAAATTGGCCTAAATCTTTTTTTGGACCTCTAAAATATAAAGAATATCAAACACAGCATACAATTTTCTGGTAAGGAATTTATCATTTCAAAACTCAATTCAAAGTCAAATCATACAAAACGTCAATGCAACGAAAGTTTATCGTTTTATCGGATAAAATATCATCTGATTTGTCTGATTTGTTAATTGTTTCACTTTTTATGCACATCCAATTGATCTTTATCTATCAAATACTTGTTATTGAATCATATTGCTATTGAAGCCCAGATTTACTGCCTTTAGTGTTTTTTTTTGCACACCAATTCAAATGGTAGCAAAAAGGTTTTTCAGAAATTATTGGTGGGAAGAAAAACAAGCACTGAACTTGAACTAATTTTATCAGCAATTTATCAGTAATATTTTGCCGCACTTTCGTAAAAATCCAAACCTGATTTATTGCTTGATTATCCATCGCGGAAATTAAAGTGGCAAGAGAGTAAGGAAAACTCACATATTCGAAGCGATCCTTGCACAGTTGCGACAAGAGGTGCAGAAAGCCAAGAATTGAGAACCAAGACACCCAGAGAACGACCTGAAAAAACAGAAAGATTTGTCATACACACTCGATTGCTTTCTCTTTTTGCGGAAACACTGTGACTAACCTCATTCAGGAATTGTACATTCACCACGCCGAAGACAAAGATGAATTTATAGAAGACGAAATTCCAGAACTTGTCTTTCAGGTGCTGCGCCAAGACAAAGAGAGGAAGTGAGAAAGGGATTCACAGCAAGACCTCAAATAGTAACTCACCTGTTGCTCCGATATTCGCAATTCACCAAAAACCACCTTTTGGATAGATTTGCCAAGCAGAATCAAGCAGCAATAGGCCATATTTATCAGTGTCTGCAAGAAAGGAAAGAGTGTCAATTGAAAAATTGTCTTCTGGGCCACAAGCATGAAGTGATATTAGAGTCAACTCTTGATTGAGGTTGATTGATTAACAATACCCATAATAAACATATAGGCAAACAGCTGACTCGCGCTGTGTGTATTGATGGTTCTGAGGTGCGCCATCAAGGCTACGGAATCACAGCCGCTTGAGTTTCAGGCTTTTTGCCACTGTATGTTGACTTTATGACTCAATCAACTAAGCCGGACTTGCAAAATTATAGGGAGAATTACAAGTGATTTTAATCGAATTAATAAAATAAGATTCTTTCTTAAGCATATTGCATAAGATGATGGGATGTTCTACAGTGTGATATTTCCCACCATACTTTAGGGGAAAGAAAATTTACTACTCATCTAACATATCATACAATATTTGACCATATCAAAGATCATTTCTAAATGAATTCTAAATTATTGCCTTGAGACCAAAACAGCCCCGTCTTCCCTTCACTACGAACTCGTCAACGAAGCGCTTCAAAGACAGTCAATAAACCTGAACATTCAATGGATTTATTGCGGAAATTGCAATTGCAAATGAGCTTCAAAACTTCTTATATTTACTAAATTGTTTTCTATTAGATTTCCATAATTTTTTTTTTCACCATATGCGAATGTGTGAATTCCAAATTGACACGACTGAATGCCTTGTTGGGTGATTGAAACGAACAATTTTCCAAATATTGACTTCACATGAGGAGGGACAAATGATGGATATCATGCATCTCTTATTTGCCTTTCAGACCTTCTACTTTTCATGTGCCACAAACAACAATGTTTGTTTACACGGGTTGATTTTATGAAGGCAAAAATCACACACAACTCGCGTGAATTTCTTTGCATTCTCAGCTTTTTTCTTCTCTCCCGCTTGTTCACGAATGCTCAACAATTTTGTACTTTGCCGCACAGCTGCGAAATTAAACAATATCAATTGACGCAATTTTCTATTAATTTCCTCCGCGGCGCCTGGCTTTTTTGTATCTCTCTCTCTCTCCCTCTCTCTTTGCGATATGAAGAAACTTCTTGTGCAAATTACTTCAAGGTCTGTCGATTTGAGAATTGAATTTCAGTGTGAAGGCAAGATCATACATTGCGCGAATCACAGAGATGATGATAATGATGATGGTGGAAAAATCTGTCCAGCGCTATTGATATTATGGCATTCTGTTCAGCTTCCTTTCTGGCTCGACTCGAGGCAGATATTCAAAATTGGCAAGTGAGACACTTTGCAAGACTCTCATAACACACACGACACAGTATAAATAGCAAGAAAGTGAGAAAATGTGTGTGACTTTGGCATTGAACAAAAAGAGACACGAGTTTAATTGCAGTTGAGCAAAAAATTCACGTATTTTTAACTCATTGCGTTGTTTGGTCGATCATCTGGTGAGAATGAGGAATTGATTGGTTAGAAAAATGAGTGTTTTTGGCCCACATTTTGTTTACTGTTTACCTACAGGGCGAATTATCAACATTTCACATATAATTTTTGCAATTAATTGGACCGACCCAAAATTCCCACCCACGCGCGAGCTTTACACGGTTACACTAGAAAGTGGATATTTCTCGAAGTCAAATGATAAGTTGTGAGTAAGAAGACCATCGGTTTTTGGTCCACAAAATCAGAATCTCACATTTCAGAAATGAAATTTCTTGTGACAATTTCTTTTGGCATAGCTAAGCCATAAGCATATGATATAATTAACATTTTTATCGGTTAAAATTTCATGTAATATGGAGGCTTTGAAAAATTGAAATTCGCAAATGTCCTACTGGAGAATTCCAAAGCTCAAACGAGACTTAAGGGCCTTCAAATTGTAGTCCAATTTGTGGTTTTGCACATTATTTAACGCTCGTTTTTGCTCAAAATCCAATCATAACAGACATACACAGATTAGCTAATCTTTTGTAGATCATCAACTTTTTGGCTCTGAAAGCCCATCGAAGGTCATCTTGTACCTTTTCTGGCTGGCCTCCCGCGCAAATGCCTCCATTTCTCTCTCTCTCTTTTGGCAAAGTGAATGAAAAGACGAGAAATGTGGCTTTCATATCCATATAGAAAATTGTGCGCTCATTCACAATCGGCTCTTTGACCTCGAACACCGCGAGCTATTGATCAGTGTGACGTGGCCAGAGATTTGTCGCTCACCTGCACAAAGAATATCAGCTAGGAGAGCGCAAGGAGCAATTTCAGGTCACGGACAGTTGCATTTGATGCAACTCCAAATACTGAACTTTCACTCTCGATGCGCTTTTCAACTTTCAATACGAATCGTTAATCAATTCTCAGTGCCTCGCGAATGCACTTCATATGAGTGATAGTGAGTGCAAAACTCCTATAACAGCACCAATAAAGCGTGAAAGGATGCCAAAAAAGTGACTTTAATTGTCAGACAATCTCTTGTCCACTCAATTCTACTAATTAATATCATTATGAAGTACAACTTCCTCGATCTTTTCCAAGAAAATAACGTGCCTTTAGGAAGTGATAAGTCAACCCCAGTAAAGTGATTGTTGTTTGTACTTTTTAACTCACCCAAATGCACGTCGGCTCCTGCGACATGAAGGTCACCACATCCCTCAAGTGAGCTCCCAGAGTTCTTGTGTCATTCACGATCCTCTCTTCGAGCTCAATGTCAGGCAGATCCTTCTGCGTCGCCTTCTCCTCAAACAGACCATCAGGCGGCTCTTCTGGCATCTTCACGGCGCTCTCCAGGACGCCCTCAATATCAATTTGCTCCCCTCGGTCGACATCTGCGACGCCCTCTGGAATCTTCGGCAGCGTCCCGACCGGAATAGACGTATTGTTCGTGTGCAGCTTCCAGTCCGGATCCCTAGTCACCTTCACTGAGTAGTACAAGCAAACACTGACCCACAGAATGCTGAGAATCGTGTAAAATCTCAGACTGGGCAATGGAATTCTATCCACAACGAGTGTCGGCATCTTTCACTGTCCAAAAGTCGCTCTTTCCCTTCTCACTTTGATATTTCCAAATTAAATTGTTCAATCAACACTTCTCACATCTTACAACAGATCATCCACTTTTATGATCCTCTCTGCCAATCCTGAAAAGAAACAAGAAAATGTATAAAGTGAGAATTTGTCATTTCGTCACTCTATACGCTGAAGCATCTTTTTCTTAAGGTCAATAGCAAAATACGGTAATTCCAACGTCTCTTTTTCCTCCACATCTTTTCCAACAACTCGTTTTCTTGCCTGCAATTCGTTTCTTCCATGTTAAAAGTGAAGTGGATTGAGGTTGCAAAAAATCATTCGATCAATAAGATTTACAGAAAAAAGATAACAAGTAATGCGGAAACTCTTTAGAATATCGCGAAATTACGCTCTTGACCTAAGAAATACGTTTTGAATTCACTCAATAGATAACAACTCATCAATTGCAGCCGAGATTGCTTAATTCAAGAGTTTGTGTCTACAACTATGTGTGTGTGTTGCTAATTTTGTGCGCTTAATCTGCTTATTCAGAAAACAACGTAATTAATATGTTATAATACACAGAGTTCATCAAGAATTGATAATACTGAAAAATCATTGGAATCATTTGATAAATGTTAACAGAAACAAGAAGAATTATCTCTATGAAGAAATTATAGCGAAGTCTAAGAAAATTATCTAGAATATTTACAATATTGAAACAAGAACACACAGAGAAGAACTATCTTATCAGTTGAAAAGTATTTGGCAGAGAAATATGGCCAGATCTAAGCTATGAAGACAGTTCCAAAAGAAGAGTTGAAGTTTTACCAAATAAACCCAATTGGAATGAGGTTCAAACGAATTTCCAACTTTCCATAAATCCAACAAGAATCTCATAAGCTGTAAATTCACCAATTCATGACCCTATCTGACTTGCCCTCATTAAAATACTTATTGAAACACGCCTTTTGTGTCTCTTGTCAAATTCTAATGAATTGTCAGCTGATAAAGTGTTCTTGACCGACTTTTCGCGTTCCAATGATTCCATCAATTGCGATTCCGCAAAAAGGAATTTAGACACCAATATGATTATCATTTACATAAACCCCACCAAAATCCCCAAAAGCGCTCTTATCACTTGCAAAGATCCGTGATAAGACTGATGGCGTGACGCCGCGGAAAAGTCACCATGAGGACGTGAAATTTGCCGCACCGTGAATTTTCTGCGACGCTAGATTGTCTTTTCCAGGCCAATTAAATGCGCTGCTGGAGAGGAAAAAAGAAGAGAAGAGAAGGGAAATTCGCGAGGCACTCAAAACGGTACAACGGACTCAATTTAACCTGAAGAAAGTGCGGATGAAAGAATGCGAATTCCACTTTTTGGAAAATAATCTCTATATTCTTGGAAATTCAAGTCTCTCTTGGCCAATACGAATTCAGGATTCCCTGTTGTTCGCCTCCTATTGGCTCCTCACTTTGTAATCCTTAATTTTTCATTCCTTCAGCTTGTCAACTTCACACGCAATCAATTGATTTTCCGGCTAATTTTTAGGGCTTCCCCAATCATCTGACTGGCCATAATTCCTCTTGAAACTCCCTGAATAAATTATGATGCATTTTAAAGTGATCTCTGTTCACCCCGTTAAAGCGTCTGTTTATTCTTAGTCGGAAAATTGATCAATAAATCAAACACACACGCTCGTGGAGCTTTCCCGAAATAAACACTCTCACTCTCGCTGACTCCTGGCTAGAGATCTGGACAGTGTCCGGAAGTGCAGAATAGCGAAAACAGCAAAGAGATTCAGGAAATTCAACAACAATTGCCCAATTAACCCATATATTCTTTCACTATACTTTCTCACCTTCTCCTCCGATTTGTCGTTTATCTTTTCCTTCACTGCTTTGTAGATTTATTCCTAAACTTTTGGAAAATCCTTACGGTATCTCAGAAAATATGTCTTTTCCGGGGGGAAGAATTCAATGCACTGTCACAGGGATTTATCTTCCACTTTCACGTGACTTTTTCACTTTATGCTTCACCACTATTCCACTCTTTTTCACTCTAAAAGCACTCTCGGGGCACTTTATTTCCTGTCACGGCACTTTTCAGGAGCGATTTCGAGACGCGGCCGCTTTATTTTAATCGCAAATGATTGTGATGAAATATCCACTCGGCTCACTTTTGACACAGCCACCAACTGCGTGAAGTCGGCCGCGAGAGCGCTGTTGTCGCGATATATCGGTGGACGGAAGAGGAATTACACCATGTCGAATTTTGTTTAGACAATGCTTAATTTAAGGAATATTTCACTCTTTGTATTTTGAAATAACAAATCCAATGAGAATCTACGAATATCCCGTTTCTTTCACACTCACCACGCAGCAATTATTCGCGAAGATATATTAGGATATTTTGGCGCAAATCGTCACTTCGACAGTGCTGCCGTCGGAACTATTCAGTACTAGAAAGACAAGTGAAAAATTTTTATGTGCTGTGTTTTTCTCCACGGAAAAGACTAATTTCCGCGAAAGTGCCCATCAAATCACACGAAAAATGAGTGAAAACCAAAGGTGAGATATTACAGCAAAAGTCTAAATAGAAATCAATTGGAAATCTCTGATGAATCATAGGCAAACTGAAGAGGAATCTGGATGTGAGGTTAGGCAGGCTTCTGAGGAGGAATCCCAGTTCAGGACTGAAGACGAAGTTTCCAATCCCATGAGTCTTGAACAAATGGAGAGTCAGGGTGATGCAGGAAGTGAAATGGAGAAGAGCACACCCACCTATGAGTGGAAAGACATTACCAAAGACTTCTTCGTGGCGATTAAGGATCTATCATTGGGCGAACTGATGCATCATGAGCTATTTGGGCTGTTCGAGGCAATGTCTGCTATTGAGATGATGGACCCCAAAATGGATGCTGGGATGTGCTGCAAGAAAGAGAAGCCGCTGCGCTTCCACACGGCTGTCAGTGTAAGTTAAAGTTTTCCGGAGGATAACAAAGTTCAGGCTCTTACTGTTTTTGGGATTTTTCACAGAGCGGGCAGTTGAAACTGGACAATCTGGAGTACCGAGAATTAATTGGGGTCTTCGACTCTATCTATTCGTGTCTGGTATCCTGGCTAGAGGGCCACTCCTTGGCGCAAACTCTCTTCACATGCCTGTATATGCACTTTCCGCATGCCATTGAGGAAAAGAGTCTGAAAGCTTTTTGCTGTGCAATCTACAAACTCACAGATTACATCAGGAAATTCATAACACAGTGAGTAACTTCTAAATGATCTCGAGGTATTCCTAAAAATGCAAACTAAACTCGTTTAACTGGTTTAAACAAGAAAAACACATGCAAAGTGGGAAATTTACATTTATTTCATGCATTTTGCATATAAAATGATTTCGAGGAGTAATTCACAATCCTGGCTTCTGTGGATGAATTTGTTCCTGCAAGTTCTTTTCGAATTGATCGGCGGATCTTCAAAATAGGCAATTAGTTAATTCAGTTTCTCTACAACTTTTAATGAACTTACTTCACTTCCTCGTCGGGAAGAAAGATTCTTGTTATCAGCATTTCCAATTCTGTGCACTCTGGAATGCATCCTTTGGGGTTGTAGTCGGGAAGGCAACACTCATTGTCAGAGTTAGATTGCGGGCGTGGAAGTGCAGAAATCAAACCAAAGGCCAGAATTAGAGACAAAAAACAGAGGATTAGCTTCATTTTTACACAAATTCGATCAACAAACTGATCTTGCAACTCTCGAGAGTTAATCTTTTTATACCATTTACTATGAAACGACTTTGTAAATAAGTGTAGAAATTTGCATAAGTGACTTTATTAGAATAATATGTATAAATGTTGAATGACGCGCATTTGTATGACGTTTCAGCGCTTCTGTCTTCGAAGAAGAGGACTTTCAGCCAAGCACTTTTGCCTATACTCTCTATCCTGATGTCTCAGACATCAAAGCGTGTTCAATGTTGAAAGAGGCTGAGGATGAGTTGAGCAGAAAAGGCAAGGCTTCGCCTGAGAATGCAGAAATTATCCAATTTGTCGTCTGTCGGCTGAAGTTTGCGCGCGTACTTCTACAGACTTTCGTCAATCTCTGGCGAATGAAGAGTTCTCCACTCACAGAGACGGAGATGAATGATGTGGTAAGACAGCTGAACAATCTCTCGGACATCATCCTGGTCATGAGGAGGAGTATTGAGCGAGGAACACAGCCTGAAATGGGCGCAGATGCGCCAAATCCCATGGGATTCTCTCCTATGGTGAATCAGAGACTGCTTCCGCCGACTTTTCCGCGTTATACAAAGATAAAGGATAGAAATGAGAGTGTCACGTTCCTGGAAGAGCTTATCCAGCGCCTGAAATTGGCCTGCAAAGTGACAGCTTGCACGCATTTCTACACAGCGCTGAACTTCTTCATGGATTTCAGTAAGAAGTCTGGGCAGTGTTTGCTGTCCAGGAGTCTGCTGAGATTTATCTATCTGAACCTCTTCAGTGTGGACTTCAACAGTTTCATTGAGTATTTGAAGGAGTCGGCGAAGGTGTTCATTGCCCCGCCTGTGCTCATGTCGCGGAATGCTCTGTCCAGCAATGCGCAGGCGAGGGAGTGTGTGGAGTCCTTCTTCAACTACACGCCCAACATGCACACCATGTACGTCTTCCTGCAGATTTGCGGCTACAATCGTGCCAGGCAGCGTGACAAGCTCGCAAGACTGCTGGAGGAGTTCGCGAAGCTGCAGCAGGAGGCGCAGCGTCTCGACACGTATCTCTACATGCAGGACTCCAAGTCTGAGACGACGTCGCAATACTTAGCCTGCTTCGGCACGTGGATTCTCTATCAGTGCCTGCGCGCCATGGAACTCTACCTGTTGTCCGGCCTTGAGCTGGAACTGTACAGTGTACACGAGTATCTGTACATCTTCTGGTATCTCTACGAGTTCCTGTTTGGCTGGATTGTTTCGTCGCTGACACGAGCGGAGTCATTCTTGCTGGATCAGGACTGCGTTGTTGATCAGGTGAATTTCATATTCTCACTTCAATTCAACTTAACTTTTCGTTAGAACATTCAATTTATTGAGAGGAAGTACTTCAAATGATTATTAAATTCCTTTTCATTCCTCAGTCGAAAGCATCGAGTGGCGCCAAATCGCGAAAGGCCAAATCGAAGAAGAAGAAAGCAAAACCCTACGTGCGCGAAATTCTCTACAATCAGGCTTTGCAGAATGTGTGCGGTGGATTTTACAAGGGTTTGACGGGCTTCGTGAAGGATGGGCGCATTCAACAGCCGGCGGCGATGTTTGATAACGAGAAGATTCGTTTCGATCACCGTTTCGCGCCATTCGCGTGCCTCAAGACGCCGCCGATGGTGCCGTACTTCGAGTTCCGCCTCATGCGCTCGCACCTATTGAAACTCTCCTCGGCCGAGTTGTACTTGGCCGCGGCCAAGCACTTTCACCAGGGCCGCACAATCCTTGAGTCCATCCCGAATCCCGACCAAGAAATGCTGGAGATCTTGCGCGTGACGAAGGTGAATTTTGTAGTGATGAATCTTCTCGCCAAGGGTCACAAGAAGGACTCAAAAGTACAACCGGAGTTTGACTTCTCGTACCATCGCTACTTCCCAGTCATCAAGCAGCAATAAAAGAGGGATTAAATAGCGGTGAAACTATCTATTTCATCTAAACATGATCTTTGATGTGAATTAATTAATTCCATGGGCGGTTTTCAAGCCATCCAGAATGCGCTTCTTTTCCTCCAAAGCTTCTGCGTGGGTCTGCAATGCCAATTCCAGTTGGGCCTTCTTTTGCGCGTGACTCTGCACAAATTCCTTCAGAATATCCATACATAGGCGATCCAGAGTCAATTCCTCCTCGGATTTTCCCACTTGATTCTCAATTTGATGCTCAAGAGCGCTGCCAGACGTCGTTTCTTGGCCTCTCAAGCTATTCAGCTGATTGAAGAGCTCCTCAGCGGGCAACGGAAGATTGTTAAGATGGCACTGAAGTTCTACCAATTCCACACCGTTCATGAGGAAGTCTCTCTTGATCATGTCGAAAAGCAGGTTGTCCGTGAGGCGATGCCAGGCAAGGAAGAAAGCCATCGGGCCAAAATGTCGCGTGGAGCGGAGTTGATTAAACTCCCGGGACTCGTTCAAGTGTAGAAAAGTCTGGGCTGCGACATCGTGAAAGTCCTTTTCGTAGGGCTCAAACTGAACTGTGAGTCTGTTCAGAATAAATTCATATTTGTGATCTTCGAGACACTTCTTCAGATACTCAGGCTCGAACATCTTTGGTGTGCGTATCGTGCGACCAACCGACGGGAAATAAATCTGATTCAAGCGCTTCCTGACATCCTGTGGAGCAGATTCCAATTTCCCATCAACCTTCCTGATGAAAATTTTCCGCTTAAAATCGCTCACGCCGTAAGTTATGTCGGTGAAAATTATGTCAGACGTGGAGTAGTTGGCCAGTCCTGTGTCATCGGAAATGATTTTGTGCTCTGGCTCTTTTATTTGCACCACTGGAGGCATTTGGAGCAATCTTCTGGCTTTCCGGAGACCATCTTCCACTTCTCTTTGCACTTGTTCCGTGGTCAAGAATTTATAATTCACCGTATTTCTAGGCATTGTCCGACGACGAAACACCTTGTCCAGGTCCATTCTTGTCAGAGACTTCAGTAATTTCTGGACTTTTCCGCTGAAAAACTGCGGGGCAGGATCACGATCTGCAAACATAACCCCTGTTTTAGAAAATCATGACTTTCCCATAAAATCAGAAGGGAATACTGACCATAGCTGTAGTGCTGAACTGCCCGAGCGCCGGTGCTGCATCTTCGATGGCTCGTGATGGCTAATGCAATGAATTTCTGTGAGAAATTGGGGATTTTTGAGCAATCGCGAAGGGAAAACATGATTACAAGTTCCAATGAATTCCACAAGTTGCCGCTGCGATCGAACAGAGGAAATATCCGTTGCGTGGAGAACTCTCCGATTTCTCTAGATTTTCTCTGCAATGCTCATGATTCTAATTCAATTCTACACAGAATTTTGTCAAAAGTTTACAGGTAATCTAAAATGTAAAGCATCCTTATCGGATATTGAATTTTCATCAAGATTTTCATGTTTCACACGTTTCGATATTCCACCTGCCGTTGCGATATTTCCCCTCAACGATATAATCATCGATTTCTGAAACTTGTTTCCGCGACCAAACAATCGCTTTCCGTCTTATTAGAAAATTGCCCTAAAATGTGAGAAAAAGTGTGTGAAAGGCGACACAAACCAGTGAGTGCTGCCCTACAATGTAAAGACTTGCTGGGGAGGATGTCTGGACAAGTGGGAACGACGCGGGTTCAGTTGATGTGCAGCAAGTTTGAGAATTTGCTTAAGGAGGAGCACCAAAGTCATCAAACCATCCCCAAAGTGGCCGCCAAGGGTGGCCAGCGCCCCCTCTTGCAGCGTTCCGCCACCGCCTTCACTCTCCGTCGTGTGGACAGTGCGGAAAAGTTGTCCGGCAGCGAATTGGGCTCGAAGAGGATCAAACGCAGTCCGGCCTTCAGAGAGAAATTGCAGGCCAGGAGCAGGATTTCCTCCTTCCCACTGCCCGGCGGCTCGCCAGATCATAGCGACACCATCCTGCGGGCGCTGAAGCACCCATTGCCAAAGGGGCCCCCACCGAAGAAACCGCCGAGGGCATTTGAGGCCACCCGGAACAGTCCGGCGGCGGAGCACATCTACATGGAGCCCTTTGAGCACTTGCGCAGTCACTCTGAAGGCACCGGAAGCCCGTCAGCGGGCTCTACGGCCTCCACAGCGAGCAGCAGAGAGTTCAGGGAGTCGCCAACGAAACCTGAACTCCACTATCTGTGCACGGACGTCACGGGACTCCGCGAGGACGAGCGCCCCATGGAGAAGATCTACGATCAGGTAAGCTTCTGCTCCCGATAAGATAATCTTAAGCCGAAATCACTCTTTCGAGGGGTTTTCTTGCCATTCTAATCAGTCCAGCATTTGTTTGGCCTTGAAATGCTGACTTCTCATTGGCTGCAGACCGATCTTGGTTTATCGCCTCTTATCGCCAATCAAAACAAACGTCCTTTTCATGCGACAAAGAGATCAACGAATTTCATCATTAGAATTGGCAAAAGTCAAGGTTCCGGTGATTCCCTTGACGAGCACTTCCCACCATTATTAATTCTTTTGGGAGTCACGGGAGTTTCTTCGCCCCAACAGAGCCCCTCATTCAGCGTTTGAATGCAAATAGGCCGAGGAACCTTGAATGAATTGTAGCAGCAGTGACATGGGCGTAGTCAGGATTTGATAAAGTTGATTTGAAGAAAAGTGCGAAAAATGAATGATTAGTCATGATGGATGCTCTCATTTACTTCGCAATAGCGAGGTTAATCATGTGAACTTCATGAGAATCGAACGATTCTCGTATTCTGTAGTTCTGTGTATAGACTTAATAATTTAGATAAGACATAAATTTGTGGGGATACAAATTTCTGAGGACCTTTCTTTTATATTTAGAAAGCCTAGGAACTCCGATGAAAGTAGGTTTTCGTGATCGATCTATACGCCACTGCTCGTCTGCCCGCGTACACTTTTTGCCTCATCTTCACGAGCATTCCCATGGTTGGCCGGAAGTGTGGCTCTGCATCGATAATAATTGGCCTGCACTTCTTGTTTTTCTCTTTCTCAATACGCACCGCGTCGTCTTCCTCGAGTTACGCGAGGAGTGGCGATTGAAAGTGAAAAAGAAGATTGTTTACAGTTCACTGAACTTTTTCTCTCTTCCACTTCTTCGGTCTCTTCCAGGTGGGTGAGATCGTCACTGTGGCCTTTGATGGGTCCGTGTCCGATGCCAATATCACACTGCTGCCGCCAGAGGGTGAGACTGGTGAGAAGATTAGGGCGACGCGGAAGGAGCCAAGTACAAATCTGTCCAGGAGTTGCACGGAGAAGAGGCGAGAGTACGTGAGGAGGACGTCGACGCTGTACGGCACGCTTCATAGGCGAGAATCAGTGGATGCGACAGTGCCTAAGCCCAGTCAGAAGGAAGTCGATCTGTTCAGGATGTGTCTACTAGTGGAGTTCAATTCTATTACGAATACGGCGCATATCAAGAGTCAATTTCCCAGCGAGAGCGCCATTCCGAGGAATCTGGAGCAGCTGGTGTTCCCGTGCGGCGCGAAGCAGAGTGAAGGGCGGCCGAGGGATGGTCAGGACTATTCGCTGATTCTCACGAATGACAATGGCGAGAGATTGTACGGATATTGCAGGCGGATTCTGCCTGAGAACAGCGAAATTCTCCTGCCGATGGCGTATTGTCTGCTCACGGACACCAAAGCGCCTGGATTCTACTTCAAGCTATTGAAAGAGATTGAGTCTCGCCATGGACAGACCAAGAGTCAGTTCACGCGAATGCTGCAGGACTTAATGGAGTTGAAACTGCCGCCGCCTGGTCAGGTGTTGAGCCTTAGACTCTCACCAGCGTCCAACAATGGGTAAGTGACTCTTCTGCTCTTGCCAAAAGGCAACCAATTTCATTCCTATTCTCTTGCCATTCAGGTCTAGACCGCCAGGAATCTCACCTGACTTCTCTTGCATCTCCACGGCGAGCTTCTTGAGTGGTGATCTCGTCTTCCTGCGTCGTCCGTCGGACGTGCGCCTGGAGAGCAGCGATTTGTGGCTTCTGCATCGCACTCTGGGGTCTGAGCTGCTCTTGCACGTCTTCGGGACGCTTCTGCTGGAACGCAAAGTGGTGCTGTACAGTGAGAGTGTCTCTCTGGTGGCTTCCTGTATCCTTGCCCTAGCGGAGATTCTGTATCCCTTCCAGTGGCAGTACACGCTAATCACTGTCGTGCCGCATCGCCTCCTGGAGATCTGCCAGGCGCCCTTTCCTGTGCTCGTGGGCAGCGTGTGTGAAGTGGACGAGATGGTGATTGATGATGGAATTGTGGTGAATCTGGACAGTCGTCGAATGACGCAATGCTGCGGCGATGAGATGACTCTGATCCCGGCGAAACTAAGAAACTCTCTTCTCGTCTCGCTGGAGATGTACAATGCGCTGAATGAGGACAAATTTCTTCTCAGTGTTCTCATTGCTGAGGCCTTTCTGCGCTTCTTCATTGAGATCTTCGAGAATTTCCCATACGACGCGCCCATACACAAGGAGAAGCTCATCAGTTCGCATCCGAATCCGTCCGTTCAAATCTTTCTGGAATGGTTCGTGGAGACGGCGATGTTTCATCACTTCGTGAAGACCCGCTCGGCCGGCCAGAGTGACAAGATGTACAAGATCTTCGAGGCACGGCTGCTGGAGAAGGGTCAGGGCGACCGACGGAGGATTGTGCAGAATCTCGGAGGCCTGGCGCCTCTAAATCGCAAAACGAAGACGCTGCGAGAGCGCTTCCGGGAGTTTTTCGAGTGAAACTCAAGTGCCTAGTGTTTGGAAAGTGCATTTATGAGTAGCTTTAGCGAGACTCCAACTCACCAAGAGTAGTTCTTAAGTGCCTCTATAACGATATTAAACTAAGAAAAGAGATGATACATTTTTATAGCGCACAATTTATAAAATCTACTTTTCCCAGCCGGAAAACTTCATGATATTTCTTGTGTGATAGTTTAGGACATTTCCCTCCTGCAAAAGCTAATTGAAATTTTAAGTGCGATTAACAATAGAACAAGAGAAGTTGGAATATATTGACAATAAAGCCAATAAAGCGTTTTCTAAGAGATTATGACAAAATGTGTGGTCTTTTAAAGTCAAATTCAAAGTTGTAAAGTTTGATTTTAAATTTTCTAGTATAAGAAAAGGTGAAAACCAGTGAAAACTTTCATTCACGGCTTTGCTACGCCACTGGTGTCTTCTCGTTTACCGCGCTTTCTATCGTGCTTCTACAGTCCGCATGAGGCGCTGATGCCATTCAGTGTCTTTCTGGTCTTCGCCGTGTGTTGTTCTCAGGATGGAAGCCGCACCAAAAATCATCAAATACTTCGGTAGAACCACTGATTTCCATGGAAAAACCTTGTGGGAGTTGGTGGGGAGTCTGAAGAACTTCGGCGTGGGCAGAATAGTTGTGAGGAACATGTTCGAAAGGTATCCTGAGCCTTCATACTACCGCATTCTCAAAGTGGAAGCGCTGCCAAATGTCGAGAACAGTGAGGTTGGTTTCAATGTTTGTTTTGATTATGAGATATTTGCTGAAAAAAGCTATTTTGCAGGATCCTCTGGAGGCGAGGAAGGTATCGGTGACTGTGGAGAAGACCCACAGAGGAAAGCTGTTGGCCAAACCCTTAAAAATCATGGCGACATCGTACAAATCTGACTACAAATTGATTCCGAAGCACGAGGAAGAGAACTATTGCCGAATGCCGATTCTGAGAGAGGTGAAAGTCTTCCCCAGGACCATCGATCTGCCGCCTCTGCTGCGGGAGTTTGTGAAGGACGAGACGGGACAAGAGAATCCGCAGATCCCACTGATACTCAACGGGAAAGGGTACAAATGCTATCGCATGGCGGAGGAGGGAGAAAAGCCCACTGTTGATGTCGGCATGGGGTTAGGAGTTCCCGCAAATCCGCGACTCTATGAAAACAGTGTGGTGAGTAAATAGGTAATTTATTTCGTTGAGAACTTTACCTTACAATCTAAAATGCATTCGAGCATTACACGTTTATCTCTGGCGTTTGTGCCAAAGAGCATGAGATGATAAATTGTTAGTACACGCTTCCTCGGAATGGAGAAGACATCAACTGGATTAGTGGAAATAAATAATTCTAGCCATTACTGCTGAGTTTGGATGATCTCAGAACCTTCTGGTCACTTGGTTGATCCAGTCCAGATAGTAGGACACCTTCACGTATACTCCGGGCACGTTCACTTGCCCGCAGCCAATGCCCCAGGACACTATTCCGGCCAGTTGCCACGATCCTCCCCTCTCGCACACCAGCGGACCGCCTCCATCGCCCTTGCAGGCGTCCTTTCCCTCCTCGCCGCCGGCGCACATGAATCCCGGATGCAGTCTGTAGTTGTACCCGAGGCGTGTATTCCTCAGCTGCTGCTGGCACTGCAACTCGTTGATCACAGGCACATCCACTTCCTTAAGGATGTTCTGGTACTTTCCAAACTCCCCAAATGCGTCCTTGCCCCATCCCGTGGTCCAGCATCGATTCCCAGTGAAGTCCGAGAACCTGTCCGGCAGACAGGCCGGCGAGATGTGTGGCGACTGGGAGAAATCAACGGGAACGTTCATCCTCAGAACGGCGATATCATTGTCCAAAGTACCAGCGTAGTATTCGGGATGCACTTGTACTGCGATTATGTCGCGCTCGATGTAAGGATAGAATTCCACGTCGTGATTCACATCCCACTCGCCAAGGCGGACTCTCAAGTCGAAGCCATTGTATCTGGAGAGGAAAATGACCGGTTAAAATCTCGTTTCGCGAACATTTTAATACATATAAGAAAGTTTGAAAATACTCACGTTTTAACGCAATGCGCCGCCGTAAGAATATGTTGATGATCAATTAGGGTTCCTCCGCAAACGTACACAGACTCCTTAGGGTCCTTCTTCAAGATCGCAACTTGCCAAGGATATTCACCAAACTCACTGTCTCCGTCCACGTAAACAGGATTCTTGATACGTCCATTGACGCCCTGGGCGTTTCTCGCGCCGCACTGACCAAGGGGACCTCTGGCAGGAGCCTGAGGCCTTGCGGGTCTCCTGCAGCACACACTCCTCGGCCCACACTGCTGCAACAGTTGCTGCTGGGGTGGTCGATAGAAGGCTTGTCGCTGAAAAATCAAACACAAAAATATGAGTATTTTTGCAATTGAAGTGAAGATTAGCTTAGGTGCGATGGACATAAGTTCACTCTCAGGCTCTCAGTTCTACCTTTTCCGTGTTAATGGACCTCTCTTCTGTTTCTTTCTCATCAGTCGATCGCCTTCTTCGGCTTGTGGGGAAGGCAACGTTCTTGGATCCTCTAGCGGCGCCGGGAGCTTGAGCGGGAATGGGATGTGTAGGGGTCTGGTAGTTGTAGTTATTGGCATAGCCTGCATCGCGATATTCCCTCGTGTCGGGGGACAGGAAGTTGTTTTGATTCTGAGGGTATATATTTTGATAGTTGTACTGAGAGCTCACGTTCGCGCTGCGACCATCGAAGAGGAAGGGATTGTAGTCGAGATCGGGTCCAGAATCGCGGAAGTAGCCGGGTCCGGACGGCCCGGACGGGAATCCATATCCGCCGGTTGGTCCGTGGTAGGAGGGGTACGAGGGCCGGAAGTTGGGCGGCGGAGAGTCATAGTAGGGGCCAGAATCGTAGTGGTGGTGAGGGTGATGGATCTCATGTGGGCCGGGGTAGTGCGTGTGATGGTGGTAGTGTTGGGAGTGGATTGCCTGCTTGATGCCGTGCTTCTTGGCGTTGAAGAAATGGCCCACTTTGTGTAGGATGTTCTCATTTGGGGTCACGTGCACATTGACCAGGGGCTTGAGCACCTTCTCGCCGTACTCATCCTTGGTGACTTGCAGGGACACGAGCGGATTGACGTTGACCAAACCCAGGTTGAGGCCGTTGGGACTGATGGAGCCAAAGTAGGGATTGGGCGCTGGATAGGGCCCGTAGGGGTTCAGTGGGTAGCCATGGGTTGGATAGGGTAGGCCAAAGGAGACGCCGAAGGTCGGTTCCACCTTCTTCTTCAGCCCATTGGCGCCGTTGAAACCCAAAAGACGCTAAAACAATACAACGCTTCTGTTAAATGTTGCCTAAATGAGCCTTCAAATCTTCCTCATGAATTTTCCTTTTATGAATGATGCGTCAATTTCGGTCAGTCGCGTCAAGGAGGCTAATATTGTTTTAGTGTGCTTTTGGGTTGTCAATCATCCTCTTCCATGGCGCTTTTTTTCCAATTTTATGGTCAGTCATGTAAGTCTGTAATTGATTGTTCTGAAAGGAATTTGGTGGTAAAGTGCATTGCATGTTTTGCTTTGAGAGTGACTTGAGAGGAAGTTACGTCCATCGGTTTGAACCTCTCAATGATTGAGTAAATGCGTAAATGAAGCGGTTTCAGTTAGAAAAAAAATTAAATTAGGTTTTCCTACCGGTTCAATATTGGCTTTGCTGTCTCCTTCAGCCTTCTTTTCCGACACGTCGCGTTTGCTGATCTTCTTGGGTTCCTCTGTGACTGCTTCTTCTTGAGTTGTTGTTGTGTCCTCTTCCTTAATGTCCTCAGCTTTTTTCGGGACCCTAACGACGGTCATTGTGCCATTCCCATCTGTGATGACAGCTTCGTCGCTCAGAGCTTCGATGTCGGAAGCTAGATTCCGAGGATCTAAGGGTAGGATGAGATCATCCCTTCGTCCTACAACTTCATGAGCCGGACACTGATCGAATGGTACGCAAACACAGTCGAAGTTCTCTTGACGAGCTGTATTGTATCCCTGGTAACCCTGATACTGTCCTGCTTGGGAAAGGTATTGTTGGGACTGTGAATAGGCTCCTTGTATTCCAGAATTAAGTCCTCCATTCAATCCCCCATTTAGTCCTCCATTGAGACCTCCATTGAGGCCTCCATTAAGTCCTCCATTTAATCCTCCATTGAACCCTCCTTTGTAGTAATCAGGCGACTGGAAGCCTCCTGATTGACTTCCAGTGAAAGTAGCAGATGACCCATAAACAGAGTTTGAAGCAGATCCAAAAGTTTGAGGTCCTGGATTCTTAAGGTTTTCACTAACTGGACGAATGTCTCCGTAAGATGGGGAGAAGCCTCCATTGATTTGAGAGAATCCGTTGGAGGAGGATGCGCCCAAGTGTGACGATTGAGAGAATTCATTCCCAATGATTGTGTTGCTACTGGGAACTGGGACAGGAACTGGCACCGGAACAGTGATCTTCTCCCCTATTCCACCATCTGCGTGATGGTAGTGATGATGAACATGTTGCTGAACACTTGCATCGCCTGAGTGGGCTGAACCTCCAGGGTTCACCAAAAGAGACGGCTTGTCCTTGCCGAAAGGTGATCCATCCTGAAATGGAAGAAGTCAAACAGATGTTAGATGATGTCAACACTAATAAAGTCAAGGTATTGGCCATAAGTAACTCGAGTAACACACCTGAATGTGTTCGTAGTGAATCTTGTCCCCGCCATAGTGGATCTTCTCTCCATGAAGAGGACTCTCAAATTCGTAGGGTCCAGACGAGTCTCCTCCTTCGTAAATTGGTCCTGGTGGCTTTTGGGAATAAATGAGTTGAGGTGATGTGGCGCCTGGAGGAGGATTCGAGTAGATTGGGCCTGGACCAGTAATGTATGGTCTGCTGGAAGGTCCGTATCCGGGTGGTTTTCCCGGGGCATATCCCACTTTTCTTGGTGGTGGCATGGGCTTAGCCGGTCCATAAGGACCGCCAGGAGGAGGAGGAGGTCCTCTAATTGGTCCAGGCCGTGGTTTATAATGCACAGACGGCTGGGGTCTTCCAACAGGCCGAATTGCCACAGGTTGTGCATAAATGAGATCTTCCGGGTGGAGATAAGGTCTCTTGCCTTCAATATCTTCAAAATCACACTGCATAAGACCCAAGCTGCAGAGTTTATCCTTAATGATATTCCTGGCTTGCACGTCGTCTCCATTTTGGAGAGCCTCCTTAACGCTAGGATCACTATAAACCTCGTCATATCCATCGATATTCCTTCCCTGCCTCGATGAGGAGAGAATCGTGTCCACCAGTTCGTCCACAACTGTATCATTCTCAACATTTGCAGACCTTCGAATGGGCGTCTTTTCTTCACCCATCAGTAATTCCACTTCGTTCTTGGGTGCACTCCAAGTCCATTCCTCAGCCAAGGCTGTGCTCAGAGCTAAACACCCAAATATTGCTATGCAGAGGAGTTTCCTCATTTTGGCGCGCGCTGGAAAAGAGCAAAAAGACATAAAGTTAAACACCTTTTTAAGACACACATGCAGTAACTTTCCGATGTTTGGTGCAAAAGTGAAATTTTCAGCAGTCTTTTTGCATATGATTTCCTCTGGTGGGTGGGAAGAAAGAAACTCTTAAACAAACATGAAGACAACACACACTCCAGAGGAAGAATGGATGAGAAGTGAGAGCGAAATGTGTGAATTTTAATTAGCCCATTCATTGCAAATGGTCTGTGTTTGCAATCATAGTGCAAATTTCGATCATGATTCCAATAGGCACGCTTATAAACTGGTTTTTATGACTAAACGATGATCTAAGAGATGCTCATATTCGGATTACTTTTACTTTCTTTCGGTCACCTTCAAACTTTCTTCATTCAGGATTGAGTCATAGCGCGAGTGCAATTTGTAAATGAAGACAACAAACATCGATTGGGGTAATTTTTTAATATCTTTTGCTAATATCATAATTGGACAAATTTGAATTTCGATTGAATTGTTAGTTGTGCATAAATTTATTATCTGTGCATGAAATTTTTAATCACTTAAATTTGCAAATTTCTCTTTTTCTTATAAAGTTAGAATTATAGAAAAGAAGCAAAGAAATTCTTTTAAAATGTCCTATGTGTTCAATGATACATTTGATGTTTTTTTCCCTTGTTTAGTTGTTTTCTAATATAGAAATTTCAATGCGATTACATTAAATGGATTTTTTAATGGAGTTTCATCAATATATGAAAGCAAATGCTAGATTTTTTTTTACATTTAGACGCTAATTTGATCAATTTTTATGCAACAGATTTTATAATTGAACATCTCAAAGTAGGTGAAATAGGTAAAAATGTTCGAAAGTCACGATTTGAGACTGTATTTCTGCAAATAATTTAACACTGTATGGATCACTTTATCTTGTCTTTTTGGGCAAGTTTTTTTGGCGCCACTGAATAAACATGAAATTCTCACTTTCTTTCATTTCACTTTCGGTTGAAGAAATGGCGGAAATTCATTGTGGCGACAATGAGAAAAGTGATCTTCGGGACAATTATTGCTTCCTTTCACTTGTGAGGTGAAGTGTTAAGGCATCTTCCGCTGCACATATGGATCTTCTTCGAGAGAAGAGAGAGATCGAAATAATGGGAGAAAGTGTATCGAAAATTGGGTGTAACAGTCCAGAACGTATAACCCACCTTCAATCCCTAAGAATGCTTCTGTCGATGACGCTCCTGAAGCCACACACAATTTCACTTTGTCACGCCCGAAACACAAAGACGGTCTCAGTCCAGTTCACGATCACTGTAATCCGTTCGAGTCTCAAAACTTGAGACAACTAAAGCGAAATTTCACTCGCCGGTCGAATTTATACAGAATCCCACCAACTTTTCTCCTCCGGAGTCACTCTTCTTGGCTCTTTTGTGGACGAATCACCAAACACTTTCCCTTGTTCCGCGACGGACGTGCGCTGCCGAAAGTCGATGGCACGGCAATTGAGCGCATTCTGTTGATCACATCATCGCGCCTGATTTATATAAATGCCCCATGAAATCCCTTCCAACGATTCGCGCGCTTTTTCTAAGACCGCGTGTCTAGGAATCGAGAGGGTTTTCCCGGATCTCGTGGTGGGCAAAATACGTTATGCAAGTGCCACTAAAAGGCGTTGAACTGAAGAATAGGACTGAGTGTGATTTTTAATTCACTCTGGGGCACCCCAGAATTGCACAATTGTTGAGCAAATATGTTAGTCACTTTTTTCTGTCTCGACCGGCCGAATTCGAAGAAAGCTCTCAAGACATACAACATCTCTAAGAACATCATCAACTGAAAGTGCATTGCACTCTACTCTGGACTCGATACATCATAAGTTGAAGAGAGAATTAACATTGTATCTCTCCGGAATCCGTTGGTCGTTCGTGTCTCTCAATTGTCTTATGCTTGGTCTTATGTAAGATTATTTGGCTGCTCAGTGGAAACCGTGTCTTAATGCATTGCGAGGTGGTGTTGAAAAAGGGATTCCCGAAGGTTTTTTTTTGTAACTCTGCACTTACCACAACATCCACTCTTGATTGTCTGCAATTCAGTCGATGCAGTAACGAAAGTAAAATTCTCCAGGGCTGAAATTGGTGCTTAGTTTCTTCACTTTTACTTTCAACAGGTCATTGAGCTATGTGTGAAATTCTAATAGTAGCACTTTTATAGATTAGATCGATTCAGCATTAGAAAATCTATAAAAAGCCAATGAAGTACGAAAAATAGAAGCTGATGAGAATCACCAACTTCTGAATAATTGAACAAAATTAATAATCAGAAACGGAGAAAAATTGGTGAAAACACAAAAATCATAGCCTTAAAATTTCCGAGAACAAAATAAGTCTTGAATTTAGATGATTATAACTTCTCCTAAGTTCGACTCTTTTTCCATATAAGTCTTCAATAATAATAATGATGTCTGAGATTGTGCTTGTGACTATTCAATTGGGAATTATTTACATTCGCGAACGCCAAACGCCGCATGAGTTCCATGACCCAGATTGTTTTGGATTTTCCGAAGGAGTCTTTTCGCTGCATCGGTGCATCGTAATTGATCGATTCAGTAAGATTTCCACGTATTTCCCCTGCAGGAAGGGTTGTTAATGGCACGAGACGCCACAATTTCACTTTCGTTGGAGTACCGACGATTGCCAACAAATTATGCAAGCTCTCGTGAGTTTGTGAACATGACGGACAACATAAAAAGTCATCCACACGCGTTTTGTTGATATTCGTATTTGAATCCGTGTGTCTTTTTTCACTTTTTCTCTCGATGAGTCATTTTTCTGGTCTCTGGATTGTGTTGTGCGCTTGTAACTGTTTTCTTTTACAAAGCTGATGGATTATGCTGAGAGAGAAATGAGTTCTGGACATCTTATGATCACCGGGCGGCAGCATAATCCAGTTCCGGCTCCGGGAGAAAGTTCAGTCCAATAAAAGTGGCTTTTTCTGCGCTCTGGTGATTTTGCACGATTTAATGATCATATTTCAATTATCTGACGTCACTGTTATTGCGGTCGTTTTTTTTTTAGAATAAAAAACACAAAAGTATTTTTAAAAGCTGATGAAGAATTTATTATTGCAATTTATCACTCTATTTTGGACTTTTAAACTGCTGGTTTGGAGGATCAATCTTCAGCAACTTCCGTCTCTTCGATTGCGAGGGTGTTCGTCAAGCCAAGACTGTTGGATTCAAAGCGACTGTTAGTCGCCTAGTAGGCGTAGACGGTGTGAGCGTACGGGTACCCCACCTGTTGTCGGGGAAAGAAGTACACCAGATCAACACTCAAGTTTCAAACTCTAACCACTGCTGGTGGACTTACGCTGTACGCGCTGTACGTGAGCGGAAGTGGAGCTGCGTAGGTGAGCACTGGAGCCACAGCGGCGACGTGAGTGGCGTGTGCGGTGCTGGCAGGAGCCTCAGGAGCCGGAGCGACCCTAGCGACGAGCGCAGGGCCCGAGACGACAGCAGGAGCAGCACTCACGTAGGCCAGAATGGCGAGAACAACAGCCTGGAATAATTCGACATGACTCCTGATCTCACTACAAAATCCGGGGGAATATTTACGAGTTTCAGCATGTTTGCCGAGAGATTTGCAGAAGCACACACTACGGAATTGGATGATACTTTGATCGGTGGTGCGGTCAGGCAAGGACTTTTATAAGGCCTGGAGCCCGCCTATTGTGTGCGATGCTACATGTCCATGTTTGCTCGCTCCAGAACTCAATACAAGTACATGTGATCTCATTTGTGGTAATTCTTGTCCAGATCCAGTGATGATTCTATTTGTCTCTTTTGCCTCCTCGCATCCTATTGGAGATCGCGGAAGACTGTTGCCAATTGCACGCAGATGATAAAATACTTGAATCTTGAAGTGTTGTCATCTCTTTTTCTTCAGTGGCGAGTATGCAAATTGAAAGAATGCTCGTGGGGGAATTAAAGATAAAGACGAGAAATGTTCTAGATGAGAACAAACAAAGAAGTAGACTAAAACAATAGGATCACCCCAGCGAAGCTAAATTGGAATGCTGTTAAAGACACATTTTTCACATCAAAACTTCTTAATGTGATCAGTCGAAAAAAACTATTTCTTATTCTGCGAGCGTTCATCGATTCAGCCAGAAAATAGATATAAGCAACTAACATTCGAAATAAGAAAAAAATACGTGAAATCTATCCACAACTCTCACAAACATTTGTCTGTCCGCAAAATCCCAACATCGCATCAGTTAAGACATTGCGAGTGCTTACCTGCACTTTTTACTATATTGTAAACCATTTTACTCATTATATTATTCCTAATAAGCGAAAATTTGTAATGTTGGTGAAAATACAGCGAAAAATAATTTGCTTAACACCTCTGCTGATTGATGTCTGTTTATTTTCATTAAAATATGATAATATTTCTCCTCCTCCAACTCAAGTCTGAGTATTAATTACACAATTATGCGTGCAATTTATCACCATTAACTCACATATAAATTGACTCTTCAAAAACATTAACAATGCATAAGATCATAAGTTGCTAATTGCTGTGATCTTACTTAATTTCTTCAGCTGGGTCACATTGCTGGTTTTGATTATGGAAATTGCGATGAGAGAATTTTAATTTATTTATGTTGCAATCTTGTGCGAATTTTCACTTTGGACAGAGATGAAGACGCCACGAAGTTTTTTTTTCGCACATTGCAGAAATAAAAGATAAAAGACTGGCTTTTAAAAAGCTTCCGAGACCTGAGAATAGTCATCAATGAATATTCAAGAAGTTGAAGATAATTTAAGGCAATTAGTCACATATTCTGATTCCACAATCGTGGGTGAAAGACAGCTTTGTCTATCAAATTCCCACTCTTGTTGGGCTTTCTGCTAATTTTAACGTTCTCTTTCTCACCTTTAATGATGTGCCGAAGAGAGCAGTTAAACCAGAGTAAATTTCACTTTCAACGATGCGCAGATTTCATTGAGTTCTGCTTGTTTTGCTAGTTCCGGCAATTTAGGTCATTAGAAGGTAGATTTTAACATGTCACAATTTCAGATACACAATGCTCTAGTGGGTGATGAAAATTCCTACCCACAATCAATCTCCCAAGAATTCTGAGTATGAATATTTGATTAGCTTTTTATCGCTTGGATAAAAAAAGCCAAGCTCAAATGCTAAAGTCTTTGTGAAACTCTGCAAATTAACTTGTTGAAGTCAAGCAACACTTGTTCTCTATGCTGTGATATACGATCTCCAGAAGTGGATATCATTTATTGTCCCAGGGGCAAAAAGAGCGCACAAGTGCGAATTAGGATGATGTAAAATACCAAAACTCAACAAACGAGAATTGACAGTTGAATTGGAAACTTGTAGTTGCTCTTCAGGCATTCCTTGGGCGTCTGGACAGCGATGGTGAAGTGCCTTCTTGCTTGTAATTCAAGAATCTCGTCACGCGACGACCTTGGCGGCAACATATACCTTTTCTCGAGTGGATTAGTTTTCAGGTCGCCACAGACTCCGCAACCAACACATCCGCCAGCATGGCTTAAGCTTAATTGCGCGAATAGATCAGCAATTAAATTCATCCACTCACTCGCAGAGATTTATCAGCCAGAGGATGGAACGATTGAAGTGGATTTTGTGCAGAATCGCAAGAGAGTCACTTAATCATAGCCACTGATTTCTAAATCAGCTTCTTGAGATAATGATTAAATACACACACTTATGCTAATTTCCATTCTTAAGTAGTCGACACACCTTTTCTCCTTCCACTGTATTTGTATCACTTCAGTTCTGCCTCTAACATTTACATAGGCGACTTATGAGGTCGCAACGTCACATGTTATGTATGCTGCATATATGAATCGAATTAGTTTATAATCAATTAGTTTTTTTCCTCTACAAACATTTCGTTAACAAGCACTAAAGTGCTGATAAAAATAGCTGGGAATTTGCTGTGTTTCAAAAACTCACTCATACTTTAATGAGCGTGACAAAGGTCAATAAATCATGAGGCTGGTCGCGATTCAATCGTCTCGCATATCGACTTAATTAGCCATCTTCGTTGCATCAATCTTCACAGCGAGTCTCTCAACTCTGATCGATGGACGAAACTTGCAAATGACCCGCGAACAACAGTGGCAATTGCTATAAATCAGGTATACAAGAGAGGAGCTGTGAAAAATGTCTTTGACAACATTTGCATAACATTGGCCACATTGAAGAAATCATGCCTGCAGTTTGCGAATGCCATTGTGGATGGCGGAAAAAAATGTATATCAACCTTGTATTCAAATTAATTTTTCGTATGTGACACCAGAAAGTGGATCAATTGCAAAATTCATCTACTCTGCGCGCACTTTGGTCTGCAGGGCAACAAAAGAGGTAAAAACCATCGCGAAATCTTATTCCAATGACAGTCCTCCACGCATTCGTCTCGAACTTGATCTTTTCTTGCTTCTTTTGCCGTCATCGGCAGCACTGAGACAAAGATCTATTGGCTTAGGCGTATTAAGAGCCTTAGTTAGAGAATGAGCCAATTGATCTGCTATTTTGTCAGTTTTTTCAATGATAAAATAAAATGTTATGAACGGTGACATTACTCTTGCGATCCATCCTTTGTCAAGCTTAGAAATACCTCAACAAAACGTGAATGGAATATAATGTTTTTACGTATTAATCTGGATTCTAACAGGACTCTGAAATTTATACTCATTTCGAATTAACTATTTTTTGATTATTTCATCTTGAAAGGCTGCCAAATGAGAGTTTTCCTCAGGTATTCTTTGCTTTCCATATGATTACGAACTCAGTGCTTCTGACTGAGGTGATTCACAATGAAATTGCATTATACTTGTGAAATGTCACATTATAATTTCTGCATACGAAAATGACTGCAAAATTTCTCTTTCTTTCTGTTGGTCTGTTGGTCAAGGAATTTGAATTTTCACGCAACATTATCGCTTGTTTTGCTGTGTCTTTTGCGGGCTTCTTGCATGGATCGATGTTGTTTCGGCTGATTGAGTTTGAGGTTTTGGGTCAAGTTCCTCGTGATTGAGTGAAAAGAGTGTTTTTTCTATTGGTCGTTCAATAATTTATTGTGCACCATCGTCTAATCTTTCACCCTCTGGGCTGTGGATTTCGTTCGGGGAGGCGTGAACAATAGCGTGGTGGATGAACGGCGTCATCAGTCGATGGGGTGTTTGGGGTCCATCGGGAGGGGAATTACCATCCGTAGCGGAGGTAGGGGGCGGCGTAGGTGTGGGCGTAGGGAGCGGTGTAACCGTGGGCAGCGTAGGCGTAGGCGTGGGGCTCGTAGTGGTGAGCGTAGCCGATGGGAGCGGTGTAGGTCTTGAGCACGGGGGTGTCCTCGTGGTAGGTCTTCACGATGGGGGAGCCCTCGACGATGGTCTTCTCGTATCCGTGGGCGAGCACGGGGCGGACGTAGTGCTCCTTGTTGTGGACGATGGTGGAGCTCTGGTGGGACACGGCAGTGGGGATGCTCTCGACCACATCGGCGACCTTCTTCACCACTGGGGTGTCGACAACGTGCACCTGGGGCTCAACCTCGACGTACGTGCGGCGCTCAAGCTCGGGCTTCACCACGGTGGCGTGCAGAGGCTCGGCGTAGTGGACGGCCTTGGTGAGGATGGGGGCAGCATAGTGGGACACTCCGGATGGGGCAGCGACGGCAACAGCCAGGATAGCAGACAACACCACCTAGAAGGATCACAGAGATACACGGTTAGTCCTTTGCACTGAAATCCATCGCACTGTTGTCCACGGAAAACTCACCAATTTGAACATTTTGGCTAGTTTTGAGATGTTTTTAAGAGGTCTGTGCTGAATTTCTATCTTTGAGGCTGAACTCAACTGTTTGACTGATGACTCTGCCACAATTGCCGCGCGCTTTTATACCCGAAAATTTTCGTCCAAGACGTTGTCACGTCTTTCTCTCCCCGCCCTCCCACCGCAGCCCACCGGCAGTCGCCGAAAAAAGTGACGTGGAAAAGAAGGTGCACACGAAGAACCGGAGCAACAACGCAAAAGTCTCTCGCATGTGACCATGAAAAGCTTCGAGAGCCACATGGAATTTCCTCGACTCTTTCACCTCTGGCTCTTGTGCAGAGTATGTTGAGAATTCGCCAATTAATCCCTCGACGCGACCTCAGCTACCAGATGAAGTCTCAACACGTTCTTGAGATAACTCCAGCCAAATCTCACATCGATTGCCATCAATCATAGACACACATTTACATCATCAGCTTCCTGGGGCCGCACCATCAAAATTTGTCTCTCTGCAAACGCCATCGAGCAAAAACGACTGGGAGGTTGCGAATTCTCACAAAGCCAGTGACATTTTAAAAAGGTACAGGAAAAAAGCGACGCCACGGTCTTTCGTGGCTCAATTTGACTCATAACGTCTGGAAAATGCACATGAGCTTACTGGATTTAATCAACTTTCGCACCTTTGAAAGAATGGCAGAAGCACATTGTTGCTCTGCTTAAAATTTGACAATTTCCCACATATATTTGATGGTTTAATTGCAGCTTGGGAATGAGAGTTGAATCTACTACAAGTGGACAAGGAATGTATTGGATGGGTTTTTTTTATCATAAAGTCACTTAAGACTCGGCCTGGTCGGTTATTCTAATCAACAAAATATATGTAACCAGTGTTTATTTCTTTAATTAACACTATAAGGGTCAAATTTATTCATAATTACTGAATGTCCTGCTTTATGATTGAAACAAAAGTAAGAGAATGGCTGACGACATAGCATAAATCCTTGCAATACAATCATCATTCCTCAGTTAGCAATCAATCACAATCGTTTAGAGAAGTTCACTGTCTGTTTCGTTGGAAATCTAAGTCGGTCAAGTGAATTTTTCTAACAGCAGGCAATTTTATTGCAAGTTCATGATCAAGTTTTCTCGCCCTAAACTTAGGAAATACTGCACGATGTTATTGGCTGAGTTCCTGAGCATGCGTTTAGGCAAACTCTTTTTTTATATTTCTGTGTGTGATTAAATTTGATGGCTCTTCGAGGACGCACGAATTTGTCCACATACCATAAATTAATTTGCTTAAATTGGAGTGCAAATTCGCGGCTTTTTTGTCACTTTCTCACATCTTGTGAAATATTTATATAAAATTCCTCATCGAACTGATCTTCACGTGCTTTGTGTTGCAATTGCTCATATAATATTGTTATGTATTGGCGAGGATGGAGGAAATTGCCTCTATCAAGGTGCGCGATCGTTGATCTGCGCGATCTCAGCATTCGCGCATACTTGACTTACGCTCTTTCATCTGACCTCATATGGAGATCAATTGGGTGAGATTAGGAAAAAAACATTAGCTAACGCAGAATTTCAAGATCACCGTTTTCACACACATTGCGATGTGGCAACAGAGCGTAAAAACGGTGTCTGGTCGATCTCTTTGCCGGTCAAATGAGAGTGAAAATGATCGTCTTCGACTCGCGTGTTGATCATTTACGTCACAGACGCCATCAGACGGTAAAATATTTTACAGAAAACAATAGTGAAAAAAAGTTATTGCTAAAAATACACAAAGAACGGTTTCCGCTGTCAATCTTGCCATTCAGGTTTTTGCACCTTAAAGACTGTTCCAACAAAACAAGCAGTGGGAATGATCAATGTGATCACGGAACCATTCGATCGCAGAATTGCTATCATTAAAGATATTAAGGCATTTTTTCAATTAAGAAATAAAAAACCACAGATTTTTTCCACTGATCTTGCCTGTTCGACCCAAATTATCTCTGCCAAGTACTTCATTTCATTAAGTGTATTTCCAGTTCGATCGGTATATTGTGATCGTGATTTTCTTGTATCGCCACGCCAACACGGTCTTCCGCGTGTTTATTGTCCGAACACGTAATCAACTAAAGACATGCTTATCGAAGTGAGTGATCGACCTTGAAAAATATTTCAAACGGAACTAATCTTAGTCATTTTCCCACAATACAAACAATTTAAATTAATTTAAACAACAGAAAACTACACAAAAATTCACATTAGTCAGTAATCTATCACCGAATTTATGTTTCTAATGTGCTAAAAAGTTAATTATTAGTGATTTTATTGCCCATTCCAACAGATTATATGGCCTTATTCATGTGATAGATGAAGAAGTAACGATCGTCGATCACTCGAGACGGTCACACTTTTGCCTACTCAATGGCGTTTTCTTTCAAATTGTCGCGCACGTTGATGAGGAGCAAAAAGACATTGTCACTGTTAATTCCACTCACCGTTTTACTCGACCGCACACTGGTTCATGACGTAAATGCCGTCGTTGGCCACACACCCACCAAATCAACGCTCACACTTAAAGGTCAATAAATTGCCGTGCGATCTCTCGAGTGATGACGGTTTTATTGCCTTTCGTGAGATGAACTTCAGCCCGGAATACCTTCGAAACTTATGCTCTCAGCTGTTCACCGAAGATCACAGATATTGCTACTGATTTTTATGTTGCTCTTATCAGAAGCGAATCGGTGAAATAACAACTAAGGCCATATACAAATTTTTGATATTTCTGAAATATTTTTAGGCATTTCGGATCATTTTCATTTATAACGGAAATTATAAAAATTATAAATGTTTAAGAATATTATTGAAATAGGTATATATTTTACGTGAGCAAATTTCCCTTACTGAAGTTTGCAATTCTGTATCTAAAGCTAAGAGACTCCAACAGTAAATACTAATATTCTAAACTGTCGTAAAGTTCTTCTAAGCGTGAATGATTAGATTGTCAGAAATGCATTTTCGACCCTTGTTAATAGAAGCGACGAAATATGCAGCAAAGACTGGCCTGGTTTATTTTAGAGACGTAAGATAAATTAAAATAAGACCGATAAATAAAATGAACAATTTATGTGGATTAAAGGTGATCCACTATAGTGATCTAATGCATTGAATAAGGTAATGAAATATTTATAATCCTATTAACAAGTAATTTCTCTTAATCGCACCGCTTAAAAAATTACCATTATCTTGGGAAAAGAAACAGCAAGAGATCTTTTGTTTAACTGTAACAAGGCCTCGTGAATTAACTCGTAATTGTCCACGCGTTGTCCCTTGAGATTCGAGCATTATGTCGCAACGGCAATAAAGCTTAAGAAACTTATTAATATTCTGAGGATTAGATGATATATGAAGTTCGTGGGATTAAAGTGTTAAAGAGACATTTATAAAGTGTAGTTTGGTGAAGAAAAAACTACCCGAGATTAATGGCATTTTAAGTGGATGTGATTTGAAAAAGCACTTGACTGAGCTTGAAAGTGTGAAGAGCGCACCATTGAAATTTGACATGGTGGAATTGGTGTAGTCGAAACTGGTGCAGGCCATTTAGAGAATTCCATGGAAATGCACGTCGGATGAAAAGTCTCGGCGAGTGATAAAAATCCCCATTTCAATTCTACTTCGCAGCCCGAGAGCGTCTCTGAGTGACCCACATACCATTTTCGAATGAGAAAATTAAAAGCAAAAGTGTCCGATGTGGGGAAAGACATGCGAATGGCGGTTGTGTGCAATTTTAATTGCCACTCTTTTGCACTCTCTGGCTAAGGGAGAACATATAATCTAGAATAATTGTAACGCATTTGCCAGAGAGCGAATCAATAACAACAACACAAAAAACAGTCAATTGAGAAGAACTTCTTGTGATGAAATCCATCATCGAGTTTCTCTGAATTGGCTACAAAACGGGCATTTAAAAATTGCACAACAAACTGTTAGCATAAGTTAAGCGCAATGCTGGAAGGCATGGGATTTGAGAAATTATGAATATGAGTTTTGTTATACTTAAGGAAAAATGTTAACAGCAAAGGTGAAAATGCAAGGATAGATTTATGTGCAAAATACCAATATTCTGCTCTTTTGCGCTGACAGTAAAAATGAAAGAATTTGTGTCACGATCAACTAACAAGCTCGAGAAGTTTTTAGAAGCTTCCAAACATTCCTAGAGACGATGAAGAAGTGTTGAAATTCCCACTTGCATGCCCGCGGTAATGAGATTGGTGTGAGATTAGTAATGAAAATAATTACTGTGATGAATACCTTTACAAGGTTGTGCAGACGGTGAGACAAAGAGGCGCGAGGAGGTCAATTGTGTGGAGCTTTTGTGGTTTCCTCGATAGATTGACATAAACATTGAATGAGAATAGACTTGACACCTGAGCAAGCAATTTCCTTCCCAGTTGTCTCAACAAAGAAACCCTCCCAGTAATCATGGGAAAAGACGAAGCATAAACTTGAACATATAAGGCTTTTTCTTCATACTTTTACTGTCTCGCTTCGGATGCTTAGCGAGGTGAGAAGCATTGCGTGAGGTGTGATCCTCACGGTAGCAGAGTATCAATAACAGCAAAAAAAGTGCTAGTAAAAGGTGATTATGTCAGCTGAGCTCACTAAAGCTGAGATTTTAATCTGCGCGAATGAAAATGAGACTTCATAATGTGTCAAAATTATCTTTATAATCAAGAGGTGTCGACTTTAGCTCATGAAGGAAAGCAAAGAGGATCGCATTAAATCGCTTACTCTCGATTTAACGAGTAAACCCGAGGAGAAGAGTAAATTGTTACATGTATTTACAACTATGTTACAATTATAATTATTATGGAGCACTGGTAAGAGCATTTTATATAGTAGGTAAATAAGTGTTATTTTCGCATTGGAAAAACCACAATAACGCCAGCATTGCCTGTCCCTAGGCCATAGCATTATCTCATTAAATTTGCTTAACAAAATCTATTGATTCTTCTAAACGTTGTGTCGGAGAACAGATCTTGAGAGGCGTGGCAACATAAGAAGTAGAGTGTTAATTGCGTCTCATGCTGCGATGTAGTCTTACCCGGATCCCAATTATTCATCATCTTTGACACGATACAGACACCAATATAATCTTCCATGTCAAGCAGGTGAGCTTTCATGCAAACACCTTCGAGGTGCAGCATTGCGTGAATTTGAGAACTTGATAACTTGTAAATCACCGGGGAAAATTTATAGTCGTGCATTTAGCAATTCAAGAACAATTTGGAAGTCTTTGAGATTCAATAGCAAGTGAAAAATAGTAAAAACAATTGTCTGAATGTTTGGATGTTGAATATCGCGCAACATTCGCGTTTATCTGAAACATGTGTGTGACTTATGCACGCCTTCGAAGGTATTTTCACCCATTTTCCTGCCTCGCGACGGCTGAAGTGGAGGCAGTGAGAAAACAAGATCGAGAAACACGTCGGAATTATGTAACTTTGATATGTAACTCTCAAATAAGAACTGTGCCGACGTTTAGAGACATATTTTTATGGAATCTCTGGGGCATTGCGAAAGAACTGCACACACACGCTCTTGGAAATGCATGTGCAGCCAATGTTGAATGGGTGGCGGGAAGAAAAAACCATAACTTTCTTGCAAGAGAACCGATTTTATTTTTTTATATTTCTTTTTGTCTTCTCTGGGTAAAACATTCATTCTAATATTGTACGATGGATCATATTTCAGTCCATTGCTATGTAGACTCTCTCTTAAAACTCCCTTTGTAGTTTTTGTCTGGTTTCATTACAAAAAATGGCAATATTTACAACGATTTCATTTACGCGATATTCACGTCGTTGTGAAGAGAACCTAGGGTCTCTCAGGCCCTCGGGCCTCACCCGTTGCTGGATGGTTAGTATGAACAAAAAATGAGCGTTTTCACAATATTACAAAATAAATTATGATATCTCAAGAGGTTCTGTGCTGTTGTTGGTGTGCGCCTCCAGTCCATGAGCTATTTAGTGGTAGTAGCCGTGGGCGACGGCCAGGGGAGCAGCGTGGGCAGCATAGGTCACAGCTGGGGCGTGGTAGGCTGCAAGTTGAAGGGATTTGAGTCATGAGAAGTGATCTGCAAGAAAGTCACATAAGCGCAACTTACCCGCGCTGTAAACTGGGGCATGAGCCACGGCGACAGCGGGAGCGTGATGGGCGACGACAGCAGGGGCAGCGTAGGCGACTGGAGCCTTAACAGAAACCTAAAAGGTTAGGACACACCACATTTATCATGCAATTCGCTTTTGAGAATGGAAAAGAGTGACGAAGGAGATGAATTGAGCCGAATTAAGCGAATCAGATGTAAGAAGAGGCCGTCGAGAGCGACAGCAGAGTTCGAATCCTACCTTATAGGTGTTGGCGTAGGACGTGGCAAGAGGGACGGCAGCCTTGACGGCAACTGGGGCATGGTAGGCGACTGGGGCGGCCACGGTCTTGACAACAGGGGCGGCATAGGCAACAGGGGCGGCGGCGACGGTCTTCACAACGGGAGCGTGGTAAGCGAGAGGAGAGTGGTAGGCGGCAACGGCAGGGGCGGCATGGTAGGCACCGAGATGGCTACCGTAGGCAGTTCCGTAGTGAGCTCCATAGTGAGCTCCGTAAGCATAAGGAGCGGCGTAAGATGCGGCGTATGGGTATCCAGCGTATCCGGCGTATCCGGCCGAAGCGGCGGCGACGAGGAGAGACAGAGCCAAGACCTATTGTTGAAATGAAAGAGGTCACATTTCACTGAATCACAGTATTCCTTCTGCAACACAGGAATCACATGGAAAAAATATGTTTTCACTCACCAACTTGAACATATTGACTTTGTGTTTTTGTTAAAGTTAGGGAGATAAAATGAAAATGCGAAGCTTTCGATGTGCTTTTCCTAAATCACACTGTTCGAATGAAGCAGCATGAATCGATCGTGGGATATTTATACGAATGCACAATGGATATTCCGAGGGGGTCAAATGGGGGGCCACAGAGATCCCTTCCCACCAGCACAGCGCCGGAGCGGGAGTTGGCCATTAGAAAAGCGACCTCGCGAGTGCTGTGAAAATGTGTATAAGCCAAATTGCTCAGCCAGTGCTGCAATTTTCCTCTCCTGCACAGATTTTCCCTCTCCGCGTGGTGAAAAAGAAATTGTTGAAATCCTCCAAGTTGATCAGTAAAATGCCTCTTTTGCATATATATGGTCATCTGAGTTGTCTATCGCTGTCTGCTCAAATTCCTTCACCTTGCCGAACATTTCTCTTGGGGGACATGCGACTTCACATTGCTTATTCATGCCAATCGCACTTGAGTCACGTCTGAGCGTTTCATTCCTCCGTGGAAAACTGTAGCACGCAAGGTAGGTACACTGAGGATTTCTACTTGAAATCCGTGAAGACAATTTAAAGTATTTATGGGTTCAATCATAAGTAGTCTTCATTCTGAATCTATTTCTTCAATTAGTTAATGCGAATCATATTAATTCCAGCATGGCTGCATTTTTTATGATACATAAATTATGAGTTTGATTTAGATCAAGAAAGTCAACTCTATCTTCCGGATTGTGTAAAAAGTTGCTCAATTCGAAGCCCGCATAGTTTTGACGTTGCACTGCCCACGGATGTTTGTACGAGACGCAGAGCGGAGCTGTGCCTTGGCGTCTCTTCGCATTTATATCATAGTGTCGCAAACGTAACACTGGTCACTCGTTTATAGGTATATCAATGAACCACTTTGAGGATGAAGGCGATGATGCAAACGCCTCATTATTAAATCAGAGCCACCATTTTCACAATATCTTATCACACACATTTTACATATTATATCTTTTCCTCCAAAATTCGGATGAAGTCTCTATTCGCGTTGCCATGCGTATTTTTTCGTGAACAAGCGTCTGAAGGTGAATTTTTTGTAACGCATAATTAATTGTGATTGTGACTTCCTGACATTCCGTGAGAAGACCATTCACCGAAAATAACATATCATCTTATCAGGAAATTGAATTATTGCAAAATCGCGACGCTGAACTTCACGGTGGCCCGAACGAAAATTATTAATTTACCTCACTTTACGATTTATTTGGAGGACGGAGTTTATGAGAGACACACTGCGATAGAATTGCACAATTTGTTTACCTGGATTTACTTGCTCTCTTTTCCATTTGCTGCATTTTGCACAATTCAATATCACACTTGAGACAGCGGATTTTGATCCGAAATGATACATTATGGGCAGTGTGTATCACGAGATGATAAATTTTATGCCTCGCAGCAGTTTTTGGTGAGGGGATTTATGCACTGTGAGAGAAACCATGTGACAATATCGGTGGCTCATAGAGAAATCATAGCTTCTGTAAGCCAAGGTGGTTTTATTAGGCCTTCTTGACAATTTTTCTTCAGCCATAATTACTCGACATACGCTGACTTTTTGTCGTTTGGATTTGCAAATAGAAACTTAATATTTATAAATTGCTCCGAGACATTATTTCTTAATAGACACTAATTAATTTCATTAATAAGATACGTGACTTGGTAAATTACATACCAGTCTGTCTCCTCATGGGCTTTTCATTCTTTTCCCCCTTTGCATGGAAATGCAATTCAAAAGACGAGTAAAATTGGTCAGGAAAATGTCCGCGTGCAGAAAACTCAGCCAAACTGTTATTTATTCATTCATGCCGCAAAACCACGTGCGTTCGTCGTGGAATATTCATATCCGTCGACGCGCAGCAACAATGAGCAAAACGTCTCTATTGTGTCTTGCATAATAAGCATCGCCATCCTTTTCACTCAACTAATTTCAAGTTGCATTTGATGAAATGCACACAATTTGTCTAGTGGTAATATTTTAAAATTCACCACGAATAAATTTTCCCACTATGCATTCAATTAAGCGTCTCCATAAAACTGAGAGCGTTGGTTTTTCTTGCCCGACATTAACATTTAAATTTGACTAAATTGCTGGCAGAACATTTAAAAAAGCCGATGGTGAGATTAATTGCATTTGCCAGTGTTGTTGCATTAAATATCAAAGCTACTGCACTAGATTGAGACTGAATATCGCCCACCTTTTACCAGTCCTCGTGACGAATTTACAGGCACGTCACTGTGAACCAGATAGCAACATTTCACTCTAATTAGGTGATAGAGCATAAATATGACTAGTCCAATAAATTTTGGTGGTGCCGAGAAACAAGACTGTACTGAGAGAAATACACTAAGTCTGCACTGTTCTAGAGAAAGTCTGGAACATTTTCAAAGACATGATCCTGATATTTGAGAAACTCGAAAGAAATTCGCAGTTATTTGTTATTTTAGTTGTCCAATTGTATTTTGCGACGCTAATTAATTTGTGAACATCTCTATTTTCTTAGTATCGCCCAATGATGCCAATTAGCCACTAAATTATGCAGAATTTCAGTGATTTTAGCGAAAGACTTCAATGCCTTGAGCGACGAACCTGAAGTCCAACCGTTTTATGACCAATTTCTTAATCGAATTTTCATCTCATTTGAATGCAACAGCGCATAATTCTCCATTCGCTAAATGTGTCATTGTGCAGTAGCGCCAGTTGTATCGTAAATTCGCAAAACCTTATCCTAAATGGCTGAAAGAGACCCCGAAAGAGCGTTTAATTGCTGGAAAAAGCCAAACAACCCCAGGCGAGGCGCAATAAATCGATAGGAGGTAAAAGGCTACCTGAGTTATGATGCATTAGAGCGAGAATTGTTTGTGGAATTCAACTGATTATCCCGAGGAAAATTACGCGTTATCGTGTATCAGAGCGCTGGACAACACATGGAGAAATAGGGGCACGCGAGATAGAGACAATTCAGAGTCACAAGACGGGCGTGCGATAGTCATCGAGAGACATTCTTGGACATGAAGCTGCTGGCAAAGAGTTGCAGCACATGTTGAGATTGCATAATGTGCATAAAATAGTCAGAAAATTGATCTCAGCGCGATTTATTAATAACTCCTGAGTGATATTCACATTTGGCTGATATTTACGCTCCTCAGTTTCAATTGCCCATTGAGACAGGGTTACAAATCAATAAATAATGCATCTCAGAGTATTTTGTCTTGTTCGAGTGACGCTAGAGTGGGGAACATGTTGAGGTCTAATGGCAAACCAGACGTGAAATCATTAATAAAATCCGTGCGCCTTATCCCGATGTGCTTTGAGCCACATAAATTAAACCTGTTGCGCACTTTGCCCTGGACAGAATGTATTTTGTCATCTGCAAAAGCATCTCCACACTTCATCGCTGGGTTTTGCAACGGTTCGTCTCGTGTGCCATCCCGAAAGGCGTCTTGAGACTTTGCCCTTTTCCCGCGTGCGAACCCACATTACAAAACCCGCGCCGAGTTCACACTTTGAGAGATTTTCCGTGGGTGTGGCTCGCAGTGTCCAAAGTGCAGCGTGAAAGATCAAATCAACGTCACTCTGCAGCTCGAATATTTTTCTGAATTGATTTCAATTTGTGTGGCGACTTTTTCATTAATACAATATAAATTCAATGACTCTATGTTGCAACACCTCGCGCATATGCATTAATATGAAAATCAACTGATTACAGTAACAGCGCGAGAAGTGGAGATGTGACCTTTTTCGCCTTCGTGTTGATTTTTTCCGATGCGGCAGAGCAATTTTAGGACTTGACTCACAGTTGTATGGGAAAAAGTGGCCATGCTGTGGTAATTTCGAGAAAAGCACCAATTTATTCAGACACTTCGGAAAGGTTGCATTTTGTGCAATGGAAATATGCTCACTGTGTGATATGAACTTGAGATAAATTCACGTGCATTCTGACACGCTTTTTCTACTACCGAAATATTACGCTATGGGGAAAAAACATTGATCATGAATCATAGATTGTAGTTTATGATATAGAACACATTGAGCGATTTGAGTAGACAATTTCAAGACAATATATCTTCGAAAGCTCCATATACTGTTATATGCCAGTAAAGTGTTTGTCCTTGAATATTAACTTTTTACAACAGCATCTTAAAAAATTGAATAAAAAAAATTTTACAGTAATTTACATTTCTAAATTTTTCACTTACTTTCTTGAATATCTCGAATGACTTATAATAATATATTTTGAAAGTCTTATGACACTTTTATACGAACTCTCTCAATTTCAAACCACATAGGATTCAATAAGAAAAACATACCTTTCGAAATTAGTAATTAAAAAATAATATTTTTCTTCAAGAGTCAAGAAAACTCACCAGTTTTTTATTATAATTTTTAAATATGATTTTCTTTAACAATTTGTAAGCTATGCTTAATAGTGTAAAATAGGTAAAAAATCAAAATTTCATAACTCTAATTCACTGGAGTTCTCTTATCGGACAAACGGATATGCGCTGGGCAGGTATGACGGAGTGCGTAGGAACGGATACACTGCTCCTGGGTACGCCGTTCCCGGATATACACCTCCGTAGTAGCTGAACGGCGGCAGGAAGCTCGGGGGGTAGACCGAAGGGTATCGAATGACTGTTGGCGTGAAGTGTGGCACCGAGCCAACGATGACAACTGGAGTCCTCACAGTTGGAAGTCGCTGAAAGAAGTTCGTTTCCTGCACCCAGGGATACACATTTGGCGGAGCTGATCTGGCTATGTCCACAACTGCTGGTGCCACTGAGGCGGACACGAGGGAAGTGGCCAGAATCACGGCCACAACACTTGCCTGAAAGGATCAAGACTGCGTTAGACACAGAATCAAGTATTAAGACACTCTTCACTGCTCACAATTGTCAATGTTGGTTTGTTCATTTTGTCAGCACTTTTGGATTTTTGGACTTCTTGTCTTTTATTTGGCAACTGAAAGTGAAATGATGGTCTGATTGACTTATTTTCCGTTTTATACCACCTGCCAATTTCTTTTCAATTGAATGTCCAAAAGTCGAGTGATTCGTGACAAACGCGCTTGATGCATTTCTCTTTTTGCATATTGATGAGGTTCAAGGTTTCATGATGTGGAAGTCAATGAGAGCAACATTAAACGTGATCAGAGACAATGAATATATTGTTGTGTGTTGTCGGTGATTATGACATAAGGATAATGAGACAGTCGTGCAGTAAGCGTGTTGTGAGTAGAAAATGTAGTGCAGATTCAGAACTGATTGCGCAAATACCCTAAAACTTTCCCCGAATCCAAATGGTTTTCCATGCAAGTGAGCCCTTGCACTGGGTCAATGAATGCAAACTAAGGTGTGAAGTAATTGGAGAAATGTAGCAAATATCATCACGACATATTGCGCGATAAACGCAGACAAACTGCTAAATGGTCAATTTAAGCATAAGCATTAAGTATTCACGATGAGTCTCTGTGAAATGGTGAAATTGTTTGGATATAAAAATGCGATAAAGTGCCACCGAAAGTCAGTTCCATTGAATTGACCAAACAGTGACAACAAACGACTTCTGGACGATTTACAAAATCACTTCAAAATGCTGACTAAAGTTGTTGTGAGTACACATTCAGTACAGAATTGCATTGCGAATGGGGATTATATTGATTTGTTGATTCGCAGATCCTCGTTTTCGTTGCTGTTCTTGGAATTGCCAATGCTGGAGTCATCGCTCCTTTTGCCTCATCTTACAACGCCCATACGATTAATCACGCTGTGGCTCATCCGGTTTTGGCTCCAGCTGCTGCAGCATCTCTAGTAGCTGCAGCCCCGGCAGCTCCTTTGGTGGCTTCAAATCCATACGTCTCGCCTGGATTTACCAGAGCAGCCTACACTGCGAATCCTTATCCCTATTCACTGAATCCCTACGCCGCCTATTCAGCATACGCAGGATACTCTGGACTCCCGTACTCGCCTTATTATTTCTAAGACTTAGACTTTGTTAGCATGCTCTTTCCTCGACTGACAGACTGACTGACGTTTAAAACTACTTTTCATTACAAAAAAAATTGCAGAAAAGAAAATAAAAATATATAGATATTCAACAAACATGAGAAAAAATCTTTGATTTAGCCTTGCAATGATAATTTTATCACCTTCAGTACTTAATATACGTGGTTCTCAGCCGATTTCGCATTATACATAACTTCTATCCAGCTAAGCAGATCTTCAAGGTGCACCAAATTGCTTGCTCATAAAATTGTGTCTCAACATAATGTCAGTTATTAACTGAAATTGATATCAAGCTTATAATTTTCAAATTTGGAGTACCTCTTATTTGCAATATTACTACACCATTATTCTCAGCCAATTAATTTTCAATTAAAATCACTGACTCAATTTGTTTTCGCGTGAAATTCCGCGACCTCAAAATATGACTTTCCTCGAGCACAGCGCGTTTCATGCAATGCGAAGAGGGACAATTAAGTGTCGCCCCGCCAAAGCTCATATCAATGCATACTGATTAGTCCAATTAGTCAATCAATCAGCGAAACCAATTCGTACTCCTAGACGGAGTGTCGCAATGCAGATTTCTTGATTGCGTGCAGGAGGCTCAGTTGGTCATTATCTCAGACGAGAAGTGGATGCAAAGTAGTACTTTGCAACATTCACTTTTCACGGAAAAATCTCATTGTTGCCGATTATGAGTCGGAACATTGTAAAGAGATCATTTATTCGTTGCATTCGCTGTGATTAAGTTTAAGGACGCATTTCATGGGAAATCTCACGGAAGCACTAACTGATTAGGAGTCTTCAAAGCGCTTTTTAAATATCCTATTTGTTCTTAATAAATCTGCTTTTTACATGATATTTTCTTTAGCTACATTTTGCATTAGCTGCAAAAGCCAAAACAAACATAAACTTCAGCATAAGAGTCAAGACTCAAGAATATGACTGGCTTTCAAACAATCTTGCATTCTCATGCTAATCCAAGTGCTAATCATGGTCTTTTCAGTAAAAAGATTGTGATTGTCTCTTCAGCGAATTCCACATTCTTCATCATGGGCAATAAGTTTAACGAGTCTCTCGACATGTTTTACTGTCAGGGCATCAATTGCGATTCCTAAGAACTCAGCCATCGTCTTGCAGATGATAAACAACACTGCAAAAATAGCAATTCAGCCTTGACTTACATTCTCACAAATGATCGCACACGAGAGACGCGATTTTCCAGTGATTTTGTTGTGACTTTTGCAAAGCTGGAATTGGGCTGGTATATTTATCTGAATAGAGACAACAGATAGCTCATAAATTGTCACAAGTCCGAACAGTGTCAACTCCTCATTTCTAAACAGCTTAATTGCAATTTGTTGTGCTATTGCGTGGAAAATGGCAATATCATTATGTAATTCTTTCTAGAGCAATTGACCAATTCGCTAAAGTCACCTCCGGTCGACACGCGCTGTGCTTCTTTGTATGTCCAACACGAATCCTCTTACCTCAGCTTCTTCAGTAATACTTCTTTGTCGCCGTACGTGAACTTCATATAGATTCGGCGTAATGTTTGGGGAGTACATAATGCCCGGTGGCGGATGATGTAATTGATACACAATCAATTGAGTAGGTGGATGCGCTATTATTTCGGTATAAAAGCCTCCTCAATCTTCGGACATTGCATTGAGTGCCTGAAACTTACATAGTCAACAACAAAAATCTGTGGAATACGTCATTAACATCCAAATTCAGCAAAGATGTTCAAATTGGTGAATATCTCAAGTTCAAGAGCGTTACACAATTGTGCAAGTGATATTAATATTCAATATTTGCATCCGTAGATTGCCGTTCTTCTCTTCACAGTGGCGCTGGTCTCTGCCAAGCCCCAGTTCCTGGCCCCAGTGGCCTACAGTGCTCCCCTTGTCGCTGGCCCAGGAGTTGTCACAGCCACCAGCTCTCAAGTAGTTGCCAGGAATTACAATGGCGTGGCCGCTCCTCTGGTCGCCGCCTCAGCGCCTCTGGTTGCTGCTCCTGCGGCCCTTCCCTACTCAGCTTACCCGGCTTACTCCGCCTACTCTGCCTACCCCTACACCGCTCTGCGCTATCCCTATGCTCCCTACGTCTTCTAGTAGAACGGACGACATTTGAACCGTCTTTAGCACAATTGTTCAATGACTTTCCATCAAATTTTTTTATTGGATAACTTAAGAAGCAATAAAATGGGAAACATTTATAAAATCACAAATGGAATTGACAAGACCGTGTACCGGAGAGAAGTAAGATATCCTCTTTTGTTGTAGGACATTTCAATGCAATGAATGAGGACTCGAAACCAGCACTTTCTCTCGCAGACTCAATGGCGTTCCTCAAGGCGAAAATGGCCACGATTGATAAAGCAGTTGCAGGCTCTCCAGTACCCTTGGCTCCAAGTAATCCTACTGGAAGATTTTGTTTGTTCATAAAGGACACCCTGAAATCTACTGGAATGTCCTTGGCTCCTGGTGGCTTGTAGTTCCACGTTCTATTCGTCAAAATCTCACCGGTATCCGGATGATGGATGATCTTCTCCTGCAGCCAGTAACCCAATCCCATCACGAAAGCGCCTTCAATCTGACCTATATCAATGTCCGGATTCAGACTCTCGCCAACGTCTTGGCTTATGTCCACTCTACGTAATAGGAAGTCTCCTGTTAGTACATCGATCTCCATTTCTGCGCAGGATACGCCATAGACGTTATACGAAATTCGATCTTTTTCCATGTCCGTTACGAAAGACGCTAAAGAAACATTTCGTTCATAGGCGGTCTTCACAAGTTCAGGCCAAGAAGCTAAAGGCATTTCTTCCCTAATAGGTTTGATTCGTTGTAAGATTCTGTTACATGCTTCAATTACCAGCTGGAAATAAAATCATTATTAGTTTTTCATTATTGCTTGATATTTGTTAAATTATCCTACCCTTCCGATGGCATCTGTTGTTTGGGATGAGCTGGTGAAAGTTACATTGGCATTAATCACAGTATTAGCCGCTTCTATTTTCACAGACTTTACAGGAACTCCTAATGTCCTAGCTGCTATTTGAACCATTTTTGTATCTATTCCTTGTCCCATTTCTATTCCTCCATGACAAACGCTGACGGTACCATCAATCGCGTAAACTGCAACCAGAACTGCATAGCGATAGGTGGTTTGGATTGGATATCCCATTGAAGCAAAAGCAATTCCTCGTTTCCGCCAGCGATTGTTGGCATTGAATAACTTAATATGCCCTTTTCTAGTTTCAAAATCGCACTTTTCTAGGAATTCTGGTAGAATACTTCTCATTGGAGAATCTGAACGCATGTTCTCCAGGCGAACTAGTAAAGGATCCATGCGAAGTTCCTTAGCTATATGTTCCATGATATTTTCTGCCATTGCAATTCCTTCAAGGCAACCTGGTGATCGGAACCAAGTATAAGGATGCACATCTGTATGAACACCTCTGAAATCCATTGACCACGTTGAAGGACTGTAAAGAGCAGTGAAGAAACTGATAATAACGGAACGATCAGAAGCTTCATTCTTTGATATTCCCAAGTCCATGTACATCGAATTGTTCAATTTCTGAATCTTTCCATTTTTATCGACTTCCACTGCATAAGAGGAAGTGGCCGGAAATCTTTTACCTATAATCATCATGTTGTCTTCAATGGACATGATAAATCGCACAGGACGTCTAAGTTTAATGCATGCTAAGGCAGCAGCGCAGGCCAAGTGAGTAGATTTCGAATTCTTGGCCCCAAAACTCCCCCCAATTCTTTCCAGTTTCATACTTATTGAATTCATAGGAATATTGCAAACTTGAGAAATTCCCATTTGTGTGAAGTGAAGAAAATGTGTGGCACTATGAACTTCAATTCCAGATTCTTTTGGCACGCAAACTGTCGTTTGAGGCTCCAAATGGAAGTGATACTGATTTGAGAAATTTAGTTTTCCTGCTATCGTGGCTGCAATTTCGACTCCTCTGTCTATAGCATCAAGCCGGGTTTCATAAGAAAATACTCTTTCATGTTCTTCAGAATCAAGAACGTCCTCAACCGATAAGAAGAGCTTTCTCTGAATCGGTCGACTGTAGTTGATCTGAACAGCTTTAGCAGCTTTGATTGCGAGATCCATATTTTCTGCTAGGATGATTCCTGCCGGTTGATTGTGAAATAGAACTTTTCCACTACAGAAAATTTCTTCAGGTTCCAAAATCTCTAAGGACTCAACTAGTACGTGAGTCATATAATTATTAATTCCAGGAATATCTTTCGCACTGAAGAAAGCCACAACTCCAGGAATCCTCAGAGCTACTGAAGCGTCAATGCTCAGAATTCTGGCAGAAACTTCCGTCGCAGGAACGAAAGCTGCCCAAACTTCGCCGGGCATGCAGGGAAGATCGTTGATATAATTTGCTTCACCGCTGCATTGAATCTCGGCATTGAGTTTGATCATTGCGTTTTCCGCGCCAGTAACTTCCTGTTTCCCCGAAGACAATCCGCGGAAGATCTCCTCACCACCACTTCTCACACATTCTCTGACCCTCTCCACCGGAGCCACACTCAGAATGGCTTTGTAAAAGAGTCCCAAAGCGAGGAGTTTCCGATACCTCGGCGACGGATCCGGAAGAATCCAGTTCAGCTTCAGCTCCTCGTTCAAGGAAGCCATGAGAAGAGCGACGGTCTCATTGGAGAACAGACTCTTGGCCATCACAAGATTCTCCGTTTTCGAGGCGTGAATAAACCTCGAGTTGATTCCGCCGAAGCAAATCCTGGCCGACTGAGCGACGCTTCTTCCTGGGCTGAACTTGAAGAGGAATCCCGCGTTGACCATCGCGTGGGCGTTCTGCGCCCGAGGCATGATCTTGTACGTGGCCAGGCAGAACTTGTCCGGATGCAGAGGGGGCAGAATCACTTTCAGGATTACTCGTTTGCGCATGGACTTGAACATGAATTCCTCCACGGAAGTGACTCTGTGCACTCCGTCGCTGTCCACGATGGTGAGGAAGGCGCCCACAGTTTCCAGAAGGAGGAAAATGTCCGACGGGAACTCCGGATGCTGGTGCTTCAGGCTCAGATTGCCTCCGATCGTGGCCAGGTTTCTCACCGCCGGATGAGCCACAAGATCGAGATGACGCACGAGTTGCCGGCAGTACGAGAATTCCCGCTTCGCCTCTGAAGCCTCGGACAGGAATCCCATGAATTCCGACAGAGTCACGGCGGCGCCCACTTCCAGAGTGTCTCCCAAAGTCATGATCCTCAATTCCTCGACGCCACTCACGTCAATGAAGATCTCGAGATCTTCCCTGCGGCGGAAGACGCCGTGGCCAGTGTTTCCCGCCACGAGCATGTAAGGACGATTGTGCGACTTCTCGAAGATCTTCAGCACGTGCTCCACACTCGTCACTCTGAACCACTCTCGGCCGTTCTCGAGCCCGAAGCGCACGAAATCATAGTCGAACTTAGAGGGCGGCTCTCCAGCGAAAACGCATCTCATCGGGAGATCTTCAATGTCTGGGCAGGAAGGCAGAGTGGGATCGGCGTCATCGGCCAGGGATTTGAAGGCGTCCAGGATTGGTCGGTATCCAGTGCATCTGCAGATGTTTCCTCCGAGGCTGTTCTCGACTTCTGCCATCGACACGCGTCCTTTGCGGCTCTCGATCAGGCCAAGCATGCTCATGACCATTCCGGGCGAGCAGAATCCGCACTGAGTGCCATTCATCCTGGCCAGACGCGCCTGGATCGCATGGAAACCACTCGCTTTCCCGCCAATTCCTTCGATCGTCACGACTTCCATTCCGTGACACGAGAAAACGGACATCAAGCAAGAGTTCACTGATCCAACCCAGTCTTTACCAGTTATTGAATTGTGTTTCCTATGAGATAATTTTTATACAAGTTATAATGATTTTGAATGCACAGCGCGTTTTTGTGAAAAAAAAACGCACTGATCTGGAAATATTCATTTTAGTGGCATTGGCAAATAGTTTCTGCCGTTTCTCTTAGAAAACTTACCTCAAAATCACCGTGCAACAGCCACAACCGCCTTCTCTGCACATGAACTTCGTTCCCGTGAGTCCCGCATAAATGCGGATGAAGGAGTTGAGAGAAGTGTCATGAGGAATGCTTCCTGGTCGTACTGCAATAGAGATAGGCGTCTTTTCAGTTCCACAAGGCATGTACTAAGCAATTTTTATCTTATAAAACTCACCACAGAACCTCTTGCCGTTGATCCTGAACTGAAGATCCGATTGAGGAGGAATCCTGTCTTGACTGTAGGATGAGCACTTCCCTTGATTTGATCCCATGTTCACTCTCTGACCAACTAACAGTAACTGACTCGCTTTCTTGGAGAATATTTGGGAGGGAGCGCTGATTTAATTGGCTTAAATGTGAGAGTATTTGAAGTGAAACGGCTTGAATGGCGTGTTTTTGCATGTTTCCAAACGCTTGTATACACGGAATGATATTACGTACACACCGTTAAAAGCTCTATAATTCGAAGCGCTTCTCTGGCCATTTGTCGTACAGATAAGACGAAACATCGCGCCTTCACGTATGTCGAAATTGCGTGGACGTGTGTGACTCTCTCGCTTTAATGACCTTAATGATTCTCAAATCTTTTATCAGCACTACAAGCAAACAAATAAAAGCGTCATTGACGCGTAGAATTGACCAGTTATCGAGTATATTTTCGCTGTGATGGAAGTGTCGCTGAAAATCAATGGAGAAGAATTTAGAGTGGATCCTAGAAATTGTCCTCTGGGAATGACTCTAAACACCTTCATCAGGACTCGAGCAAGGCTTACGGGCACAAAATCAATGTGTCTTGAAGGCGGTTGTGGAGCTTGTATTGTTGTCGCGATGGGGCATCATCCAGTGACTGGGAAAGAGTGGATCGGATCAGTGAATTCTTGCCTGGTGTCCGTTTTCTCGTGTCACGGAATGGAAGTTGTGACGATCGAAGGAATTGGCGGGAAAGCGAGTGGTTTCCATACGATCCAGGCACGTCTGGCCAAGATGAATGGCACTCAGTGCGGATTCTGCTCGCCCGGAATGGTCATGAGCATGCTTGGCCTGATCGAGAGCCACAAAGGACGCGTGTCGATGGCAGAAGTCGAGAACAGCCTCGGAGGAAACATCTGCAGATGCACTGGATACCGACCAATCCTAGATGCCTTCAAATCCTTGGCCGATGACTCTGATTATTCGGATATTGAAGATCTGCCAAAAACTTGTCCCAAGACTAAGGAAATCTGCAATGGAGGGTGCAAGAGATTTAGTGAGAAGATAACTCTTGAATTCCCAGATGGTGGGAAATGGTTTAAAGTCCACGACACTGGAGAGATTTTTAAAATCTTGAAGGCATTTCAAAGCGAGAAGATAATGCTAGTTGCAGGAAATACAGGTCATGGTGTCTTTAGAAGAGACTCTGAAATTTCCATTTTCATTGATGTGAAGGATGTAAAGGAACTGCGGTCTCATGAATACAGGAAAAGTTCTCTGGAAATTGGCGGTTCAGTAACTCTTGCAGAAATGACTGAAATTCTCCAAGAAACTGCGGAAAAGTCATCAACCTTCTTCTACTGCCAGGAATTGGCCAATCATTTACAATTAGTTGGAAGTCCTTCGATAAAAAACGTAAAGTAGATGAATTTAAGATATGTTTGAAATTCTAATCTCGATTTTGATTTTTCCAGATGGCTTCTATTGCGGGTAATCTGATGCTGAAACATCAGCATAGAGAATTCTCTTCAGACCTCTTTCTTATGATCACCACTGTTGGAGGGAAAATTGAAATTGCTGAGAATGAAAGCTCCAGAAGAATTCTCACTACTCTAGAGTTCTTGAACACTGATATGAAGGGAAAAATCGTGACCAAAGTGATCTTCCCGGAACATGATCATTTATTCACCAAAATCAAGATGTTTAAGATTATGCAAAGAGCTCAAAGCACTCCTGCTCTCTTGAACGCTGGTTTTCTGACCAAGCTATCCAAAGATGACATTGTTGAGTTTGCCTCAATTTCATTCGGATGCATAAACGAATCATTTATTCATGCTAAAAATCTTGAAGGTCATCTTGTGGGGAAGAAACTATTCTCAAATGATACTCTGCAATCATCTTTGCAGATTCTCGGTGAAGAACTGAAAATTTCAGACTCTCCTCCAAGTCCGGATCCAGAGTATCGCAAAATCTTGGCAATGGCGCTATTTTATCGCTTTATCTTGAGTGTCTCACCTAAAGATAAGCTTCGAAATGAGCACTTGAGCGGTGCAAAAGCATCAGAAAGAGCACTTTCGAGTGGACAGCAAACATATAAGAAATTCCCCGAAAACTTCCCCATTACTGAAGATCTCCCCAAGTGGGAGGGAATCAGCCAGACGTCTGGACAAGCAAAGTACGCCAATGATCTTCCTCATCAGCATGGAGAACTGTGGGCAGCGTTCGTTCAGGCCAGAAGAGTTAACGCCATCATTAAGAAAATTAATCCCTCACGCGCGCTCAGCCTGCCTGGAGTTCACTCGTTCTTCTCTGCTAAAGACATACCGGGAATTAATTCTTTCGCTCCAGGAAAAGCTGGTGAAGATTTGGTGGAGGCAGAAGAGATTCTGTGCAGTAGAAAAGTCTTGTTTAACGGACAACCAGCAGGTATTATCCTAGCAGAATCCTTTGATCTTGCTCAGAAAGCTGCAAATTGCGTGGAGATCGAGTATGAAGAAACAGGTGAAATTAAGAAAGAAGGATGCAAACTTTGCATTACAAAGTCAGAATTAATAATTTATTTTCCTTACAGGTGAAAAGATCCTGCCTACGATCTGGGATGTTCTTAGAGAGAATGCAATTGATAAAATACGAGAGGATCCTATTAAAATTGAGGCAAAATCCTATGGAAGTGACACAAAAATGACGATATCCGGGCACTGGGAGTCGGGAAGTCAATATCATTTCACGATGGAACCCCAGACAAGTGTCTGTATTCCCACAGAGACCGGACTAGAAGTTCATGCCTCGACACAATTCATGGATTTAGTGCAGATCGCTATCTCAGAAGCTTTGAAAATCCCCGAAAGCTCTATCTTTATGGTAGTTCGTCGTTTAGGCGGTGCTTTTGGCTCTAGGATTTCCAGAGGATCACAAATAGCATGTGCCGCTGCTCTGGCCAGTTATAAAACAAATCGTCCTGTTCGCTTGGTGCTTCCGCTGGAAGTGAACATGGAGATTATCGGCAAGAGATATCCCTGCATTGGAGACTACACTGTAGATATCAATGCTGAGGGAAAGATTCAGAAGCTGAAGAATGACTATATGCAGGATTTCGGGTGTTCACTGAATGAATCTGTGATTTGGCTCACAACGAAGTGGTTCAGGAACTGCTACGATGATGAATCCTGGGATGTTACAGGTAGTTCTGTTATCACGAATGCTCCCAGCAATACTTATTGCAGGGCTCCAGGAATTCTCGAGGGTGTGGCAATGATTGAAAACATAATGGAACACATCGCTATGAAAACAAACGTGGATCCTGTAGATGTACGCTTGGCTAACATTCCTGAGGATTCTCCGATGAAGAAGATCCTCCCTGACTTTGTGAGATCAATTGATTATGGAACAAGGAAGAGGCAGATTGAAGTCTTCAATGCAGAGAATCGATGGAAGAAGCGTGGCATTTCCATTGTACCTATGAAATATCCTCAGATGTTCATTGGGAATCTTCCTGCCTTGGTGAGTGTATATCACGGAGATGGGACTGTCGCAATCTCCCATGCAGGGATTGAGATGGGCCAAGGATTAAACACTAAGGCAGCTCAGGTGGTGTCTAAAATCCTGGGAGTTCCGCTTTCGACCATAGTCTTCCGGCCAGTGGACAATGTTACATCGGCAAATGGCTCAGTGAGTGGAGCAAGCTCAACCAGTGAAGGGATTTGCCTCTCTGTAATGCGTGCTTGTGAAATCATCCTCGAGAGGATGCGTCCTCTGCGTGAGGAGATGCCAAACGCTTCCTGGGCAGAACTCACTCAAGAGTGTTTCATTAGAAATATCGAACTCACTGCATACTACACAGTTCATCCTGATGATATCCCAGATTATTTCGTGTGGGGCGTAACTTGTGCCGAAGTTGAAGTGGACGTTCTCACAGGATGTGTTCAGTTGCGTCGTGTAGATATCCTGGAGGACACAGGAGAGAGTGTGAACCCTCTAGTTGATGTGGGCCAAATCGAAGGGTCTTTCGTCATGGGCATTGGATACTGGCTTCACGAGGAGATTGTTTACCGCGCAGAGGACGGAAAACTCCTTACAAATCGTACCTGGAACTATAGACCACCAGGAGCCAAGGACATTCCAATTGACTTCCGCGTGACTTTCCTGCAAAACCCCAATCCTTACTTCATCCTGAAATCCAAAGCCACAGGCGAACCTGCCCTATCTATGACCTCGGTCATTCTATTCGCAATCCGAGACGCACTGCGCTCAGCCAGGAGAGATGCAGGTCTTCTTGATGAGTGGTTCGAACTGGGTGCCCCTTCAACTCCTGCACATATTCTGCTGAAGGCAGGAACTAAGCCCACTGATTTTAATCTATAAATGGAATTTGCAAAATAAAGTGGTGTGGGTTTTTTATGAATCGTATTGCTTCAATTATAATAATATAGAGAAAAGTGAACAACTTAATAGTTTGGTAACGCTATGTACAAAATTTGATAAAAAATAAAAATGAGTATTCAACATGTGCACACCTGTTCGCTATACATTTTATTTCACAAGCTACATGTTAGAAACCGAACATTACGATGAAAGCGAGCCAGTAATTTTCAGTTACGGCAAGAGAGTGAACATGGGCTCCAATCAAGTGAAGTGTTCATCCTACAGTCAAGACAGGATTCCTCCACAGACGGATCTTCAGTTCAGGATCAACGGCAAGAGGTTCTGTGGTGAGTTTTATAAGTTGAAAATTGCCTAATATAAGCCTTGTGGGACTATAAATAAAGTAAATAATACTTTCCGATTTTGCAGTACGACCAGGAAGCATTCCTCATGACACTTCTCTCAACTCCTTCATCCGCATTTATGCGGGACTCACGGGGACAAAGTTCATGTGCAGAGAAGGCGGTTGTGGCTGCTGCACGGTGATTTTGAGGTAATGACTTGAGTAATGATGTCAGAACCACAGAAAAATTACCTTTTTGGAACGCACGCATATGTCCATGGTCAACATGGCATTGAATGTTCTGGATCATTGATTAAATTTCACAAATTACTATTTTAAATTCATTACACAGGCGATATAACCCATTGAATAGAAAGGAATGGATAGAATCAGTGAACTCTTGCCTGGTGTCCGTTTTCTCGTGTCACGGAATGGAAGTCGTGACGATCGAAGGAATTGGCGGGAAAGCGAGTGGTTTCCATGCGATCCAGGCGCGTCTGGCCAGGATGAATGGCACTCAGTGCGGATTCTGCTCGCCCGGAATGGTCATGAGCATGCTTGGCCTGATCGAGAGCCACAAAGGACGCGTGTCGATGGCAGAAGTCGAGAACAGCCTCGGAGGAAACATCTGCAGATGCACTGGATACCGACCAATCCTGGACGCCTTCAAATCCCTGGCCGATGACGCCGATCCCACTCTTCCTTCCTGCCCAGACATTGAAGATCTCCCGATGAGATGCGTTTTCGCTGGAGAGCCGCCCTCTAAGTTCGACTATGATTTCGTGCGCTTCGGGCTCGAGAACGGCCGAGAGTGGTTCAGAGTGACGAGTGTGGAGCACGTGCTGAAGATATTCGAGAAGTCGCACAATCGTCCTTACATGCTCGTGGCGGGAAACACTGGCCACGGCGTCTTCCGCCGCAGGGAAGATCTCGAGATCTTCATTGACGTGAGTGGCGTCGAGGAAATGAGGATCATGACTTTGGGAGACACTCTGGAAGTGGGCGCCGCCGTGACTCTGTCGGAATTCATGGGATTCCTGTCCGAGGCTTCAGAGGCGAAGCGGGAATTCTCGTACTGCCGGCAACTCGTGCGTCATCTCGATCTTGTGGCTCATCCGGCGGTGAGAAATCTGGCCACGATCGGAGGCAATCTGAGCTTGAAGCACCAGCATCCGGAGTTCCCGTCGGACATTTTCCTCCTTCTGGAAACTGTGGGCGCCTTCCTCACCATCGTGGACAGCGACGGAGTGCACAGAGTCACTTCCGTGGAGGAATTCATGTTCAAGTCCATGCGCAAACGAGTCATCCTGAAAGTGATTCTGCCCCCTCTGCATCCGGACAAGTTCTGCCTGGCCACGTACAAGATCATGCCTCGGGCGCAGAACGCCCACGCGATGGTCAACGCGGGATTCCTCTTCAAGTTCAGCCCAGGAAGAAGCGTCGCTCAGTCGGCCAGAATTTGCTTCGGCGGAATCAACTCGAGGTTCATTCACGCCTCGAAAACGGAGAATCTCGTGATGTCCAAGAGTCTGTTCTCCAATGAGACCGTCGCTCTTCTCATGGCTTCCTTGAACGAGGAGCTGAAGCTGGACTGGATTCTTCCGGATCCGTCGCCGAGGTATCGGAAACTCCTCGCTTTGGGACTCTTTTACAAAGCCATTCTGAGTGTGGCTCCTGTGGAGAGGGTCAGAGAATGTGTGAGAAGTGGTGGTGAGGAGATCTTCCGCGGATTGTCATCGGGGAAACAGGAAGTTACTGGCGCGGAAAACGCAATGATCAAACTCGATGCCGAGATTCAATGCAGCGGAGAAGCAAATTATATCAACGATCTTCCCTGCATGCCCGGCGAAGTTTGGGCAGCTTTCGTTCCTGCGACGGAAGTTTCTGCCAGAATTCTGAGCATTGACGCATCAGAAGCTCTGAGGATTCCTGGAGTTGTGGCTTTCTTCAGTGCAAAAGATATTCCTGGGGTTAATAGCTACATTACTGAAGTATTCATAGTGGTTTTAGAAATACTTGGGCCGGAGGAAGTTTTCTGCAGCGGAAAAGTTCTATTTCACAATCAACCGGCAGGAATTATCCTAGCAGAAAATATGGATCTCGCAATCAAAGCTGCTAAAGCTGTTCAGATCAACTACAGTCGACCGACTCAGAGAAAGCTCTTCTTATCGGTTGAGGACGTTCTTGATTCTGAAGAACATGAGAGAATCTCGACTTTTGATACTCGACTTGATCCTCAAATGATAGGAAATGAAATTTCTGCGACAATAACAGGAATTGTGAGATTCTCAAATCAGTATCACTTCTATTTGGAGCCTCAAACGACAGTTTGCGTGCCAAGAGAATCTGGAATTGAAGTTCATTGTGCAACTCACTATCTTCACTATGTGCAAATGGGAATTTCTCAAGTTTGCAATATTCCTATGAATTCAATAAGCATGAAATTAGATCGAATTGGAGGTGGATTTGGCGGGAAGAATACCAAACCAGCTCTCATTGCAAGCGCTGCTGCCTTAGCATGCATTAAGCTTCGACGTCCTGTGCGATTTATCATGTCCATTGAAGATAATATGCAAGTTATTGGAAAGCGTTTTCCTTCTACTTGCCACTATAAAATCGAAGTGAATGACATCGGAAAGATTCAGAAACTGGAAAATACTCAATACATCAATATGGGAACATCTTTAAATGAAGTATCTTTAAGAAGTATAATACTGGATTATTTTACAGTATTGTACGATAGTTCAACGTGGTCAATTGATTTCAAAGGTGTTCACACAGATGTTCATCCTCATACGTGGTTTAGAGCTCCAGATCGTTTAGAAGCATACACAACAGCAGAAACTTTTATGGAACATATAGCTAAGGAATTACGATTAGATCCAGTGGATGTTCGCTTAGCTAACTTACCCCAGGAGTCACCTATGCGAACAATTCTCCCAGAATTCCTGAAGAAGTGCAACTACAGAACAAGAGAAGAACATGTATCACTATTCAATGCACAGAATCGTTGGAGGAAAAGAGGAATCGCCTTTGTCCCTATGAATTATCCTGTACAGACTACTACTCGCTATACGGTTTTCGTGGCAGTTTACGCGGTAGACGGAAGCGTTAGCGTCTGCCATGGAGGAATTGAGATGGGACAAGGAATTAACACAAAAGTAGTCCAGATCGCTGCCCGAGCTTTAGGAATTCCTGTGGATACAGTGAAGATTGAGGCTCCAAACACATTTGTGAACGCCAACGGAATGGTTACAGGCGGGTCTCAAACTACGGACATCGTAGGAAAAGTAAGCCTTTTTCGTTACTATAATTCTATTAGATCTGATAAACAATATTTCTCTTTAGCTCGTTCTAGAAGCTTGCAATATAATTTTGGAGCGCTTGAAGCCAGTTCGTGAGCAAAAACCCACAGCTTCTTGGCCTGAACTCGTGAAAACCGCCTATGAAGAGAATATATCGTTGACAGCATATGTAAATGACGATGAATCTGATCAACTGTCCTATAACGTTTGGGGTGTTTCCTGTGCAGAAGTGGAAGTCGATATGCTAACAGGAGACTTCCTGTTACGTAGAGTGGACATAAGCCAAGATGTTGGCGAGAGTCTGAATCCGGCAATCGACATAGGTCAGATTGAAGGCGCTTTCGTGATGGGCTTGGGTTATTGGCTACAGGAGAAGATCATCTATCATCCGGGCTCTGGAGAGATTGTGACGAATAGAACGTGGAACTACAAGCCACCAGGCGCCAAGGACATTCCAGTGGACTTCAGGGTGTCTTTCATGAACAGGAAGAATTTACCGACTGGAATTCTGGGCGCCAAAGGTGTTGGAGAACCTTCCATATGTTTATCACTATCGGCTATTTTCGCTCTGAGAAATGCAATTGAATCTGCGAGGAAAGACGCTGGCTTAGAACATTGCTTTATTCAAATGGACGCACCGACAACTAAAGAAGATATTCTATTACTTTCTGGGACCAATTCAAAGCAATTTCAACTGTGAACTTGACTATGAATAGCAAAAATAGTTAATAAAAAAATAGAATTTACTATAATAAATAATATTGTGTGATAGATATATTTTTATGAATGGTTTCGCTTCAATAGTTATAGTTTACACGAGTATTGAGTGATTTGGACTGTATAAATAAAAAAAAACTTAAGCAATTGAACACCTACATATATATAATGTTAGAAATCTAATACTCGACTTTACTTGAAAACTTCTTATGGAAAGCGTGTCAGTTACTAACAGTTGGTCAGAGAGTGAACATGGGCTCCAATCAAGTAAAGTGTTCATCCTACAGTCAAGACAGGATTACTCCACAGACGGATCTTCAGTTCAGCATCAACGGCAAGAGGTTCTGTGGTGAGTTTTATAAGTTGAAAATTGCCTAATATAAGCCTTGTGGGACTGAAAATAATACTTTCCGATTTTGCAGTACGACCAGGAAGCATTCCTCATGACACTTCTCTCAACTCCTTCATCCGCATTTATGCGGGACTCACGGGGACGAAGTTCATGTGCAGAGAAGGCGGTTGTGGCTGCTGCACGGTGATTTTGAGGTAATGACTTGAGTAATGATGTCAGAACCACAGAAAAATTACCTTTTTGGAACGCACGCATATGTCCATGGTCAACATGGCATTGAATGTTCTGGATCATTGATTAAATTTCACAAATTACTATTTTAAATTCATTACACAGGCGATATAACCCATTGAATAGAAAGGAATGGATAGAATCAGTGAACTCTTGCCTGGTGTCCGTTTTCTCGTGTCACGGAATGGAAGTCGTGACGATCGAAGGAATTGGCGGGAAAGCGAGTGGTTTCCATGCGATCCAGGCGCGTCTGGCCAGGATGAATGGCACTCAGTGCGGATTCTGCTCGCCCGGAATGGTCATGAGCATGCTTGGCCTGATCGAGAGCCGCAAAGGACGCGTGTCGATGGCAGAAGTCGAGAACAGCCTCGGAGGAAACATCTGCAGATGCACTGGATACCGACCAATCCTGGACGCCTTCAAATCCCTGGCCGATGACGCCGATCCCACTCTGCCTTCCTGCCCAGACATTGAAGATCTCCCGATGAGATGCGTTTTCGCTGGAGAGCCGCCCTCTAAGTTCGACTATGATTTCGTGCGCTTCGGGCTCGAGAACGGCCGAGAGTGGTTCAGAGTGACGAGTGTGGAGCACGTGCTGAAGATCTTCGAGAAGTCGCACAATCGTCCTTACATGCTCGTGGCGGGAAACACTGGCCACGGCGTCTTCCGCCGCAGGGAAGATCTCGAGATCTTCATTGACGTGAGTGGCGTCGAGGAAATGAGGATCATGACTTTGGGAGACACTCTGGAAGTGGGCGCCGCCGTGACTCTGTCGGAATTCATGGGATTCCTGTCCGAGGCTTCAGAGGCGAAGCGGGAATTCTCGTACTGCCGGCAACTCGTGCGTCATCTCGATCTTGTGGCTCATCCGGCGGTGAGAAACCTGGCCACGATCGGAGGCAATCTGAGCCTGAAGCACCAGCATCCGGAGTTCCCGTCGGACATTTTCCTCCTTCTGGAAACTGTGGGCGCCTTCCTCACCATCGTGGACAGCGACGGAGTGCACAGAGTCACTTCCGTGGAGGAATTCATGTTCAAGTCCATGCGCAAACGAGTCATCCTGAAAGTGATTCTGCCCCCTCTGCATCCGGACAAGTTCTGCCTGGCCACGTACAAGATCATGCCTCGGGCGCAGAACGCCCACGCGATGGTCAACGCGGGATTCCTCTTCAAGTTCAGCCCAGGAAGAAGCGTCGCTCAGTCGGCCAGGATTTGCTTCGGCGGAATCAACTCGAGGTTCATTCACGCCTCGAAAACGGAGAATCTCGTGATGTCCAAGAGTCTGTTCTCCAATGAGACCGTCGCTCTTCTCATGGCTTCCTTGAACGAGGAGCTGAAGCTGGACTGGATTCTTCCGGATCCGTCGCCGAGGTATCGGAAACTCCTCGCTTTGGGACTCTTTTACAAAGCCATTCTGAGTGTGGCTCCTGTGGAGAGGGTCAGAGAATGTGTGAGAAGTGGCGGTGAGGAGATCTTCCGCGGATTGTCATCGGGGAAACAGGAAGTTACTGGCGCGGAAAACGCAATGATCAAACTCAATGCCGAGATTCAATGCAGCGGAGAAGCAAATTATATCAACGATCTTCCCTGCATGCCCGGCGAAGTTTGGGCAGCTTTCGTTCCTGCGACGGAAGTTTCTGCCAGAATTCTGAGCATTGACGCGTCAGAAGCTCTGAGGATTCCTGGAGTCGTGGCTTTCTTCAGTGCGAATGATATTCCTGGAATTAATAATTATATGACTGAAGTGTATATAGCTGATATGGAAGTTCTTGGGCCGGAGGAAGTTTTCTGCAGCGGAAAAGTTCTATTTCACAATCAACCGGCAGGAATCATCCTAGCAGAAAATATGGATCTCGCAATCAAAGCTGCTAAAGCTGTTCAGATCAACTACAGTCGACCGACTCAGAGAAAGCTCTTCTTATCGGTTGAGGACGTTCTTGATTCTGAAGAACATGAGAGAATCTCGACTTTTGAAACTCGACTTGATCCTCAAATGATAGGAAATGAAACTTCTGCGACAATAACAGGAATTGTGAGATTCTCAAATCAGTATCACTTCCATTTGGAGCCTCAAACGACAGTTTGCATGCCAAGAGAATCTGGAATTGAAGTTCATTGTGCAACTCACTATCTTCACTATGTGCAAATGGGAATTTCTCAAGTTTGCAATATACCTATGAATTCAATAAGCATGAAATTAGATCGAATTGGAGGTGGATTTGGTGGGAAGAACTCCAAACCAGCTTTGACTGCTAGCGCTGCTACTTTAGCATGTATTAAGCTTCGACGTCCTGTGCGATTTATCATGTCCATTGAAGATAATATGCAAGTTATTGGAAAGCGTTTTCCTTCTACTTGCCACTATAAAATCGAAGTGAATGACATCGGAAAGATTCAGAAACTGGAAAATACTCAATACATCAATATGGGAACATCTTTAAATGAAGTAATTTCTAGAACTGTAATTCTTGGCATATTTACAGGTCTGTATGACACTTCAACGTGGTCAATTGATTTCAAAGGTGTTCACACAGATGTTCATCCTCATACATGGTTTAGAGCACCGGCTCGTTTAGAAGCATACACAACAGCAGAAACTTTTATGGAACATATAGCTAAGGAATTACGATTAGATCCAGTGGATGTTCGCTTAGCTAACTTACCCCAGGAGTCACCTATGCGAACAATTCTCCCAGAATTCCTGAAAAAGTGCAACTACCGAACAAGAGAAGAACATGTATCACTATTCAATGCACAGAATCGTTGGAGGAAAAGAGGAATCGCCTTTGTCCCTATGAATTATCTTTTCGAAACAACTTTTCGCTTCTCCGTTCTTGTATCAGTTTATGCGGTAGATGGAAGTGTTAGCGTCTGTCACGGATCAATAGAAATGGGACAAGGCATTGACACTAAGATAGTTCAAATAACAGCAAAAACTCTTGGAATTCCGGTCGACTGCATTAATATCGTACATGCAAATACTGTTGTGAATGCCAATAATCTAGGTACAGGAGGTTCACAAAATCCAGATTCTACCGGAAGGGTAAGTTTTCTGAATCTGTAACTCTTGAGAGATTAACAAATTTTACAATTTTCTAGCTGGTTATTGAAGCATGCAATACAATCTTGGAACGTATCAAACCGATTCGGGAAGAAATGCCTTCAGCTTCATGGTCTCAACTCGTGAAAACCGCCTATGAACGAAATATTTCTCTAGCGTCTTTCGTAACGGACATGGGTCTAGAAACAATACGCTATGACGTTTGGGGTGTTTCCTGTGCAGAAGTGGAAGTCGATATGCTAACAGGAGACTTCCTGTTACGTAGAGTGGACATAAGCCAAGATGTTGGCGAGAGTCTGAATCCGGCAATCGACATAGGTCAGATTGAAGGCGCTTTCGTGATGGGCTTGGGTTTCTGGCTACAGGAGAAGATCATCTATCATCCGGGCACTGGGGAAATTTTGACGAATAGAACGTGGAACTACAAGCCACCAGGAGCCAAGGACATTCCAGTAGACTTCAGGGTGTCTTTCATGAACAGGAAGAATTTACCGACTGGAATTCTGGGCGCTAAAGCGACTGGAGAACCTTCCCAATGCTTATCACTATCGGCTATTTTTGCTCTGAGAAATGCCATTGAATCTGCGAGGAAAGACGCTGGCTTAGAACATTGCTTTATTCAAATGGACGCACCGACAACTAAAGAAGATATTCTATTACTTTCTGGGACCAATTCAAAGCAATTTCAACTGTGAACATGGCTAAAAAATGAACCTTACTTCTTACTTTAACTGAAATGTGTGGTGCTTGAACTCTTTGTCTTGATACAAATATCTTCAATTTCATGATGAAATACTTATAAATATAAACATACATATTGGCGGAAAAGCAAGTGGTTTCCATGCGATCCAGGCGCGTCTGGCCAGGATGAATGGCACTCAGTGCAGATTCTGCTCGCCCGGAATGGTCATGAGCATGCTTAGCCTGACGAGAGCTGCAAACGACGCGTATCGATGGCAGAAGTCGAGAACAGCCTCGGAGGATCTTCGGGAAGTGGGTGGGTGGTGGTGGGTGGTGCTGATGTTGAGTGTTCCAGTGTGTGCACGTTGCGTCAACAGCAGTGTTTAAATTGCAGTTCTTCGTGCTTTAAGAGAAGCACTTCGGTCGCTTCAGCTCACATCTGGCGATGCTGGTTGAGCAATTGTGAGCAACTTTCGCCCTTGACATCCGCACATTTCACACGCATACGCGCTCATCCGTGATGTGGTACACACGTGAGGCGTCACGAAGAAGTGAAAGCGCGTTGGCAAAAACTGCTGCTGGGCGCACACTGATTAAATACGACAATGCCCGCAGAGCGTAGCTGGTGAATATATTCGTGAATATGAAAATCAGTTGGAAAGTCTTGCTCGTCACTAACTGACACTCTTTCTAGGGCGCGCGGCGATAAAGGTGAGTGTTGAAGACTTTTAAGGGGGCCCTCTTGCTGGGTGATGTTATTGTGCTAACTGTGGTGTTTGTTGTGCAACAGAGGACCAGGATGCTGGGACGTGTGGTGAAGTACGGAGTGTTGGGTGGGACACTCCTAGGCAGTGGCTACAGTCTGCACGCGAATGACTACAACGTGAACTCCGTGGCGCTGGTGCGCTTGGCCAATGCGGGTCTGGCCATCTATGACATCGCCTGGGTGTATAAGCGACAGCTGTACTATCGCGAGTGGGACAAGACGACGTCAGAGTATGCTCAGCAGAAGATTGTGTGCCACAAGATCGCGGCGGAGCGACTGTTGGAGCTCATCCGGACGAACAGGGGTGTGTACATCAAGGTGGGACAGCACATTGGAGCGCTGGAATACCTGCTACCTAGTGAGTTTGTGCAGACAATGAAGGTGCTGCACAGCAAGGCGCCGCAGAACAGTGTTGAGGATCTATTCAGAGTCATCCGGCAGGATCTGAAGCGCGATCCGCGCGAGGTGTTTGATGACTTCGAGGCGGAGCCTCTGGGCACAGCGTCTCTGGCGCAGGTGCACCGTGCCCGGCTGAAAGACAGCGGCAGTGTGGTGGCGGTGAAGGTGCAGCATCCATATGTGCGTGGGAACTCTATAGTGGACATGAAGACAATGGAGATGTGCTGCCGCCTGATGGCGTGGATCTTTCCGGACTTCAACATGCAGTGGCTGGTGGAGGAGTCCAAGCGGAATCTACCAATTGAGCTGGACTTCCTCAATGAGGGACGCAACGCTGAACAGATCGCCAGCATGTGTCAATCGTACAAATGGCTGAAGATCCCGAAAATTCACTGGGAATACTCCACGGATCGTGTGCTGGTGATGGAATACGTTGAGGGTGGCCAGGTGGATGATCTGGAGTACATGCAGCGCCACAAGATTGATCCCATTGAGGTGTCCAATCATTTGGGCAGTCTCTATGCCAACATGATCTTCGTGAATGGCTTCGTGCACAGTGACCCACATCCGGGTAACATTCTGGTGGCCAAGACACCGCGCGGAGACACCCAAGTCATGCTGCTGGACCACGGGCTGTACTCCACACTCACAGACCAGTTTCGCTACGACTATTCCCAACTCTGGCTCAGCATCCTACGCGTGGATCGGCCAGCGATGCGTGAGTACAGCGCAAAGCTGGGTATCCGTGGGAATCTCTATGGCATCTTCGCCTGTATGGTCACCGGACGACCCTGGGAGGCCGTCCTCACGGGTATCGATCGCACGCGTGCGTCCACCAGCGAGAAGAAGACCATTCAGAGTGAGACGTCAGACGTGTTGCCCCAAATTGCCGACGTGCTGGAGCACGTGGACAGGCAAATGTTGCTGATCTTGAAGACAAACGATCTCATCCGCAGCATCGAGACCACGCTGGGTACACAGAACCGCCAGACTGCCTTTTCCGTAATGTCCCGCTGCTGCATCCAGACGGTTTTCCGCCAACAACAAGCTCAGACGACGTCCGAATGGACGCGATTCGCCCTCAAGCTCAGGCAGACCTTTATGCACCTCAAGATGTCTCTGTACTATACGTATCTGTGGATACTAAACTCCAGAATCTGGTCATAGTTATATATAAACAGTCTACGCTTTATTTACAGCCCGTTTTTTACTCTTCCAGCATGCCGCTGGGCTTGAAGTGGTTCACAATGTTTACTGTCCAGTCAGATTCGCTGCAATTGGTGAATTCCTTGATGAATCTGAAGTTGCAAATCAAGATCCTTCCTCTGTACTCTGGCATTACTCTGCAAAAAAGGGATGTATGTATCCAGAACCATTAGGGGAGATTGTGAGGCAGGCTGACACACTCCCCTAAGTTGATCGATGGAGACTCTCCGCGTCTGGAATTCTGGGCGCTAAAGCGACTGGAGAACCTTCCCAATGCTTATCACTATCGGCTATTTTTGCTCTGAGAAATGCAATTGAATCTGCGAGGAAAGACGCTGGCTTAGAACATTGCTTTATTCAAATGGACGCACCGACAACTAAAGAAGTTATTCTATTACTTTCTGGGACAAATTCAAAGCAATTTCAATTATAAACATGGCTAAAAAATGAACCTTACTTCTTACTTTAACTGAAATGTGTGGTGCTTGAACTCTTTGTCTAGATATAAATATCTTTAATTTCATGGTGAAATACTTATAAATATAAACATACATATATTGCAAAATATCTAGATATAATTCATTAAAGACATCAAGTTGCTTTTCTTGTGCAATCGACTCACATGATAAAAGCAGAGATGATCAATATCGCACTTTGAGAGTTTTTTTTTCATGCATTCACACCATTGTCATCATTAGGTTTGGTAATTTGGTTTTAGGATATAATGAATTATGTTCGTTCCAATTCAATTCCTTTTATTTCATTGGAATTGCCACTTGCCAGTATCCAAAATTTCACATGCTCGAATTTCGTTAGTTGCTTCTCGTCAGTCAGTGAGGTAAGATCGTATAATAATGGGAACAAATCAAGGAAAGTTTTCAGATCGTCACGACAGGGCTCTTTCCTGGAAAGATCTCATTTTCAGCATCAATGGAAAACGATTCAATGGTGAGTTTAAGATCAAACATAAGTAATTGAATAACGTAAGACTTCTTTTCAAACCTTTGAAGTTCGACCAGGAAGTATTCCTCATGATACTTCTCTCAACTCCTTTATCCGCATTTATGCGGGACTCACGGGGACGAAGTTCATGTGCAGAGAAGGCGGTTGTGGCTGCTGCATTGTTATTATAAGGTAAAAACTTACTTTGTCTCAGTGATTGATTCCGAAATTTTATGAGGCTACAATTGAAGAGTGCCAAAAAATGGAAGAGAAATCAATGGTTTCTATTTTAAGGCGATATGATCCATTGAGTGGAAAAGACTGGGTTGGATCAGTGAACTCTTGCCTGGTGTCCGTTTTCTCGTGTCACGGAATGGAAGTCGTGACGATCGAAGGAATTGGCGGGAAAGCGAGTGGTTTCCATGCGATCCAGGCGCGTCTGGCCAGGATGAATGGCACTCAGTGCGGATTCTGCTCGCCCGGAATGGTCATGAGCATGCTTGGCCTGATCGAGAGCCACAAAGGACGCGTGTCGATGGCAGAAGTCGAGAACAGCCTCGGAGGAAACATCTGCAGATGCACTGGATACCGACCAATCCTGGACGCCTTCAAATCCCTGGCCGATGACGCCGATCCCACTCTGCCTTCCTGCCCAGACATTGAAGATCTCCCGATGAGATGCATTTTCGCTGGAGAGCCGCCCTCTAAGTTCGACTGTGATTTCGTGCGCTTCGGGCTCGAGAACGGCCGAGAGTGGTTCAGAGTGACGAGTGTGGAGCACGTGCTGAAGATCTTCGAGAAGTCGCACAATCGTCCTTACATGCTCGTGGCGGGAAACACTGGCCACGGCGTCTTCCGCCGCAGGGAAGATCTCGAGATCTTCATTGACGTGAGTGGCGTCGAGGAAATGAGGATCATGACTTTGGGAGACACTCTGGAAGTGGGCGCCGCCGTGACTCTGTCGGAATTCATGGGCTTCCTGACCGAGGCTTCAGAGGCGAAGCGGGAATTCTCGTACTGTCGGCAACTCGTGCGTCATCTCGATCTTGTGGCTCATCCGGCGGTGAGAAACCTGGCCACGATCGGAGGCAATCTGAGCTTGAAGCACCAGCATCCGGAGTTCCCGTCGGACATTTTCCTCCTTCTGGAAACTGTGGGCGCCTTCCTCACCATCGTGGACAGCGACGGAGTGCACAGAGTCACTTCCGTGGAGGAATTCATGTTCAAGTCCATGCGCAAACGAGTCATCCTGAAAGTGATTCTGCCCCCTCTGCATCCGGACAAGTTCTGCCTGGCCACGTACAAGATCATGCCTCGGGCGCAGAACGCCCACGCGATGGTCAACGCGGGATTCCTCTTCAAGTTCAGCCCAGGAAGAAGCGTCGCTCAGTCGGCCAGGATTTGCTTCGGCGGAATCAACTCGAGGTTCATTCACGCCTCGAAAACGGAGAATCTCGTGATGTCCAAGAGTCTGTTCTCCAATGAGACCGTCGCTCTTCTCATGGCTTCCTTGAACGAGGAGCTGAAGCTGGACTGGATTCTTCCGGATCCGTCGCCGAGGTATCGGAAACTCCTCGCTTTGGGACTCTTTTACAAAGCCATTCTGAGTGTGGCTCCTGTGGAGAGAGTGAGGGATTTTCTTAGAAGTGGCGGTGAGGAGATTTATCGTACTCTGTCTTCGGGAAGACAGAGCTTAACAGGTGTAGAAAATTCAATGGCTAAGCTTGAGGGTCAGATTCAATGCAGCGGAGAAGCAAAGTACGTTAATGACTTACCGTACATGCTTCATGAAGTTTGTGCTGCTTTCGTCCCTGCAACTGAAGTGAGTTCTACGATTTTGGATATTGACGCTTCGGAAGCTCTTAAGATCCCTGGAGTTGTGGCGTTTTTCAGCGCAAAGGATATACCTGGAATTAATTCATACATGACTCAAGTTCTAATACAACCCCTTGATGTGGTTGGACCCGAGGAAGTTTTCTGCAGCGGGAAAGTCCAATATCACAGTCAACCAGTGGGAATCATTCTTGCTGAATCCATGAACATTGCTTTAAAAGCAGCAAAATTTATTCGGATAGTTTACTCTCGTCGAGCCGAGAAAAAGCTCTTATTAACAATTGACGATGTCTTGAATGCTGGTGACCACAGTCGAATTATAAACTTTGCAACTCGATTGAATCGCGAAAGAGAGGGAAATGAAACCGCAGCCACTATATCGGGAAAACTACGATTCAGTACTCAATATCATTTCCATATGGAAACACATACGACAGTTTGTGTTCCAACGGAATCAGGGTTGGATGTTCATTGTTCCACTCAATTTCTGCACTTTACGCAAACAGGAATCTCTCGAGTCTGTAATATTCCTCAGAATTCTATAAGAATGAGGCTAGAACGAATGGGAGGGAGTTTTGGCGGAAAAACATCAAAGTCCGCGCATGTTGCTTGTGCAGCAGCATTGGCTTGCTTAAAGCTTCAACGACCAGTTCGATTTGTCATGACGATTGAAGATAATATGATGATTATGCCAAAGAGATTTCCAGGAAACACTTACTATGAAGTGGAAGTGAACAAAACAGGGATGATACAGAAGCTGGGTGGTACAGCATACATCGACCTGGGATCGTCTGTAAATGAAGTAAAAAACCTCTACTTGATAATCGATATCAGTACCAGTCTGTATGACTCTTCAACATGGTCTTTGGATTACAAGTAAGATCATTTTAGACTGAAGTATCTTCATATTCTTACATGCAGTTCTACATATTTCAGAGGGGTTCACACAGATGTTCATCCTCATACATGGTTCAGAGCTCCAGGTTTTGTTGAGGCTCATGCTACGTTTGAGAATATAATGGAACACATTGCCAAAGAATTACGCATAGATCCCCTAGAAGTTCGTTTAGCCAATCTGCGTGCAGACTCTCCAATGAAGAGTATTATTCCTGAATTCTTACAACAATGTAATTACGAAATTAGGAAGGAACGAGTAGAAGTATTTAACGCTGCCAATCGTTGGAGGAAAAGAGGAATTGCCTTTGTCCCTCTGAATTATCCTATACTGACAGGTACACGCTATGCAGTTTTCGTGGCAGTTTACGCGGTAGACGGAAGCGTTAGCGTCTGCCATGGAGGAATTGAGATGGGACAAGGAATTAACACAAAAGTAGTTCAGATCGCTGCCCGAGCTTTAGGAGTTCCTGTGGAAACAGTAAAGATTGAGGCTCCAAACACATTCGTGAACGCCAACGGAATGGTTACAGGCGGGTCTCAAAGTACGGACATCGTAGGAAAAGTAAGCCTTTTTCGTTACTGTAATTCTATAAGATGCAATTAATCTGATAAACAATATTTCTCTTTAGCTCGTTCTAGAAGCTTGCAATATAATTCTGGAGCGCTTGAAGACTGTTCGTGAGGAAAAACCCGCAGCTTCTTGGCCTGAACTCGTAACAACTGCTTATGAGCGTGATATATCCTTATCGGTGCTTGTAAGTGACAACGAATCTCACCATCTTTCCTATAACGTTTATGGCGTTTCCTGTGCAGAAGTGGAAGTCGATATGCTAACAGGAGACTTTCTGTTGCGTAGAGTGGACATAAGCCAAGATGTTGGCGAGAGTCTGAACCCGGCAATTGACATAGGTCAGATTGAAGGCGCTTTCGTGATGGGATTGGGTTACTGGCTACAGGAGAAGATCATCCGAAATTCAGAGACGGGAGAGATTTTGACGAATAGGACGTGGAACTACAAGCCACCAGGAGCCAAGGACATTCCAGTAGACTTTAGGGTCTCCTTTATGAAAAAGCAGAATCTTCCAGCAGGAATTCTGGGCGCCAAAGGTGTTGGAGAACCTGCTATTTGCATGTCGATTGTGGCTACTTTTGCTTTGAGGAATGCCATTGAATCTGCAAAGAAGGATGCTGGCATTGAGTCTTCTTTCATTCCAATGGACCCACCAACAACTAAAGAAGATATTTTGATGCTTTCAGGAACACATTTTGGTCAATTTCAGTTCTAATAACTGTTTCTTTTATTTAAAGTGTATACATATGTTTAGTGAATACATTAAATACTCCAGTTAAATACATAATTTTCCGCTAAACGCTTCTTTCTTATCAATATTTTCTGCTGATTCTGGTGCGTATGATCACACTTAGAAAATGTCTTTGCGCAATCTGCTCCTCCTAAACCAAGAAGAGCTGCCTTGAGACTGTCTATGATCGATACCATTATGGATTGATCTGTGATCACTCTGGACGAATACCACGTCATCCCGAGACTCCACAGCGGGATCCAGTACTTTGTAGAGTCCGTAAAGCTCCTTGATAGTTTGTTGTTTTCGCAGATTGCCAACTGCAAACAAGTTCCCTTGTCTTTATGAGCTACTCGAGCTGCGTCGATTGACATGAGAGTAATCCTCGCTAGATCGTTCATCTTCATCACCATTGTATAGGCAGCTTCTCTCTTCCCTCTGATCTCTTCAGTCTCTGGATTCATGCCCATCGGCATCATCATGTTGTTGTTGTTCGATTCCTACGGAAGAAAAAATCATTTCGTTGTCACATGATGCTCTATTCTTGGCACTATTCGATATATTTGACTTACCATTGTTATGCACATGATAACGTGAAGAATAAACATTCCAAATGATAGGAAAGCGAGTGTTGTAAGGGCGATTTCGAAGAGATCCTTGAGTCCCAGTGATTTACTGAACTTAGATTCCTGCATTGAATAGTCATCATGATCGAAATAGCCTGCGAGAACATAGACAATCCCCTCAATATTTCTTCCTTGAACATTCAATGAATTGGAAGTGAGTCACCTGGAGCAGTGAGAATCTCATTGGTATTGAGAAAGTCTGTAGAGAGATGAAAATTCTTGCCAAAGTCCTCGACAGAGATAGGAGAGTGACTCACGGTGAAGTATGTGTACGGAAATGAAGAGGACATGCCTTCATGCATTAAGAAAGAGTACAGGAAGAACAAGAGTTAAAATTCGACTTCTCTAGAGACTCGTCCTACCGGTCTTACTTCCTGCTGTTGCCTGAGGGTGCACGTGCGTGTCGTAGTACTGCTCATATGGCATGGAGTAAGTCATTGGATGGTTTTCCGGCTGAGAATACTGACCATAGTGCATGTTGGTGTGCATTCCGTCCCCATCTTGCACTTCAGTAACCGGAGGATTATGCACGGCGTATCCTAAACACGAGGTAGTTTGGAAACCATTTTCTTCATTTTTTCTATACAGATTCTCTTACCTGTGACATCGCCCTCTTCGTAATCAGTCTCCCACTCGTATTCCGCATTATCCTTATCAAATGTCCTGTCAAAACGCCTCTTTGGCTCCAAACTTATATCCCTTTTCATGTAATTGTCATAAATATCCTCGAGTGTTGATGACTTCTCAAGCCAATTGCTGTATCCTTGCGAGCCCTCATCGCGCATCATATTTCCTTGAGGATTAATCTTTAGCATCCCAAGAGATTCATTTCCCGCCACGACTCCAGTTCTTTTTGAGAGAATACGAGAAGGAAACATCTCCGAGATGAGATTTTCAGTAAGAAAATTGCTGCATTTGTACTCGTTAATCTTGTCTCTGTGAAATCTCATCGTGGAGAAGGCATTCCTCCAACTTCCGTCCTCGCTTTTGTTTCTTTCAATCACTTGAAAGGGCTATTAATAAGAGAACAAAAACACTTTTTTTTAGGGAAACAGAGTAATATTCTTTGAAAATTATGATATGATTTATTGATGGAAAACTATTAACTGCTCATAAAGTAATCAAAATCTGATAAGAAAATGAGTTTTTCAAATAGCAATTCTGGTGAGAAGAGATGAGTGAATGTAGCAAATTTACAATTTTCACACTCAATTAATTAATTAAATAAAGGTTCAACCTTCACCTGCACGTTTTGGCCAACAAAAAGCGCCGCGGGCATTAGACTATCACTCAGGATGTCCTCCACGTTTACGGCGAAGTCCTGCATTTTGCAGGCGAAGCCGGAAAAACACGCTACAATCCACAAGACTCGCTGCATTCTGCGGCGACACTGAGACACTCTCGTCAGCAGAATTGCCATTTATTCAGCCAACGCGTTCCGCTCTGAGCGCGGCATTAACTCGACTAAACGTGTGATAATTGGGGATTTCTATGCTTGGCTTCTCCGCCACAGGACATTGCCTTTGCGGGTCGCTCTCAGACACTCTTCTCTCTTGCCAGACGCTCCAGTTTCCGCGAGATCTGCCAGAAGTCGACGCCCCTCGTCAGCTTCACATACTTCACCTTCCGGATCTCCTCCACTGAGAGCCACTCGTTCACCTCCTTCTGCAGCACTTCGATCAGGCTCTCGATGGCGCACGCGGAAAGATTTTGCCGAAAGCTGTTGGCGATCTTCCTCAGCACCAGATCCAGCGCCAGGCAGGCTTTCTTCTCCGTCAGGAAGATGTTGCGAATGTGTTTGGCTAAATCTGGCAGACGACTGTATGTAAGAGCCTCTTGATCCTGACTCGGACGCCTCGTCATTGCATCCAGTGCCTTTGCGGCCTGTTTCGCGCGGATCTTCTCCAGTAATTTTGCTGGGACGCGCTTCAACAAGTCAGAAACTACGGCTTCTGGCCTTGTGGTTTCCTCAAGTGTTGCTTGCTGCGACTCCAGCAATTCTGTGGTTCTCTCGAGAGGCGTTGAACAGTTGAAGAGGTTCTTGGCTGCTGACAAAACATCTTTGGCTGAGGAAAACTTATCTTCATTCGGTGGTCGAGGAAGATCCGCTTCTGGGATGACTGAACAACCTTCCAGATCAAATTCCGGATGCCATCGAGTAATTTTCTGCATGGGAATCACCATTGGAGGCTTCAATGACTTCAGAAAGACATCATGTTCTCGCCTCACTCTGTTCTCAAGTACTTCCTGGAAGAACTTCTGTCTCTCAGTCAGGATTTGCGGGCTTAAATGCTCCTTCGCAGGTTCAATGATGAGCTGATAGTAGTCCTGCTTCGACGTGGAGCCGTAGTTGCGCGTCTTGGACTGATGGAAGCTGTATGCTTCAGGAAAGATCAGCTTTATCTGCCCCAAATGAGTCACAGTGAAGGTTTTCCTGCACATTCGTTGCACTGCCGGCTTCAGTTTCTTGAACGTAATGGTTTCCCTACGATTGTGGAACATTGCACACACAGCATCGCAGTTCTTGAAGATCTCTAGGAGTTGGCGATATTTGGACGGCAACTGAATTCCTGGCCGACCGCTCTCGATCAAAGAGGCGTGCTTCTCATAGGCTGGAACTTCCGAAGAGCCTTCAATCGACTCCGGTTCTGCCTTCAGTGGACTGAAGAGTGTCTTCCGGACTCGAGAATCCTTCCGAGGACTCATCAATGCGCTGTCCGGCTTGCTTCCGGACTTCTTGGGCGTCGGTGTCTTCATCTTCATGGGGGATTTGAAGACCTTCGTGGGACTGGAAAAACAAACAGCATTTATTAACCCATTTTAGGGAGATTGGAGAGTCAGCAAATAAAGTGCAGTGCATGAAAATGCGTGACTTCCTCACCTAATAACTTCCAAGTCTAGTTTATCGAATTTCTTAAGCGATTGACCCTCTTCTTCGCGCTCCACTTTAGTTGGAGTCTTGTTCTGTTTCATGAGCTCCTGGCGTTTCTTCTCCAGCTCCTGTAGTTTCTGCAATTGCGCCTTGAGTGCCGGAAGCTTGCGACTCTTCTTAATCTTCTCCTGGATCTCCTTCATTGACAATTCCAGGGCGGCTTTCTTCGGAGACTCTGCATTCTCCTGACTATTATTGCATGGAAAAGTTTCCTCTTTGGCCGCTGCAGTTTTCTGCACCGGGAGAAGCCTCTTTTTCCGGGAAGCCACAGCCACTTGACGTTTCTCAGTGAGGTTAGATTTGGTTTTCCCTGCATTTTCGAGTTTTTCAACAGTCTCACAGACTTTTTGCACTGGAAAATCAGTAATACATCAGCTAGTCTTTCTTTTGATTACTAAATTTCCCGGAAAACTCACCTTTTGCTTCATTCTGGACTGCAGCGAGTTTGAGAGCGTCACCATCAGAACCAAGCAAGAGTTTCTTGCTCGTGGGAGCACACAAATAATCGCTTGCACACCTCTTCCTCGTGTTGAAGAAGCTGTTGATTGGCGGTTGATACATTATCCAGTAAGTCTGATTAACTATTTTCAGTGGAAACGACACTTTTCTATGGAAAACAGACACACGATGCGTTCAGTGTTTTTCCCGCCAAACTAACAGCTTGACGCACGGAATTGTGTGAGCCTCAAAGTTTCGACCGGCGGTTCTCACCAATTCAAACTGGTTTGCTACATACTTCACCTCATAAAAAGTACCCTCCAAGTTTAAAAGTTTATTACCTTTGTTTCCTTTTCAACAACATTAACTCTCCTTTTATACTCACCTTTCATTAGCAATGTGTCTTAAATGAAATTTTGCGTCCACTGCTTTTCTTTTCCTTTTAATGCTGTACGGTCCCAGCCTTTCGGCCACAAGACCACACGTCCAATGTTATAATACATTATATAGAGGATGTCCCAACATCTATCAACGTTTCATCGGTGTTGATCAAGCCCTTATTAATTTCTTTGTTTTGTTATCAAACTGTGTGGTCAGTCTTTTAAAGCCACAAGCACATATTGTACATCCTCAATTTTAACAGTCGATAGTTTGCAAAATTTTTAAGTCATTTAAGCGCGGGTAAATGTCTACTGAGTGCTGACAGCGCCACGTGCGGTTTCGCGAGTCATTACGAGTGGCTTGCAAACGACTTCAATCCATTGGCCGCCATTGTCACTAGAATTTTCGTGTATGTGCAAAAAATCCATTCGGAGGCCCTTTTAGGAGTTTTTTCCGCATAAATTTGTGCCTCCGGAAGCGTCTTGGGGCGCGCACTGTGGCGATTGTTACGTGGAGTGTGAAGTGCCGTCGGTGGCGAGTGGACAATGAATAGCAAATCGGATGTAAATAGGCGTGTTTTAGTGATACAGGCTAAGAAGAAACGTCATAAGCCCAATAAGAAGAAAGCCAAGGGGCAGGTGGAGGATTTCGGTGGTGAGAGTAACACAGGGGCACCTCAGGGAGCGGACAGGGCGTCCCCGGTGGAGACTGATCTGGCCACAGCCTCACCGGATACCGTGTCCACGTTCAACCATCATGCCGAGCCGTCGCACAGCTCCTCGAATGAGACAATCGAGGACTTCGACAAGATGTACACGAGCGAGGAGGAGGAGCAGGAGAGCCGAGAGGACTACTGCAAGGGTGAGTAGATGGAAATTGCATGAGGAAAGTGACCAGAACAACTTCACGGCCGACATTCTTGGCGCGTCGCCCGTCCGGAAGTGATTTTGACTATTCTAATGTTGAATCACTCGCAGGTGGCTATCATCCCGTGAAGATTGGCGACCTCTTCCAGGAGCGCTACCACGTGACGCGGAAGCTAGGTTGGGGCCACTTTTCCACCGTGTGGCTATGCTGGGACCTCAAGGATAAGCGCTATGTGGCCCTGAAAATCGTCAAGTCGGCGCCACACTTTACGGAAACCGCCAAGGATGAGATCAAGATCCTGAAGGCGGTGCGCGACTCCGACCCTGCCGATCCTTTCCGCAACAAGACAGTGCAACTGCTCAATGACTTCAAAATCAGCGGCGTGAATGGAACGCACATCTGCATGGTGTTCGAAGTGCTGGGCCACAACTTGTTGAAGCTCATCCTCAAGTCCAACTATCGTGGCATCCCGCTGCCCAACGTGAAGGCCATCATTCGACAGGTGCTGCAGGGGTTGGACTATCTGCATCGCAAGTGCAAGATCATCCACACGGACATCAAGCCGGAGAATGTACTTATCTGCGTGGACGACGCATACATCCGGAAGTTGGCGTGCGAGGCGACGGAGCTGCACGCGATGGGTCTCAAGTTGCCCTACTCGCTCATCTCCACGGCGCCTCAGCAGTACCAAGAGCCTCCGATCACTGGAAAGCTGAGCAAGAACAAGAAGAAGAAGCTGAAGAAGAAGGCCAAGCGACAGAGTGAACTCATACGGAAGCAGATGGAGCAATTGCATGAGATGGAGGCCATCAGCGAGGAGGTGAAGCCCGATGATGCCGAGGAGGACAACAAAGCCCAAGTGACTGACATTAAGGATGAATCTCCGCCAATCGTGTCGACCGACGAGTCAGCGTCCCTCATGAATGGTCGCGCGTCCACTGAAGAAGGTGAGCTAAGCACGTGGTCTTGGTCAAAAGTGTTTGCGATGTGACATTTCTTTTTCCATCGTGTCAGCAGTTCTGAAAAATGTGCCAATCTCTTGTTTTCACCTCAGTCAATGGAGATTCTCAAGTGTGGTCTAATTTATGCAGAGTAAAAGTAAACAAGAGCTGCACAAAGTGTCAATGATGAAAATATGCAGAATATCGAACGAACATGTCTGGCAGTTTATCTACATAACTATGTATGTAGGTAGATAACAGTTTAGTCAGTTTAGCCTGTTTTGCACATTACATTCATCGGTTCTATCTAGAGAGCCTCTTCAAGATAAGATTTACTGATTAATTGGTGCTGTTGTACGATTGACGTCAAGTTGAAAGGATGGCAGGTGGAGAAACTAAGGATTGGGGAGTGCCAGTCATTCAACTTGAAATGAATTGTGTCACGATGTGAATTTGCCGCAAAAGTCTGGCTCATCATAGGCTAATCACAGCGGATGTCTTTAAATGTCCTTTATCTCATGAAAATTCTCCACAAACAAATCCTTTGAAGAACAGTCATGTCTAAATATTACTTTCACTATCTCTCGATATGTCCATGCTTTATTGATTCTTTCATCATGTGTGCATACATACATATGTGTTGATTTTCCAGTTCAGTAAAGGAGAATCTCCTCGTAACACTCGTTTCTCGTGTCTCCCTCCACGCCCCAAACTTTGTCGTTACATCGTGACTATAATAGGAAGAGAAGGTATCGAGAGATTTTGTATCCGCTGAGGTGAATTATTTGACGGAAATCCCTTTAATTGGTATATTTTTCCACCTGGAAGATTGAATTGGCATCCTTTTGGGGAAATGGTTATTGCGCCGCCATTTAAGGTCAGACACTGTCCGATGAACTCTGTCTCGAGTGACATGTTCATGTACGCAAGTTGTGGTTGCGAAGACAATCAATCAACATTGATTTTTTTGTTTGTTGTTTACCAGAGGGTAGAAAGGGATGTCTTTTGACTGTGTTCTCACACCCTGTCTCTGCTTTTTTTCTATCTTTGCAGCGCTCGCGAGTGACGAGAGGGGCGACGACGAGGAGACAACGCCCACGGAGAAGGGTGAGGAGTATCTGGAGGCTGGCGGCGGCGAGGCGGAGGACGATAATGAGGCGCCGAAGGTGGCCAAAGATCAGCTGGATCCGGCGTTCGATGTGTGTGATATTGAAGTGAAGATCGCGGATTTGGGCAATGCGTGCTACGTGACCAAGCACTTCACGGAGGACATTCAGACGCGCCAATACAGGTCCATCGAGGTGATTCTGGGCTGCGGCTATGACACCTCGGCGGACATCTGGAGCACAGCATGCATGGCGTTCGAGCTGGCCACGGGCGATTACCTGTTTGAGCCACACTCCGGGCAGAATTACTGCCGCGACGAGGACCATATCGCCCACATGATCGAGCTGCTGGGCCCGATTCCGCAGAAGCTGGTGTTCGGCGGCTCCATGTCGCAGGTGATCTTCAACAAGAAGGGCGAGCTGAAGCACATTACGGGACTGAAGCCGTGGGGACTCGTGGCCGTGCTGACTGAGAAGTACGAGTTTAACTACGAGGACGCCTACAAGTTTGCAGACTTCCTGCTGCCGATGCTGGAGTATGACAGGGAGAAGCGCGCCTCGGCGCAGCAGTGTCTTCAGCATCCTTGGCTTCAATCACCGTGAAGGTATCTTTTTATAATGACACTGACACATAGAGAAATGAGAATTAGTTGACTATCTGCGAATTGAAATTATGAGATGAAAGACATTTGAATGGAGAAAAGAAATTAGGAGAGTTAAATGTTGTTTTATATAAATTATCAGAGAAATCAATAGGATTTTCTTTCATCTTCAAATTCATAAACTCTTCGTTGTGCAAAACACACAGGAAAATTTGCAATTGACATGAATGTTGATCATGTTTTAGTTAGTATCTTTCAAATATAATTTCCTATTTTTTTCTTTCATTTATTATGAGTCTGTAAATTGTGCTGGACGTTTTCTGATGCCTTCTAGGAATCTGTGTAAGTTCTCAAGTCGATTGCAAATTGAATATATATGGTAATATCCACATAATGTATAATGTTATACGATGAATCTACTGAAATGTTTTTTTTCTTTGGCTTTGATACTGTCAGCATGATGAAAACTGAAAAGTTAAATATTTTCAGGACCAAGGTTATTAAGTGCAACCTTGTTCTCTGAATGTCCTAGGGTGGCACACTAGGACGCTTGTTAAAGCGGACATCTTAATATTTTGACAGATGTGTGACTGAAAAATACTTTATGTGGATATTACAGTTGAACTTGAACATCTTGTAATTTTGTCTTAAAATCAAATTGCCCCAATAAGAAGCTGCAAGTAATTTTGATTAATTCCCTGTTTCGATCGAAAGATTTGTAAAGCCCAGAAAATCCTGTGTTTTCTGATAAAGAATGCGCTTAAAATGAGCTGCTCACCTCGTGCATAATTTTGCTGAGATAAATGAGATGCGATGAAGTTATTAGAGAAGGGAGAAATACTGTATATATGATATTTCAGATTTGTATGCGTAATTTCATATTTAAAGAAGAAAAGAAATGAGAAATAAGTGAAATAATAGAGAATATGATATAAGACAGTGTTTAGGGTAACAGGAGATCCCCAAAAAATGCTTCGTGAAGATATTGAAACCCGCCAGAGTGCACTGAAAAAATATCCTGAACCCTAAGCATAGATGAAATTATTGTGAGAGCAACAATAAGATGATTTTTTTTTCAATAAATGTGACGTTCATTTGAGTTTATTTGTTGAGAGAAAGAGGCTTTCAAGCAGTTTCCGCGAGAAAGTCTCTGAGTTTATCTGACAACTTTATAGAACAAGAGAAGTTATGTGAGAGAAGAGCGTCGAATACGCAATTCAGGCGGTTGAAGAGTATATTTAGGAGAAGAGGAGAGTAAATATAATGGAATATTGCTGTAGCGTGGAAGATGCAAAGAATTGGTGAGATGTGACGATTGAATGCACGTAAAATCTTCCATCCAAATACACACAACAACTTCACAAAGTGGATGTTAACTGCAGAGTTGATGTATTTTGAGTTTAAAACTTACCCTCTAAGTTTAGGAGTGCTTAATGGTATGAATTACATATGTCCTTAACTCACCGCGAAAACCAATGATTTGTTTCTACTTACGATTGTTTTTTTTTTTGAGAAAAAAGAGCACTTTTAAGGCGAGAGAAGACTGAAAAGAATTATATCGTTTTTGCCCCTGATTCTGTCCTGCAAACTGGATGGTAGATGTTACACGACCCCAGAACAATAAATCAATCAATTCTATAAATAAATAAAGTCCTCAATGATGATGATTGTAGTGAAGCCCAGGTGAAGAATTGTTAAATGATTCAAGAAAGAAAGAAAAAAAAACTCCATAGTATCTTTGTATAAAATACTCATAAATAGATGGTAAATATTGGAAGGAAAGAGTAAAGATGCGCGGTAGTGATGAGAATATTTGTGAATGGAGAATGTAGATTTTCTCGAGTGACGCGACTCCCCTTTTAATGGAAGAAAAAGTATTCACCTCTCTCAAACTACATGCAGAAATATTCAAACATGATAATTTCATCATTATTGAGAAAGAAACAAACTGATATCCAATAAAATCATCCACAAAAACCAGTGTTTCCCTACATAAAAGATTATTGAGACTTGATGGAGTTCGTTAGTTGGACCAAAATTCGAATTTTGGGACATCAGCTGAGTAATCGATGAATTCCTGGGACGCAATTTGCAGTGAGTGTCAAGATGACAACGCCGTCAGAAGTGAGTAATCTATTTTCCAATGTTTTTAATTCAATTTTCACCCCATAATCGGCTTATTTCAACCCCAAAACATCTTGAAAACCACCAGCCGACATCCCCACGTGATTTCACGTTATTAGATTTGCAAATTCAGGTCGCAAAGCGTGGTATTTTCACACAACAAGATCATGACCATTGCAGTGAGTTTTTCCTTGTGGCACGTCAGTGGAAAATATTGAACACATCAGCTTGAATGTACATCTTTCGATACATTTTCCACTCTTGCCATGCTTTTATTGTTAGTCACAGCGTGGTCGTGATAAAGGAGTTAAGAAAATATTTAACACTGCTGATGAATGTCCGAAGCTGTGTGATTTTCATGAGAGAAATTGGCCGTGGAATTGAACAGCAGAATCGCCTTGTTTAGGCACTTTTACATATTGATATTTCGCGGTGATTCGGATAAAACGTGGGATTAAAGGCCTTCCCTTGCTGGCAATGAGCTTCGGCAAGGTAGTCAAAAGTGCAACTAAAGTGGAAGGCACACTGAACAATTGACCATCAAAATGGGACATCAAATCAAATTTGGGTGTCTTCGCTATTGAAAATATACATAAATGGCATAGATTAAAACCAAGAGTAGTAATACAAGATTATTGCTAAATTTCCGAACTTTTACAAGTTGAAGAAATTTGCAATGTTTGAGTTTTTCAGAACTGGAGAGCAAAAGATTGATAGTTGATATTGTTCTTAAAACTTACTTGCTTTGTGCAATCAATATGTCATAAATAGGTATTTTACAAAAGTAGTGTTAAAAAAAGTACTCAAAAAAAACGCGTTGGTCTTATTAAAGTTATCTTATCACCATGCAGATTAATTGATTCTTTTCTGAAATATTTCTGACATGATAAGGTGATAATTTTGTTTATGATTACTTTTTAGGTACTTTGTATTCCCTTACAAAATTGAAACTAAGAAGCCTTTTAAAACCTTTTAAAAAATGTTTCTTTAATGGGAAAGAAACAACCCGTATTGAAACCTTAGCAAGGCTATGTTATTAATTATTTAAAACAGTGCAATTCATAAATAGTAAATAATTAAGATTACTTTATTGGCCAGTTTATCCGTAAATTTGACGAAATCTCTGCTGGTGTGGAGATGCTCTTAACCGAAAGACTGTGACATCATCAGCACGTTCCGAACACAGTGCACAGCTTGTACGCAGTGTGTGGATATTTTTTTCATATTAATAATAGATAAAGACAGAGAGAGAGAAAGAAGGACGTCGCACTGCCGGACGATCCGTCGAGGCAAGACAGTCTCTAGCTGGCGACGGATCGGGCCAGATTTATCGCGCGCTCCAAGACTCTGAAGGGAAAAAACGCCACGGACATTCACTGTTGGCTGGATTGACCGAGGAAAGTGTGACTCACGCGAGAGCCTTGAATTGTGTGCTGCTGCCTTTGTGCTGTGCGTGGAATTTCTCTCTTTCTGTATCTTTGAGAGAGAAATTCGCTGCACTCTGAGTTCTATCAATATTAATATTCGATGGCACGCAGTGTGGCTGAGGGCCGCGAGTGAATGGGGAGAGAGAGAGAGAGAGAGTGGCTTCACAAAGAAAGTGTCAATAGTGTTGGATCGTGTGCGAGAACAATGGCCTGATTGCAAAAAATGCGGTCCTCTATTGTGCCTGCTTTGATATGAGCGATATGGCGATGCTTCGCCGCCTGTGCATTTCCATTCTTTTGCACACTTGATGCTCCCATTCCCCCATGGAGTCCCGATCCGGAATCCATGATTCATCACACTCTGTCCTGGAATGAGTTAACCCTTTGGGACTCAGTGGTACAAACACATCTAGTCAAATTCAAGAAGCATTTTACCCTTCTTCTCGATTGGAACATATTTGAGGAAGTGGAAGTTCTATTTTCACCTCAAATCGTTTTATCTCAAGTCACTCGCTCAGAACCTTGTCGACCCGACGATTAGCAAATTGTGACAACGATTTTGCTGGTGTTTCGACATTTCTTCCCTCGACTGTGCCTGGATTTGTGTGTCTCTGAATGTGAAGAAAGCTGATCGGCGAGTAGACTTCTGGTTAATGTCTGGTGGCGGAATCCTTGCGTTAATTGTCAATTGTAGTAATTTACGAAAGCAATTTGGGAAGGGAGTGAGAAGAAAAAAGATGTGGCAAGTGTTTGTAAACATTTGGACTGGGTCTGAAGCGCTGCCTCGCGAATTATTTATACGGTGGGGATCATCTCTCAGCTGCTCTCACTGGCTTGGGACAGCTCCAAGGAGGCTGGCAAAGACACTGTTTACACTTGGAGGCAGCCGCAGAATGTACGGGATGAATTTATGTTAGAATGCTCATTTGCGCGGGTCATTGATTGCTCGATTGTGGCCAAAGTGTGAAGCTGTGCAGTGTTGAAATGCGTGTCGTCATTGACTTGCGACTGGCGCTTTTCCGCGGTTCATTTAGCGGATAAAGAGATGATCTTAAAAATAAAGATTCACAAAGGAATCATCACTTCGAGGAAACTAACAAAGAGATCCATTTAATGGCCTAACTTGAGAAGCGAATGAAGAATCGCGAGGGAGTTTGTTTACAGACTCAGGGCGTGTTTAGAACCTTCGAATCGAGATAGAAATAGACTTGGGACATTTTTCTCAGCTCGCGCGTCTTACGCAAAAATCACATTCGCTCTACTTTTATCTGTGTTAATCAAATAGAGTTAGAGATTTGTCTCTTGAATCTTTAAATTGTATTTGACAAACTTTGCGTGGCAATTAACGAAACTTGTCGTCTTGCCTATTAAATGCTAGAAAAAGCAATGCCCCACTTTCGATGGAGGAAACTCGCTTTTGTGTCTCTTGCTGGGAAGAGGAGTAAATGAATGATTCTTTATTGCAATGGTAAGGAAATGTGTATTGAAGACAGTTGTAGAGAAATAGAAATCTTCATTGTTGCTTCTAGGAAATATGAATCTAAAATAGATCATTTGCATAGCAGACTGACATCTTCAGGATCGGTTTATATGCAAAATCGGCGATTAATGCACAGTAAATCCCACTTCTGACACCAATATTTGTACTGTGCAAAGACTCACGGTCATTGTTATATTAGTTGTTTATGTCTCCGAATGTGCTAACTGTTTGAAATTTACCATGAATGAATGACTTTTTCAATGGAATTATCGTGGAGCAAATAGTATTAATTATGTTAGGAATCCTCCCCAAAATACCCGTCACTTCGGGATGGAAATAGCCGTTAATAGGCCTTCAACTCGACATCAAGACGATATTTATGCAATTGGCCAGCGTTCTCGCACTCCAACCAAGAAATATAATTATAATATTCAGATATGACAATGTACGATTGACTCTTTGGCCAAAATTCTGGGAAAGATAGAGAGTAAATTGATCCAGAGAAATGTGCAGAAAGACATAAAAATTGAATACAAAGTGCTAAACTGGTGATAATCAATCTGCCAGTCAAAATAGACGTGAAAAAAGAGTGGATGTCTTGCAAGATGTTCCGCTTCTCGAAGGCAGAAAGACGGCCACTCGGGCGAAAGGAATCAAAGCCAAACTGTAATCCGTTAATTTTAGACAACACTCGATGGGAGGCAAGTAGTTAAAACATGAGTGGCTCATTCAGAGCACTCTTCCCTCGTTCCTCACACTCCAATCCCAGCGTCTCAAGTGAGCGTCAATTTGAGGAAAATTGTGGCGACTCGAGAGAGAGAGGAGATGAAAGTGAGAAGACGAGGCGGAAGAGTCGACTTTCCGCACCATCGGCGTTTTTAATATTAACTCGCACGGATGATGGAGTACTGAGTTCTATAAATTGATGCTGTCTTGCAGAAAAGACTTCAGAAAGAGCTGATGTCGCTGATCAAGGAGCCGCCGCCGGGGGTTCGCGTGGATCCGGAGAGCATCAGCCAGAACCTCTCGCAATGGATCATTCACATGCAAGGCGTGGAGGGGACGCTGTATGAGGGGGAGCACTTCGAGCTCCTGTTCAAATTCAACAATAAATACCCTTTCGACTCACCAGAGGTAAGAAGTGGGAAGACGCAGTGCCACTGACTTTGTCTGTCTGGCTGTTTTTGCAAGATTTCCCACTAATCGGCACTAATCAGTCTAATGAGCTTCTTCGATCCTCAACTTCTAACAGATGTTTAGACTTATTAACTGATTAACTGAATATGTAAAAGAAGACGGAATGCCACAATTTTACACACTCAGAATTGTATGTGTAGTGGCACTGATTAGCTTATGTCGCATTAAAATTTTACAATTTTTCAAATACACAGTATTGCAAGAATTTGTTGTTTAGTTCTAAACTTTTTAGTGCGATTTTATAGACATATATATCGTTTCATGAGAAACATAATTTCACAGCATATTCAAAACATTTTGACTAAAGTTTTATACTTAATTAAATCAAACTGAAAGACTTTGAAACTGTCAATCAAGTCTCGCATCTGTAATTTGCTTAAGCATTAACGAGGAAATACTTGAATATTCTTATCTCTGATTTTTTTCCTGGCATGACTAATTAAATAAATCGCTACTGCGTTTACAAATACTGACAATCGAGAAATAGGCAGTGATAGTGCATTTGAATAAATTGCGCTTGGCGCTTACAGAATGAAAGAATCTTTGTTGAAGCAACCTTCCTTATCACTGTCGTCATTCTCAGGCACGCACTTAATTGATATTCCCGATAAGTTGTCGCGGAGCGCAATTAATTTTCGTGTCTGAAGTGGAAAAAAAGCACACCTTCGTGCGGTCTTGGAATAATTTTGCGCCAGAAGTTTGCGTTTCAATGGTTCTTTTGTATTGGCTTTTGCGCTTGATTGAGAGGCAATATTAACACGTTTCTCGCGGAAACTTCCCTGGAATCATCAATAAGTTGTATTCTCGAGACAGACGGCAAAGTTTGCTGTTGGACAACATAAGGTTTTCTTTGTGATAAGATATCACATGTGTTAATCTCGAGCATTTCTTCCACGAACACTGATAATGTTGTTATTATTTTGCTGTCGTTTCAGGTGACTTTCGTAGGTTCAAATATTCCAATTCACCCGCATGTGTACTCCAATGGCCACATTTGCTTATCAATTCTCACTGACGACTGGTGAGGCGCGAGCGATGGCTTTTCTCTTATCGCGCATCGTTAATCTCACTCTCTGACTTCCCGCAGGTCTCCAGCGTTGTCGGTTCAGTCCGTGTGCTTGAGCATTTCGTCCATGCTGAGTAGCTGCCAAGAGAAGAAGCGTCCGCCGGACAATACGCTTTACGTAAAGACATGCAATAAGAACCCTAAGAAGACTAAGTGGTGGTATCACGGTGAGTTTAATTGTCGCTTCACTTGAGCAAAGTTAAATGACCTGCATAATTGGTGACAAACGCTGATCAACGGTGATATTCTCAGGGTTTTTGCTCTTTATGCCTTCTCAAAGGTGTACTAAAATTTATTAATGCGCAGACAAGAATGATAATAAAAGAGTCATAAGACTTCTTCCGCAAATGAAGAGCCCTGAATTGTTGAACAAAACAGAGAAATTAGCAATAAATTAAGCGAATGGATTTCCTGTACCATTAAAAAGATATGATTTATGATTTGAGATGAACATTTTGTACTCTTAAGTTAAGAGAAAATATTTTTAGTTAGATAAATCAGCGTAAAACATCAAGAATTCCTTCAGTTATTGCACAGCAATCCACAGAAATATATTTATTCTTACTTTTGCATTTTGCTTTGAGCTCTTCTGCTTTGATTTTTAGCGCCCCTGCTTGTTACTCTATGCCTATGAAACGTCTGAAATTATAACAACACGATTAGGATCGTAAATTTGAGGCACTTAGAGGGCAACAGTGTTAATTATTTCTCCAATAAAAGTGATTCTCAGCTGATTTAATTATCAATTCCGCCTCCCTAATTTATGTTCACATGCTAAGACGTTGCTTTGGGGGAATGAAATCGGATCTGTGACAAAAATATGTGTAATTATAGTGCGTGAATCATTGTTGATCAGCGTATATGTTCCTCTCTTTAAACAGACTATCTAAACACATCTTTTCCGTGCATGCTTTTTCCAGATGATTCGGTTTAACTCGGAAGATTCCAGAATCGACTTTGTAAATGTTGTCAAGACGATAAAAAGAGGCATCCAGCGAGTGGCGAAGAGAGTGAATGGATGGCGCGCGTAAATCTACTTAGCGGAAATATTACCTTACAATTGTAGAATGTAAGAAATCGAGGATTTGTATTGCATTTCAGTTGAAAAACACATGGCGCAAGAAAAGACACAAATTCTCCGATTTTTGTTTTGCGCTGGATAAATTAATTGTGAGCTGTAAGATTAAATTATTTAAACTTCTTGACATAAAACTTGCATTAAGGCACGTTCTTTCTCTTGAATTTAATTTTTATTGAAATAAAATTGTTGAAAAGCACCGTAGATTTAATTGTAAATAAATTCTGTCTCTTCGCGTCGAATTTATCACACACAAACACATTCCATCTATGGAGAATTTCAATTTCCCCACCCGCATTTTATTTCCTTTCTCTGCCCTTTTTCAGTGTCACTAAAGTAAATTCTTAACTAATAACCATTAAAATGCATTAGTAAATGTGAGAAGATGTGAAATGATGGAAGTGATGATAATTGTGAAAAGTTCAATAAAAAAAAAGTTACGAAACTACGAAATTTCTTTCCCTTTCATTTCGACGGCCCAACGAGGATGTGATGTATTTTCAGGGAGCAGTAAAACACAAGGATTTCAAGCAGTACTTTTCACCTAAGTAGAATTTAATTACTTCACTCACTAAATTTTAATCCATCATAAAGATTGATTTTGAATCACTGTAAATATCACAATTCAGTTAACACATTTTCTCTTTTCTTGCTTTTGGAAATTTCCTTTCACGTTCTTTTCCTTTCGCATTCTTTTTTTGCTGGTCTCTAAAAAGGTAAAACTATAATTCATTCAAATGGAATTACTGCGAATTTCAAATTCAAATTTGTAATCTTTCTCAATTTGCATTTTAAATATCATAAAACTAAAATTAATATTGTATATGCTTTGCTTTTTCTCCTCCTTTTTCTTCATCTCTTCATTAGCTAAGTCCTTAAATAAGGTTTATTCACGATTATATAGAGTACTAAAGTTGTTTTTCCTTTTAATCTAAAATCTATTATTATGCTTGTTTCCTTCCTCAACGTCATTCCTTCCTCATTTTCATCAATATAAATAGTTATACTTGATTGACCTTACGAGTCTACTTTTACATTAACTTGCATATATCAAATATCCTCTACGTCCTTCTACTGCTTCACTACGACTTTACATCAACTACTTCTCAATGAAATACAGTTATAGTAAGTGCGAACCATACCTAAAAGGGAATCAATATCCTAACATTCTTCTTCTCTATCGCGTGATATCATAAATTGGACAAGGGAAATATTCTTATACTTTGTAGCAATATTCGTCTCACTTTCGCTAATGCCAAACCTAAAAGACAATAATTGCGCACTTAAATTGTACCAAAAAAAACAAGGTTATCCGGAAAAACTGCCTTTTCCCGGGAAATTTGTATAAATTTTGCATTTTATCTCAGGATAAAATCACAATTGGAATCAGAATCAAAAAACTCGCACAGAATAGCTGAGAAATCCGCTCGGATTCTGTGTAAAACAACATATTCTTAACGTAACGAGAAACTACTTCTCCTTTTCTTTCTCTCTCTGTCTCTCTGGATGCTCAAAATCTACATCTCTTATGCAATAAATTAAGTATGATTATCATATTCATATAGTGATTATCCTTTTTGAGACTAGGTGAATCCTTTTTGCACACTGATTAAGCTCAAAAAGATAAAATGCTCGTCATCACGGATTGCAGATCTGTGGGTCGCGCGCGCTTATCGCTGAAGTCGCACAGCATCGTCGAAGGCATTCTCCTGCTCCTCCAGCTTAGCCGCTCCGCTGCAGATGCGACACTTGCAGCACACAATGCAGGGCGCCGCGAGGAGGAGCAGTGGCGACGCCACCAGCAGCAGAATCCCGAATCCCGCGAAGATGCCGATCACTTGCGCCCGATGCCACACCACGGACGCTCTCGAGTGGCCCAGCTTGTTCTTGCACGGCCCCTTGTCGTAGTGGCGCAGCAGGAAGTCATCCTAGAAGCATATCAACACGCGATTAGCTTATTGCTCAGGCAGACAGACGCTTGTGAATTGTTAGACACCGAGATTCTTCCGATACTCACATCGAGACTGGCCAGACAGTACCAGCAGAAGACGTGTTTGCAGCGCTTGCACATCATCTGCGCGCAGCCCTCGTCCTTCTCAATTGGCACAGCGCACATCGGGCAGCACTTGATGAGGTCGCCGTCGAACAGCACGCCGATATTGTCAGTGTCCCGACCGTCAGCCGCCAGCCGCCGTGTGTTCTCCTCGCAGGTCATCGACGGGTGCCACTGTCGAGCAGAAGAGAAGATTAATCGTACCGGAAGAATGCTGGGTTGGTCTTGAGATTATTCAATTACTCTCAACCCTTTGACTTAATCGACCAAAACACCAAGGAATCGTCTGTAATTAATCACTTTTACAGTGCATTAAGCATGGTAGGATGATAATGACTTCCTCTGGTATAAATTAGCTGAATGGACGTTTCAAGAAATTTATCCAAAGCTTAAGGAAATCCTTTAATGCTCATTCTACAGCATGGATTGCTCAAGATTGTTATCAAATTAAAGTTGCTTTAAAGAGCCATTCTTTTCATTCACATCAAAAGTTTAAAAACGATTATCGCTAATAACGCTGAATTCAATGATCAAGATTTTATAAAGAATGCAACCATTTTGTTAGAATTGTCAGAATATATTGTAAGATTATTTGATTTAGATTAATCTCATTATATTATATTGAATTTGTGTATGAACTATGCGTGTGTAAGACGCTTTCGAATTTTTCAAACTTGTTTAATAAAGTATTCCATTTTAAAATGCACAAAAAATTTACATAAATATCTACCTAATTAAAATAAAACTAAAAGGTATTCTCAATCATAAAATCACATTTCAATCGAAAATATACACGAGCATGAAAAAGTATCTAGAAAACAAGAACAAACTGGTAAATTTTGTCTGTAGATTAAATGTCCCATAAATTTAAAGTAAACGACAAAATATCACTGATCACCTAAATTAAGAAATCGTTTTTGAAGCCTTTCTAACCGATTTACATATATTGTGTTGTTTGTGACTTGCTGAAATCTTAAAGATGAATCAAATGAGAATATCTGGCCCCAAAAGCAGATCATGAGCGACATATTCAAGTGAGTGAAACGCTTTTTTACCTCTGAATTTCCTAATTACAATGAACTTGGCACAGCAGAAACTTTTGTGGCCTCTTTAGCATTTCATTTACACACCCTGATTCACCATGACAACTGGCAAAAGCCCAGAACAGATGGTCAGAAATTGTGCAGCGAGTGCAAAATGGACACCTGACCTCAGACACTCTGTACACAGATGAAACCTTATGGAATTCTGCAAATATCTGTCAATGCCTTCATCCCAGAGTCTGTGATATTTTCGGCACGAGACCGCATGTAAAATTTTTGTATACATTCGCGACAAACAATCACGTCGATAGGAATTTTATAAATAAATACATTTATCACAGTACATTTTTCCTTCTCCTCTTCGTGGCATTTCATCCGTTCGTTGAGAAGGACAGGGAATTCTCATATTTATTGTTGTTTGGAAAAAAAAGCATTTCAACTCTTCCACCCTCAAATTGCGAGTCTATTTGATTTCCCCTTTATAGCGCATATAAAGGAGAGACATAGGCGAAATTGGCCACACAATTCTCAAGCTTGCGTTGTGCCAACGTTGAGCGTTGGTGAGAAAATATGTTTAAATAGTCAATTTAAATTAGAAGCAGTTGTGAAGTTCCCAAATTACTCCTCTTCTTTCATTTATACACACAGTTCGTCTCTCAAGTGATAAATCTCATTAAATGAAGTTTAATTGATGAAAGTGACTTGAGCATTTGATCTTTTGTGACTCACCGCCTTTTTGCATCCTGAACAGAAGTCTTCGCGGCACGTTGGACAGTGCACAAGGCATGCCGGCGGCAGGGCGGAGCAGCCGGCGGCAGAGTGCGGAAGCTGAAACGTTACGCTACGACTCGTTGGTACCGGAGATGTGCTCGATGCACCAGCATCAACCAAGCACACCGTTTCACAGCCAGCTTTCGGACACCACGTTCTATTTCTGTCCTTCTCCACCTCTGGCAAAGAGCAGACAAATACATGCGGTTAATCCCTGCAATGCCATGCGACGGCCACTGAAGTCTTACCTCTGTTCAATCTGTAGCGATGGTGCTTCTCCATGAGACTCTGTGTCACCAAACTAGACACCTCTTGGATCGATATAATACCCTGCATTGGACACATTGCGTCCGGACACGAGATTTCATAGGCGCCCTCGAGAATCTCGAACTCAATGTATGCTTTCATGCACTGCAAAGGTAAAAGAAGCGTAGATAAGCATAAATGTGGCCTCGCTTATTCGGTACTGAGATTTTTGTTGCTTCACATTTTCTGATAACTCACTTTCCTGTGCTATCACAGAAAAGTGATATGTTCTTGAGTACAGAGTTAAACAAACAACAAATCCAATTAGGGAACGAACAAGCACTCACCTCAGTGCAAAAAGAACACCCGCACTGTCTTATCTTCGTCAGCTGATGCCTGTTGACCTCTCCTAAGCAGAGTTTGCATGGCATGATCGAAACTCCGGCGTCTCGCTGCGGCGCCTGGACGGAAGATGAGTAGCACGAGGAGTCGCTCACATTGCCACTACCACCTCCCGCCGCGCCCCCGTCGATCGGCACGAAGCCCCCGCCCGAGACATTGAGTGAGTAACGCGATCCAGCCGCGGCCAGCGACAGGAGACTAGAGCAGCGCGAACATGTGGCTATGGAAGCCGAATTCCGCAGTCGGTTGAGCGGCTTCAGAGGCTCCACTTGCGGCTGGGCGAGCGTGAGGAAGGTCTCGCACTTACGCATGTTGACTCCCGGCGGCACGTCCTCCTCCGCCTCCTGGCGTTCCGGCGCCGCACCCTTCTCCAGACTCGAGCAGCTGCCGGCGTCCCGCTTGAGCAGCGGCACCACAGTCCACAGCTTCTGCTGCACACTGTTGAGGCTGGACGTGGAGCCGCCCATGCGCTTCTTATCGCGCGTGAGATCATACTCGGACGGGCTCTTGTCGATCTGCAAACTCGCCTCGCACGCCGAGCCGCCTGCCTTCTTGCCCACGAGACTCTTCAGCAACTGCTCAAAGCGTCGCATCCGCGGCGCCGGTGGGCCCCCAGTGGCAGTCGCTGTGTTCGCGACATGGGGGCCGCTCTGAAGCTCCTGAATTGTCGTCGAGGAGGCACTTATCCTTGATTTGCGACCCGCGCTGTGATGCAAAGTCTGCAAGGACAGGAATTACCGTAAAATATATTGCCAAAATGAGTTTGCATTTTTAATAGCTGAATTAGATAATTTATAGTGTTGATAGTCTTCAGAGATTCAATGATAATTTCCAAAGAGAACTTTACATAAGTCAAGGTTCACACGCAGCCAATCAAGATCAATGAGACCTGCCTGGAAGTTATAACTATTGATGTGTTAAATGAATGTATTTGTGTCCCAAGTCAACAATTATGTTGTACTTAATTGCAGTAAAACAAGTAAAACACAATTGCCTATCGATCTGAAAGAAATTTCTGTGCTTTATGACATTTTCACATGCTTGTAAATCTTGAGGAAAATTATAAAAGAAACCATGACGAATAGGTTCATTCTTCGCTTCTACTTCAGCCAGATTCCTGCTCTATTTAAAATATTTAAATAAAAATATTTTTAATTTATTTCCTTTGAATGTGCGTTTGTAACAGGAATATACAAAGAAAGTAGCATTTTTCTTTCTTGGAATTCCTTACTGTTCAAATTTACTATTTTCCTTTCACTGCTCAAATGATAGTAAGTAACGTCCAAAAAGCTGCAGTCTAGAAAAACCTGCTAAAACAAGTTAATTTTCACTTTAAATTCGTGTAAAAACTTCCAAATGAACTTATTTCTCACACATTACATAAATAACAAAGCTTTATGTCAGAAATTAGATAGGAAATGATAACGAGCATCACTAATACAAGTTTGTTTGCAGATCTCATGATGGTCACAGCGACAATGAACGGATTTCAACCATGTTTTAGGGATGTTCATCACCATTCGTAGTTGAATAGTCTTCAACTTGACATTCTTAAGCTCTTTCTAAAGCCAAAGCATAGATTTCAAGGCACTTCATTCTTGAAAATATTATTCCACAGCAAATTTGGACAGCTTTCGCAGTCTTATCATAATCACACTCACTTAACGAGTCACAAGAACCCTCTTGTCTGTCTTAAGTGCGCACTAAAGTGCTTATGACGAATAGAACTAACACAGTTTCTCTCATATTTTACACTCAATGTATCCATTAGTCTGCCGTTACTCATGTTCTCGACGATTTTTCTAAAAAAACGCCCAATTACAGATAAGTTAATTGTCTCCACGGGAAATCCACTCACTCTGAAACTTGCCATTTTGGGCCAGTGGAAGAGTTATGCAAATGTATGCGGATAAATCACTGCTGACGTGCATATAATCTGAGGTGCAAACACTCATAGAGATATTATAGAAGAAAAAGAAGAAGAGACTTACACGCTCAAGCAACGCAGTCGAGTCACGCGTCTCTCGATTAGTATGTTGACGATGTGCCGCCAGATTGTGATGCAGAAAACTCTCTTTCACTTCCTGTTCACTGTCCTCGAAAAGAGTGTCATAGCTTTTGGCCGGTGCGTACCACGAGTGTCTGCTCTGCTTCGGCTCGCTGGCGTTCCCATCGGCAAACAGGTGCAATTGCAGGCTTCGTCGGTTCTCGGACGGGATTTTCCGGCTCGTCTCAATCTTTCGCCTGAACTGAACAATCTCCTCGTCGTCCTGGTAGTCCTCTAGTGACACTGTCGACGACTGATCTGACACCTCTTCTGTATCGCGACAGCTCAAGAGGGGCTTCTGCGCCTCCCTGCCGACACTGTTCACCAAGTAGAGCTGCTTCTTGGCGAGCGCGACGTCACTAAAGCAATTGATAGCCTTCTTGCCAAAAATAGACCGTGGAAAAGCAATCTCCTGACCATCATCCGTATCGCCACTATTGCTGAGCGCGTGAGGCCACTTTGGGGTGAAGCTGGGTGCAAAAAGCGTGCTGTTCGCGTCCTCGCATGAGCTCTTCATGCAGCTCTCGACAATATCAAAGCTATCACCGCCGTCTTCGGCGGCAGAAAAGAAATGTTCCTCACTCTGCACTTTCTTCGACTCCTCAACACACTCCTGCCACTGTTTGTCACCACCGAAAAATATACTCAAATTGTCCTCTGCTTCGTATTCACCACCATCGCACGGTGCACAATTTCGCCGCTCTACAGCATCACTCTCCGGCACATCATACAATTGGCCGGAAAATCCCGGCGGCGCCGTTCGCAGGGGCAGCATTTTCGCCATCAAGGCTGGCAGCATTCACTGATGGCGATCGAGCGACACCGAGGGCCACGCAGTCGCGAAAAATCACTTCTTCTTTCGGTGCCTGCAATTGCAACCAGGGAAAAGAGACACACATGACAATAAAGTACACATAAACTTGCCTCACACGCTTAAATATCAACTTCATGCTTTTGAATTGGAAACAACATTATAAACTTCATATGGAGAATTGAATGTTGAGTGCGCGAGCGAGAGACTCCAAAGTAATAACAATGCATTGCCCACAAGTATTATATTTAATTTCCACAGTCACCGACCGAAAGATGTGGACGCAGAGTCGTGAATTTTTTAGCGTTCTTTTTTATCGAGATTTTACATTATTAAGTTTGACTCTTAAAGTGTTTTTTCTCCATTTTCTGAGGCTAAATACGTCAGAACATTTCGTTTTTACGTTCAAGATCTTATTTGGTTTCAAAGGAAACTCAAGAATTGTCACAGCAAACACTTAAGGCGCCTATAATCGAGATCATTGATTGAAAGAATTTGAAGCAATATCACTGTGATTCCCACCTTCTGCCACTCACTGTAAATGCATTATGAATACAAAAATCAAAATCATCCCAAGCGTGGAGTGGCACAATGTAATTTGCAAGAAGGTGAGGAAAAGTGAATGCAAGTTGGGGTCAATTAAAGTCTTTTTCCCTCAGCGTTGGCTATACACATTTCGATAAGAATCTTCATCGGTGTGAGTTATTCTCTCTTGCTTCCCTCGCGTCAATTTGCGCCACCAACAATCCAGCCATATCATGAGGCTTAATATTATAAACATTTACACACATCTTATGTCTCAAAATCAGTCTCTCTCTCGCTCTCTGCAGAACGACAGACTTGAAACCAAATGTCTCTACTCATTGTCTCAATGGAGTTTGCGAAGCAATTCCATTTCATTGCGATTCTATGGAGTGGAAAATGTATATTTTTTATTACTATATCCAACTATATTTCATTTTATTTACCATTTTTCCTCAATTATCTCCAAATTGTTGTATATCAAGTCTCGCTCTGCGTGATTTTTGCGGATCTGCAAGATAAGAATGGGAAATACAATGTGAGTCACAGCACAGAGTTTCAGATATAGAGGCTTTGGGAGAATAGCACAGAAATTCAAGTGGACGATATATAAATAATCTCAGAGAACGTCTTGAGGTGACTAACATTTCAACTCTTCGTCATCTCTGGCCACCCAACGACCAATTAAATAGACCAATACGCGCTTTATAGACACTCTCGATAAATAAACACTGTGCGGCTCATAAAAGTTTGCACGTTTTTTCTGTCACTAACATAGCTCAAGGTCGCCGTTTCAAGTTTAAAAACATTAATTAATGGAAGGAAAGTTCTAAAACCCGTTCAGGAGCAAATCCTCTAAAAACCAGCAACAATAAAACTTATAATTTCCTTATGTCTGCCATTTATGACTCCAGATTCTCATCTCAATATCAAATTTTGCACTAGCAAGGGTGCATAAAACAGGCGGTATTTCAATTACACTCGACGCCATCAATCACAACACACATGGGTGTAGGTCTTTTAAGATATTGATTTCCTACTCGAAGCAATCCAGACAGGTTTGTCCATACAACTCTCAATGTGACTCATCCCGAAATGTAGTGGAAAAGTTTGAGGAGAAACGTATGAGCGACTAGTAGTCATTTTTTCCTGATTTCTAAGCACTATCTAATAAATACTATTGCCTTAGTCTGCGCACCGGTTTCTCACACATGTGATCACTTGCTCAGCTGAAGAGCTGCACAATGACTGAGAGGAAATCGTATGAGAGGCCCTAAAAATTGACCTGATTTCATTCTATAAAGGATAATTACTCATTTGTTATCTATGCTTCTTTAATATCTCTATGTAATCACTCTGCAAGAGTTGTTCTGAAACTTTACACAAAATTTGGGTTATTTCCCTATGAATTGTAGCTGAGAATTTCCACCGTCGATAGTTTGGGCCTTTCCTCTGAAGCAATTCTAATAAATCATGCATCATGAGAGAACTTCTTATGGTCTCATATTGCCCTGAAGCACATAAATAGACTTTTTTGCTGCTGGAAAAGCAGCGAATTTCTCTCACTCGTTATCAGTCACTCACTGTATTATTTACATTTCAAATTATGACACTGCCTCTTCGGTCAATTATCAATAGCTCGTGATATTCGGCGAGATTTCTTCTGGATTCTCTCTCTCTCGCCACAGCTACAGAAAGACCTTCCCATTTTCATGAACTGTTAAGACTTTGTCTGGTCCGATCGATACAATTGAGCTGTACGATTGTTATAGAGGGGAAAAACAACCGTCGAAATGGCTTTTTGTATTTGGAATGACCTTGGCATTACAATAAATATTAATGCGTTACATCGTACATAATTAGTAAAAATAGCGTCTCATCCATTCATTTGCCTTTGCACTGCATTTTCTTGTGGAACTCCTGTTTTTTTTCTCTTCCTCGCGCGCGACAAAGTGGTTGCGTCGTCACTGAAGTACGTGTCTTTGAAATTTGATGTTGTATTTTTAATTAAAAAGAGCTTTTCAATGATTCAGAAGAGAGACGTAAATATCAACAGCAAAAATGTCACACAAATGCTAAATTAAAATGCAAAAACCGTGAACACTTTTAATAATAAATGAAATTTTTCGACCGCAAAGAAAAATAAATAAGACAAACTGCGCATGTTTAGTGAGATTGAGATTCACTTGTAAACCTTTTTTATTATTTCAGAATTCTAGACTTGAACGCCAATTGTCTTACGTGAAATTAAGACGATGATATCCTTTTTCCTTTCCTCACTGCAAAAATTCTACAGCGGCGCTCCAGCTTAAAATCATCTAATAAATATGATAATCCGAGTTATAACTTCAAGAAATGGAAAACAGCCAATTTTGTGACCAGAAGCAGTGAATATGAAGACATGTGTTCAGAAAACTTCGCTGAAATTTATGAATAAAATTATCAGTGGCTCAATTAACCTCTGAATTTTAATTAAGAATACTCAGACCGAAATATCCTCATTGAGGTAGGTTTAATTGAGTTTGCGCTATACTCATTAATTACCCATTAAATTAATTTGTGAGGGCGTATGCTAAAAATGTGTTCTGGATTACAGAATCGCGTTGCATTGCACGTCTCACTGTGACTTCTAACCTCAAATCACGCCACAGACTTGCACTGATGGATTGCAAGAGCTGTGACTTGTTGGTGAGGGCATTCCAATTAAAAACAACATGACTGACTGTGGAGAAAAAGGGGAAAATCTGAAAGTTTCAAGTACAGTCGCCGGAGTTAATTAAATATATTGCAAATGGTCAAAAACTCAAGCCTCGAATTAAGGAATAATTATGCTAATAAATGCGAAGATATATAATTGGACATGGCAAAAATTTGGCACACAGGCAAAAATTTAGACACAATACTCATGTCGTGCCTATGGAATCATGCAAAATATCATCTGTGGGAAGTGAAGAGCTCAAAGAGATAAAAATCACCTGCAAAAAAGGTATCAAGGTGTGAAAAAGGTGCGATGGCGCGAGATCTCGCCTCTCACTCTCGCCCGCGGATTGCAGCTCGCACTTTTCCTCAGCCAAACGGCAATTTCGACACTGCGGAACACGTCAGAGTCTCCTATCTTGGCACAAATTCAAGCAAAATAGCGAGATTTTGCCTCAAACTCGCGAGGATGACATCAAAAATCAACACAAATCCACAGGCAATGGAACACTGTTTTCACTTTGACGATATTGTCTGTGCTTTGGATGGCCTCCCTTTTCACGCAGCCCGCCACTCACGAGCACTCCGGCGCTGGTCACGCAATCACGGTGTCACAAGTGGTGTCACGTTGGGACAGAGCACCGATGCTACACTCGCGGAAAACTGGTAGAATTGGGCAAAAGTCCGCAGCAAATATCTTGTCTGACACAATTGCTGAACGCCATCTTGGAAATATCTCAACTCACCTTCGCTCTCTCTCTCTCGCTCTCCCGCGAAGCGGCTCTCTGGCGCTCTCGCGGTGCGACTGAGCGACAAATCGCCGAGATTGGAGGGCGCGAAGTTAGTCGCGCAATGGCGAGAAATTTCAATTGAAACCGATGGCAAAGCATGATTAATTGAATGAGATTCTTAAGGGGAAAATAGCGTGTTTATGCATGCTAAAATAATGATGACTGATTCCTCAATGCTTCGTACACCCATGAGCTTTAAGGCCGGTTACTGGATAGACTTTTATCTATCCTTTTTACATTTCTTTTTTATCAAACCTTATTCCTAAATATGTAGATATCGAACCTGACAATTTCTAAAATTACCTTGTATAACCATATACACATATATTTACATTTCGTTTTGTTTCGGTTCCGATCTCTATCCTGAATCTCAAAATGAACCAATTCCCGACATTGTGCGACTTTTATTATTCATTCTGAGGGTGGAAATCCTTGTCCCTCAAATTCGTGAGGTAACAAACTGAACACCAGTCTCATATTTTCCATTGACACGCAATCCGTTCGACGTCACGAATCCCAAAAGAGAGGGCATTTCTATATTGCGATACCAGGAGAATCAGCTCAAATTACCTTCAGATAAGATGACTCCATTTTCTGCAATATTACCAAACTATTCACCGCCTTCACGAGTTGGAAAAGAAGACACAAAGAACACAGCAGAAGTCACCGAAGTGAATAAAGGGTACTTTTGAAGCACGGGGAAAAGTAGAAAACCTTCCGCACGGCACAGAAGTCAGAGTGAGACTGAAAGTTTTCCAGGTAGTTGGAAGGAAAGTGCGACTTTGAAGTTATTTTTAGGGCTTGCTTTACTCTCACAACCCCCCAATTTTTGTTCATGCTCACAAATTCAGTCAATATTTGGGGGTATATAAAACGAACACTACATATTTCCTCAATTACCCTTCTTTTACTCCCCCATCAAGGCGAACAACATTGCTTGAGGAAGTTTTCGCACGCGGTAAATGCCAATTTTCTTGCTCCCTTCGTCAGTATTTTCCTTCTCGGCTATTTGGCGGAATTGATAAAACCAATGAATAATCTTGTGCGAGACGTGAATATTGACAAATGTGCACAGCATTGCATTCAATTGTGGGAGAAAACACCCATTTTATTGACCAAATAGTTGGTGGAACAGACATTTCAATAGAATAGCTATGTTATATGTGTACGACTAATTTTATTTATACTTCAATTTCTCAAAATACTCCTCACTCAGTGATAATGTTGATAAAACGCAATATATTATGTCTAAATCATATGCAAAGACCAATCCTTAGCTTAGAGAGATTTCTCATCTACTGTGACCGTGTGTAAATCTCCATCTTACCACGTCCTGGGAACGCTAAACATCCCGCAGCGCTCGTGGATATCGCGAGCCCTCACGGCGAACCAATACCGTTGCCCCTCCTGAAACTGCGACAGCGTCACTGCCATGGGCAGCATCATGGACTTCACGTCGCCCACGAGGCGCCAATTGTCCGTGCTGGGCGGCGCAGAAGTTTCCTGATAGGCAAAGATCTGATAATCACGGATCTCCTCATGATCATCCGTCAGGTCGTCCATCGTCCACGAGATGACGATGCCCTGGTTTTCATCGTTCTTGATGCGAATCACTGGCCGCGTTGGGATGCGCTTCATGCCGTATTTCGCGGCCGGATTCTGGAACGGTGGCAGCGGCGCCGGGTGCGTTCGTGCGCCCACAATTGCCTTCACTTGACGCTGCCCAGACGCACTAGACACGAGAGTCGTGGACAGTGGCGGACGCCTTACAACATTCGGCGGCACTGCGCTTCTGACCAGCTCAGAAGATGGTTTGGGTGCGATGGGCACTGAAAATGAAAAGTCAGAATTTATGTGATATAGCTGTTACTGATAAAAGATTAAAAGAATTCTTTAAGATCTCGAAGTATTTCTGCATCCTTAATTGTTCCTACCTTCTTCTGGTCTGGAGGTATAATCTCAATTCTGACATTAAGATCAAAATTATTGGCAAGATTAACCCACATTTATTATAATTATTAGATCGTCATTTCGCAAACTCGGTAAATTGCGAGGAAACTTGTGGTTTAAGGTGGAGAAGAAACTCAATCTTTCACATCAAGAAAATAAATTAAAATTCATCAACTAAAAGGTAGTTTAATTGCATCGAACTTCCTTAAATGCTGTTGAATACTAAGAAGTTCTTTATTCACTAAAATATACAATAGTTTAGAATAACTTTTCATTCTCTCACTATGTCAAATGGTTCTAAAACAAACCAACAATTCAGTCACTCAAAGTGTTTAGAATTCCTGCTCTGTCGCACTTAGATGTCGCCGAGTATACGGAGCTATCCCGATAGAATCATGCAGAGCGAGTGCCGTTATCTCCAGAGTGGTCATCGGCGGTCCATCGTACTTGTCGTGCATCTTTTTCTTGCGACGCAATTGGTAAATCCAATTGCGGAAATTCTCTATCCACTCATCGATCTCCTTTTGCGGCGGTCCAGCATCGTCCAGAAGACGGCACAATTCCTCCCATTTGCTCTGGTAATCAGTAGAAGTAGGATCCATAACGGCGATGTTAGTAGTGCAAAAATCCACGAAGACATTGCGCTGCACCATTGTCACATTTAAACCGCGGATCTTTGAATTATTATCCAAAGGAACAATATTAACAGTCTGTGATTGCGTCCTCTTTTGCATGTGTGAAGGGTAATTCCAAACTGGATCAAACTGAGGTGGACTTGATGATCCAAAAGCACCCCACAAAGATTCATCTTCTTCAACAGCATTAAATGGACGATCTTCAACTTTGATATCAAGCGCTCTCTTCTCCAGATTGGTCAACTTTTGTTCGAAGTTCTTTTTCTTGTAATGCAATTGATAAATCCAATTCCGAAAGTTTCCCATCCACTCATACATATCCTTTCGCGGTGGTCCAGCATTGTTCAACTGTTCACTTAACTTTTCCCATTTACTCTCGTAATGAACAGACTCCGGATCCAGGGCGTCTCTGTTGTCTGTGTAAAAATCCACATAAATAATCCGTTGTTTCGTATTTACATTAAAGCCACGGATCTTCTTCGGAGACTCAGTGTATTCCGGAGCGAAATCTAGGAGAAAAGTTTGGTATAAAATCAAAGTTTCTTAGTTCAGATCTCTAAAATGCAAAATCATGCATGACAAAGTTTTGCTTGCCCACTTCGTGAAATTCGTTGCTGATTTCCTCTGATTCTCCTGAGTCGTTGAAGATTTTTCCGACACACACACTTTCACTTTACACACACAATAATTCAAATCACTGACTTAAGGACCATGTGGGACATCTTGATTACTTGATATTTAGCGAAGGAACACCTAAATCTGACCGAAAACCTTCTAAAAAACTATCCGAATTACAATCCCGATGAAAGTTCACGCGTGTTCACTGTTAAAAATCAGATAAGTACGTATGAAGCTAAATATGTGAATACATTCACGAAGTGGGCATGCAAGGTTTGTCCGGCGTGAATTAGATTTTGAAATCTTACATTTCTGATCTTAATCTTAATGTCAGAATTCAATTACTGGTAATTAAAGTGAATAACGCTGTGACTTTTGATAGGGATTGATTTTTGCTCTCTCTTCAATTGGAATATTAGACTAAATTACTAAGAGGATGTAGAAAGAGATGATTACTTTTGATCCTATTACCATACTTAAGCGGCATGGTTTTGGAGAGCTGTCCGTTGGTCGCTGCCATCTGCTGCACCATCACGTACTTGGTGGGCGGCGTCTTACTGTTGCTGGAACTGCTCGGGATGGCTACAAGAGCGGGAATGCCACCATTCAGGAGTGACTGCGTTGTCGGAATTTTCACCTTCGCCTTGCTATCATCCTCATCCGTCAGATCCACAACAACTTGCTGCTTCTTCGCCGGTGTCGCAATAGTGGGGCTCCTCTGCTGCGACTGCACTGGCACCTTGTGCGCCGTCGGTGATTGTTGTGAATGCGCGGACACGCTGGGCGACAGGACGACACGCTGCTGAATGCCAGCCGGCGAGACTGTCTTCGTGACCACTGTCGAAGTGATGGTGGACGTCCGCACGGCTGTTCGCTTCACAACATACGGCTGAGGCTGTATGATTTTCACAGGCGGCGGCTTCGGAGTGTGCTTCAGCACTACAATATTTGAATTCCTGTAAGAACAATCAATTCATTTATAGATAATCATAGATCCAACAGAATCTCAATATTAACTTATTCAGTTAGCAGATTAACTAGTAAGTAGAAAAATACCAATTTCAAGACCTTTCAGTTAGAGGCATCCATCCATTTGTCTTACTCTTAGAAATCCAGTTTTTAATCGCTTTGTTCCTCATTTTTTTATCTATATATTTTTGATGGACCTTTCTGAGTACCCGATTGAACCAGGTTGTTTTTCGCATGACAGGAATTTTGCGAGATTTTTCTTTCGTCTCATTTTCACATATAAAATCCGACATATTCTGGGAATTTCTTTCCTGCCTTGATAAATATAATTACAAAGAAATTAACAAATATTAAAATTATCATATAACTTTGTAGATAGTTTGAAAATAGAGACCAGCAAATTCACACAATTGACATCACACTCATGAAGAATTTAGTGCGCAAGGAAAGTCTATTTAATTGTTATTAAAATTCACGCGTTTCTGTGACACGCCGCGAAATTTTCCTTAGCACAGAACTCTTCTTATAACTACTTAAACAACGTAAACCTAAGACATAAACTCACCTTTGCGCAATAGTTGTTGTTCCTCCGGAGATGTTGGCTGCATTCAGTGCCAGTTTCTGCTGCACTTGCTGCTGCAACTCTTGGCGCTGCCTCTGCTCCTGCGACTCCAGATTTCGTTGCTCCGCCTCCGTCATCGGCGGCCGCATTGGCGTAAATCGCTGCACGGGCTTCATCTTCCTTGTCGCCTCCTGCGCTGACTGCCTGGCTTCGTTGTGTGAAGTGCTGAGTCCAAGCTGCTTGCGGTGATTCGACACAGATACCTGAAGTCCCACGGCACGCGTGATCTTCGGTATCTGCACATATCCTGCGTTCCTGTTGTCCAAATCCTGCTGAACACGCTTGTACACAACCTCGAGATCGTGGAAATTCTTGCTCAATTCCGTCAGTTTTGTCCTGTACAGAGAAATAAGCTCCTCCTGCTTCTCCACCTTCTTCCTCAATTCACTGTACTCGGACTTATGCGTGATCTGCTCTGCGATCTTCTGCAGCACAAAGTCCTCCAAATCAGCGTGCGACATATCCTGGAAGGGCTTCTTGAAGCGCGTCATGAACTCCATGGAGGTCTTCTTGGGCAGCGGTGTGAGCAAACTGCCTACATCCTTCTCCGCCTGCGAAATCTTCTCCACCTCCAGATTCTCTTTCAGTTTCTCCAGCCCACGCAGCTTCAGGGTCATCTTCAGCGAATCTCCACTGGTCTCACTCTGCCTACTCGTGCTGTCCATCGCATCAACGTCCTTCTTGCTGGGAATAGAACTCTGGCTGTTTGTGTCGGTGTCTTTCTCAGAATCATCAGACAACTTCATGCGCTTCGATCGCTCTTCGTAATCTGACGAGACCGAGGAACGCTTTTTACCCACTGATTCACTTATTAGCTTGTCCATCGACCCATCTGCAAGCAATGTATATGTATATTGTTATATTTGTCACTGTTTGCAGAAAATCAATATTCATTTCAGCATTTCAGTCAGCAAAGTTTTATAGAATCCAAGATGAATTGAAACCAAAACTTACCCTTTTCATCCATTGACAAGTCGTCATCATCGATCGCGATGGGCTCTTGCGACGGAGGATTCTTTGGTTCACCGTCCTTTGACTCCTGCTGAGGGCTCGAGTCCTCGTCAATGTCCATCTCTGTTGGCTTGAGAATCTCTTCTTCCTTCTTCTCATCCTTCTCCTCGCTGTCCTTCGCCTTGGTCTCCTCTTGGTCCACCTTCTCTGTCTCCGCAGAAGCTTCAGGCTCGTCGTCAATTATTAAAATATCATCACTGTTATTGGCTAAATCCTTGGAACCTGTTTCCTCCGCTGTCTGCATATCGACTTTCGAGGTTTCATCTCCATTTTCTGCTACAGATTCATCCACTTTGCTGTCTGCTTTAGGAGTTTCAGCTTTATCTTCTGGCTCATCAGTCATATTTTCCTCATCAATTACTAACTTCAATGAGTCATCCTTATCCTGGACTTCACTCTCAGCCTCGGTTTTCTTCTCCAGCAAGTCTGAAGTATCCTCATCGATAGCAATTGAGGGCACGTGATCTGAAGGTTTCTCATCGGAAAAGGATTTGAGTAGTTCATCGCATTCCTTCAGTATGTCAGTCTCTTCAAAAGGCTCATCAGAAGTCTTGTCTCCCTTGCTTTCTGGACGTGCTTCTTCGGCTTTATCCTCTGTCTCTTTATCTTCAAGCGCATCTTCATCGAGTTCCATCATCATGACTTCATCATCTTCTTCGATTTCCTGCTCAGGCTTCTCTGGACTCTCGCTTTCTGACTTGGAATCCTCTTGCTTCGCCTCTAAATTCTGCTCCGGATTATCAACCCCGATTTCCTTGAGCATATCATCAAGATCAATTATATCTTCAGTGTCAGACATTTTTGTTGCAGCATTCTCATCAGATGTCTGGACCACATCGTTGCACCCCAAGTCAATATCTTCAGGATCAACAGTCTTTACTTCATGCATTTCTTCCTCAGCCACTTCGAGCACATCTGAAGCTTCCTTGGAATCCTCTTCATTACCACAATTCACATCCTGACTGTTCTCCTCAAAGTTACCCTCATTGTCACTCTTCGGCGAATCAATGCGCTCACATTCTTGGCCACTGCCATTACTGATCAACTCTACCGCATCTTTCTGTGAACTTTCACACTTTTCTTCGCACTTTTCCGGTTCCTCAACAACAGCATTTATGCCGATTTTTCCACTTTCAGAGTCACTTTCAATCTCTTCAACTGAAATCACTTCTTTACTGAGCACCTCCTCATCTGCTTTCGCATCTTGTAAAGTTTCTGCATCCCCATGAGCCTCAACAGGACTTTCGGAGCTTTTCGGCGTATTCAAATTGGAATCTTCTGATAGATCTGGCAAAGAAATTCAAATGCATTCATTAAAACTCAAATATTTCAAAGAGTTTATGTGCATATTCTCAGAGCAAATCTAGGGATATTTTGAGTTCAAGAAATTTATTTCACATTCAATATTTTGTAATATTGTCATTAAAAAGTTATTTTACAAAAATGTTCACAATAAATGTTAGTTATTCGCCCCTTAATATGTTATATTTGCACTGAGTTTGTAGGCCAGTTTAACTGGCGATTTAATTCACAAAGTTTAGGCTCTGTGTAGGCTATATTAAGAAATAAAATAGTGAGTCTAACTTTTATCACGGCACTGTATAGCATCTGTCAAGGCTCAAAACAAAACACTTGCAGAAACACAAAAAAACGCCGCCGCTTGTGTTCCGGACACTCAACTAACCTTGTGCAGGCATCTCTGTCGAGTCCTTGAAGTCCTTGTGCTTCTCCAGCGGAAAGGCCGGTTCTACCATGTCTCTCACATCGTCTGACAGTGATCGAATGTCTTGCGACGCCTCGAGCGTTGACATCATTTTGCCCTTTTCGCGCTCGCAGAACAGCCTCACTGAAATAAACAGAAGAGCGGGGCCGTCATCTTCCAAACGCAAGTGACAGAGTCTCACGATGACGAATTAATCGATAAAGGTTCTGATATAGCGTAGACTGGACTCGGATAGCAAGTTGAGCAGGTCAATGACACTTCGCGTTCCGCAGATGAGGGTTAAATCGCGAAATAAAACCCAGATTGTGTATTTGGAAAGGCTTGAAGTTCTAAAATGAAGTTAAAAAAAATCGCTTTGCTTGTCTACCGAGCCGGATCGGAATTGGTCGGCAGACAACGATCAAGTTGGCTTTGGCTTTGCAATGAGACAAATGGACTGGTAGTGAAACGCTTTGATGCCGATTTACGTGGATTTTAACCCGAATTATTACGTGAAAGAGCACAATTGATTTGTTGGAAATGGGAAAAATAGATTTTTGTCACTGCTGCTATGACTTTGATGAGGACTTAACCTATACTGACTGCAGAGTGCGGAGATATGGAATTAATGGGTGAAATGGGGTCATACTGTACATCTTAAGGAAAAGCGACAATATTTTGGGTAATTTCGAAACTTTTATTTCTGCCTTTACTCAAAATTACACGAGTTACGTCACACAGTATCAATATATGAAATGAGGACAACTTTTCCGTATTCCTATCAATTAAGGCCAAATATTGATACAAACTGATAAGAAACGCGATAATAGAATTTTTACATCTGGATAACAGAAAGAAATCCTGATTCTAGCCTAGAAGGTAACGAAAAATATTATACTTCGTCAAGTCAATCATTAGTAGCCGAAAGACTCCGAATGCGTCCGAAAGCGCTTGGAATGTCTACGACTTCAAATACAATTTTTAATACTTTTAACCAATAGAAATCGTAGTAGGGCCAATCTCTGGCAGGAATTATCAAAAGGACATCCCGAAAATGCAAACAGAGACAATATTTGAAGGTACACGGTATAAATCGTATACAAAAGGAAATTCCGTGAAAGTCGGTCTTTGAAATGTCAAATCTAGTAATAAATACAAATATTACTTGATTATGCCCTGCCGCGGTAAAGCCCTCACATGAAATTCCCGAATTGCACCCCAACTAACATCCCTGAGTGACTTTTATACCCAGGATCTGGATATTTCGGGTGGAAAACAAGTGTTTTGCTTGGTACTTACCTCAACCGAACCCCACGCCTTGATTACTGAGTGTGTGGTGTCGCTGCGCTCGGGTATCCTGGGCGATATGGCAACACTCGCCGACTGCAATGGCAACACAGCCCTCTTCGCGTCTGAAATCCTCTTTTGAGGCCCAGAATCACACAATGTGGCCCACAACTGGACAAATTATGGACTTTCAGGGAGTCTTGAGGTAGATGAACTCGCAGTCAATACACTGGTAGAAACGGTGCGCTTCTACGGCTTTTACACTGGAATTTCCACGGTTGGACCTCTGGACTACCCGGTAGTATAAATTCACGTGCTCGCCACAGGGATCAGATGGAGCTAATTACGGTTTGAAAGGCCTTGAACCTTTTGAGTATGCTAAAATATCCTTTGAAGATGCGTTCAAGAGAGAATTTCTATTTGCAAATTGCTGGAAATTTTACATAACACATGCAAGAAATTAAATTTTACATAATATTTACGTAACAGAGCGAGTCTCATAACAGTGTGTGGGGATGAAAAAGAGACCCCAAGAAAAGGAGAGTGAAAACTAGGTTTGAAAATTTCACGAGTTAACTGAAAAAATGCTTTCATTCTCAAAACTTTCGTTTTCTTATGCAAATAACAAAGATGAAAAGTATGATGAGGGAAAAATCATCAAAATAATTGTAGAAAAGAGAAAAATAAGAAAAATATGGACTAAAATTTCATGAAACTTTTCTCACAAAAATCGGTGAGACGAAAATATTCACTTCTAACCTCGAAGTAGTGTCGGGATGATTTTGCTGAGCTCCATAGTCAAATGCCGGAAAGCTGTAGTGTTTAGCCTAAGGAGATGCCTTCCTACTCCTGGCCGTCTTTACTGCACCCGCCCTTACGACCTGAACACAAACGTGGCCAAAGATGTGATCATCTTTAAATATGAGAACCCCAAGTTCTTTCGCTACCTCAACATCTTCGCCGTGGGGCAGTTCTTTTTCTGGAACTACCTGTCCCATTTCGCCTTCACCACCCTCCGCGATGCCCCAGTGGACCGGAACACCTCTGAGGACTTGCCTTTCTGGCGTCGAGTGAACCTGGGCGACAACAAGTTCCGGAACACGCTGACTGTGCTATGCTTTGGCATCGGATGGAGTGTCCTAGCCATCGGTTGGATGTACACACTGCGATCTGTGCGGTTCCTGGTGCTGAGGAAGGGTGGCCAGAGTGTATCTCTGGTGACTTATACGCCGTTCGGTATCAGCAATAGAATCATGACTGTGCCGCTGAATTGCATCTCAGCTGTACAGTCCCGGCAAGCAGCAAGAGTCAATCTTCCGCTAAAAGTGAAAAACAAATCCTTCTTCTACATCCTGGACAAGAGAGGAACCTTCACCAATTCCAAGTTATTCGACTACACTGCAGGTCTCAAAAGGAACCTGAGTTAAAATGTGTCTAGTCTCAATAGAATATTTTATTAATAAATTTGCTCCGGTTGCTGCGTGAGAAGCAAGCCGAATCTCTTCTTTATGATTATCCGGTGCCGGGAATATTGATCCTCCGGTGAGAAGCGTGCCGGGTGAGCAGACAGCGTGGGATACGATGTCGGAGAGGATTTCTGCAAAATCGCATGTAAAACTCAGTAAAATTCATATTTACTCATTGCTATTGATGATCTTTACATTCAGGGTGTAGATCCGCTCCCCTTTCTCATTCAAATAGTACATCAAGTACATTTTTCCGGGGTTTTTCTCTTATTTTTCGTCCGAAGTGTAAACAAAAACAGAGCACATTGGCTGACGTAACCTCACTTTGTGATCTCACCCAAAAACCCGGTGGCGGGCGTCCGTCGTCAGTCGGCCCGATTGTCTGCCGACGGTCAGGGTGGTCAACCGACTGTATGTAAACAGTCGGCCCATTTGTCACCTGACCAAAACGGACATTTGCCACAGACATTTACATTGGAGTGTGACCGAAAGTCGGGAGACATTCGGGCATGTGTCGGATGTGCCAAAAATGGCGCCTTTGCGTATTTTTTTTTTCATGGCGAATTAAATTAATTATTTTGAAGAAATTAATTAACTCCCAGTAATTATATTTATTACATGCGCGTTTTTTATGATCAAAAATATGCCGGCATGGGCGCACGATAAAGAATTTAATTACGGCTCGGAAAAGTATTGTCCCGACCTGAAAAGAGTTAAATTGAGCGATTTCCGCGATTTTCTTTGCATTTGGAAAAATTCTCATTTTGGCCGAAAATTCTGACGTCGCCATGTTGCCAACATCTGCTAACTTCAGACCGGTGCCACCCGGCAAACAACCGACAGTCGCTTGTTTGTCTCAACGGACGACAGTCTCGTGACTGTAGAACGACGTTGTCTGTCATCAAGACGACCGCTCGCCACCGGGAAAGCACCCAAAAATCTGACAGTTTATGTACTGTGCGGAACGCACCAAACTTCACTCCGCTAAGTATATAAAACAGAGTGTGGCTGCCGAGAAAAGTGCTCTCTTCAGAAAATCTCAGTTTTTCGTGGAAAATCAAGTGAAAAAGCCTTAAAATGACTTGGGGTTTCGTCACTTGTGGTCCCAACGAGGCGCTCGTGGTGTCAGGTGAGCGTGAAAAGTAGTATAAAGGGAGGAAATGGGAAGCTGCGACAAACAATTAACATTCCAATTGGGGGGTGAATCAGTGGCGTTGCTCAATCAATTTTTTGCGCGTGAATTAACTCTGGATTGAGAAATTGCGGGTTTATTTTTAGCCGAGGGCGATAAGCCCACTCGAGAGTGTTAATGGACCACCCAAATTTTCGATTCTCATCGCCGCCCCTTGCAGCCGCCACTCCGGCACCGGACCTTATTGATTTTTTCCCTCCCTTTCCACACAGGATGTTGCTATATGAAGCCGCTGTTGGTGCCCGGCGGAAGAGCCTTCGTCTGGCCATCTGTGCAGCGCGTCCAGAGGTGAGTTCACGATTTCTTCTGGGTGGCGGAAGAGCGCTGAAGGGTGCTGCAATTGAATTGGCAATTGTGGGAGTGAAACTCACCCTTTCCGGTGACCTAGTTATGGACATTTCTACGCATGGACACTGCCTGGCGAGGGAATAGGGTCACTCATTGTCCTGCTGCTTCATGAATCAATATATTCTTGCTATACTGTGATTCCATAAAGTCTCTTCTTCTCTGCAGAATATCTCTCAACACCATGACTCTCCAAGTCGAGAGTCCGTGTGTGTACACGAGCCAAGGCGTCCCGATTTCCGTGACTGGCATCGCGCAGGTGAAGATCCAGGGTCAGAACGAGGATATGCTGTTGACAGCATGCGAACAATTCCTGGGCAAGCCTGAATCAGAGATTCAGCACATCGCTCTGGTAACTCTCGAGGGCCACCAGCGCGCCATCATGGGCTCTATGACGGTGGAGGAGATCTACAAGGACAGGAAGAAGTTCAGCAAGCAGGTTTTCGAGGTGGCATCCTCTGACCTCGTCAATATGGGAATCACGGTCGTTTCCTACACTCTCAAAGATATCCGCGATGAGGAGGTAATTCTGAGTTGATCTCTCGGGCAATGAGACCTTTTCCTCACTCTTTTTCTCTCTGCTCTGTTCCTTATTCGCTGCATTTCTCTTCATGAGATCATTTTATATTCATTCTAGTACTCTTTTCCTTGTAAATAACTATGCAACAAGATTTAGTGGATATCGCAGTATTAGCAGACATAGATTAGAGGCAATTACACTTAGAAGCCTTCATCTTGTTGCATAGTTCTTTCATTCTTCCTCTTTCTTCAATTTCGTAGAGTTGCATTAGATCACAGATAATCTTACAATAACTCGTTTGAAAATACTTCTTTCCTTATTTCGTTGCCTACTAAAAGGGTGCTAAGGTATGTTTAAGGATCAAAAAGTATGTTTGCGATATATTAGTCTTAGTTTTGCTGTTTATTCAGGTATTTTGTGGCTCATGTTGTGCATAGATCTTAGATATAATTCGTTATCCTTTAGTGAAGAGTCAACAGAAGAAAGGTATTTCATTCAGTACTAACTGTTTGTGATTTGCTGAGGAGTTTGTGAAGCATTGGCTGAGGATGAGGATTTAAGTATCTGGTGCTCCTTTTCAGGGATATCTTCGTAGCCTGGGAATGGCAAGGACAGCTGAAGTGAAGAGAGATGCTCGAATCGGTGAAGCTGAAGCCCGGTGCGATGCTCAGATAAAGGAAGCGATTGCTGAAGAACAGAGGTATGAAACTCCTTGTTGTCCAAAAGGTTCCAAAGTTCCGAATAAAGCTTTTAAGTGTTTTATGCGATAGAAAAGTACCTCTTGTAAAATTCTAAATTCCATATTCTTCAGGATGGCGTCGCGCTTCCTCAACGACACAGACATCGCGAAGGCTCAGCGTGACTTTGAGTTGAAGAAGGCAGCTTACGACGTTGAGGTGCAGACGAAGAAGGCGGAGGCCGAGATGGCATATGAATTGCAGGCGGCCAAAACGAAGCAGCGCATCAAGGAGGAACAGATGCAAATCAAGGTGGTGGAGAGGAGTCAGGAGATCTTCGTGCAGGATCAGGAGATGCAGCGTCGCGAGAAGGAGCTCGAGGCCACGGTGCGACGTCCAGCAGAGGCGGAGAAATATCGCCTGGAGAAATTGGCTGAGGCCAACAAGAATCGCGTGATCCTCGAGGCTGAAGCTGAGGCGGAGTCAATTCGCGTGCGTGGCGAAGCTGAGGCCTTCGCTATTGCGGCTAAAGCCAAAGCAGAAGCTGAACAGATGGCCAAGAAGGCGGAGGCTTGGAAGGAATACCGTGAAGCTGCAATGTGAGTTTCCTTGCAGACGATTCAGAGGAAGATGTTCTAATGCCGTTCTCTGTTTGCAGGGTTAATATGCTTATGGATACTCTACCAAAGGTGAGTTGGAATTCAACAATTTCGAGCTTATCAGTTGGAATGAGTGATAAAAGCGCTAAACGTGACATGTGAACATGATATTTGACACAATATTGCTCTATTTTTTTCGCTGATAGTAACGCTGTCCGGTTTCTCTTTGCAGGTTGCCGCAGAAGTTGCCGCTCCATTGTCGCAGGCGAAGAAGATCACGATGGTCTCGAGTGGTGGTGGCGAAGTCGGGGCTGCGAAGCTCACTGGCGAGGTGCTGGACATTGTCAACAAAGTGCCGGATCTGGTGAAACAAATGACTGGCGTCGACATTGCCCGTGTAAGTCAAAAGTCCGATAGTTCTAGGCACTCATTTCTCGACTCCAGCAATAACATCCTGCTGGATCATCAGCCAAAGAAAGTGGCCGGGGAGCCGCGAAAGGGGATCAAGTAAACGATGTGAAAAAATATTCTCTCTCTCTTCCAGTCCATGCATTCCGGCTAAATGTCCTGTTGTTTTTTCCCTTAAGAAACGTGTGGCATTTTGAGATGAGCGCGTTAAACCAGAAAAGGTATTGCTTTGCCATCCACCCATCTTTTATAATATTCTTCTGTTATTCTTTGTGGCTTTCTGGGTGAAATGTTTCTCTATATCTAAAACTAATATTTGGTGTTTGTCCACTTTTTCACTAACATTTTCACAAACATCCCTTCATTGCAAATTGACTATCAAATGCCCAGAAAATGTCTTGTTACGCCTTGTATTATTACTATTTTGCCATTCAATTTTAGTCAAGCAGACAAGTTGTAGACCAAAAAAGAGAAAGAGATACTCTACTAATGCCTTTTTGCAAGTGGAAAGAGAAAGAATAGCGTGAAATTACTATTCGATATAAAAGAACCTTTTGGAAAATTCTATATTTGACAGTGTGTGCAGTAATAATAATTAAGGAAATTGTATTGTGTTCAAATGAATTCAGAGTAAAAATGTAGTTTCTACTGTTTCTAGTGAAGATTTGGGCATTATTGGTAGAAAAATAATCCATTCAGTGTCCACATATTTTGTGTTTAATGTCAATAAAATGCATCTAATTCACTGCTTTTATCGTGCTTGAACTTTTTTGTATCTTACAGTGTGAAAGATCTGGTGAATCACCCTGAAAATTACCCCAATTGACAAATATGACCAAATCCTAACCGCTCATGATATCTTCAACTGTCCAAACAATCAAGACAATCGAACGTGTCTTTTGACATGATATAACCAAGTTGGAAGAATATCTTTTTGTCTGCCCATTTCTGCCTGATATTGTACAAATGAACAAAATGTTCAATGCAATTCAAAGAAGTATTTGTACAATTTAGACTATATGAACTGTTCAAACACGGCGGCATGCGTTGTTTATCTTCAACAGTTAAGAAAAAATGCAAGGAGATTAACCAAGGAATCTCTCTCCGACAATCGTTTATTCAATCTATGTCTAAACTTGTGTCTGAGCTGGTTAAATTGGATTTGTAAAGTCATATGACCCGGAAATGGAGTAATAAAGACTCTTATTTGCCAATTGGGTATGCTTTTGCAACAGTATTGCATAGGAAATCACATATAACCAGTGCCAAATGGCAATAAATAGCCTGAAATTCCTTTCTGGGTGTTGTAAATCCTGCATTTTATCTATAGAATACTACCTTAATTCATAAAGTTTCTACCTCATTATGAAGGTGAATGATTTCAGTGTGATTCTGCCGATTTTTCACTCGTCACTTCATTTTATCGATGACAGAACAATTTAATAATCAACAGCATAACGATAACACTTTTAGTCAATGCAGCTAAAATAATGCCCACATAGTCGATAAAGTGAAGACAATTGCTTGGAAACACACAAAGTGCAATATTTGGAGGAATTTGCTGTTTCTTTCATTACTTTTTAATACACATTCTCTCATTTTTCACATCCGCCATATAATATAGTCGAAAATATATGTAATGTTTCTTGAGAACAAACGTATAAATAAATATTGTGGAATTCACCAGAATCATCAAAATGTTGAATGATTTTCGATTGAAGAAACCGTGTAACTTGCAATTTCTTTTAGGAGTGCGAAATATATTGGATATTATACTTACACGCTTTGTCTGATTTCTAAAAAAAAATCCACTTTGAGAGATTTTCGGCAAAGAAAGTAATTGAAATAAACTTTTAATATATCAACTAACTTTCTTACGACATTTATACAATTTTCTAAGTTCTTTTTACAATATCGCTTCACCTAAAATGTTATTAGTAACTTTACAAGATATAGAAAAAAGGTAAAACATTGACAATATCATTGGGTTTGGCCTTCTTTCCTGTGTCCTCTGTGTGGTTAGTTTAAGGTCAAATGGACCTGGCAACTTGCTAAATTGACCACTTTTCATCCATATTGACCGTGAAATCACTTTGATGCCTCTTTTCCGCCAACAAACTATTTTTATCGCAAGATAATGGACACATGTACGTTCAATTGGACTCAATTTAGGCCTTTAAGGTTGTCAAATGAGATCTCTTTCAGCGGTAATTTGAGGACTATTGAGAGCAATTTGCACGAAAAACGACGGGACCTGATATTAACATGGCTATTTTACTTGACTGTTCATACATACATGGCATATATAGCTCGAAAAACCCCCATCAGCTTATCGAATTGTTAATCTCCAGTCTGGAAAAGAGAATGTCCGTCACTCAATGGCTCCAGCAATTAGTCAGGATGTCTGAATGTAATAATGTGTCCCAATGTTTTTCGTGCACAGAAACTGATATGAATCCCTCGCGCTAGTCCATCACAAATTGAGTGAGAATTAATCTATTTGACCCCATGCGGATGCTGCACGCGGCTAAACTTTGCCCAGCAGGTCGTGAATGTACATCTTCTTGCGGTAGCCGCGCTTCAGGAACAGCCGCACGGCCGCCAGGAGCATGCACAGGCAGAAGCCGTACAGCAGCAACCCCATTCGCATGTCAATGTCCGAGAAGACGTTACTCACGTAGCGCTTGGCCCGAAGGACGTCCAGTGAAGCGGGCAGAGCTGCCTCGTCATCCACGCCCAAGCGGCTGATGTTCTGCGGCGAGTGGATGCGCCGCAAATAGAAGAGCACCTCCGTTCGGTCCCATGAATCCTCGTCGTTGTGCGAAGCATTGTCTCCCCTGCGGCACTGTGGGCACTCAGCGGCGCCTGGGAATTGGATTTTAGGGTGCGCCGGATCCTCAGTGGTGTCGCCTGAGAGGCGCTTGTTGGCCTCATTGTGTGCCGACCAGAGCCAGAGGATAGCATTGTCCTGACTAGCAACCGAGAACATTCGGTTCTTTTTGGCCATTTCCTGGGAAGAGAAAAGCAAGCGATCACGTCTGGGTAGAAATAAAGTTACCACATTAGCACGTATCAGAAAAAATGCCGAGATGGAAATCTTCTCTCTAAATCTTCCCTAATCAGCATTTACGTGACCTCTGAATTAGCTGAAAACTTAAACTTATCCGTTCTCCGAATTCAATCGTCAACAATCACGAATCATTTATGGCAATGAACATGCAGAATTGGTGGTGATATTTGTGAAAAAATCTGAATAGAGGTCAGCAAGAATATAAAGCCAAGATAAGATAACTCGACAACCTTGACATTGTCTTAAAATTCTCAATGCCAAAGGAAAGAAATAGGCTGATTTTATGCAATACAAACAAATACACAATTCTGCTCAAGTGCAGTTGAGATTTTGTAAGTTAATACAAAATTTTAAGTAGAACTGAACTAATTACTCAATTTTAATACAATAATTTCTCGCGTATATATATAGTGAATGGAAAATGATACAACTCTTATTTTTTATGTACACTTTTCCAAGTGCATTTCTGCTCTTGATGTGCCTGGAAAATGGCATTTTCAGCCGCTTATCAATACAATTTCTATTGTGCAATTGACATGTAATAGAGCGTGATTACATACGCTTTCTCGTAGCTAAATATTCATAAGGTCACTCATGAAAATGAAATGCAGGCGCTTGGAATATGTCGAATAATGCTTCTTGCACTCACCTGAAAGTGATTGCTGCAATCTGTGCAGCCGAAGAAGTGCTTAATGTATCCATGCATGGCATGGAGTACTTCCAGAGGATCCGTGGAGACGTTCTGCTCCACCGCAGCCACTGTCAGGTGGTGGAAAAGCAGCCACAAGCTGCAGGGATACCTTCTCAGGCCATCCACTTCACTGTAGCAACCCACAAATTTACTGGATGAGAAAATTGGCCGGTGGTGTTCTTCCAGGCGCTTCGCCTCATTCTCAAAGGCCTCTCCCGAGAGGGACTCTTCCTTGTCGCCCACGAAGGTTTCCAGTTCCTTCAGGAAGCGTCGACCGTTGTCACCGAAAGGAAAGTATCTACTGAGGACTGACAGGAAGCGCTTCAGAGCCAGCAAGCGGTCGTCTTTGATGGCTTCGTAGCGGGGAATTTCGTGGAAGAGGGCGAATCTGACGGCTTGCTCAAGATCAGCTTGGAATACCACTCCCTTCATCTCCGCCACTTTATCCTGAATGGCCTTGTCTTGCTTGTGCTTCATCCAGTCAGGCGTTGGTTTGTTCGGTGCTGCGGACACTGGGACGGCGGATACGGGAATGTCTAGGTTGTTCTCCTGCATGTGTGATAAGATCTTATTCCGAATGCTCTCCTGGCTGGGCTCAACAGTCAATTGCTCAATCAGTAGATTCTCTCGGTGAACAGCGAAGAGTGCTGGCCTGGCAGTTGTCTTTGGGTGGAGAAACTCCATCGAAGAAGCCCTTCGAATGATGACATTTTCGGCCTTGTGCAAGTCCAGGATCACTTGAGCACCAGTGGTGTTCTTATTGGGTTCCTGAACATTCTCCAGAATCACATACACTATCTTGATGTTCTGTGGCGCCGTTGTGAACAGTTCAGCTGCACTGTCGGCCGTGAAGTCCTCCAGATCTGGCCAAGAGGGCAATTTCTGTTCATCAGTAAGGAGGAAGTTGACCAGAACCTGCTTCAATGTGTCATGATCAGGTCGGAGGACGGACTTCCCAATTTGCTTGGCACCCTCCTCGTAATTTGGCGGAAAGTACCTGATCGTGGGATAAGCCATCACCTCGAAGTCCCTGCAGACATCGCTGTTCTCATCTGAGGAGCAATCAATGGCTGAGATGGCCACAATATCTCTCCAGTTCTGCGTGTCTTCGCCCAGTTGGATCCAGTGTGGAGCAAAACGACGGCAGAAGCCGCAGAAGGAGTTGTAAAATTCCACAAAAGCTGCCCTCTTCTGCTGGAACACCCACGCCTGGAACTGCTCCTTGCCAATCAGCTCGTCCACGGCGTCGGTCTGCATGTACAACCCATTGTAGTCCGAGGGCGACTGCGACTGCTGCTGCTTCAGGAAGGGAATCCCTCGCCCCAGCACTCCGCTGAGCCCCAGCAAGACGGTCAGGAGCACCCAAAGCCACCTCATTTCTGCCTAATGTCACGAACAGATGTAAGACTTGGAGCGACGCGAAGCACTTGATATGACTTATCACAAGGCATTTCACATACTGAGGTGAAAGGCAAGACGACGAGGCGTTTAATTGTGGCTGAAATTGATGGGCCAGCGAATAGAGGGAACAGAGCGATAAGAAGTCCAAAGCAGACACATCACACTGGAAAGCGAATACATTGGAAACACTGGAAGACTTCCACTAAATGCGTGCTATAATGGCGCTTTCAAATTATAACGGACAGAGACATGTGATCTTAATCAATGGAAATCAACATTCTTGATAACATTTGAGAAGTCCTTTAACCCAAGTGGCCACAGCATGCGCTCCTGGATCAGGATATTTCAGGTCCTGCACAGTGGAGGTTGTATAAGCTGCTCGACCGGCTTTTGGAATCATCGCTCTGGTTTCAGCTGCACTGCTTTCAACAATCTCATAGAGATTTTCTGCGAAACCAGGTCCAGATGCTGTTGATGAACGCACAAGGAAGTCCTCCATGGCCAGGAGAGGATCTAACATCGTGCGATCACCTCGCTTGGAACGGGCGGCTTTCTGAAGGGCAAAATTTCCTAGTTTCAGAGCATCTATCCAATCCTGGAGAGAAGCAAACTCAGTGCTGGCTCCAAAGGCGGTGGAAGCAGCTTGGAAGAAGATGCCATAAAGGGCGCCGCTGGATCCGCCCATTTGCCGAGACATTTCCCAACTAAGAGCCTTGAGGAAGTCTCCAGGACGCTGGAAATCTTCAGGAGCAGCAAAACGAGTTAGAAGATGCTTTACTCCGCGGGAGATTGTGCTTCCTGTATCGCCATCGCCCAGTTCAGAATCCATCTCATTGAGGAGAGTACACCCCTTTAGCAGTTCCTCACAGGCGCTCCTGAACAACTTGAAGAGGAATTGAGGATCCTTACTCAGCTTCTGTGGCAAGGAATCTCTCTCCGTGAGAAGTTTATCGAAGATTTCCATGTTCCAGGATGAAATCTCGGGCTGTGGCTGAGGAATACCCACAGAAATGCTCCTGGTAAGATATTCAAGTATTTCTTCCTTGCCAGCGATGTTGAGAAGAGTTACTGAGATGCCTTCCTGATCCAGAGAAGTCATGAAAGTTCCTGACATTATATGAGCGATGCGGAAATGCTGTTTGAGCCTTGGCAGGAGCGAGAATGCGAAAACGTTCATCAGATGTTGAGAAGTCCCGCCCAAGTTGTTAATCATCACTACAAATTTTCCATCTTTGGAGGCGAATTTCTGGAATTTCTCCACCAAATGCTGTGCAATGTCATCGAATGTGGTGAGATTAGTGTCTCTGGAAGCTCCTGGTTCACCATGGATGCCTTTCCCGATCTCCACTCGAGAGATCTCGCCACTTTTCAAGTCACTAGCGAAAGTGAAGCCAACAGTCATAAGCTGCAGATCTGAACAGAAGGATTGGATCTCTTGAAGAGATTTCCCATCTTCTGCCAAAGCACCGCTAATTTTTATTACCAGGACGCATCCGGCCAGTCCACGGGGACCCACGCTCTCCTGGACATTCTCAATGGCGACGTCGTCCTTCACCAAGAGAATCTCAACCTGCGTGAATCCCAGAGAGTTCCTCGCAATCTCCCTGGCTAAAGAGAAGTTCAGCCAATCTCCTGTGTAGTTGTTCACAATCAACAGAAATGCGTCATCTTGCTTCCCAGACGCCAGGATTCCCGCCAGGATCTGTTGAACCGACGGAGAGGCGAAGATCTCGCCACACACGGCAGAGGTGAGATGATTGGGGCCGACATAGCCAGCGTGTGCGGGTTCATGTCCAGATCCTCCACCAGAGATCAGCTTCACACGCCGAGGATCTCGCATTCTGACCACCACTTTAACATTCTCCAGCAGGACAATCGGGGCGCCATGCGTGGGCAGGAAGCCGCGGAGGGATCTATCTATGGAGCACAGCGAATTCATTCTGTCACTTCTCTTATCTTTGACAAAACTGCCCTTGTCCCCAATTCAGCGAGACTTCAGATTCATTCGAATTTGAAAGCCAACTGTTGCACTTCCCGAGAGAAAATCAAAGTTAGGAATCCCTCCAAATTGTCTCTTAGCACTGTTTATTCTCATTGTTCCTGCAAATGAAATCCTTACGTGTGAGCTCGGCAATCGTTGTCCCCATCTCGACAGTCCGCCAGAGAGAAAGATGTAGTGTTTGCGGATTCAGTGACTAGAACTGTGGGATGGAGTCAAGGATTCACGGGAGGACAGCTCGGTTGTATCAACAATTAGATTGAAATAGAAGTGTTGTTACTTTCAACTACACTCGCCGGGAAGTCGCTCTACTTCTCCTTCTCGAGGGCCGAAGCGCCGGAAATGATCTCGATCAACTCCCTGGTGATGACAGCCTGTCGAGTGCGATTGAACGTGAGCGTCAGCTTGTCAATCATCTCTCCGGCGTTCTTGGACGCGTTGTCCATGGCCGTCATCCTTGAGGATTGCTCAGAGCAGGCGCCCTCCTTCATGGCGTAGAACAAGAGAGACGCCAGCGAGAACTCCAAGTAGCTCTGGATCACGTCGGCGTCCAGAGAATCGTAGACTGAGAGACTAGCAGCGCTCTCAACAGAAGCACGACTGAAGATTGGGATGTCGCTCAAGCTGTACGACACCACGGATTTGAAGCGATTGTAAACAATCTTCCCGTCGGAGAAGTCATATCCAGAGTTGAGAATCTCTACAGCAATTTTCGAAGCGTCAATGTAAGTCGGTGGCAAGCGCCCCACTTCATTGGCAACAAACATAATGTTCTGGCCAAGAATACGCTGCAGAATCGAGCGACTCTTGTCACCCACGCACACGATCTTCGTATTGGCGGCCAATGAGGCGTCCGCCAATTCATTGCGAATGAGTCGAGCCACACCAGAGTGCACAGCACCGCACAGACCACGATCGGAAGTCATCGCGATGACCAGATGCTTCTTCTCACTTTCCTCGGGAGTCGCAATTTCGGCTTTCTCGTAGAATTGTTGCGAGCCTACGCCAAAGGGACGCGCCCTCTTCAAATCGCGCTCAGCACGAGAGTACCTATTATCAAAATTCAATATTATTCCATGTTCCGGAAGAAAATCTTCGGGATTTCTTGGGACTCACTTGGCAGCTGACACCATCTTCATAGACTGAGTGATTTTCTGGATGTTTTTCACAGATTTCAAGCGAATTGAGATGGCCTTCAGAGTAGCCATGCCACGCTGCTGCTGCTGCTCTACACCCTGGGCGGCGACCACCCTCAAAAGGGGCCCCGCGACGCTCATTCTCTGCATCATCGGTTTCCTGAAATGACACACCATAACCTCAATTAGATCCAAGGCAAATTTCCAAATTTTAGAGGAATCTATGCCTACAAATATTGTTCAATAGATTCAAAAGCACGTTCTAAAGACACATATTACATCATTTCACTGCATTTACTGCGAATTTATGGATATTCAGTCATGGAAAAATTATTATGTAAGAGAAATGTCAGGGCGAATTGAAATCAGCGGCTACAGCGACCTATCGCTAGATCTACGATGTATTTCACTACATAATTACACAGTAGTATTCCTTAAGACTTTTTCAATGATTTTCATGAGGAATAACCAAGGAGATTTACCTTTTTCCGGCGAAAAACTGCTACAAGAAATCCACTTCACCACTCGCGATGGTGGACAAAGTCACTGGAAGAACCGTGGCGCTAGTGTCGCAAAGGTGAAATTAATTTTATTCAAAAATAATAATCGTGATAATTATATTTTGAGAACGTCCTGAACATGGACAATTGTTTATCTACACTTCCGAGTGACACACGACTGTAAAGAGATAGGACAGGAAGTGCAGATAATCCTCCTCAACTAGTTTGACAATATTGAGGGGCGGCAGTGGCGGATCTCCCTCATGAAACTGAATCTCTTCCCTGAGACAAAGTCTCTTCTCCCACAGATTCCCCGCGTCTAGTCTCTTAATAGGCGTAATAGTCTCCTCAAATCGCGGCGTCGACAGTGAAAAGGTCTCCTTCATCGGTGTGGACCCAGCAAATGGCTGAGATTTCTGCTGCAGATGCATCTTCTTGACCACATTCACCCTTAGTGAGTCCTTCTGGGCAGCAATCTTAGATGATGATGTAGACTTTGGAGACTCTTCAGGCCCATCTAGAGGATTTGCTGGCAGTGAACTTCCCGGAATGTTGAGAAATCCATATTTCTTCCTCTCGCAGAACTTTCGTCCGTTCAGCAAAATCCTCTTCTTCACGAAATCATGGAAGAATGCCAATTCTGTGCTCATCAACTCCTTCCTGATGAGCTGTTTGTCCAATATCGACAGATTGGGATCCCTCAGAGCGAGCAGACTCTGACTAGCCACCAAAGTCAGGCAATATTCCAGCGCCATGGCGCACAGCTTACCGTCCATCTTCGAGAGAATCTCATCTGAGGGCGTTGGAGCACCGTAACTGGACGTGGAAAGAGATTTGGCGAAGCCTGGACGAGGACTCGGTGTTGTCATTGACTGAGAAATCGTCACATTGTCTGCAGGAACACTAATGCTGACTTCTGTGCGCTCCACATCTTTGAAATTCAGCGGTGTCTCACAAAATTGGTATTGAATCTGAAAAGCAATGAAAAGTTCGTATCAAAAATTTCATTTCTGCACGCTTTTATCCCACTTACAAGCTTCAGGGACTTTGTTAGTGTAACAATAGCGGTCAGAAGAGCGCCCAGTGACAAGTGTCGCACGGATTCATTCAATGTTGGAGTCTTGAATTGGATTTCAATCAGTGCTTGCCATTGTGAAGGCTGGAATTCCGGTTCGCAGAGCAAATCCATGATTTTAGGACTGAATATCAGGAGAGTTTTGGCGCACAGAGTTATAATCTCGATCAGTCTGCAGAGAAGAGAGATAGAGACATAATTAAACATTCAATTATAACGATTGTAACTGTTTAGAATTGATTACTCACTCGTTCATGGCAGTGACGAGGGATTTGCTCGCCTGAACCGGAGGATTTGGCTCACTTCTTGTCTTCCCGGAAGTTAGAGTAATGTTCAGGAGTTGACTGAGTTGATTTGGTCGATGAAGAAGCGAGATTGCATGATCCATCAATTGCTGAATGCTCCTCTACAAAATAAAAATCAATTAATCATCTATTCATTCATTCGCAATCCCCGGCAGTTTCAGTTTCATTCATCCACTCTACTCTACGCTTCTGATTCCCTCTACAGACAACTTCTCGCACTAAATGCGTAGCCGGCCAGTCGAACGGAAGTCAGTATGCTTCGTTCATTCATTCGTCTCGCGACTGTGAAAGTATGATGATTTAAAGAGACAGTGTGTGACTTAAACAGTAATTGAGAGGTCTTTCGGCATTTCCCAACAAAAACAGGCAAAACAACCAAAATATTCTCTTCAGAAGGACTTTCGGAGAATCCAACGTGAGTAAAATCAACATTAGAATCCTCATGCGCAATTTTTTTTAGGAGTGTGATATCATAAAAATACTCAGAATTGCGTTATCTTACGCCAGATTCACACAGAAATATTTCTGAGAATTCGAACCGGGCCGAAACACAGCGCTTAATTGTGGTCGCGTATTAGTTTTTCATATCAAATCTGTCACATTCCGAATTGTCTGCAGAAGCCAGAAATCCAACTCAATATAATCTAAGCCAAGTGAGTGCTCATTAATGTGATTAACATATTTTCTCTGTTTAGACGCACCATCGCAATGCCGCAGAAGCACAAATCTGAAGAGACAGGCGAACATGGATTCAAATTCCAACTGGAAATATTCTTTATCCTCTGCCTGGAAATCTTCAAACTGGATTACAAAGACTTTGCGCTAAGATACGAATTGAATGACATTGACAAACTGGACGATATTGTCGTTGAGATTGAGCTGAATAGCAAGAAATTTGCTTTTTTCATCCAAGCAAAGCATACGGCAGAAAAGAAGGAAGCTTTTATCGATAGTTTCTTTGCGCTCACGACAAGTTCAAAGAAGTACTGGAAGATGTACAATTTACGGAAAATTGTCAAGTCCCTCATGACAGAGGATGTCCAGAAGAGTCTGAAAAAGTATGAGGATTATGAGAAGCGATTCGTTATTGTAACGAATAACATTATTAGGATAGAAAATATTGAGACCATTGTTGAGCATTGTCGAGAGTTTCACAGTGTGTTTAAGAGATTTTCGAAGAACGAGGCTCAAGTGTTTAAATTTGGATCAGCTTTTGAGGAGAAAATGCAAGCGATAATTGATGCTGTAGTGGAAGATTGGAAAGAGTCTTTAAAAGATCCAAAAGGTCCAAAGGGCAAAAAATTAAGTGAAGAGACTATCGCAAATCCGCCAAATCCAATGGATTTCCTAAATAAAATTGTAGTTGTATCAAACTTACCGGAAAAGCTTGAGGAATTCCAGGAAATCAGCGAGAAATTCGTAAAGAAAGTGTTCCCAGACTGTCATTCAAATCTTTTAGCTAGATTTTTGCGAGAAAACATCAATGATTTTATCAAATGCGAAGAAGGTCAGAGAAAATCTATATCTCGAAGTGATTTTGAGGATCTGATTGAGAAATCAAAGCAAGAAGCTGAAATGACTGGAATAACCGATTCATTCTTTCAAATGACTCAATTTCGCTTGCAATTTCTTAAAGATGGTTTATCCCAGATTCGCGATTCATTACAAATAGAAGGAAAAAAAATAATCGAATATCAAAGTAACTTGAAAGCCTCAATTTTAAAGGTTTATCACGCTTTAAGAACCACTTCAGGCAAAGTTTTCCTTTTACCACTGTCCAAAATCACTGCAAATCTAGAAAAATACTTTAAACAACCACAATCGAAAATTATCGTATATATTGATTCTGAAACTAATTGGAAACACATGCTTCCTTATGACAATGTTATCTTTATTGGAGAGAAACACAGATTGAAGGACATAGCCAGGGGAGAAATTATGATTTTAGATAAACCACTTTTCGAAGAGTTAGACGAAGACACTAAAAAAGCAATTTTCACCTCAAATGTCAGTATACAAAATCATTTAGTGAAGCTTTCAGAGATTGTGGCTATCATTGACGAAAACGACAATTTGCTTGTCAATTTCATGAGTGACTTAATAGAAGAATTTATAACGAAGAAACACGTTAAGTTTGGCGTTGAATTACCAGAGAAAGATAATTTATATATTGACAGGGATTTTTCTCAAAACATCTTTGATTTGATGAACACTTCTAATGTCATCATTGAAGCCGATCCAGGAATGGGCAAAACATCAACGATAATCGATTTGGCCAGGAAATTCAAACAAGAAAATCCACAATATTGGGTTGGTGTGTATTTTCTCCGTGACTACACGAAACTTTTTAATAAACTTCAATCATCTTGTTCACAAGAGTTTGCTAGAGATTTCTTGCTCGACAAATTGATTGTTTGTGAGTCAAATCAAGAATTGTGCAGGAAACTCGTTGAGATTTACATGAAGAAGAGTGATAATGTGCCAATTTTCCTTATTTTGGACGGTTATGACGAAATCTTTCCCAGTTATAATCAATTTGTTGAAAATTTTGCAACAAAATTGCAAGAAATGGGAATTAAAGTATTTATAACATCTCGCAAGCACTGCAAGCAGGGATTGAAGCAATTTGAAAATTTTACTTCAGTTGAATTGCATCCATTCAATGATGATCAAATCAAGAGTTTCATTAAGAATTTCGTGACATTGAATTACCCCGAAGATGTCGTGGAACAAGTTGTTGAGAATACTTATCGAAGCATCACATTGAGTAAAAGATTAACGCTTTACGATCAATTCTTGCGCACGCCAATCTTACTTAAAATGATCAATGAAATTTATAAGAAATGCCCTGATTATATGGATCAGGTGGGCTTCGATTTGAATGTCTTTAAGATCTACAAAGACATATTTGAGATGTCTTTTGATGATTATTACGATAAAGAGAAAAGTGATGCCACTTCGAATCCCGCCAAGAGTGGAAGGAGTACTGAAATGTCAAGAGTTACAGAAATCTTGGCCAATTTAGCTATAGAAGAGCTCGGAATGGAAGAATTAGTGCCACCAAATCCTATCAAGTTCAATGCGACCGAAATCATTGGTCGTGGTTTTGTCACAAAATCCAAAAACGGTGAATTTCAATTCCATCATCGATCTTTTGCCGAATTTTTCATTTCCGATGCTATTGTTAGGCAAATTGCCAAGAAGAATTACGACATAATGGCACGCGTTAGAATGCCCAGATTCACTCAACTCTCCTATTTCACGTACAGCATTTTCATGGACAAAATGCAAAAGGACACCATCGAATTCGACAGTTTTTCAGACATGTGTGAAATGCTCTGTATGTTGTTCTTTCAATTCTCAACAATTAACTGTGATGAATTTATGATTATCATAAAGTATGTGGCAAAAAGAGTACCAACGAAGGGTATTATAAATTTTCTACGTCTGCAATTTGAATTCTTTAACACATTAGAAAATGATCATATTGACTTCTTTGTTCAATTCTTAGATGATCAATATGATAGTGAAGTCACAAATAACATTCTTTCTCTATTAAAACATAAAAACTTTACACACCAAGCATATTTCTTCACACATTTCCAGGATATCCTCAGAAACAGAGGACTTCAAACAGATGATGAATCCTTTGCGAAATTCTACACGGAATTTGCTAATGAACACTTGAAAGAATTTCGATCTAGTTTTTATAAGAAAGAATCTGTTTTTCAGATATTTGAGCATCGCAAAAACAGCATCGACACTGACATTGCAACCAAAATATTGTCTGAATATGATTCCAATGGTAAATTTCAATCTCACGACGTTATTCTTGTAGAATACTTAACTCTCTTTAGGGACGATTCTCAAGAGTTTATCAGGAATATTCTTAAGGATTTCCGCACCAAGAAAATACTCTTGCCATTTTTGGAAATTAGCGATTGCCGAACATTGAATAAAGTCTGTTGTGAGATATTTGTAGATAACAAATGGGAATATGATTTGTATGATGGCAAATCATTGCTCTTCTATTGCTGGACTAACAAGAGAAAGAATTTACTAAAAGCCTTTCTGGAGCTCCTACCAAGGGAGACAATAATTAAACTAATTGAGAGTCCCAACTTTAACGGCAAGTCTTTGATAGATTACTATCTAAGCGACAATTCACCAGCTTTCTTCTCAGTCAATTACCTCAAATTCATGTACAACAACGGCCAAACGGAAGACATTTTCAATCTTATAGAATCCAATGATGGAAGTAACAAAGTTCTTGTTATGCTAAAAATCTTCCATATTTACTACAACGCCTTTCTTCTCAGTCGAAGCAAAGCCATTACCACAGAATTGTTTAAAAATATAGCAGAAAAAGTCATCGCCAAAGCACGTGCAATGGATGAGGCAAAAGAAGTGAGTCTTCTTTATCCATTTGCTTGCAATTCACACTACTTCTCTGTGAGACCAACTTTTGCAAATGAATTCCTTCCACAATTGAACAACATCCAGGAATTCCTCTTGCAAACTATGCAAAGAATTGATGACAATGGCAATAATTTGCTACACATTTCTGCTAAAAACAACAATTACAGCTTCTTTGAGTACGTGAAAAGGTATATAACGTCTGAAAAACTGGAAAATTGTCTTCTCATTCAAAATTCACTGGGAGAAAATTATTTTCACTGTCTCACTTCCAACTACGAAGAGTGGAAAGAAGTAAAGGAAATATCTCATGATACACTCCAGAAACTGTTTTTGCAAACAAACAACAATGGACAAACACTATTTCACAGAAATGACTTGAAATTCTTTTATCATTTCATCAAAATGTTAAATATTGATAATTCTTCAGAACTTTTTATCACACAAGATAACAACAAAGACAACATTTTGCACAAATTTTCCCGAATTTTCCAATTCAACAAGACCGAAATTAGGGATTTCTTTAAAACAATCGGTGAAACTCTGTACCGAATGAAGGAAGGATATTTTCAGAAAGCATGTTCACAAGTAAATTGCGATGGTAAAACTCCAGGTGAAGTTGGAGGAATTTCAGTTGAGAATTTAAGAGAGTTCGTTTTGGATAATATGGAAGCTCAAGTTAGACATAGTATTAGTCTGGGTTACAATTCTTGGTTTCGCTAAGTTTGAAAAAGAATTAGGGAAAAAAACATTTTTAAGAATACATTAAGTAAATAAATAAGCTTTGATGTCTTGAAAATATCCGGAAAAAGTTTAATTTTTTACATCACTCACAACGCATTCCCATGGACTCAAAAAATTGTAAATCAACTCACCATAATGTTCATCATGCTCTGCGGATGATCCAACCTCCAGAGTCTGTGATATTTGGCCATTTCGAACACCAGATCAAGCACAACCTTAATGAGGGCCAAAGATTTGGCTTCCAGCGACTCCTTGGCCAGCATAATTGACGCGATTAGGTACTCCTCGTGCACACCTACGAAACTGAGGGCATCATTGAAGAAGAGGTGTTTGTTGCGCTGCAGCAAAACCGCCACCAACTCCACTCCACTCGCATAGATACTGAGCCAATCTTGCATGTGCCACTTGGCGCCTGTCTGGCTCTGGTAAATCTCCTTGGGCGGCAGCAAGTTCAGCCACAGATAGTACACCACATCGCAGTGGAGCAGATAATCAGGCCGCAGGGTCTTTGCCAGCACAACTAGCAAGTTCAGGAGTTCAGAAGTCACGCGGCGATTCTCGTGAGAGTGGCAAATCCCATTTACAGCACTCAAAAGTCTGTTTGTCATCTTGTAGGACTCCAGAAGGGCATGCCAAGCGTCGATTTGATGCTGTTCGAGGATCATCAGTATTTTCCTTAGAAGATGCATCGCGAGGATCAGCGAAAAGTCCCTTCTGGGCGTTTCCAATGTCTTCTCCTTCACTCGCTTCTCTACGTCCATCAATTCTATGCAGATTATGTCCACTGTGGAACAGAGAAGACTTCGTGTAGTCTCAACATCATCCACCAGATCATCCGGAAGGATTCCAGTGATCTCAATTATGGCACCCAGGATTGCATCTCTCGCGCGTACATGAATATCCGCATAGGAAATAGCCAGACAATTGAGCAGAGAGGAAGAATCTCTCAACAATTCTCGATCTTCTTTTTCGTTGTCCACAAACTTGCCCACGGAATTTTCCATGGCTACCAAGAAGAGCTCTGCCAGGATGATCACGGGTCGGAAGTCATCTGCAGCCTTCGTCTTAGCCACAAGTCGTTGAAAGCACACTTTGGTGAGGATTTGTTTGGATTTCATCGGCATTTCCGGATATTTTCGACGCAAAAGCACCACCATGAGATCCTTGAAGGATTGCAGACGACACAGCCACTCAGGACGATCAGCTCCGTCTTCAATGTCTGAACAGATGAAGACAGTTTCTATCCACTTTGTGAAGCATTCGGGCTTTAGGAATTTCTCGAAGCATTCCTTTAATTTTGATGGCATTGTTTCAGATGCGCTGGTTTTGAATGCCTCAATACCCATGATGTTGAACAGTTGGGAATACGCTTTGACGGTCGGATTGATGGTGGTGAACAGTGGACTGCACAAAGATGGCCAGAAAGTCTCGCCAGACACGAGATCGCCAACCAAACTCTGCATATTATTGCGCCAAATCTCATGAAACAGAGACATTATGCGACTTAAAAGTGGGTTGGCAATCTTCTCAGGATCCTTGTTCACCACAGTGAGATATTCTGTCATGTAAACAGGAATTCCTTCAGTCAGTGTATCAAGTTTACTTCCTTTGATGGCCAAGAGGCCTCTGCGATCGTTAGTGACACTGAAGAATGCCTCCACAAGTCCTGGTTGGCGATCAATGCATGCTTCAACAAATTCCAAAATAGCAATTTTAACATCATCCCGCTCGACTTCATCCCTGAGCCGTTGCAGAAAGACCACGCGGATGTGATCAGCGTCCATGTCAAGACACGCGAGCAGAGACATCCTGAATTCAATTGCGAAGCGCCTCAGGAGACGACAAGCCAGTAGCGGAAGTCGTCGATTGAAAATGTTGTCCATGTAACTCGTGACGACAGGAATAATCCTGAGAGTGTCTCTCTGCTTGGGCTGCGTGTAGATGACACTCTCCAGCGGCGAGAGATTCTTGCCCTTGTCTAAAGTCACGCGCTGCTTTAATATGTGCATTAGAATCGTCATTGAGAGTTGGATAATCAAGTTGAGTCCAGTATTTGCTATAGTCATCCAATTCGTCCCCGCCTGAACGAGCGTCTCCAGATTCCCGTTGCCTACGCCCACAAAGCGCAGAAGCGTGAGTCCGCAATCGAGATTGAGGAGACTAAAGATTGTCACGTCCACAAGAAGCCTTCTGTGCTCCTTTCCAGACACACCATCCTGAAGAATTCTCAAGAAATACTCCAAAGCAAAGATGTAGATTGAATATTTGTCCGTTTCGTCCAAGAACTTCCATGAGTGACAGTGAGGAAAGACAGCGTGAAGCAGGAAGAGCAATCCCGGGAGTTCAATGTTGTACACACGGTCAGAATCTCCCTCACCGGCTGACGCGGCTTTCAAGAAACGAAAATAAGCATTGAGAAAGTCGTACTTTCCCGTTGAAGTCTCACAATTCAGTAGGTAATAGCCCACATTACCAGAATTGAAGCTCATTACCCTGGCGTATTCCTCATAAGAGAGCGTCTTATTGGGAATCGTAGGAAGGATGCTTCGATTGATGACTCTCCTCAGAATCTCCTCCGGAAGCAGTGGCACTAGAGCTGTGCAGACATCCAGGCAGCATGCCATTAACTCCATCGAGGGCTCTTGCGCCTCGCGGAAGCGATCGAGAAGGAAGAATACAACTTCCGTGGGAAAAACCATACTCTCTGTGATGTCTGCAGGAGATTTGATCCTTCTCAAGATTGACACCAAGCACTTTATCCCTGCTGTGATCCTCTCAAGTTGGTTAGTGTTGATTCTGGTAAATTGCTGGGATTCTCTAATCAATTCGTTCATTTCGTGGTGAAGAACGTTGAAGAAGTCCAATTTATTCTTGAAGTGAATCAGCGTGTGGTCTTTCTTGTCAATCACAACCACGAGTGTTCCTTTAGGGATGACATAGAGGATGTCCGGGAATGGGGCGTAATCCTCGCCGAGGACGTATTCATCTTCCTGTGCTGTTGAACGCAGGTCAAATTGTTTCTGAGACTGAGGCTCTGTGTAGACAGGCAAATCCATGAGATGTTCCTTGACAAAGGCACACGAAGCGGCCCCTGCTGTGGCCAGAGAAGTCGCTAATTGCGCCAGAGGGAGTACCTCAGCTGGGAAATACTCGATTGCGGTGTTGAAGAGGGATTTCACACCTCTAGGCGTATCTCCAGGCTGGCAAAACATCCCAGCAATCGCTGGACTCTTCAGCAACTCAGACAAGAGATCAAACACTCCTGGTTTCATCCCAACAGACCCATCCTCGTCGAAGAGGTCGCACAGGAAGCCCAAATTCTCATATACACTCGTCCTTACGATTCTGGATAATAGACTCGCTTCCTTGAACATCGGTTCTCTGATCATATCAGTGAGATACTGATAAACTCCTAGCTGAACAGCCCTGGCGCCACAGCGAGTATATTTCCTGGCCACTTCCTCGTCATTTAGCGTAATCGCCAGGCGGAAATTGAGCAGCATCCAGAACAAGAGAATCGGACCGTGTTCAACTTGTTGATGCAGTGCCAGGATGTCCTTGTCTAGCTTTAACACATCCGCCAGCCATTGTTCACTGTTTTTGCGATCAGACAAATCCACGCATTGGATGAATAAAGCCACCTCGCTGAAGTTTATCTTATTAGCCAAGTCATTGTGCGCACTCTTCTCCAGATACTGATGCTGCCGCCCGAAGGAGTGATACTTGAAGAGGTCCATCAACTGCTTCAGTTCATCCACTGGAATTCCATCAAGATTCACAATGAGAATTAACAAATGAAGCACTTCATTGATCTCCTTCAGCTTCCTCTCACACCACTGAGGAACCTTGTTGAACAATTGCTCCCCGAAGTTGGATGAAACAACCGGAGGAGTTTCCTTTATCAGTTCTTCGAGCTGTTTAAGAAGCGATTCTCGCAGCTTCTTCACACCAATCTCCATCAATATCTTGTCATATGTCTCAGCGTATGGATGCACGTGTGAATTGTGGAATTCAAGGATGTTTCGCAAGATCTTCAGCACAACCATTCTCTCCATAGAGTAAAAATTCCAGATATCTTGCAGGAATTGCATCATGTTCTCCTCATTGGCTGTGTACAGTGGCAAAGAATTGGGGGCCCCTTTGTACTCTGTTACGAGATAGGAGCACAGCAGAGACCATGTCTGAAGTGCGTCAATATCTAGGAAGTGCTGCAAACGCTGGCAAAAATTCAAGAGTTTTTCCTGACCAGCTTTCTTCACAACATCCTGCAACTTCCCATCGGATTTCACGTTACTCTTGCCATACTGCTTAAGCCCCAATCGCAGTTCATCCACCACCTCTGAGAGTTTATCGTAAACATCCTCTTCAGGTGTGTCGTAGTGATTCCCGGACACCAGCTTCCAGAGAAGCTTCCACTGTCTGAAAATTTAAGGTTAGGGTGTCACACATTTCCTGTGATTTCTCGCATGCTCCACGCTATAAGAATAAAATTTCTACTCACATCAATTCCTTGGCACTTTCGGTCATCTCTGCAGTTGATATATCATGAATTTAGTCAGAAAGAATAAGAGAAAAACTCTGAAAAAGAGCACAGAGATCACTTATTTTGCCTCCTCAGCGGCATTTTACACTACACGAGTGCAGCGCCAATGGTGATACTGAGAAAGCCCAAAAGTCACTGTTGAGTTGCAAGGCATCGTTTTTAGTTTCCCAAAATTTTTCTGTATTCTCTCGATATATTCCTCAAAAATCCCAAAACCCAGCGATCAAAGTGCATGAAATACGGCTGCAGTGAACATCTCACCAAAATAGGATGAATCTAGATACTGATTCAAGTACAGTACATAAATCCAAGAAACTCGGGAGAAGCTCAAGGATAATACGAATAATGTTAAAAAGTGAAAAAAGGAGTGAAATGTAAAGAAAACGTTTCTATCATAATTCAATTTCATACTATTATTGGCCAGAAGACCTCGTCGTCATTTTTGTTCCAGCGATGTTAGGAATTTAAATTTTGGGTGGCGCACTTTCCGTTGAAGGGTTTCGCTTCGGGTAAATTCGGCAAAGATGGCGTCCAACCGGGATTGTGGTGTCAACTTCAGTCCTCTTACAGTTTTGCTTGAGACTCCACTGTTTTATGCTGTGTTCGCAAAGTGCCTTCCGTATTTTTTGCCATTTCCCCGAAAAATCAATCGCTTTCATCCCTAGAGACTATTGCTGAAGGAAAATGTGATGATAGCTCAGCCAGTGAGTGCTGTTTAAGTGCAGAAAGTGGTTGGAAAAGTGGTAGAATAGTGAGTGCGAAAAAGTAGCGCAACAATGAAGGAAAAAACAAGTGGCTTTCTTGGCACTGCATCGACACTCTGACCATTTCAGCGGATGTTTGGGCAGGAGAGGACAAGTGGAAAGACAATAATGTCATGGGATCGTGCACGAGGAGACACTATTTGCTGGCGATCTGCGCCCTGCAGTTGGTAAGTTCCTCAGATCTTAAGAATTCGTGTCAATTGCTCTCCGGGAATGAGGTCATGATGCTTTCCGGAAAAGAGGCACAAGTATTTCCCGGGAAAACCTCACGAGAGGGTGATATTATTTCCTTACACAGAAGTCCATATCTGGGCATTGTGCGCTGCGACGCGCTAGCTTGGCCAGATAAGAAAGTGCAACGCAAGAAGAACAGCGAGAAGCCCTTAAAGTGATCTTATCGCAAGCCAGCTCGCCATTAGGCCAAGAAATCACAAATGAGTCTCCGCATCTCATTGAAATATTAGTTCCGCGTCCGTGGTCAGCTCACGAATCCATAGAAACCTCTCTCAGAATCGTGGGAAGAAGAATTCCTCATTTCTTTGCAAATGAAAGTCAAAGTTGGGCTTTGGCTCAAGTGTTTTTCACACTGTTTTGCACCTTTGTCGCCTTCACAAGTGTGAGTCAGAGCGTTGCTCACCTGCCGTTCGTCTGGACAGAAGAGCATTTGGGGCTCATTGAGGAAACTATGGAGACGAGAGTGTTTATTTAAATGAGCGGAAGAGGAGAATTGGAGGAATTGATGAAGCCGGTTAATTTCTATTTTGATTCGGAAGAATTTAATGCCGCTTGACAGCGTGCGAATGATAATATTGCATTTCATATTGCAGTGCGGTGTTTAGTCATGAATTGCACAGTTGTGTGCAAGAAAATAGGCCCACGTCAGGTGCATTACTTGCAGAGACGCGGTGAGGAGTTGACCAGTTTTGAATTCGGTTACGGTTGGTAATGTTACAGTTTTACAACCGTTCTTGGAAACCTTCTGATTTATTTTATAGTGTTATTCCTTTTATTAGAATTAAGAAAAAAATAGATAAAAAATGAAACAGCTTAGGCCGTTTAGCTTAAACTCGAGATATTGAATCTCATATTTGAAGAAAATCTTTTTTTTTTTCATAAAGCCACATGAAAACACAGTGAAATTATGGCGCAATATTAAAGAAAAAGGTTTTGATGGCCTGTGCCGTTCAGATTTTACCTACACTGTGATATATCATACTTAAAATATGAATGATCTATTTATTAGATTATCACTGTATATCAGTTGGCAGAATTCACTAGAAACCCTGTTTATTAAATTTTCTCATGACACTTTGATCTTAGCTCAGGATTGGTTCTACTTCTCCTTTTTACGAGGAGAGTGTTAAGTATGTGAAAAATGAGAAAAGCATGACGCCGAATGTCTGAATAATTCCCATGGAATGCAAAATGGTGTCAAGTGAGTCAATATAAAACTTTTATTAAATTCCCCCAATTCTCCATAACGTTTAACTTTCATTTACGGATAAAATATGGCAATTGATAGCGATATCATATCTTGTCGAATTATTCCCCCAAACATTGCACGAAGAGTGTGTGTCGATAAGAAAATGAGCGAAAGAGAGTGCATGCAAGAAACCTTGAATTCATTGTGAGTTAGATAATAAAGTGAGAAAAACGGCAGGATTGCAAATAAATTTCTCATGAGATGAGAATTTACATGTTTGTTGTCATTGTGGCTTTTTTCCGCGCTGCAACATTGTTTGCCTAGCGCACTTTCATTGGCTTTTTATTGGCTTCGAAGTGAATGAAGTCAAAAGTGATTCTCTTCGGGAGGAGAAATTCCAAGAAATATTGTCACTGAGAACACTTCTTTTTCCGTCTGTGCTATGGCTTTGCTTTCCATACACACCGAGAGAATGATAGTGTTTGTACATGGAATCGTCGATGCGGAACGCAGCAATGAAGAAAATCTTGAAGGTGGAGACTTGTCGCTTCTTCAAAATAGAACGCGTGGAGAGAAGAATAGAGTTAATGAATAAGTATGAATAGCATGACAAAGCCTAAATGTTCAATGAAGCGAATTTAACTCCCCTCTGCAGCTGAAGCGACTTCTTTTGAGTGTCTTGAGTACAGTTCGTGTACTCCAATAAAATTGGATATGGATGAAAATAGTGCGGATGAAAGAGAAATTCAAGACGACAAACGTGAAACACCTGTTGAAAATTTTCTCCTCACATCGTAATTATATTCAGACGCTCTTTTTCTCTCTGTCTTTCCCTCGTAAACATCGACCGAAGACTTCATTGGTCACTCAGATGGCAAAAAAAGTCGAGCATCAACTTATTTTTATGAATTTAGAAGCTGAGTTGAAGAGAAAAATGTTGAATGAAAAGTGCAAAAATGTTTGCCATTGATGCTTTACGAGAGAAGATTTTCTTCATCAGCAATTATTCTTAAGGTATTTCTCTTCAGCCTGCATTTAAGCCTCGCAATATGTGGATGGATGATAATGATTGTTCAGTGTGCAGAGTTTGAGTAATTTTAGATAAGAGAACTTAGAGATAAGTGCCAGACAAGAGATTTAGAACTGAGATTTCCCATGTCACATCTTTTATCAAGTGACTCAAGTGTTACCAAATTGTCATCAGATTAAGCGAACATTGTGAATATCATGAATTTAACCTTACAACCTTGTCAAATGGGCGGAGAATTCGCGTGGGCGGAGCTTAGATTAATTTCCTCTGCATTCCACGATCTATTTAATCTTGATAGAATTTTGCAGTTATATTGCAGCTCTGGTGCAAAAGAAGGCAGAGAGAAAAGAGGTAATAATGAGGGTAAAAAACTAGCTCTCATTGATAAAACACATCAAGAGAAGAGATGTGAAACTATAAATAAATTTACCAGCAAAATGTTTGATGTTTCTTCTCCATGGTTTTGTTGTGTGTTCTTCAACAAATACAGATCATAACAGAAGACGAAGAAGTTATCAGGAAATTCCATTCATATCAGAGAGATCATTTCAATTGAGTTCAATACTTTGTGGAGTGACAGTTTTAATTTATATTGATCAAACTCTCACTTTAAACTCTATACAAAGTTGAGAGGCGCGATTTTTTGCCGTCATCAAGTCAATTGATGGTCTGAGAGTTGAAAGAGCATCTCAGTGCGTGTTGTTGTGTGTAAATTAGAAAAAAGAAATGCTGTATTTTGCCACACTCTAAATATTTATGCGTTGAACGCTAAAGAATTTATTGTCTGTGTGGCTTTATTTTTAGTGATTCGACTCCGCGATGAAACTTGAACATTTCTCTGACCCAATTCTCGGTTCGACTCTTTTCTGCCTTTTGATGAATTAAGAACTGCGATGCAAGGGAGAGAAGATATATTTCTTCCTGTCTCTTTCGCTTGTGGCTTTTCGCAATTGGTCATTGACTCTCTGCAGGGCTTTTTTTTATAATCCAATTTTCATATTCATTTCTATAATTCTGTCCTCCTTTTCGCAGCTCACCATCATCGAGCGGCAAGTCATGGACTTCCTGGGCTACATGTGGGCACCGATTCTCGTCAACTTCTTCCACATAATCTTTGTGATCTTTGGCTTCTTCGGTGCCTATCAATTCCGTCCCAAGTACATTGTGACCGTGAGTATTTCTCATAGCTCTGCATTCAAGTGCTTCGCGTCTTTTGCACGCGGTTCGCAAGAAAGAAGAAAAAAGTGATGAAAAATGATGGGAATATGATATTTAATATCTTCATAAAAACAAATTCATAGAATAATTATGCAATTTTCTTTTAGAATAACACTTGTTACAACGATTTATTAAATTTGTGTTTTATTGTGCATTTTAGAGACATTTTTCAACCACTTTCTCTCTTTAAGTTGATTTGAATTTTGATAAATTCTGATTGTTTGTTATTTATTTGAATATTTCTTCGTTGCTCATGCAATTTAAAAAGTTTTACATATGCGTTTTTAGTATAATTTTGGTTTATTTACTTATCAAGTGAAGACAGAATTTATAGCAATATTTTAGTGCAAAGAACATAATATGCAGCTGATAATAATATTTCACTCAAGATAGAAATTGGAAGAGAAGTGTCATAGAATCCTGACTACGCCTCAGGCGCTCGATAAAGTAGCGTGAAAGAGAAATTAGGATGATGTCCGTGTGAAGTCTGCGTGTCTTTCTTCTCAGAGCGTCTGAGTGGCCACAAAAGAGTGTGTATCTTTTCACTGTCTCTCTTTCCAGACGCAATAAAAGTGAAGAATAGATATTAAGACACCATAAAAAGTTCAAGAAATGAGCGATGAAACTCTCTTCCCCTTGACTTTTTTCTGTGGTTTTTTGTGAAATGAGGAGAAAAAAGAAGATGGAAAAAGGAATCGAAAAGTGTTTGCAGGATGAGTCAAGAGGACACATAAAACATCAAATTTTGTCCACCGTGTGCCGGAGTTTGCTTGTTTCTTCCGAGAGAAAATAGACACACAATTTATTCCGTCCACTAATTGAATGTTGGGAATGTTGGCGTGCTTGAGACATTCAATTAAATTTTAAGTGTTTTCTAATTAACCCAGACTTTGGGCTCACTTGCTTGAGAATTCAATTCAGTGTCTTTGTTCTGTTTTTTTTTGCAGTATTCCGTGTGGAATTTCCTCTGGATCGGATGGAATATCTTTCTGGTGTGCTTCTACATGAATGTGGGATTTCTGGATAGAGAGAGTGACGTACTGAATCTGGGAACTGGCAGTTTTTCCTGGTTTCTCATCAATGGCTATGGATGTAAACCGACTTATCCCACAAATATCACTTCTGAGGACCCCTTCAGGCCTATTCGACCTGAGAAAGTGGACAATTGCGCACTGGAATATCACACAGTCGAAGTCATTCACTCATCCATTCAGATTATACTAGCTGTAAGTTGTAGAATACAATTGGATTAACAGGGTTGGTAATGTGTGACTTGCTTTGCAGATCCTAGGCATAATTGGAGCGATAACAATTGGGAAGATCTTCATCGAAGAGGACGATGATCGATGTAAGTCACTCAGATTTTCACTGTAATCACTCATTTTCCACGGAAACTGGCTAGAAATTAACACCAACTCACGTAGATTGTTGACCTCTTGGTTGCTATTGAGGGGAAATGAATGAGGCTATTGCATGTCGGTATGGAGAGTACTGCCTAAAAAGGGGGTGATTTCTCTGGGCAACTAATTGGTGATGGAGTCACATAAATTAACTTGTTAACTGGCCGCACAGATTAATTGTGAGAATATTCGGGAGTCCAGCATTCGATGGGGCGGATTTTTCAGTGTGTCACAACAAGGATTGGACAGAATGACTGGCAAAGAGGTTTTATATTGAGATAATTTTGGAGTCAAACAGAAACAGAACAAGGAATCTGTTTGACGAGTGATTTTTCCATTTAAATTCATAGCTTATTAAATAAAATGTCATATATTTTTTATTACTTTTAGAATAGTTTTAAAATTTTTTATTTCATTTTATTCATTTTTATCTAAACTTTACAAGTGAATTATGTGAAAACACCAACAAAAATGTAGCCAATTTGTTTTGGAATTTCCATTGAGATAAGTTTCCACAGGGAAATGTGAACTGCCGGCTGTATTTTTAAGCTTTTCACTTAGCCGTAAAAATGTCCCCTGAACTCCCATGTAAAGGAAAGTGAGGAAATTTTTATACATTACGGTTCTTCGCAAGTTGTACACCAAGCTCGGAACATTTAACCGTTGGATGTCATTGATAAAATTCACCACAGCATCTTACATACCAAATCCCGTTCACATTTTGTCAGTTTTGTACATAGGCAAGAAAGTCTTCTGTTAGGGATGTACAAAGGAACACTTGGCGGGAAAAGTGGCCATGATCTGAGGATGAATATTTCTTTTACAGTCGATTTCATGGGGGGCGACGCCAAGAGCCCTCAACACACGGCTGTTCATCCGATGTACGTGAGTTACACGAGCTTGCCCACGGGTGGGACCTTGTCCAAAGACAGCACGGCGCCACGTCGAGGCTTCGGCGTGGACGAGGGGACAAAAGTGTCTCTGGCAAGTCTGGAGATGCGTCCACACATTAAGTATACTGAATTGTCCACAGAGCGCCTCATGGAGGCAGAGAATGGTGGTCAATTTGTGGGCATTGACGATCTTGAGGAGGAGATGAGGGATTACTATGGCACAGAGAATCTGGCCACTGTGGAGAAGAGTGGCCGGACGCGCAGGGCAGTATTTGAGGCTCCCCAGAAGGAGTATGAACCGCCGAAAATCTATCGGGCATACGCTTTGCCACCGCCACCACCGCATCTTGTCACTGTGGCCCCCAAAAGTCCCGACTTTGAGCCCTATCGCATGCCACAAGTCACCAAATCACCCCATCTTAAGACCAGACGGCGCCTCGAGAGACAATCCGCCGTGACTTCAGCGCATCATTGTGACCAGATCAGAGATGCACCGCCAGGATACTTCATGCCCGGTGAGGCAATGCAGCGTGCCAAATCGCACGATCGCCTGTCGCATCGCTCAAGGCGATCGAGCCATGGATCCCGACCGCGATCCTTCTGCAGCAACAACTGAAATAAGGGCCACGACATGAGTATTTTATACGAAGGAGGAAAAATGTGCGTGATATACATACGTTAATCTGCCTGGCGAGATTTGTAGGGATTTTCCGCAATGCACTCGCAATTTTATGAGATTTGAGCCGTAATTCGCCATGAACCGTAATATTTGGGAGATGGAATCGTTTGATTTGCATAATTTTCTACCGAATTGATCGTAAATGGAATTTTTCTGCCTCAAATAGTCACAAAATAATAATCGATAGTTTCCATCAACAAAGGTCGTATATGTCGAAGAGATCTTTTGTAATTTTAAAAACTACGGCTGACTGAATACATGCATCTAGTCCATAAGGCCAACTCTCCATACAGTTCAAGGGTTGAATTGACTGGTTTTATTGTGGCGGGTGAATCCAGATTAAGTTTAGTTTTATCTTTCAACATATCAATTTTATTCCGAATTAAAAATTATGCCCTTTGACACCATTAAGAGACTCCTTAGGTGAGCTCTTCATGGAGAATTACTTTTCTATTTGATTTTGTTTGTGACATCAGAGCCATTAATTAATTACCTTGAGGTATTAAAATTGCATATATGATTTATTTAAATATAATGTCGACGATATCTCAGAATTAATTCTGTCTTTGTTGGGAAAATTGTTTCCTTTTCAAATTCCCAGCCCAAATATTTCGACAGAATTGCGAGTTTCGGTTCTATACATAACTTGTTACATAAAATATTTCATATTTTATTCTTAATGTTAAGAGACGACTTTAAAGACACTTTTTGCCTTGAACAAATAATGAATATAGTAGAGTAGATGTTACTTAGTTATTGACTGTAGAAAATATATTATTAACAATTGTTGATTAGTTTGAAGGCGCATCGAAATTGTGACGAGAAGAGATAAAGAAGTAATAAAGTCTAGAAAGTATTTTTATGCTGACAATGCAGCGTGACGATCTTTTTTGCTTGGTTGAGGGACTCTTCGGTATTAATCTTTGTCACAAGCACACAATTAATCTATAGAGTGTCGAAGAGGAGAAACAGAGCTTGATTTTACACGCAATTTCTTCCATTTTTCTGTTGTCTTAACACGAAGAGCACTTTTCTGAGAGAGTAAGAAAGGGAGAGAGAGAGAAAGAGTGAGATTTGATGGTAAGTGAACTTGAGGACTAGGCAGAAAGGAGCTTCCTAATGCGATCTTTTGTTCTCTTGATAGCCATCCGGAGCGGCGTAGGAAGCATGAAGATGAAGAAGTCGAAGCACAGACAGTCGCTGTACACGATTGACTTCACAGACACCATCAGGCCGGGTCACAGGGATGACATGGGTGAGTTTGGAGAGGACGGACGCGGTCAGCCACTGAGCCCGAAGCCAATGACGCCGAGGCGCGTGAAGCGGCGGTCTGTGATGACGCGCGGCTCGAGTGGGCGACAGAGCAGCTCTAGCCGCCGGAGTCACAGTGGCTCCAGGAGCAGCGTGAGGAGCTCCAGACGCCGAATGCACCACCAGAATCCAGTGACGAAGCTGCTAGAGCAGCAAACGAGGACATTTGCGCCTCACAAAGGAAACTCAGCCCTCACGGCGTCCAATCTCAAGACGCTGAACAGTGATCTCGCCATGCCGGCCACTGAACTCTTCCAGCAGCCGAGCCAAATGAATCAGCTGCAGAAACTGCCGCCGGTCAATCCGGATCCCATCTACTACAACATGAGCCACCAGTCCACGGGCTGGAACTCCAGTGGAGCCTCCAGCGGGGGCCACTTCAACCCCACTTATCAGCACTCCACGCCGAACCTCACGCAGAGTTCGGAGAACATCGACGAGCTGTACAACAATCGACCGCCTTCCGTGCGATCTGGCTATTCGAACTTCCACGGCACCAGGCCAGTCAGTTCGTCCTACAGCCAAGCGCCGGCGGGCGAGAATGTGTTCTCGGGCCTGGGCCAGGCAATCCCGCAGTTGCCCGAGCGCAGGGCAGCATCCAGGGAGAGCGTGCGCTCCATGGCCTTCCTCAACAGTGGCCCGCCAGCCTACAATCTAAACTATCACACGCCTCCGGACTCGGAGACCACCATGTAATCATCCATCCTCATCGCGATTGTGTGATAACTCATTTCACTGGTACAGAAGACGTCCTCGTGCATCTCTGGCAGTCCAGAAGGTGGAAGGCGAGCGCAAATTAGACAATTGAAAGTGTACCAAAGTGTAAAATAAATTGCCTTTCTCCTTCGCAACTCCAGTGCCTTATCCTCAGGCTCTCGAAGTGTGAAGATACTTCATTATATTTTATTCCAAATCACAAAGTCCGCTGGCTAACATTTGGAGTTCAAAATTTCTGCAGTTACTCAATAAAACTTTATTGATCCATAAAATGTATTTATAATTCATCTTCGTTCTAGTGACAGTGTCTTAAAAAAGAGGAAAAAAAATCTGGGTCTAAGTAAATCAGTATCTTCTTGATGGGAAAAATTGCATAGTTTTGCGAAGGAAAGCTACACTATTGAATTTTTACTGATTATTTACAATTAAGAACAAAGAACTAAACATCTAGAGCTTTTATCACTAAAAGTATTTCTTTTTTCCTTCTTACTTTATTTACAACACTTAAACTTGATGACAATAACGTGGCTTCTCTCTCAGTAGAAAACCACAACACGATCGCGGTGAAATTCAAAGGGCAAAAGAACCTAATTTGTACTACGAAATAAAATATGCAAAAATTCAAGACATGTAATGTAAAATACATAACAGTTGAGACACTTATAAGTATATTCTTTCTCTTTCCTAACCTCTCTCTTCAAAAGCTATGTCTTGTGTAAAAATTACAATTTCTCAATTATTTATGCAAGTTAAAATTCACTCTGAAAAAATTTTTACTCTATAAATATAATAAGATTGACTTAAGAAATGATCCATAGAAATAATGTTTGAATATCTAACAAACAGAAGTCAATTGAAAAAAGGCCTGAACCGCCCCTATGATAATTACTACAATATTTCTCCAATTATTAAAATATCTTAATTACTCTATCCTACAGCATTTGTAGTTCATCTCACTGCCATTTTCATGCCATCATTTTATCAATTAAGTGCTCTCTCCTCTTACTTCTTTAAATCTATCCTTCATTTCTTATTTAATTCTTCAATTGTAATTCAACAACCAAAGTGTGTGATTCTCAATGTTTCTTTCTCTATTTTATGTCTGCAAAAGTTATAAAAAAGAGGATAATTGCAAATATAGTTCATATAGTATTCTTCTCTCATTTCCTTCCAATCTACACAATGTTTTAATTAGATTCTGCAATATTCATATTTCCTTCATTATATATGTATAAACTAAAGATCAATCGCGCGCTCAATTGCCTAGCACGTGAACGTCGTCCTGTTCCTTCTCGCGTTGACGCACTGCGACGGCCGTCTCGACGAGCAGGTACAGACACTTGAACTTGTCTTTGTTGCGACGTAACAGATTTAGGGACGCTGCAAGTGTTAGCATTCAAGTTCATCACAAAAAACATCGAGAAATCCCCCCCGCGAGCCCCGCTCTCGTCCTTCTGTCTACAGTTACCTTTTGTCACGTGATTCGCGCCTCCGATTTGCGCTCCGCTCGATGTGTTGTTGTTTGTCGAGGAGTTCGAGTCGCTGTTCTGCTGGATCACCGGCGACGGATGCGCTGGCATCACCTGCACACGCGACAAGCCCACGGGAACTGCGAGAGGGAGAGAGAGACGAAAAAAATGTGGTTTATATTTCGATAACCTCTTAGGAAAGCCCTTCGTCTACTGTGAAACTCAAAGTATTATCCACAAAGAGGACTCTAAACTCACCCGTTGGCGTCGAAGTGGTCAAAGGATGCGGCAATTGTGGCAAGTGCGCCAAATGTGGATGTGATGCGGACCAATATCCAGTCACAGGCGTAGTTTCAATCTCTTCCGTTCTGCAAGATAAAAAAAAATCAACAATCAGCAAAAAATCCCGGACACTTTACAAATTCACGCTTACATTTCTTCACCATCTTTGTCCGTATATCGCATCACTTCCTGCCAGTTGTTCTGGTCCTCCTCCTCAGGCGTACACGTCTCGTACTCATTTGCACTCTCATCGTCTGACTTGTAAATGATATTGTCGTCGTAGTCAATATCCCTCTCCATCTTCACCACGCCACCAGTCGAGGTCTGAACGAATTGATGCCCGAGAGCCGTGAGGACTGTCGCCACGCCTTCGTGCATCTCCTCCTCGCCCACAACCTCCTCAGTGGCACCCACAATCACCTCGTTCTCAATCGTGTCGCCGGTGATTGTTTGCGGCGACATGAGTTGCACATTGTTGTGCATATTGATATTGGCCAGCTTCTTGCCGCGCCGCGATATGGTGTAGTGCAGAGGATCGTTGCCCTCGCGACGGATCATCTCCGGCAGAATCCTGCGGCGAGCATTGATGAACCAATTGCACACCTGCAACACCGTCAGATTCGCCTCCTGCGACAGCGTCAGCTTCTCCGTGTCACTCGGATAGGCGTTGTACCGATGCTCGTACAGCCAGCGCTTCAGGATCTTCACCGAATGCTTGGGCAGATTTCCGCGACGCTTTCTCACCGCCGAGCTGTCGAGATTCACTCCACCTGTGTGATAAACTGAACCAACACTGCATCAGTACCACAAACACCACGCACAACTGCCCAATGAACACTCACTCAATCCTTCGCCCTGCTTCTCCTGCTTTATGTGATGCGACACGTGATCCTGCTCAGTGTCCGAATCATCCGTCTCTGTGCCCGATTGATAACGCTCTTTGGCTGCAACGGAAAAAGGGGAATTCATCAGAATGTCTTCCAAAGCAATTTTATTCCCCTGTCACTCAATTTACAAGCTCGATGAATGTGATTGACGCATTGAGGAAGCTTTGCACTCCCTTCAATTCGACACACAACGCGCATCAAATCAAAGCTGTTCTTGCAATTTTCATGAAAAAAACCATTTCTTTTGATAATAGGAGTACAGCAAATCTGAATGACGTTGGCATTATCGTAATTCAGGCGGAGCATCTTTGTAGGCAGGGTCCAATTTGACCAGTGAGCACGAGAATAAATTCGTCACCTCGATCACAAAACATTCCCAAGAAATCACAATCTTGCAGTCAAATTCAGTATTGTACTATTAAAAAGTTATGATTTTTACACTATATAAATCAGGATCTAGTATTTCAAAAAGAGTCCTCAAATGTAAATAGGCGATTGAAACAAATTGCTGACAGTGTTGCACTCAAATTGAGATTGAGAAACCCCTTGCTTTTGCCATTCTCTTCACATCAAAGCGCCTTCACAATCGCCATCTTGAAATGTCTATTTTCTGTCACTCAACTTCCCAAACAAAAACCCACAATTTTCCCTCTTGTCCGTCTTTCCCTGGAAAATTAACACACTCCCAGGCTCATTTGTGACACGATGAGCAAACAAGATTGCCTCTCCGCCCAGAGAAGTGACCCCACAACACCAGAAGCCATGTTGAAGCGTCTGGGAGTGTCTTGAGACTCTTCTTGCAGAGAAAATTGATATTTTCATTACCTTCCCTGGCCAGAAGCTGCGTCTGAATTCTGGCCTCGTTCACCATATCCCTGATGTCCCTCCGCGTGCTGCCCTCGTACAAGGAATTCATCTTTGCTCCGTACTCGTGCAGAACAGGCGGTAGCATGACAAGAAAACCCGCACTTAGAAATCCCTACCCCGCACGTGAAAACACTCGCCACGAGACTCTCCTGGAGCTGTTCACGGTACTTTTACGTGCGCCTAAAATAACATGGCCGCGTTTCTTCCTCCCCAAGTCCGGATGGAGGTGATTTTCAAAGCCCCGCAGTTTCGGTGCTGTGGTGGAAAATGCCACAACTTTTCCACCTAATTTCCCCACAGTTTTCACCACGTGCACCACAAATCAAATACACACATGAATCTCTCAAACTTTGAGAGCACTTATCGCTGCAATTTATGTGTGAAAATAGGAGAAAACACTGCAAAATATTGATGAATTTTTCTCTGCGATCTCGGCACCATGACAGCTTCTGTCCCACTGACAGCACAGCTCGGCAACGCGGTAAAAAATTAGAAAATGGTCTCTCTTTCCCCTCCCAGAATTGCCTATTTCCATCCCTTTTCCTCTCGACTGTAACTTTCCACATGATACAGCCTGAAAACTGCCTCGCAAGGGATGTATTTCAACAGGATCGACAAAATCCTTGAATTTCTGCACGTTTGCAATGTTTCAGAGCAAAAAAAAGCATGAAAACATTGCGAAAAAGTGACAACATTGCAATGACTTTTTGTCACAGTGCAAGGAGAGAAAGAGACTAATAGATGTTCAGAGATGGTATGTAACACACATTACATGAGCCCATTTAGCTCACATGTACTTTAACTTTCAAACTTTTTTCCAAGAAAATACTTCCTATATATCTGTTATTTACCAGAAAATAAGAATTGTTTTTATTCATGGTCCTTTCTATAAACATAATTACATGAGAAGCAAAGAATTCAGAGTGATTGGAATGAAAGAGAGAGAAAACTTCTCCGACAGACGTCACAACAATGGCCAACCTGAAAACATTGCTCGCTGCCAATCTTGAGCAAAATCAAAATATGTCAAATGGGAAATGAAAATGCATTTCTACTCCCCAAAATGCTATCTCACAAGGAAAATCAAGCACAATATCTGCTGCTAAACCGCATCCGGCTAAGTTTTATCCTTTTGCGGCTTCCAACTTCGCTGAAAATCATCTCAGCTTGTTTGGAGTGTCATTTCAAGATGGCGACGTCAAAGCGTTCTATTTTTTCAGGAGAAAATAGCACCAAGCCGAGGCCAAGCGCCCGGATTCTATCAGGGTAGCATAGCGTTTTTTATTCACTTATGAATCGCCCCATTGGATGAGTGTCAATTTTCCCAACAATAGCTGGAATCTGTGTGGATTTCGGCCTTCAAATTTTCCCGAGAAATCTGTCAACTTGTCATTTAATTTTTGACACATTGATTTGGGGGGAAATTCGCAATTGTCGCCGAGACAATTCAATCAAAACACATCTCCCAGGTGTAGACGGTTGTGAGTCGGTGGGAAACAGTGGGGCGCTTGAGGCCGCACACCCACGCCAAATCCTCAAATACTTACGCAATTTCATCGGTGGAGAATCTTCCACTAATTCTTCAACGATGATATTTTCCGTGTACTGCTCCATCTTGTTGACTTTTTACGCTAAGCACGGTCTAAAGCGGCACTTCACAGACACCAAACAACACAATTCTAGGGCTTTTTCGCCGGAAAGAGGGACCGAAACGTGATTTTTCGTTGGGGCGCGACGTCAAAATGTGACAAAAATGTCAATGCGATGCCTTCGACAAAAAAATGCTCCGACGCGTCCAAGTTCGGGTCCACTTCGAGCACATTCGACCGATGGTCGTTTTCCTGTCGTATTGGAGGGAACGTCTGACGACAATTCTGCAGAATTCCCCAAGACAGATTCTTATTGGATCCTAGATAAGAGCTCAAATTATTGTAATTCATTCTAAAACTTATACCGAATACTCGACACAGCCTTATCTCTTGGCGGGACAACTGTCTTCCTTGGTGTCATCAAGAGCATGACTAACTTTTTATCATAATCCGGGCCCAAAGGAATTCCCAAATCCCCTGAGCATTGAATGATTTCTAAGCATCCGGCAGAGTTGTGGCGCCAAACTGGAAGAAAAATCTTCATTATACTTCTATTTTGGGATTGTGATGTGAAATCTTACATTGATAATCAAACAGGAGTAATAATACGTCTCTGCAAGAGGCTTTCATGTCTACTGAAGGGTCCAGGAGCAACTCAATCAGGCGATAAACCGTCTCCAAACGATGCTTCTGAAGGAGTTTGAAAACTATTATCTTAAGTCGTTGCTGAAGGAAATTCTGAATTGAACAGTGTTCTCGGAACAATTTGATGCCAATTTGCTGATCACTGAAGAATCGGCTAAAGAAGCAATCATGCCACAAGGTGTTGAGAGGGAAACAATCACCAGACAAGCTCGAAATCTCCTCTGCAAGTTTGATGAGAGACACAAGAACAGCTTCACTCTTTTTGCCCACAGTTTCTCTGGAGAAAGTTCGTATAATTCGACGAGCTTCAGTCAGTCTGTTTGGCGTGATTTCCTCATACACCTTCCGCAACATCTCCAAAGCCTTGTCAGTGTTTCCTTCCTTCCATAGCAACCGGACTTCCTGCATAGTGAATACTTCAGGGTGAGTTTTCTCGCAGAAATCTCGCAATTTCTCAAAGAAATTCCTATTCTCTAACACAATGATCATTTCCAGAATATCACTGAGAGTATCTTCTAAGTAACTTCTTCGCCAATTGATAACTTCCTGAAGCAGAACATCAAAATCTTTGGCATTATCCTGTTCAATTGTGGCCTCGAAGAGTTGCTTCAACTGGCACTCATCCAGATTCCGGACGTTGATTTCGAGCTGTGTGTGTCTCACTGTGACCTTTTGGTTGTTCTTCAGGCACTTTATCTCCTCCTGCAAGTGTCTCTCAATGTTATTCATGCTAATTCTCCACTGGGAATTCTGCTTCTCCACCAATTCGTTCGTGAAGCAGTCAATCTGATCGACATGTGAAGACTTCCACACTCTGAGGTAGGGAAACACCATACTCCTCACGAGCGCACTTGTGAGACACTGTTTTGGCACAAAGGCCATCGCTGAAAGGGTTGTTTCACCCCCAAAGCACCCCAAGAATTCCACAATAAGGTTTCCGTTCAAGACTAGGTTCCCCGTAGAACATATGTATGTGCGACGACCAAACTGAAGTTTTTACAGTAGAGCTTTTCCATCCATATACCCAGAAAAATGTGGAACGGATATTTATTCTAAAGCCAAGTCAGGATTAATATCTGCAGCATGAAGAGTAAGCCTCAAATGTTTTTGAAATCGCCTAAAACCTCATCAAATTAAATTATTCTAAATTCATACCAGCCATTTAACTTGAAAAATAAAAAAATATTTTTCGTGCAACATTTCTCTCAGTGCACTTACTCATATTTCAGCTGTCAAAAGCAAGGTGGAAAAGTCAGGTAAAAAGTTCAGTTTGGTTTCTTCAACCCTTGGAAGTCTCGTGCTCTCGTTAACACACTTCTTTCTCAGATAATCCTCAGCCAGGACAATGAGCAGCGATAGTGACGCATCAGCCACAGAATCGAAAGCTCTGAAGCGACAGGCGGCAAAGCGCAAAAAGACCAAATGTGGCAGTGATTCAGAGATTGAGGGCTACAACAATGAGAGTGAGGTTAAGATTCCCCGGATAAATCCCATCAGCGTGATCAGAAACAAGGCCCTGCGCAACAAGGCGTTTCAAAAGGTGCAACTGGAGCGGAAGAAGACACAGAAGAAGGAGCGGAAGAAGCGCCAGAAAGAGGGTGGAGAGAGAAGCACTGGTCACACACTTGAAAGTCTCCGAGAGAAAGATGAGACAACTGTGGAGCATCTGGAGGATTCGGAGAATGAGGAACTACGCCTGGAGATGCAGATGGATGAATTGAGTAACTATTATAGCAAGGAAATTGAACCGAGAGTGCTGATCACCTTCTCTGATCATCCTCATCCCGGAACGCGAATGTTCGGCAGGGAACTGACTAGGATCATCCCTAATTGTCTTACGCTAATGAGGAATAGATCGTCTGTTAAGAAGATTTGCCAAAGCGCCATTCGGGAAAACTTCACAGACGTCCTGATAATTAATGAAAATCAGAAGAAAGTTAATGGATTGCTGCACATTCATCTTCCTCACGGCCCAACAGCGCATTTCCGGGTCAGCAATGTGAAGCTGACGAGTGAGATGAAGAAGAACTATCGGGAAATCTCCAAGCATCGCCCAGAAGTCATCCTAACGAACTTCTCCACTCGCCTCGGTCTCTCAATAGGCCGTCTTTTGGGCTCGCTCTTTCACTTCGATCCAGAATTTCGGGGACGACGCGCTGTGACTTTCCATAATCAGCGTGACTACATCTTCTTCCGGCATCACCGTTATGAATTCACTAAGGACGGCAAGAGGGCGAAACTACACGAATTGGGGCCCAGATTCACGCTGAAACTGAGAAGTCTCCAGCAGGGACTTTTTGACAGTAAGACAGGAGATTACGAGTGGATCATCAGCAATAAGCGCCACATGATGGAATCCAGAAGACGCTTCTTCCTTTGAAAGACACATTCACCAATTTATTCGCGCACAATACGACTCCCGGATATAAAAGAGATTACGGCGGATCTCACATCATTGGGCACTGGTTGGGATTGCTCAATTGAGTGGGATCAACTCCCACGTCCATTAGCTCTGCCGGCGGTTGGCCCAATTCCTGCATCTGCAAATGTAAGGGTGAAGTTAATAAAGGTTTTGACACAATTGAAACCCAATCCGAGCTTACCTTTTGCATAGATTCGAACACCTTCTGGAACTGCTGCTTCTTGACTTCAGGAGAATCGTCTGGAGACTCCTTCTCCAACTCCTGACACACACTTTTCAGCAATTCCTGCTGCTTCTCGTACCTCTCCTTATCCGCTGCAGGAACTTTCGATCCATTCTCCTCTAACCACTTGGGGTACTTGCTGACAAGGTCCTGCAGACTGGGCAGCAACACTTCCGCGGACAATAGGCTTTGCATCATGCCCTGCATGAGAGGCAGGAAGGCGTTGTTCTCTCCACTGGCGTTCAGGTCGACATTTCCGAACATCTCGGCGATGTCATCCGGCGAGAAGGGACTCTGGAGGTTTTCTGCACCCTCGCTGAGTCCCCTCAAAGCATCTGTAAGAGTTTGTGTGAACTGTGGATCAGCCACATTATCAGTTTCCGGGTTCAGAGCCATCGCAGCTGCCTCTGCCATTCTCTGAAACCCATCCTCAACACCTCCTTCGAACATCTTGGACATCTTTTCCTCGAACATCTTCACCTGGGATCTAAATACAAAACACAAGTCAAACAAGAGCACATAGGAGGTAATGAAAAGAAATCCTATACTTGATAAATTCCTCATCCCAGGGATTTTCCTGAGCAGCCTCTGGCACAGAAAGGGACGATCCTCCCTTCTCACCGCCCTCCGCCTTTCCAGCATCGTCTGCCTTATCGAAATCCTCTAAAGCACCTACAAAGACACCACAATGCTCATGAAAATTCCTTCTCAGAACACCGAAAAGCCCTGTTACGTCATTTTCCCCAGGATTTCTCAATTCCCATGTTGGAAAACTTACTGTCCAGCAAGTCATCGAGTTCCTTGTCTGCTGCCTTCTCCTCTTTTGCTGACATCTTTGGCAATCACTGTTAAAAAACACGTAAAATTTGCATAAGAAAATTTCCCACCCACGGAAAAGTCTTGTGAAAACAAAAAAAAAATTCCGACCCGGTGTCAAACTGACAGCGAAATCTTCGTTAAGTGAACGTGGCCATTCGTCAAGTTGCTTCGTAAAAGGTCTGACGTGGAATTAGGTAAAAATTACGGAAAATCAGTGAAAATTCACCCGAAAACCACATTGAATAGTGTGTGAAATGCTTTAAGCATTGCCCTAAAAAGAAATCTAATCGGGGAATTGAAAAAAGTTGGAGAAACGCATGTGAAAAGCGTGAGAAGAGTGTCGCCGTGGAAGTGAAAGTATTTGTGTTCCCGAAGCGCCCCTTTTCCACCTTTGTAGACTGACTACTTCTGGAAGAGTAAGACAGAGACCTTGTACAGATAATAGAAAACATGAAAATCTGTGTTTTTTGCAGACTTAAGGGATGAACCCACAACAAATTATGAGGGGCCCTCCGCCTCCAATGCCACAGCCAGGATGGCCCGGTGCGCCGCCGTCGCAGCCCCAGAATCCAGGGATGTATAATGGGAACAGTCAATTGAATGTAAGTTGATGGATTTACCTCCCGGAAGTCACTGATAACTTTTTGTTTTGCAGCAATTGCCTGCTCAAATGTCGGGCATGAATTTGGGCCCACCGCCTACTGGTCAGATGCCGATGGCACCTCAAGGACCGCCTCCAACTCAGTTTGCCCCTCCGCCAGCATTTCCCAAAATGGGACAGCCTCCGACCACACAGCAACCCCAGCAATCCTTCCAGAATGGCCCTCCAGTGAGCCACTTGAACGCTGTGAACAACAATGTGAGTCAGGCGAACGGATTCACAGCGCCTCCAACGATGGGCCAGCCACAGATGCCGCCAGGCCCTTATGGCCCACCTCCAGGGGTGCCGGGGCAAGTGCAACAGACGGCAAGACCTCCCAGTCAAGCTCCTACCGGCCAAATGCCACCACATCAGAGCGTTTCTGGACAATTACCTCCAAATCCAGCTCTGAATCTGGTTCCTCCTAGCCAGATGCCTTTGAGTCAGGGACCACCTGGACCGCCTGGTCAGATGCCGCCTTTGAATCAGGGACCACCTGGACCGCCTGGTCAGATGCCTCTGAATCAAGGTCCGCCTGGTCAGATGCCTTTGAATCAAGGTCCTCCTGGTCCGATGCCTTTGAATCAAGGTCCGCCTGGTCAAATGCCTCTGAATCAAGGTCCACCTGGTCAGATACCTTTGAATCAAGGGCTTCCTGGAGTGATGGCTTCCAATCAAATGCCTCCTGTACCGAATCAGGGCCCTCATATGCCACCACAACAGTTTCCCGGCCATCAGTCATCATTCCAGGGCGCACAGCAATATCCTCAGCCGCCTCAGGCTGGGCAGCGCTTTCCTCCAGGCCAGGGAGGCTACCCAGGAGCACCTCAGATGCCCCAAATGCCTCAGGTACCGCAGCAGCGGCGCCTAGACCCAGATCAGATGCCCAATCCCATCCAAGTAATGGCAGAAAACCAGCGCTCGTGCCAAGGACCTTTTGTGACAAATCAACCAGGCCTTGTGCCACCACTCGTGACCACCAAGTTCATCACTCATGATCAGGGCAACTCTGGACCACGTTTTGTGCGATCCACTATGTACAGTGTGCCGGCAACGACAGACATGATCAAGCAAACGGCAGTGCCATTCGCTCTGATCGTGTCGCCGTTCGCGAAGACACTGGAGGGAGAGCTAACGCCACCAATTGTGGACTTGGGCGAGCTTGGGCCCATCAGATGCATCCGCTGCAAAGCCTACATGTGTCCCAATATGCAGTTTATTGATGGAGGAAGGCGATTCCAGTGCCTGCTCTGCAAGGCGACAACAGAAGTGCCGCCAGAGTACTTCCAACATCTCGATCACACAGGGCAGCGCATGGATAAGTACGAAAGACCGGAACTGGTGCTCGGAACTTATGAGTTTGTAGCTACAAAGGACTACTGCCGGAATAACACACCGCCGAAGCCACCGGCGATGATTTTCCTCATTGATGTGTCGTACAACAATGTAAAGTCTGGACTGGTGAATCTATTGTGTGGAGAGATGAAGAATATTGTGAAGAATTTGGCCAAGGATCAAGGTCACGATCGCAGTTATATGAAAGTGGGATTCATTACGTATAACAACACTGTGCACTTCTATAACTGCAAAGCCTCTCTGGCTCAGCCACAGATGATGATTGTGGGAGATGTTCAGGAAATGTTCATGCCACTCTTGGATGGTTTCTTGTGTGATGTGGAAGAATCTTCAGCGGTGATTGATGCTTTGATGGAACAAATTCCGGCAATGTTCGGTGATACTAGAGAGACAGAAACCATTCTTCTGCCAGCCATTCAGGCTGGAATGGAGGCTCTAAGAGCGTCTGAATGTGCTGGGAAGCTTCTGGTTTTCCATTCCTCTCTGCCAACTGCCGAAGCACCGGGAAAACTGAAGAACAGGGATGCCAGGAACCTTCTAGCCACAGAAAAGGAGAAGACTGTTCTCACGCCGCAGTGCACGACGTACAACAATCTAGGTCAGGAGTGCGTGCAAATTGGCTGCTCCGTGGATTTGTTTGTCTTTAACAATTCCTACATCGATCTGGCAACTGTCGGCCAAGTGGCGAGACTCACGGGCGGACAAGTGTACAAGTATACTTACTTCCAGGCCGATCTGGATGGCCATAGGCTGATCGAGGACGTGGTGAAGAACATTTCACGTCCGATTGCTTTTGACACCGTGATGCGCGTGAGAAGTTCAACGGGAATTCGGCCGACGGACTTTTATGGGCACTTTTTCATGTCCAACACAACTGACATGGAGATCGCCAGCATTGGTAAGTTTCCTATCTCAACTTCCTGATTCTAAGAAAAACTGATTGTCTTTTTTTTCCAGACACCGATAAGTCTGTGGCCATTGAGATTAAGCATGACGATAAGTTGCCTCCTGAAGAGAATGTGTACATCCAAGTGGCTTTACTCTACACATCTTGCAGCGGACAGAGACGTCTTCGTGTGATGAATCTGTGCCTGAAGACGTGCACTCAGATCGCTGATCTCTATCGCAGTTGTGATCTTGACGCCACAATCCTCTACTTTGCAAAGCAAGGCATGGCGAAACTGCTGGAAAACACACCGAAACTTGTGAAGGATAATTTGATCAATCGCTGTGCGCAGATTTTAGCATGTTATCGCAAGAACTGCGCTTCTCCCGCGTCAGCGGGGCAACTCATTCTGCCGGAGAGTATGAAATTGCTGCCACTGTACACATCATGCCTGTTGAAGAACGACGCCTTCTCCGGAGGATCGGATATGACAGTGGATGATCGGTCATACGTGATGCAAATGGTCTCGGCTATGGATTTGCCCACTTCTGTGGCGTATTTCTATCCGCGGCTTATTCCGCTGCATGATGTGGATCCCAATGGTGATGATTTGCCCGAATCCATGCGATGCACAGCTGAGAAGATGATGGAAGATGGAGCTTATATTCTAGGTAAGAATCACAATGTTTAAATTAAATGTCCTTCTGTCGAGCATGTTTGTGCAATCTGAATACAAAATTTGCATAGCTATTCTTAATAATCTAATTCACTGAATTTCTGTGCAGAGAATGGAGTTTACATGTTCATGTGGCTGGGAATGGGCTTATCTCCTGAGTTCACGCAGGGCGTCTTTGGAGTGCCGTCAACACAACAGATTGACGCTGAACGTTCGTATCTACCAACACTGGACACGCCGCTGTCGCAGCGTGTGCGGAAAATCGTAGAAATGATCCAGGAGCAGAAGACACGCAATATGAGAGTGAGTGTCACTCTTTCTGTTGAAATTATTCCTTGAATTGATGGCGACTCTTTTTTTTCTGCAGCTCACTATTATACGCCAGCGGGATAAATTGGAGAGCGTGATGAGACACTTTCTGGTGGAGGATCGCGGCACCGATGGCACCGCGAGCTATGTGGACTTCCTGTGTCACTTGCACAAGGAGATTCGCACACTCCTGAGCTAGCCGATGATCGTGAAGGAATTCACATATTTTCCGAATGAACTGGTAAAGAGGCGCGAATGCGAGGAGCCGCGGAGTTTTTCACAGAATCGAACGAGACAAATGCGCTACAGGCGCGCCCTCTTTGGTGGCAGATGGTGAATTATAGAATCTACTACAAATCTATTGAATAGGCAATTTGCAGATGAACAGGATAAATCCATAAATAAAGTACTACTAATATTTACCAATATATAGATGAAGTAATAAAATAGTATTGATAAACTGTATAATACATATAATGGCAAACAAGAGATGTTAGATGGCAATTCATTTCCTTTTCAGTGGGAATTACAGTCTCAAATGAGATCAATGAATGAATATAGAGCAGATTTTTATTTAAGATTATATATTTTTGTTGTAACTGTTCTTTTGTCAATGAAATAAAATGCTTCTATTCTTAAGTCGCTTGTCTTCGTTGGAATTCCGAGGAAAGTTCTGATGAATTGTTGATGCAGTGAGTGACACATGATTTTATTGGGTGCTTGAGTCTGTCGCAATTTGTATAGTAAACAAACCGCTTTTCCACAATAAATCAGTGAGAAAATGGCTCCACAACCTGTTGTTACTGGTTTGTCTCCTAAGGAAGGCCCTCCAGGCACAAGAGTGACTATCAGAGGAGAATTCCTGGGCTCAAAGCCCAGTGATTTGATCGGTAAGTTTCTTCTCACTTTTCCTCCTGTCAAAGTCTCCGATTTTATTGATTTCTCTGCCTTCCTGGGGCTCTCTAGGGCTCACAATTTGTGGATGTGATTGTCTATTGTCCGCTGAGTGGAAATCCCCTAATAAGATCATCGCTCGAACGGGTCCAGCGAAGGGAAAAGGTGACATCATCGTGGCAACTCTTTCCGGAGGCGTTGGCACATCTACCGTGCAATTTCGGGCGTATCATGAGACGATTGGGCCCATGAAGGAGTCTGCGGTGTGGATAGAGGAGTCGCCGATGCAGAGTCTGGCTTGGGGCAGGAGATCTCTTGCTCCCAGTGGATATACTCAAGAGGATCCGCTTGGATTGTCAACTGAAGGAAATGACAAAAAACTGCCTGAGGATTTGAGGGACATCTTCCCGGAAAAATCTGGTGATCTATCTCAGGACAACTTCAGTCCGGGATGGTTTCTTCTCGAGCATCATCACGCCACTACCTTTGAGGATTTGAAGGCTGGTCTATCGTATCTTCGGCGGAAAGTTGAGAGTCAGAAAGAAGGTCAGCTGAGTTTCCTGAAGTCAAACGCTGGTTCTGTTATCGATCAGCTAGACACGCTGGTAACACTGAGAGAGAAATTTCAGCAAGACGTTAAGACAGTTGGCCGAGATCCAGTGGCTAAACTTGATGTTTCTATCCACAAATCTATCACAGAGTCTCACAATCTGTTCAATGAGGTTCTAACACGTCGTGAGAAGGCAGATGCCACTCGCCTCGCTTTGGCTGCTCTTTTCCGTCACAAATTCCTCTTCTGTCTGCCCAATTCTGTGCTGAAGAGTGCCGAAAAGGAAGAATATGACATCGTTATCAATGACTACGCCAGAGCGAAGAAACTCTTTGGCAAATCCGACATCCCAATCTTCCGAAAAGTGATTGAGGAAGTGGATGAACGCATTGTGACGGTGAGAAAGGAGCTGCACGAGAAGATAGTGAAGATGCCACAAAGTGTGGAGCAGCAGAAGAAGTTCGTCAAAGCTCTGGTGAATCTGGAGTCACAACAAGTGGGCACAAGTGTGGCTGAGAAGCTGAAGATTGAGGATCCTGCGTGGGATGCCATTGAGGCGAGGGCGAAATACCTCGAGGAAACTTTCAAGCAAACATTTGAGCAACACAAAGGCAGTCCAAAGCCCCGAGAAGCCAATGCGCCGCCCAATCGAGTGGCTTTCTGTGAGGAGATCACAGAGATTGCCGCTTGTCAGGTGCCCGATCTCTGGCGTCTGGGGCAGGCGTACTTCACGGGCGAGCTCAGAGGTATCTATGAGCCGAAGCCAGGCAATTTCAAGAGGATCATCTTAACGGCTATTGAACAAATGTGCTTCTATCTTCGTGCTGCTCTCTTGCCTTCATCCACGGGCTTGAAATCCACCTTATCAGGGGGTTTATCCTGGCCGTTCACTTCCCAGAGTTCAATGAATCAATTTCTTCAATGGCTGCCTAATTGTCTGCGCTTCGTTCGAATCTGCTATGCCAGCTTGATTAGACTAGATCTGCCCAGCGAAGTACTTGACATTGTTCAAAAGTTAATCGATGAGATCAGGCTTCACTGTTTGGCCACGATTCTCAAGAAGTCCGTCGACAAGGTGGGAAACCTCAGCAAGAAGGAAACCTGGACAATGGACGTGGCAGAATTTCCCGGGGCCACTCTCTTGCCGTCAATGCTTGAGGAGATCATCAAAGAAACTTTGGATGAATGCCAGTCCACGTGCTTAACGCCAGAAGTGCGAGAGAATGAATTGCTAGAGGCTCACAGTGAGGGCCAGAGAGAAATGTCACAGCGCTTGAGAGAGATTCTAGATGCCTTCTGTGGTGTAATTGAGGATCTGGCCCTGAACAGAGACGACGAGGAGAGTCGCAGAGGGCCAATAATCTCTCAAGTCATCGGATTTCCCACTACAGCAGCCATCAATGGCGCCGTGGATGACAAATTCTCAGTCATCTCATGGGAGCAGAAGATCCTCAGCTGTATGGCCAATTGTTCATATTGCAGCAAGACATTCTTTGGGCACATTGGAGACCTCTTCACGCACTATCAGTATCCAATCCCAAAATTGGCCATTGAGTCCTCGAGAACCACAGTCAATACGCTCTTCTCAACACTGCTGGACATGTACGTTGAGCACAAGAGCGATCCTCTGGTCGGTACAATTGAACCTTCGATGTACATCAGTCGCTTCCAGTGGGACAACGTGGGGCGCGTGGAAAGACTCCGCCCCTATGCGTACGAATGTATTGACAACCTGGCTGGCGTTTATTCGGAAATCCTCAGCATATCGCCATCGTTGCTGCGTCCCATCCTGGAGCCAATTGTGCAAACTGTGGCTGAAGAATTGGCCAGGTTAATGACGTGCGTGCAGAAATTCAATCCTGCCGGAGCGCTTCAAGCCCACATCGATATTTGCCTGATGCGCGACGCTCTGAAGCTGTACAGCAACGCCACGGCTAAAAGTCACTTTACAGAGGCTCTGGAAGTCCTGCCGACACTCTCAGATAAAGACATTCCGTGAGTAGATGACTTCGTCTGCATTGGTTCTCTGTATTTTAATCTTGTCTTTTTCTATCTTCTAGGAAATCCGAAGAGATTCTCAAGAGAGTGAAAGAAAACATGAAACTTCAGCTTTTATGCTTCACAATTGCAAATCCCATGTAAAAAAAAGTACTTGGACAATACAAAGTTATCTTTATCTTTATTAAACTCAGAAAGTAGCATCCCAATCCATGGATAATGCTGCCAAGTCTTGAGTCTGTGTCATCAGCGGATCTGGGAGGTTCACTTCAGCCTCTTTGCTTGGATCTTCCCAGAGTTTCTCATCGTCGTCCATGAGCTTCTCAGCCTCTGTCTTCACTTTCACGGGTTCAGATTTCCCCTGCTTCCGGCTTCTGATGATATTCTGACTGTCCTCGAAGTACTTGTTGGGATGACTGAAGCTCATCGCGAGCTGAACATCGTGGGAGATCTCGAAGTAACGCTTGCAGGCTTCCTGGAAGTTCCCAGAGCGGGCAATGCCTGTGATCTCTTCGGTGTGGGAACGAGAGACGCCATAGGACAGTAGTTTCTCCCTCAAGCGACTCTCCTTGAGATTTCGGAATGGACAGCCATGCACTTGAGGCGCAATAGGCAGTGTGTTCATAATCTTGCTGCATCCGTAGGCCGTGAAATTCCTGCGACTGCCCTCCTTGCCATAATTGTAGCGAATGTTGTACCGGTAATTTTTCTGAAAGGCTTCAGCTGTGATCACACGTGTGAATTCATCTTCCCAGAAGCGCAAGGCGTCCTCCAATGTCATCCCGATGGCTTTAAGGAACAAGCCGTACTGCAGCCGGCCGTCGTGCTTCATGGTGTGCGTTGATCGGAGGTGTTCGTGCATGACCCTCATGCAGAGTGGAAAAGACTTCTTGGAGAGATCATCGATCTGGTGAATGGATACATTTCCTGCCGCTCCAGTGGCATAATCCTTCCCTATGTAGGACTTGTGGAGGTTCCGAATAATGTTGTACACTCTTTCGTCATTGTCAACCTCGGAAGTTATTTCGGCGACTGCCATCAAACCATCCTCCAACACTTTCTTGAAGTCTGTCGCGACGACTGAACCGATGTCCAAGGCACTGACAAAAGCCGCTCCTCTGTGCAGATAGCATCTGCCAGTGTTGAACAGATCTGGCACACTGGTGAAAGGCACTTTGAAGTACTTCCCATTCTCCACAGAAGACACACTCCCGTAGAACGTGCAAGCTGCTATGGAGGCCTTGAAGTGATCCTTCTCCTTGGCTGACACTTCGTAGTAATGGAGATTGTGGACTTTGAGGACCTCGGCCACCCCATCCGGACTGAGATGAGAGAACTTCAGCTTGAATAGTTCAGTTTCACGTGCCATGAACCACTTCCGCAGATCCTGAGAACGACAGTATGCCAGTCGTAACAGAAAATGTGAGATGTAATCTCGACGACGAGCTTGAAGAACACTTTCTTTCTGTCCGGAACCGCCTTGAATCAATTTCACGTATCCCTTGAGGCCGGCCACATTCAATTCCGTCATCACAAAGTTCCGCCACTCTTGGCTGTGAGACTTGAACTCCTTGAGAGAACTCAATTCTAGGATTCTGAGGAGACGCAGCCTGTCCAACACCATTTCCTCAAATTCTTGGATACTCACTTCCGATGTGGGAGGCAGACGATACATGCTGACATTGGTGGGATAGAGGCTTTCAAGATTTTCCACCTCGGGGTGGATTTCTACCAAACGACGGGGTTTTTTCTGGAAATCCATTTTCCTTTCAGCACGAATCAAAACACTGCAGTGAGGTTATGCAGGACTTCTCCCGCCTCCACGCGTGACGCCATGTTGCTTCAAACCGCTCGCAGCGCCACCAAGTGGAGAAAATAAATGTTGTGAGATTTTGTCTGCTGTTCTTTTTCCAATCTTTTCCCTGAAATTCCTGGCGATTTTTATACAAAAATGCCCCCGAAAGTGCGCGCAGAGAAGGTCTATGAGGATTACTTGGAGAGTTTGGCGAGTAACCACAAGTTTCGTATAGGATTCCTGCTGGGAGCCGTGAGTATTTTCCTGATGACGTGTGACTGGATGCGCAATGATGTTTTTCTCCTTTTTCTTAGGAAAATGTGGGCGGTTTCCAAGGGATTATCATCCACATGGCTCCAATGTCCATTTCCGAAACTGAGGAGCATAATCCTCAGTCGATTTTAAGTGTGGATAGTGATGAAATCGTGTTGGAAGCTGTTAACCTCACCAGAATGCTTCCCGGAGGATTTTCTATTCTGGGACTCTTTATTGTTTACCCAGATAATCCATTAGAGAATGATAAGCAGAAGAAGAAGCTTTTGGATATGGTGAAGAAGGTGCAGGAGCAATTTCGCATGAATCCCTTCCTGATGGCATCATTGAGTGAGGAGAAGGACTTCCTGGTTCTTGTATATTCGTCCGGACGTGAAAATCCCTGTGTGTGTCAGCAAATCCACACAGGAAAACCGGTGGATGTCGTATTTGAGTCACAGAAGCTCAAATGGTACGACGTTGAGACATACTACAATGTCTGTAATGAGTATGCACTGGAGAAGATCGGAGATTCATGCAATATTGAAGGGAATATGCAGAAAATCTTGGGAAAGTTCAAGCAAAAACTGGAACAATCAGAAGCATTTGTGCATGACAATCCTATAAAAGACCAACAAACTGTGGAATTGCTGTTTAAGGATCCCAAGAGCACGGAGCTTCAGGTTCAGCTTAACCCTCTTCAATTCTTTGAAAGTGAGGAGTCTCAGTTTGAAGACACTGCTGAGGAAATTTGTGATGGAACATTGAGACTGTCAGGAAGCATGTGTTCCAGAGTCTTTGTTCCCAAGGGAACAAAGTTGACGGAAGTGGCGAAGAACGCAAAGAAAGATATCCTAAGATCACTAGCTGCCCGTTTTCAACTGTACTGCGACACTTTGCAAGGTGATCAGGTTGCCCCGGACACTCGTGAGTATCTCATTATGGTTCACTGTTACTGATAAAATACTTAGAGATTGTTCTGTATTTTCCAGTGATTGATCTGCACTCTGACACTCCACGGAGGGTTTTCTTCACTGTTCAGCCCACTGCAGTACAGTTCTGTGACTATTTATTCGCTGGAGAGAATGACGACACAGTCCGGGAGAATGTCAGCAAGTCAATGGACATTAATCTGGAACCCACTGATATATTCTTGTTAGCAGAAGCAGCTCCGGAAGCACAAGACGCTGAAAATCTGCAAGATGAGGAGAAGAAAAGCAGTCCAACTCAAGACACTGTCGATCGACCTGAGATATACCTCAAAATACTGGCTGGAGTGTCTCTCCTTGTGGCCCTTGTGGCCGCCTTCATGGCCTTGCAACAAGATCAAGAGAAAGAGTGATCATTCAAATGGTCACATAAGTCAAATTTCAAGTCTCTTGCCCACTGAACTTTCCACTTTGAATTCCAGATATTGAAGTGTTTGCATAAATTTGCTATTTTTATTTTTTCACTGTGAAAAATGTGTTTTCCTATTGAAGGACTCATCGGAATGATTTTTATTTTGTCGCTGTCGGGCAAATCGTCATACGCCACTACCAGTATCCTTACATGCAGATTCATCGGAAGAAAGAAGCGTTCTTTAATTAGAACCAAAAATTGATCCATGAATTCTAAAATCTCTAAAATTCATGATTCCACTTGATTTATTCTGTGCACAAACCGCTTTCGTCAATTTTTTGTTTCTACGGTTTGCGGCTCACACCGCGCTTCGTTAAGTCAGTTGTCAGTGCGTCCGCGAGGGATGTCAGTTGATTTTGGCGTCAGTGGAAGTTTGAACGCTTTTTGGACACTCACAAAATGTTCATAAAAGCTATTATTTTGGACGGTTTCAAGTCCTATGGGCGCAGAACAGAGATTCGGGGCTTCGACAATGAATTTAACGCTATCACCGGCCTAAATGGAACCGGGAAATCCAATATATTGGACTCTATTTGCTTCGTGTTGGGCATCACAAATTTGAGCCAGGTAACGAGGATTTTGGGTGATTTTAAAGAGTTATTCTAACACGGTATTTTGTTTGCAGGTCAGGGCTACATCCCTGCAGGACCTAGTGTACAAGAGCGGTCAGGCGGGCATCACACAGGCCAATGTGACGCTTGTGTTCGACAACAGGGACAAAGATCACTGTCCAGTAGGCTTCGAGGATGCTGATGAGATCTCAGTGACGCGACAAGTGGTTGTGGGCGGCAAAAACAAGTATCTGATTAACGGGCGGAATGTGCCGAACAAGCGCGTCCAGGATCTGTTCTGCAGTGTACAACTTAACATAAACAATCCGAACTTTATCATCATGCAGGGGCGCATCACAAAAGTGCTGAATATGAAGCCGCATGAGATTCTGTCACTGGTTGAGGAGGCGGCTGGTACGAACATCTGGCAAATGAAGCGCGACACGTCCCTCAAAATGATCGAGAAGAAGGATGCAAAGCTGAAAGAATTGAACGCCAACATCACCGAGGAAATTCAACCTAAGCTGGAGAAATTGCGAGAAGAGCGACAAAAGTACATTGAGTATCAGAATGTGTGTCGAGATATTGAGTTCCTGAAGCGGATACATTTCTCCTATCTGTACCTCAGTGTCCTGAAGATTACAGATGGGAACCAGATCAAGACGGATGAGATAAATGCGTTGATTGAGAAGCACAAGGATAAAATAGAAAAGAATGAGCAAAAAACGCAGGAATTGCAAGGCCAAATCGCTGATCTTACTAAGAAACTCCAGCAAAACTCAGAAGGGGAGCTGGAGGCCAAGGAAATACAGCTCAGTGAATTAATAAAAGAGAATTCTGCGCTCACAGGCAAGAAGAAGGCATTGGTGAACAACATCGAGGCAGAGAAAAGGAAGTTTAACCATCTCAAAAGGGCAATCGATGATGACCAGAAACTCCTACAGGCGAAAAGGGCAGAGCAAGGCAACACAGATGTGAATTTCAAGACAATGGAGGAGGAAAACGAGAAGCTGAAGGCTGACTATGAGGCTGCCCGTAACCGCGTGGAGGCCATCACGGCGGGTGTGTCCACAACAGCCAGTGGTCAGTCCGTAACGCTTCAGGAGCAGCTGATGGAAGCAAAGCAGCTCGTGTCCACATCCACTACGAAGATCCAGGATTGTCAGGGGCAGATGAAACACCTCACGAATCTCGTGAAGGAGAAGCAAAACGAAAAGCTCTCGGCTGACACAGCTTACGACAGCGATAGGGATTTGGCGAAGAACCTGGAGAGAGATGTGGCAAAACTGACGGTGAGATTCTCAAATAGCTTTTAAGAGAGTAAGGCTTTATGTTTGTATTGTCTTTCTAGCAATCTTTGGGCCGTGTAAAGTATCAGGAGGGAAGCCTTGAAGATCTGGAGAATCGTCGAATCGCCGTCACAGAGGAAATGCAGAAGATTCAGAGAGCTCTAGATCAGAAGGGCGCCCATCGCTTTGAATTCCAGTACCGAAATCCTGAGCCCAATTTCAATTGTCACCGCGTGAAGGGGCGTCTCTGCAATCTCTTCTCACTTAGCGACATGAAATACGGTCTGGCATTACAAATGTGTGCCGGAGGATCTCTGTATCATGTAGTTACGGACACAGATGTCACCAGCAAGATGATTCTGCAGAAGGGGGACTTGCAGACTCGCACGACAATGATGCCACTGAACAAGATTAGCAGCCGATGCATGCAGCCACGCACAGCAAAGATGGCTGAGAGTGTGGGCGGGAAGGGAAACATCTTTCCTGCCCTCTCACTCATCAACTATGATCCGGCATTGGAGCAAGCGATGAAGTATGTGTTCGGCAACACATTCATCTGCAAGGATATTGATGTGGCGAAGAAGGTGACTTTTCACCGGGAGATCATGACCAGGTGTGTCACTCTCGACGGAGATGTCGTGGATCCTTCGGGTAGTCTCACAGGAGGTTCCAGACCTAAAGGCGGAGCAGTTCTGCTGGAGGTGGCGAACATAAAGAAGCTAAAAACTGAGTACAACGAGAAGGAGATTGAACTGCGGCAAATTGAGAATCAAATCCAGCAATTGCAAGGGATTGCCGCGGAGTTCAGACAGTTGAAGCAGGATTTGGAGTTACGTCAGCATGAGCTGAAGGCCGTTGAGAGCCGCCTGGCCAATTCTACATTCCAGATGCATCAGAGTGAGATTCAAGAGATGAAGGCGAAGCTTGCGAGCCTGGAGGAAGAGTTGACAGAGGCGAAGGAGGTGTGCCAGCGTGAGAAGGAGAAGATTAAGATGCTGGAGTCACAGTTGTCCGACTCAAAGGGCTATAGGGAGCGTCAGTTGAAGCAGGCAAAGAAGGATCTTGCAGACATCAAGGCCAAGTATACAGAGAGCAGCAATGTGTGGAAGAAGAAGAAGGATGGCAATGATCAGATAAATATGGAGATTGAAGAACTCATTGCCACTGTGCAGACGTCTTCTGCTCAGTTAGAGAGTTTCGAGGAGAAGCTAAAGGGTATGGAAGCGGATTTGGAGAACTTTTCGAGCAGTGGAAACGAAATGAGCGAAAAGATCGCAGAATTAAAAGCGGAAGTGCAGGCTATGCAGGAGCACATCACATCCCAGGATCGAGAGATTGGCGCCAAAACCAAGCAGATTGACAAGATGACGAAAGAGAGTGAAGATCTGCAAGTGGAAATAAAGAAGCAGGAGTCGGCGCTGGGAAAAGCAAAGCGTGACGGTGAGGATGCGAAAAGTCGCAAGGCGGATCTGGAGAAGAAGTTCCCATGGATCTTGGAGGACAAGGAATACTTCGGAGCAAAGAATACCAAGTACGATTACAGTCAGGAGGATCCGAAGGCGGCTGAGAAGAAGCTGCACAAGATGCAAGAGATTAAGGATCGCATGAGCCGCACAATCAATGAGAAGGCCATGATGTTGCTGGAGCGCGAAGAGGCGGACTTTAAAATGGTAGTGAAGCAGAGAGAGAATGTGGAAAAGGACAAGGCGACCATCTTGAAGACCATGAAGGAGGTGGACCAGAAGAAGAACGAGCAGGTGAAGAAAGCCTGTCAGGAGGTGGGAAACAATTTCAGTAACATCTTCAGCTCCATTCTGCCGGGGGCGGAGGCGAAGCTTGTGCCCGTGGACGGGAATTACCTGAAGGGCCTGGCAGTGAATGTGGGCTTCAATGGGCTGTGGAAGGAGGGCCTCGCCGAACTGAGTGGTGGCCAGCGGTCTCTGGTCGCCTTGTCTCTCATTCTGGCCATGCTGAAGTTCAATCCGGCGCCAATTTACATCCTCGATGAGGTGGACGCCGCTCTGGATCTTTCCCACACGCAGAACATCGGAAGCATGCTGAAGCAGCACTTCAAGAAGTCCCAGTTCATCATTGTCTCCCTCAAGGATGGAATGTTCAACAACGCCAACGTCCTCTTCCGCACTAAATTCGAAGACGGAATGTCCGGTGTGGTGCGAACGGTCAATCCGAAGAACTAATGAACGGCAAACTTCATTTTTTTTTCACAATAAAATATTTTCTCATGACATTTTGACTCTCATCTCTGAAGCACCTCTGAAGTGTTTTTGGCCATCGGGTACAAATTATGACTTCTCCGAAAATAGTTTACGATTACAATTCATAGTTTCAACGATTATCACATTTTATTCCAAACATTCGGCTAAAATTTACAAGACCAGCAATAGAAGATTGACCTATGCTACTGGATCGCAAGATCCATCGCATTCCATGGTAGCTGCTATCCACTTCCGAAAGACCGCGACGCGAGTGTAAACGCCAGGACTTTCGCTGACTGTGCAGTCATCGCCAAAGCTGGTGATGCCGAAGAGAGTCCACGGCTTAGCGGGTGACTTTGCGTCACGGCAGAGCAGAGGACCGCCGGAATCACCGCCGCACGTGTCACTGACATAGTTGCGTGACGAAGCGCAGAGCATGTGCGGAGTTATGTGGTTCCCGGTGCCAAAATAGTGCCTCTTGCATGATCGGGAGGACTGGATGTGCATGTCAGCCTCTTGGAGAGTGGTTCTGTGAGTGCCTCTGCCCCAGCCGAGCACCTTGCAGACCTGGTCGCGACCAGGAGAAGCCTGATGATAGCTGGGAAGGCAGGCAAATCCCACATCATCTCCTGGCTTCACATCATTAGCCAGCCTGAGCAAAGCGATATCATTGTCATTGGTCTCGGAATCGTAGCGAGGATGAATCACTCTTTCTCTTATCAAATGAAGACTGTACGAGGAGTCGTCCAGATTGCCTGTATCATGGAGTCCTGCAACGACTGTCACATCATTCCCAAAGTCAGAGAGCAGACAATGAGCTGCAGTCACGACCCAAGACTTTGAGATCAAAGTGCCGCCGCAGAAGAAATTCTATAAGAGAAGAGGAAACAATTTAAATATCCCAGATTCTAACGAGTTGCTGAGCATTTGAACCTCGTATTCCTGATTGTAGAGCGCCACTTGCCATGGCCATCGACCTCTTTTTGAGTTCCTCCCACCAATAATCTTCGCCATCATTTTTGAGTATCGTTCATTCGATGTCACTCCGCACGAGTGATCTGCTGGAAAGTCCACAGTTTCCACTTCGGGAACCCCTGAGAATACTTCAACTTCCTCCTCTTCATCGTCATCGTCGAGAGTGTTGGAAGGAGTGCTGCTGACGGGATTTCCCCATTCAAAGTCAAAGGAATGAAACAAACCTCTGAAAAATGCCTCAAATCCTTCATCAGCCTCGGGATCATTTCTTTGGCTGTTGACCCAGTGCTCTCCATAATCTTCATCATAGTCACTATAGATTGAATCATCGGAATCGCCAAAGCCGAAGAAATTTAGAAGTTTGTGCACTATACGCACTTTTGTGCCACATCCAGGGCATTTTCTCTCCTTCATCAGCTTACTCTCCTCGCACGCGCCACTGACACACAATCTCACCTTCATCTGATGGCATCTTTCATCACACGCACTCCATCGACTCCACTCGCCATACCTTATCGTGTTATTATCTTCACTCCTGTTAGCCGGAGATGCTGCACTCTGAGGCGCATCCTGGAGAAAAAGTAAGGTGATAAAGCATTTCCTCGGCTTAGCTCATGAGTGCACAACTTGAGAAAAAGCTGCACTTTTGTTCAGTTTGTTGTTCTATTTCAAGATCAAGTTCACGATCGTGCATAGAAACTTCCGGGAATTTTCTGCTTTGCCAGCAAAGCTGAGAAAATTCTAACAACGCATCAGAGAAGCGACTTAAAAATGCCAGCAGAGCGAAAGGTTATCACAAAAAAAAGCTACAAATACAAACAGTAACACACACGCGCCTTAATGCGTAGAATATATTCAATTTAACAGCGATCATCAGCATTCTGAGTGAGGAAAACATGCTTTTAACTAAGCACTCACCTGAGTTAGTGTGAGGAAAGTCACTAAAAGCCAAAATGGCACTAATTTCATTGCCACAATATCGATCAAAAATGCGTCTGAACTGAGTGAAAAGTGATCGCGAAATGGGGCATTATCAATAGAGAACATTTCATCTCAGCGCTGCAGCATGAAATTATCATCTAATACATTCGCAATGGACCTCAAATGGAGAATTCCTTTTCCGGAGAAAAAGTCACACAATTGCAGAGAATGTCAGTGTATTTTTGATGATCCAGTTCAACTCTGTCACGATGTTTCACTTAACATTTGCAATTTCTAAGATTCCAATTAATTTAATCTCTTTCCTTTGGGGAGAAGCAAAAGGTCTTTCTTGCCTTGCAAACGTTTTGATCCTCCCTTTTCTCACCTTGACGACGCTTTTCCCATGACTTCTTTCGCTTCACCAACAATTGCTTGTGTGACCGCGCGTGAAAAGAGCTCCGCATTTGATCTCAGAAGAAGCTATCGCCAGATCGATCTCCTCACATTGTAATCGTGATTTGATCACTGTGCCCACATGTAATTTCGCGAAACACAACCTTGTCTGCGTCCCGCGACCCAATTGACCGAATCCATGTTGGCTTTTTGTGTTGTCTCTAAATTACAATTTGCAATTTTTTGACCTCCGCGCGCGCGAGAACTTTGAGTCACACACGCGTTACCGTGGAGTGACAATCGCGAAGCCTCCCCAAAGAAGAGCCAAGGCCAGAGAGGGTCGAGTTCGTGGAAGAAAAGGGTGGACACGTGAGATTTCCACGAGATGATTAATTGGCCAAAAATGCCATCTTATCCGCTTGTGCGACAGTGGCAGATATTATGCCTCAATGACAAGCACACCGCAGAAGCATTGACTCCTGACTTGATCGTCTGTGCGAGCGTGAACGTGATTAGCATCGAATTGCAGTGCAAAACCAATTGACGAAAAGAGGCTTCTCACTCCTCAGATGAACACGAAACTGATGCAACTGATTATGTGTGAAGTACATTCCGCGCCAGTGCGTCAGGCGCGATGTAATGCAAGGCATTGAAAGTATGGTAATAAAGATAGAGGTCGCACATGATCCATTCTGAGATGATCTCTCTTTTTTCGCGATAATTTCACAAATTTGGAAATTGATTTTCGTATAGAATTGATTTTAAGAATCATGTCTCTAATGAAATGCGACAATATGGTTTATTTCATATTAATTTGCATTATACTGACCGCCTGAAAATACACTTACTAAATTGTACTCGCGCGCTTCCCTATTCGGATTCCAATTAGTCAGTTTTGGAGTGCGCCAATGACTCGCCCCTGCATTCGTCAATAAAATTGAAATTCACTCTCGGATCTAGGCAAAGGTTTCAATTTGGTGGTGATCGTGTGTGTCTCATTGTCAATTTCTCACGACAACAGTCGGTTTTGGGAAGTTGGCTGCTACTCTCTTCCACCCATGCCAAAGGACGATCGAGCCGCGAATGTGAGATGCAAAACAATAGTGGCAGTTAAATAATAATTCACTCTTAATTTCAATGTTAATGACTCCTCATCGTTCGACACACTCTATTGCGCTCTGTTTGCTTTTCGAGAAGGCGGCCGCGTTCAATTGTCTCTCGAGTGATCGTCGAGTTGCTTATTGTTTTAATTGCCAATTAAAATAGCATAAGACCCAAAGTGGAGGATCAGCGTTCTGTGTGCCACCCAAACTGCTAACTTGTAAATTGTGTTCTTCGCCTCTTTTCTTCCTCGATTTTGCCAACCCATGCAAAGTGTGAAGTTCGTGCCGCGGATGAATTTTTCTCCTCAATTGTGCAATTGTTGCTGAAAATGGCTAATAATTTCGAGTCAAGTGCGCGTGAGTGGCATTTGGAAAAACTGGAGTGTAGCATTTTCTGCTAAATGTCACTCCATGTGATTTTTGCAACAAGTGCATTTTCCATACGGGGCAAAATGTCAACACTGAAATTTCACATTATTTCCCTCTCAAAATTGTGTACACTTTAGAGAGACAAGAAGAGCTTGAAAAGTGTTAATTGGGAAAATCCCCAATGATTGTGCAAAATTGACTGATAAATCCGGGATTTGATGGACAATTCCTTGTCAATCACAAAGTGTGATATTTCGTTCCATGGCCGATGATTTTACAGCCACTCTCCGAACTAGAACATTCCCATGCTGGACGCCTTACTCCTCAGGTGCAAAAATAGCCTCTGCGTAGGATGATCTCATCTCAGGTGAGGGAAATGACTAGACGCGGATGTGTACTTTATATATAATAATTTATTCTCATTGAAGCATGATCTCTTGTACGCGATCATGCATTGGCGGCGGGGGCCAATAAATTGATGGGCCCGAAAAAAACAGGGGATTGAAACACATCGCGTAGTTTTTTTCGCGTCTCGCGAAGGGGAGGCAAAAAAGTGCCACAGATGGTGTGCTATGCAAAAAGATATTCATCATGTAATTGCCGAACAAAAAGCTCATCAATCTCAACCAGTGTTAAATTAGTATCTTCGCATTGGGAGACGTGTTAATATGCCTTTATATACACAATGCGGAAAAATTTAATAGAGCGTATCAAAGATCACCCGGAGTTGAAGAGAGTGATCTATGCGAGAATTTGCCACTCTTCTCCATTCATTCCTCTCACTTGATCTCTCATTTAATGTACATGGGCGACTGAGTGGAAAATTCTCTATGGAGAGCAATTCTCTAGATGAAAGATAATACTCTCTTAATAAGAGATATTTTTATGACACATTTGTCATGTCTTGGCTATACGAACCTGAATATGCTCAAGAAAGTTCTAGACATAAAAATAATTCCAATTTTAGTCTCAAGAGAACCAGAAAGAACAATTCCAATTCTTCACAATGTCGCTATTGCACTCTGAACTCTTATCTTTATCCATCATCTTTATTGTTGGCAACTCTTCTAGCAATCCACTAAACGATAGTTGCAAAAAAATTATTCTGATATTTATCCTCAGAAGAGTTCAATCATCGCGGCGTTCCTGGACGAAAGACATCTACCGCCAAGCGACGAACCCGATAATTATCATTCAGAGACCTCCTTCTATTCAACACCCCGGAAATGGTGGTCAATTAGAGAGACACATATTTCCCTCCTGACCTCAAAAGTGCGCCTTAGAAACAATTGAAATTTCACGTCTTTCATCGTCAATTATATGCAGATTTTCAAATGGGTAAAAGTGAAAATATGTGCTCACTCTCACTCTCATTTAGAGAGCTTCCAGCATCGAATGGCGCTCAGTCGAGGGGCTTCGCCCATTCAGCATCATCAATTTTTGGCCGAGTAGCAAAAACCGCGAGTTTTTAATTACCTGCCTAATTAAAATCTCTGAATAAGGAAATTTATTTTAGCGTCAATTGTGGTCAGAAGTGTTTTGGCGTCGTTGCTGTTTTTTGCTCGTTTGCACATCACAAATTGTACTCTCAATATTGACAAAATCATCATGTTCTTAACATTTTTCAGTGGATTTTTCTAGCTACTTCAACTCCCAATGAGGCGATGTTTTGGTGCGTTGTGGAAAAAAATTAGTGATTAATGACTGAGATTCGGTGGATTTCACTCAGACTCCAGCAGTTATCTAGACATCTTCACCGTCACTTCAACACACACTTCATGACCAGACAATTAAAGTCAAATGTTTCCACTTTTTGCTTGAATTGCCTATAATAAAACATTGTATAATAAATTTTCGCACTAATTTTCACGTAGCAAAATTTCAAGATGAAGCCTTCTGTTGGAGTTGCAAAATGAAGATGATCAAAAAGATTTTTCAAAATACGTTTTGCAAGAGCATTTAGAGCCCCTCGAAAGTTACTTTTAGGGCTTGGCTAGAGAGTGTTTCTGAAATACAATTGAGCGCAATTTATGCGCACATTTGATTCGAAGTAGGTGAAAATCTTGTGGCGATACTCAATTGAGTTATAGGTTAAATGATTCTCTTGGAAGCCTTTGACTATGTCATGTCCCAGAAAGAATTATCAAACTGCTATGCAATATCTGTGATCTACTGACATTCACTATTGAAATGAGTGACGATTCTTTCCCCGGAGGAACGTCAGCCCACGAAAAATTTCAATACCACTTCATTAAGGTAAAATCGTCGACAAAGGAATTTCTGCAAAGAAGAGCACAACGGCATAAATCATCAGTAGTAATTTCATACATTAGTTAGAATCACATAAATTTAATTAAAATTGCCCCTCGGCTGAGATGGAGTATTTAAATCTCACAAATGCATTTCAGACATCACGACACCGTGACACGACGGTTGCATTTTTTGCACATGAAAATTGTGCAATGCCGAGGAAAAACAGAATGATTTGCTGGTGATTCTGCGATGGTCGGGAGTTCTGAAAATGCCACTTTGCATCTGCCTTAGAAGACGAATCGTTGATGTGCGCGCGCAGAATGCAATCCAACCATCAAATAAATCGTGTCGATGACGAGAAAATTAGGTCATTTTTCACTCTGTAATAAATCACACCGTCAATTGTACTAACATATGCTTATTTAATCATTTCCACATACATGCATGGCACAATTGGACATTTGAGGGAAATTCTCGGTGATTATTTCAACACTGACGACCTAGAAAAAAAATATTGTCGCAGAGCAAAACGGTCCACTTTCTTCAGCTCTATGCACAATTCATAACCACCTGCAAATGCCTGGCGGCTATCTGGTTTTAATGAATCAGAATAGAGTCATTTCACCATCATTACTGCCACTGAAGCGGTGAGAAATACACTTTTCCGATCATTACTTATCAAATTCACCCATGAACCTCGATTAGAATGGAATGCACAATCTTGTCATTGTAAAATCCCTCGATCGTGATTCAGTGGGTAGTTTTTCTCTTGTTGCCATTGGGTTCTGAGTTCTATAAGAACTTGAGGAAATTCCTTGTAACTCATCCGAAATAGGCCACAAGATGAAGTTGCTCAGTGGAAATGCCCGAAAAGGCATCTTCAACAATAATTAATAAAATGGTTATTCATGCGGTTTGGAAATAATTCCATCATCAATTAATATCTGGATTGATTTTAAATTATTCTAGATGGGTTTAATCTTCTCACTGTGACGTAATTCTAACGTTTTTCAATTCATATGTATTTCCATCCGTGAGGAAGTTTCACTAGTCAAGTAACAAGAAAATTCTCTGTAGAAAAGATGTTTGGAAGTCACAAAAATATCATTTTATACTTAGTTGTTTGTTCTCTTAATTTATTTCAAATTTTCCGTTATATTATGCACACTTCATCACCATAAAGGGTAAACTAGTTTAATCTGTTTGCTTCTTCACCGGTAAACAACTTAAATTTGTAGTGCAATTTACGGTCGAAAATTTTTAGCCACAAGCAATATATGTATTTAAATACCTCAAGAATTGTGGTTCCTCCAGTTAGGTTTTGTGGCTTTACAAACCTCCACTCCATGTAATTTGACAGAAATTCTTAGAGCATCCGGATTTACCCAAAGGTATGTGTATGCTGTAAATCTAGTAAGAAGTGTGTGTACAGCTTGGGAGCTCCCGCTCAATCATCACTCGATTGCTAATCAATTTCGCTGTGATTCACAGCTAGCAACCTTGGCAAGGTTGTTGGACATTTTGGCGCAATCTTTAGGCAAACATTATCGCATTCTCGAGAGATGAGAAGTGAAGATTTGGACATTTTTTCGGAGAAAACCCATTTTGCAATTGCATACACGACACTAATTGATCGCTTTTGGCAAACGTGCCATCATTGACGTCACACGGATTTTAAATATGCGCTCGTGCATTGAGAGATCAGTGATCTGAATATTGTCAGGGATTGTTGAGTCTCGTGTGGCCGTGCAGACACACCACGAGAAAAAGGACCGGAAAAGATCGCGGATCCACGTGTTTGGAGTAAAAACGAACGATGTAATTAATTAAGCGCTCATTAGATCGGTATGAGTGGTGACTTTAGAATGGCTCTGGAACAGCTGGTCCGCTTTTTTCCACAATCTCTGCCCGTTCGCTGCGCGATCGTGCGTCGATCGTTGAATCTTGCTGGCTTCCCAGCTGTTTCGCGAACTTAGGGAATATATCTGAGCCGGCATCTCGGCCGTGTTAGTCAGTCGCAGCACAGCCGTTGTCACGGAGTGTGCTCCAAGAGAAACCAACACGAGTTTTTTGGTGATCAAGGCAACTCTGAACAATTCTGAACATCGCGATCTTTTTCGTGCAGACATTTTTCCCGCACTTTCAATTTCATCATACTTTCAATGCGTTTTTGTGTGCCATTATGAGTTAGAGAAGAACACTTTTGATCTCTTCTGGGAATAGGTCGATTTTGTGCAAAGTGCGGAATTAGAGACTAATTGTCAGATAAAATAGATCGAGTGCAGAAGAGATTTCGAGGAGAAGAAAACATGAATTACCATGTGGATGCAACAGTATTGAAGGTATGGAATATGAAGAGAAATTACCAGAAAGAGTATAAATCATTTTTCTCTTCCTGATTGAATTAAACGTGAATTTTTCTTGCAATCATCTTCTGCGCTGTGCCAAATTTCATCATCATTATTGCTCTCTATTACTTTTTTTCCATTAACATCTTCTGATCATCTGAACTGCTCAAACTCGTTACATTCGATTGCTTCTAAGTGTGAAGTTTTCGTCTTCACAGAAGAACGGTTTGTGGCGCAAAAAAAAATCAAGGGGAAATGCGAGAGGAAATTAATTAAGAAAAATTCATTGTATTTTAACCAGAGACTCTTGACCCATAAAAGTTACTATGAGAATACACCTGAAAGCTCCACGAATAGTGCGAAAAAAAGACAAAAAGAGGGCCTCGCCAGTGCCATATTTTCCCGCCTAAAAATGAGGGAAAACACCTTCTTGTTAATTAATTTGTCGCATTGTTTTGGAGCACGCAAAAAACCTTCTGCATAAAGAATGGGAGTCAGCTGCGCGATCACAGCAACAACGCAACACATTCAGTAGCTTATCTAATAAATATTAAAATAAAAAGTGATCGTGAGTGATCTTCATGAGTTTGTCAAGTGATCTTGATGTTTCATTCATAAATGCATTTGAATTTTATGTAGCAACTCCAACTTGGGACTCAAACACACAAGAAATAAATCACATTAAATCGCAATTGTGCAAATTCACTAAATTCCTCACAGCACGACAATTATGAAGACTAAGCGATTTTATGATTGACACTAAAGTAAGTCAATTGAAACTTCACACATTGCAAAGTATCCGGTTTTTTTTCTAGCTTTCTCACTGCAATTATTCACAAAATCATCATCTTCGCATGTGTAATTGAATATAAAAAAAAACCAGCAAAATAATTAATCGATCACTCAGCCACTCCTTCTCACCTTTTTCTTCTTAGGTAATAAATTGCAAATTACACGTTGATTTACGTGTTGGATGCTTAAGAGCACATTATTATGTATCTCTCTGTGATAATCTCGGAATCACTCGATCGCGCGTATGTGTCTTCTAGCATCCAGTGCAGAACAAGTTTCTAATGTCACCCAAATTGCTTCTAATTTTCCAGCATTCATAATTCTCCACGCTAGATATAGAAGCGCAAGAGCAACAAATTTGCGCCAAAATCATAAATCTGCCACAGAAGCACATTTGTAGTTAAATGCCAATGAGATTGTTACAATACAATTCAATACTTTGTGTTCGATTTACATGCAATTTTTGCCTCTTCATCATTTACTACCACTTGTGATTTAGTACATTATGCAGAAGATGACTTTGATGTGCTAATCTATCCACACTAACGATCTTATCGTTAAATTTTTCCACCGACTGACAATGATCACGTTTTTATCGCTGTGCAAGTTAGATAACCAATGTCAAAATGTTTGTTTTTTCTTCGCTCGTCCACATTAGAATTTGCTGCTCATAAAAAATTCAATGTAAAACAATAACCCAACACCATGAGTTGATTATACTGTCTTCGGCTCTGGAGAGTTGTTAAGTGATTTTGTTAACAAAGCACGGTGACTTTTTGTGGCGTGCACCAAAGAATTTACTAACATTTCTTTTGTAATAATTTGGCACTTGTTTTTCTCACTTTTTTCTCTCTGCTTCTCTTTTTCGCGATCTTTCCCGTTGTTTGCTCTGGAGATCATATATTACACAACATGATCCACAATCGACAAGTTTTGTTAAAGAAGCATGTCTATTGCCCAGATAAAGTTGCGAAAGATGCCTTTTTTCTCGTTGTACTTCATGCGTCAAATACTCCACTTGTACCACCTCTTTTCGCACGATATACACAGATCCATAGCGAGAAGAGACGATCGATTGTTGATCGTTGCGAAAAAATCATGGTCAAGCGTCAGTTGAGGAGATGTGAAGATCACTCCTTTTATCTTGACACAATCACTCGAAAAAAATGTGCATAATCTCTCGATTGAGACATGAAATCAAACACGGAAGTTGCTGTACTATTTAATTAGTCGATTCTTCATATAGAAGATTTCAACGATAATTTTTTAACAAATATTTTCCACATTTTTTCCCTCTGACGATCACCGCGATTGTTACCAACAAGTGGGAGTGATGATCTTCAGGGTTTTCGACTACACATCACAAGATGTTTTCTTTGCACAGCAAAATATTTGTCTGGAATTTTCCAGACAATCGCTGAAAATAATTTCAATTTATCTGAAAAATTCTTTCGCAATTCAGTGGTCGAAGTTCTATTTTTCTCTTTTGCGATCATGACACGCTTCACTGATTAAATTGAGCATGATCTGAGTAATGCTCAAGATCATATAATACTTTTGGGGTGTTGCAAATGAAGACGCGTGCACTTAAAAGTGCTGTAAAACAGTCATAAAACTGAGAAAAAAGTGCAATTGTGGCCCGTATTTTAATGAACGTTGCTTTTTTATGAGCAGGTCTATAAATAATATGAGAAATCTTTTTATTGTTCTTTTACTTAATAAAAACAATTATTTCTTTCCCTTTTGATATTGATAGAGTATTGATTGAAAAAGCTCACTGATTCTCTATTATGACGTAAAAGTATTTCATTTTACCCGAAGAAGGAAAGCATAGAATATTGTACTCAAAAAACTCTTCGAATCATTGGATTGGACTAAGTAAATTGAATTATGAAAATTTTATAGGTCGTTGCTCTCCGGTAATTTTAAGCTCTTTGTGTGTAAAAGCCGGAAATTTTCATGACTCTGACACAGTAATTGGCACAATCTATAAATCTGCACTAAAATATAGTTTAACACAATGTTTATTGAGTACGAAAAATCATTCAATACACAGAATTGTTCTCGATAGATTTAAGCTACGAAAGAGTAATAATTTCAACTGCACATTAAGCATTTTGCAACCATTTTGAATTCATTTTAAATACGCGTGCCTAATTGTTTTAGTCACCATAAACATTATTTTGGGATTTTTCCTCATTCCTTCCCCATCTCTGAAGTGCACTCAAGCAAAAATATGTACAAAAAGCCCACCATTTCACAAACAGCGCTTGATCATCACGTACGATCAACGCTGTAAAAAGATGGTTCAATCCGTTAGTGCATTAAATATAATTTTTCGTGATGAAAATAATTTTACAACACATCACAATTATGTTTACCGCTAGAATATTTTCTTGCCGCTTCTCTTTTTTTTGCCTTGCATCCCATTTTGAGTCATTCACATTCGTAGAATGCTAAGAATGCCGATGATTAGTAAGAATTTAGCGTGTGAATAAATTTGTTCGGTGTCATACACGAAGGAATTCTCGCCACCGAAATGTACATATATGATCACATGAAGATTCATTGAGATTGAGGACTACACTCCTGACCGTCAAATTGGCCAGCTTGAGAGATATTAAACTCATTGGCGCGAGAAGAGTGTGAATCAAGTGTCTGCCAAGATTGCTGTTTCAAAGACACACCGTTGTTTATGTGAAATATTTTCAAGAATCCATCGTGAGAGAGGATCAAATAGCTGACATCCCACACATTTTCATTGCTATGCATATTTTTCTAACATCGAAAGTAGCACCTTATTTGGATTTTTGCAGTCGCGCGCGCGCGCGCGATCGAGTGTGAGTCAATTTGAAGATCTCACCATCGATCAATTGGGTAGCGTATATCGCCTCAAACTACAAAATGCTTCTCAAAGCTGCATCTTGCAGAAGATGAAGAGTGTTGTTTTTTTGACCGACATCATCCAGAGTGTTATATTGTAATTTTCTATACCTTATTTTAATGCCGAACGCTACCACATATTCCTTTGTACACAATTTATTTTATTAATTCGATGGTTGGTGCTCGTACGCCATGACCTTGGCACAATTGTGCAATAATCTCCACTTTTCTCACTGGATACACTTAATGCCATTGTGATCTCAAAACGTTTGGCTTCAAATACCGATTAAAGAATAACATCAGGCTGCTCAAGAAAATTGTATTTAAAGACAGAATGTGATACAGAAATAACTTTTCCGTGTTCTTCTCTGCAAATTACATGAATACATCTGCTTACGTTGTTGCCGCACATGTGAATTTGATACACAGCATAAACTGCTTCTTGCACATCCATTTTTTATTATTACTCTGTGATTGGTGTGGCGAACTTTCCGAAAAATCTGTGTTAGAATGTTGATCGAAAATGTGTGAAAACTCACTCATCTGCAGTCCTAATTGAATTTGCATTTTGAGAAATCCATTTCCGGGTGTTGCTCCATGAATCTGGGAAGAAGAAAAAAGTAAAATCCATGATCACACATTTCTTCAGAACTTTTGCAGTTAAGAAGAATGTAAGAGTCGCGGTTTATAAGTAACTTAATACAATAACAAAATTTGTTCACGGAAAAGAGTGCTTTCGCCCAACTTAAATCACTGTTTTGGTTCTTCCCCGCAAAATTGTTCCCAAAGTGTGACTCACTTCTTGAGAATATTCTGCTTGTTTTGCTCATCACTCGTGGGCAGTCCCATCTCCTTCTGTCGCTGATCGTACATCATCTTCTCCACGAGGCTGCGCGTCTCACCATCCAAATCGGACAACTTTGACGGTTCCGGATTTATTTTGCGCGTTGATATGGGCGGATCTGTGGTGAGCAAGCGATCCCACCAGGACATTTGATTCACCTTCTCGAAGTTCAGCTGCAGATGATTCTTGTCCTGAATCACCCACACGGACTCCTCCATCTTCACCTCAGCACACAGCTCACCGTTGATGATTGGCTCTTGCCCTTTGAGCCCAACTGTCAGCGTCTTCTTGCCGATTTTTACCACAACATCGCGCGATCTCACGCTGAAGTTCACATTCAATGGAACACGAAGCTGAAATTGAAATAAGAGGTCTCTCTCATTGATGAACTTGACCACATTCGGATATTTCTTCGTCGTGATTTCTTATCGTAATTTTTACGTATTGGATCAACCTTCAATGGCTGATAGTATAAAAGTAACCTTGCCATAATCACTGCTATCAACCAACTTGTTAGCTGTTCAAATTGCAAGAAACACATCTCGTGATCATCTTCTTTTTGCCCCCCAAAATCAATGGCATTTCAAGACTGCGGCGCGTCTATAAATAGCCACATACGAATTGTAGTTGTAAAGCAAATGATCTCGAGAAAAACATGCCAACAGCTAAAAAAGAATTATTAAATGTCACAAATTGCCGAACACTTCCTCGAGAATAGTCCAAAATGCAAGATGACGTGCTCATGATCCACGAAAAAACTAATGCCTGACCCTGATGAAAGATGATCCATTACCAGACAAAAACACATCGCATTCCCGCCACTTTTTGTGAACACATCTCATCTCGTCGCAAATGCAACCACCTATTTATGAGTTATTATGATGATCGACGGATTAGTGCTTTAAAAATGTTTATTTTGGAGACAAGACAAAAAGCCTAGACATCACATGTGATTACTTTTCCAACCTTGCGTGAAGATGGAAAACATATATCCAATTTGATGGTGGAAAAACATCAAAATCTCTTTAGAGACAATGAATATAGAGAAGGTCAATTTTTAGATATATCATTCTTCGCCTCTCTTTCACTTCGCCGTAATTGGTTTTCCCTTGTCTTCAATCTTCCCTTCTACACTCAAAAATTGTGTTATGCACTTTTTATACTTTTCCATCGACTTCTGAATTCACTGCGCAGTAACGAGAAGTTATTTTTAGGGCCGCCTCTCCAGACAATCATGCCTTCTGGCAAGAAAGAAAAAAAACACACGCAGCCAAAAATGTCGATCAACAGCAGCGAAGGAATCAATAAACCTCAATGCAATTTCAACCAACGAACCCGGATTTCGTGTCTCTTCTCCAAAAATAACTCTCCCAAAAGAGGAAAAAAACCTCCGCGTGGCGGATGGAAAGAGAAGCAAAGAAACGTGTGATAAGCGACCATTTATGTCCTACAACTTCTTAGAACGACAATCTCTATAATTGAACTATAGCGGAATTTGCGGACTCAACTTGGGCTATTTTTAGTACACTCAGGCGTGAATACCGTGCAGATTTAATTACACAACAATCATAATTTGCCTAATTTGTCCACCTGACATGAATTTCCGGGCATATGCTCGCGCTGTTGTGGTGTTTAGTCACCATACATTATGATTATATCACAAGTATCCTGCTTCGCCGCACAGATAATCGATTGAGAATCCATACTAATTAAACCAGTGCCAGCAATTAGAGAATTATATCCACGAGAGAACACTTTTTAAGTAATCATTCTCTCTCTCTCCAGATGGTGTGAAGGAATTATTAATTGCACCACTGAATAATTAAGTCATTTAGTGTGTGTGCCTCTCCATTGACGACACAAGGACGGCACGGTCTGATTGCGAAATTCCACCTCTATTGACTCCATCTCTTAGCGATCATCATGCGATCCTCAGTATGAAAAATCTTGTGACTTATCAGAAGAGGATGTCCTCCCCGTGATTTGGTGGGGGGAGCACCAAATTAGCATCGAATTTCGTGTGGAAGTTAATTATCATGGTGATTCAAAGTTAACCTGTGGCGCCAAATTGTGGGAGGTGAAGGTTCACCATATCCCCAAACTTTTCCACACACGAGAATCCAAAAGTGAAAAAAACAGAGAAAAAAAAACAAACCAACCGGATTGACGAGAGTGTTGTTACAAAATCGCGCACACAGAACATCCTATAGGTCAGTTTTCTCATAAAGATCACCGCCGCAAAGAAGCTCATCTCTCGCGCGCGATATTCAATTAACAGCCATATAATATCTCCATGCGGGAGAACCAATAAATCTTCATGATCGTAACCATCATTGCAGAGAGTGATTTTCAATGCATTATCGAGACTCCATCAACAAATTGCTGCCTCAGTGGCACAAGTAATTATTCATATTTTACAATAATTAGCCATCCATAGTGGAGTGACTCCCGAGATCATATAGTTGGGCTTCTGGTAGTGCCCATAATTAAGACTCCCCAATGACTTCAATTAACTGAGCATCACTCAAGTAGATCGCCTTATGCACTTATGATCCTCATTTGCAGATGGATCACGCTACTGGAGTCAACTGAATTCATTATCTACTGACGCTAATCTACTCAACTTAGCCATAATATGCACATCAGGATCAAAAAGATCCTGACCTCCTTCTGCCCACCTTCGAAACAATAGAAATTAAAACACCTACTGCAAATTGATTGCCACTCTGATAATTTTTACCTTTTTCTATTCAACAAAACCAATCATTAAATGTCTCATCGTTAGTGAATAAACTGTAAAATTGGCACTTTTGTTACAAATGAAATTCAGGATCTCTGTTGCATAGTCTAAACAAATCACAAATTTGCCGGAAAACGACTATGCTTTGAGAAACCTTGATACGAAGCTTTGATGCCAATGAATAGAGACATTTTTTCACACCCACAAAGAGAAATGGATAATCTTGCAAAATCAGTGTTTGTATGTTTTTGTTTGGAATTCCTCAAAACCGCGTGCCAGAGGCCAAATCTAGAGAGATAATTCAATGTGACATCGAAATGAGATCAAATATTTTGGATTTGTAACCTTATGGAGTTCGTGGCGTTCGCATTGTTATTCATAAGATATGATAATACAATGTGAATTTTGTTGGATTGAAGGAGGTTTTTATTGTCACACGCTACGTGCCTCGTAAAAGCAATATCAATAAACAGACTCATCTTTTTAGCATCTCTAAAATTCCAACATCTCGAGAGAAAGAGAGATTCACGGTGAAAACCCATTTTTAAATCTTATAAATCAGACAGTAATTTGGTTGTTCTTGGCGCCAAAATCACACTCTAGACACATCCACGCAGAATTCTTGGCTCTCTCCAGCAAAAGCCACACGATGACATTAAGAGAGACGCCCGCAATTTTCGTCATCGCGCGCAGACACTGCCGAACACGGATCTTGGATTATTAACTCTCAAATACTGGGAATCAATCGGCGATCTTGTTACGGTTTTGCATTCCACCTAATAAACATGGAAGAAAAAACGCGAAAGACAAGTCATAAGGCCAGAAACTGAAAGGAGAGACGACGAAATCATGTGATCAGAATTTTCTCTCTCTCTTCTCTGCTGAACACACTCCGTCTCTAAACGGAATTAATTGAGCGTGAGAGATTACAGTCATATTCCAATGCGTTAAATGTTAATGAACTTTGTTGTGCGAATAGGAAAAAATGAGAGGGTGTATTTCATTAAAAATCCGACATTTCATTCTCTTCCTACTTTTTTCCCACCTCGTGATCACTCATGACTTCAATAGGTCATATTATAGTTTGTCACTCGAGCAGAGATCAATCTTGAGCGGTATTTAGCACAGCTCAGGAATATGAATACCACCTTTTATAACTAACTCAAGGTGTTTTCCCGCATTTTTCCCAAGTAGATTACATGTTGCAAATTTTCCAAAAAATTGTTACGCTTAGTCACACTCAAACCTTGGTAATGAATCTTCAATTTGCATTTTACCACTGAAAACATGAGTGTTGCGCGTCTTTATTGTGTCTTTTATTATGGCGATGTGCAGTTTTAATTGAGCGGAAAATTAAGTCTATTTTTGATTGCTCTTAATTGCTGGTTTTTATAAGTGTATTCCCTGTAATAGGAACAGTAAATTGTCTGAAGGACGGCTTGTGAAGACATGTTTCAATAACTTATGTGAAATAAGAATGGGACTCGGAGAGCTTACATTGCTTCCTCGTCTAGTAATCCGATTGTGATTTGTTAGCAGTTATTTGGTCTTATTGTTCTTACTGTCGATTATTGCTGCGAAGTCATACTATTCGTCGTTAAAAAAGACGAATCCATTTTTTCAGACACTAATTCCATGCGAATGAAATTAAAATCTGAAGAAGTTTAATTCAAATCTTGCTTTTTAGAGCCGCTGGGTTAAACCTATTTCACGACAATTTGATTTATTCACCAAGACGATTGAAGAATTTAGGTCAAGACGATTCTTTACAGATGCACGGCGCCAAGTCAATTTAACTGTTCAGTGTCTTTGGTATTCCATCCAAAAAGATGGACATGTAAATCACAGGGCTTGTCATCCCAATAGAACCATTCTACCAGTTTCGCCTCCGCAACATCGCCAATAAATCAATCAATCAACTTTTTCATACAGCCAATTAAAATTATAATTATACATGGCAACAGGTGCAAAACTACTCAACTTTGTGTCTTGTCATGTCTCTAAATTCCATGTCATTTTTAGTACACCCAAAAACTCCTTCACCTGCCGCTTCACTAATTCTTCCAAATCCATCAATTAAGGCAGAGAGAACATTAATACAGTTTAAAGGTGGGGATTTTTTGCCTCTCAACTCCACCTCTTTTTTCCATGCATTTTATATGTTACAACTGTGTTGCCAAGAAAAAATGCGACTAGGCTTCAAACTCAATTACATAATTTGCATTCTCTAACGAGATGATCATTTTGCACACCTCTCGATTTCATTACCAAGGACAATGTCTGGATTTCGCGGCGACTGCGAGACGCACAAAAAGTCGCGAGATTGATTGACTGCCACAAGTGATTAAAGTGGGTCTCTCTTTCACTCTTTTGCAGATGAATGAGCGATGGCACATTCCCAGGGCCTCTCTGAGCGGCAGTCACACCTCGTCGAGTGGACGCAGTGTGGGCTCGAGTATCTCGGACATCTCGTCACTCAGGGAGTTTCAGGTGCGCCGGCCACCGGAAGGACTGCACACGTGTGCCGGATCTAAGCAGGAGAATCGCCTCCGTGAACTGCAGACACGCTTCGGCGATTCCACGCGCCGTCAAAATTCAGCTGAGATCCCAAAGCGTGGCTCAAGATCGTCACAGGGATCGTCAGATAGCAACCAGAGCACTCAGGTGAATGTCATGAGAATGCGCATTAAGTTGCTTAATTAGAATTGCACAATTTACTTGCGGTGAAACTCTTGACTTTCAATTTGCTTGAAAAAAAAAATTGAAAGTTGCAAGTTCTTGGTCAGTTTATTGCCTTCTCTCGCACAGAAGAGTCACTCAAACTCTGTCCTTTTCACCACTCTAGAGCGCCTCTTCGGGTTCTCTGCTCTTGACTGTGGCCAATCTCGAGGAGTTCACGCGAAAAACACCCACGTGCCTCCCACCGCCCTCTGGCAGGTCGTCAGCATCGAGATACTTCGCCAACATCACCCTTCCGCCAACCCTGGAGGACGTCAATCCACAGCTGGAGGGCAGAACCAAAGATCTGGATGCCGTCTCCATGGCCAGCTCCACGCATTTTACGGTTGTTAACGGAATGGGGGGGCAGCAGCACATCGCCAAGAGTGGCTTTTGCAAACGAGGCCACCAAATCACGATCCTCATCCTCAGCATGAGCTTCGTCTTCCTCATTGGCATCTTGGCGGCAGTATTTCTCCTCGAGAGTAAGTTCACAAACATTCCCAAGCATTTCCCAAGCCCTCTAAATATGAATTCTCTTTGCAGTGCGCGCTCGAGACATGCCAAAGTGATTTGAGAGGCATTCCAGGAATTTACCAACAGAGTATTTTTTCGCTCCTAAAACTCTATTTAATCTGCCAACCCACGAATCTACATATAAACCTACCCGGAAAGTGTGTTTCTTCTACTAACTCGTTTGTAATTCTGTGATATTCGTAAAGGAATAAAGAGCTATACGATCATATGTGGGAGTTCCACTTACCTCTACTTCTTGGAGTGTCTGCGTCCAGCGGTACTTCTCCAGATCACATCCATTCCCGGAATTAGGCTTCAATTTTCCCTTCTCCTTCTCATCAACATCGTCGTCATCGTCCACAGGTTGAGACACTGTGGTATCATCATCAATAGCATTTCTCTCCTTTTCGATCTCTCTCTGCAGCTTTTCAGCCTCCTCATCAGTGAGTTCTGTGATGGCAGCACTACTCTCCTGCTTCTTCGCACTTTCCTCCTCTTCCTTTCTCTTCCTCTGCAATGCCTCCTGGCGCTTCTTCTCCACTGCCTCGCGCTGCCGGCGCTTTTCCGCTTCCAAGGCCTCGGCTTTGTCACCCTCCACACTGAAGATGTCCATCAGCATCTAAGAATATTCCAGACGTTAACATAACCTCACCCTACCCATCAAAACATTCCTTCTTCGTCATTTTATTTTACCTTCTTCCAATTGCCTCCGCCGGTGAAGAAGTCTGTTTTTCTATTCAGGAAGGCTGCGATTGTTGCCAAGAGCTGCAAATAACAAAATTAAGGACAAATCGGGCAAACATACAATGGCAAGACTTACTTCCGGAACTCCTCCCGGGTGCTGCTCAGCCATGGCAAACAGCACAGAATCAAAGCGTCCTTCCTCATCACTCATTTTCCACTTAAAATTGCTTTCAGTCTAAAAAGAACCCTTAAAATGGGGTATTTAGGGTGAGACACAAGAGTAAAGCGTGATTATGCGGAATCAACACAACAATTGCACGCGCTACGTCAATTTCATATCGGTAATGCAGAGCATGACGCAGGGTTGGGCAAAAGAACAGAAATTTTCAAATCGAAATTGTTCCCAAAAAATACAAAAGGTGATATTTTACCAATTTGACTAATTAATTTACTTGTTGATTTGCAAAGTCATCATTTTTTCTTAACTCCTCATACATATGTCAAGTTATTAGAAGAAATTGTTTTCATTATATAAAATGATTTTACTCATTTTACTTCTATATGAAGTCAACACTTGTCATTAAATATATCAATTTTCTACTCCGGATCATGAGGTTTACCAACAACAATATTTATACTGGCTTTAGAGTCAATTCCACTTTTCTGAGCACTGAGAAACCCTTTAGAAAACGTCGGTAAGATAGTACATTATAACAGCAACTGAAATTTTTGCTTCTCCCCTCCGTTCAAGTGTTTAATTCATAATGCGGTAAAGAAATACTAGGAAAAATATGAGGAACATTTTGGAAATATTTCTGAATATCACTTGAGTTTCGTAATCAAATTATTTAATCGTATTAATCAATCAATGCTTACAATTGCGGTTTATTCGGTTTATTTGACTTTGTATACCAGTTCTCTAAATTATCCTCTCCCCTCCAAATTTCCCCTCTTCGAACAGTTATTTCGGTGTATTTTCGCTTGTTCCGCCAGTGATTCGTCAGTTTGCCGCTAGAATTTATTGAGTGCGAACGCTTGTTGAAGTGCAGAAAGCTCTCCAAATATCTTGAATACCAGTGAATTTCCAGTTGAAAATCAATCGCAATAGCAAGTTTGAGTTGACAGTGATAACGATTTCACAGTTGTTCGAATCATTCTTGTGCGAGAACATTGCCTTTTCCCTTCAGAACATAGGACATTCGTGGCCACATTGCTGAGACCATTTTCTTGAGAAAAAGTCAGACTGTCAGTGTGCTTTCTTTTCTCTCCCGCATCTGAATATCGCTGAACTCTCTCATAAGCTGCTAAACGTTTTCCCAACTGTGCATCTCCATAGTCGCAGAGTCGATTGCGATTTTGGGCGGAAGTTTGGGAGACGGAGGTGGAAACGCATCCTCAGCGGGTCGAAGGACACTCAAGGACATCCTCGAGCACAGTGTGAAATTATCTTATTCTGATCCTCGACGCCTGAGAATCTGTTGCATTTTTGCTTGGAGTGAAATTCCACGTCGATTGCCGAGAAGGTGAATCCTGATAACCAGTTTTTTTCCGTGATAAAATCGTCCCGAAAAATCGCCCAGCCGCCCACGGGATCCTAAAGCTTGGGAAATTGCGTCGTGGGCGGACAGATGGTGTCTAAAGAGGAAAAATCGATAATTCCACTGCCTCTCAGCTGCCGTTTCGGTCTGGCTAGTCGCATGGAAAATTTTACAAGATATTAGGGAAAAATCCACTGATAAGCTAATAGGATTTATAGATTGCCATGTTAACCATAGCGGAAGGGCAATTCACAATACCTTGTTCATTGACCTTTAGTTATCAATTAGGGATAGAATTTGCCAACAATCTTATCTTACCTTTCTTTTACCTGTGATGTTTTTCTTCAGATGACTCTGATAATAATGCTGAGAATGCTGAGCAAAGAATTGCCCTAATGTAAAAGCAAGGAAGTAAAATTTGTAGTGTCTTATGAGAAATACTATGAAAGTTCCCTTCCTCATACTTTACGCTCACACACATTCATAGGCAATAAATAAATTAAAGAATATTTATTAAAAATGAGGCAAAGCGCCAGGAGAATTCCCACATAATTTTCGTGTGAATGCATCAGATTTAAGTATGCCAAGAAGTCCGATCAAACCTCTGTTTTTTGTCACCTTGTGTTTGGATGCAATTAATAATTAAACACAGATGACAATGGAATTAACATATTGATAAATATTTCTGACCCTTGAGACTCTTTTAGGGTGTCACATCGCTCAGGAAAAGCGTGCATTCAACAGTCAATTTCTTGATGGTGACACGCAATGCTCGAGAAATGTGTATGAGCGAGATGGAAGTTCGTCTAGCGATGTTAAAGCTATTTTAGTGATCTTCTAGGGTCAGAAATAGCAACACATCTGCCCATTTCCGCAGAATATCAAGTGTGAATCACAGTGAGAATCTAAAATGCGGCTTCGAGGACAAATTCGTTTACAAATTCGACTAGTTTTCGCGTAGTTTTTGTTTACATTATGGCACAAATTATGCCAAAATGCAAGAAAACTAATAATAATTGGAACATTTGCGTGATTATTTGTAAGTTTGACACTTTGTCATTGTTAAATCCACAATTTTTGATTGAAAAAAGTGATCAGCATCATGAATACACACAGATTGGTGATACGAAGCTTTCAAGACAAAGTATACTTTTAGTGAAAATTAGAAAAACTTTATTTTATCAGATAAGTCGGGCGGGCGAGCACGGGCATGTGTAAGATTAACAGTTTGAACAATTGGAAATAAATTGAGGAATTAGATTAATGAGCCTATCTTCAATTCAATATTCGCTCTGAGATGCGAATTTCGCTGCCGCTTGATTCTATTTATATCGACAATTCTCATCAATGAAGCGCACAGAAGGAGGGAAAAGGCATGCCCATAAAGTAAAACATCTCTCCGCATTAGTTGGTTGATTTTGTGTAACAATATTACTAATCGTACACAACCTTCAACTTCAGTCAATGAAGTTGGGTCTCAATCCACATAATTGCTTATATAGAAGATACATATTGTCGCGCAACAATCTTATGTAAAGATGACACAATATTATGTGCATCAAGACACGAACAAGTCGCGACGGATTGAGCAATTCAGAGAGTGATATTCAACTTGAATTGCGTGCTAATGTGCGGATTTTCTAAAGACGAATGTCTCAACAATATCATAGGTCATTCTCACTCCAATGTGATCTATATATTCTTATTGTGCCATCAGACAAATCATCTCCGGAAGCTTCAATTGGAAAATCACTCCACTCTGACGCACGCTTTGAAGTTAATCTTCAAACCCAGTGCATATCGAGACCGATGATAATTGAATCATATTAAAATTCTGTCCAGAGCGGAATCATAACACGTGTTTTTTTTTGTCTGCGAGCTATGTATAAATTCTGCCATGATTTTTGTCTTTTATCCACTATTGTTACACAATCAGAATAAAATGCGCGAAATAGTAAAAACTCGCGATTCTCCTACGAATGATAGAGCAACATGGAAGGTTATTTGAAGGACAAATCAACTCAAACAGTATGTCAAAGAATATTTATTGGATGCACAAAAAACTACGCAATATTCGTTAGCACTTGCAATTCACCCTCTATAGTCGTAAATAGGCGGCTCTTAATGGTATTCTGAGCGAAATGGAGCACGAAATGTTCGTTTAATCGCAATTAAATGCACTTGAGGGAGTTTTCACAGGTTGTGCCACGTTGAAATAAATGACAGAAATATGCATTATCTTCCCTTGCGTGACTAACAGTGGAAATATATTTCAGCGACTCAGGTTAATCCAAAGGAATTCTCTTCAGTGTCACCCCAAATAATATTCTACATTTCGGCAATTTTCCTTGGAACTATTGTCGCTCCCAGATTTCTGCACGCAATCCCAGTCGAGGGGACTCTGAGTTGAGGCTTTATCGGATATATTGACAGTATTTTTCCGGCATTTTATCTCGCCTCGAATTTTTGTGAATTTCCACATGGCCTCACGACAAACTTCGTGTTCTTCTAAGTTAGATTGCGATAAATTTTAAAGACATAAATTGTTTGAAATATGATGCTCTTTGGACTACATAGATAGATTTATTAAATCTTATGAAACTGTCTTAATAATCACACCCTATGCTGCGTTTATCCTATCGCGCTGACAACTTAAAAATATTTTATATGTATGTAGAAAATAAATAAATCTGTTTTCCAACAATCTTGAATATACATACGATATTGTAGCACATAAATTGTAATCTCAAATGTAACTACATTGTTCAATATAGCATGGAAAATACATAAATAGGCAACAAAATTGTGACAATTTTGATTAAATAATAATTGGATTACAATAAGTAGTAATACGTGAGAATGAGCGGGACTTTGTTGTAAAAATTATGACTCAAAAAGAAATATGTTGAAGATGTGATTTGTCCAAAACATCAGTGCGAATACAGAAATTCCATGCGAGTTTCATGCTCAAAACGTCATAGAATGGAATGTACTTATTTGATGAATGCGAACCACATATCATGAATAGCGAAGAGAAAATCTAAATATAACAAATTCCATATTTATTGCGACGCTAATAATGTCAATATCAAAAGTAATTCGATAGCAATGCTTAGATGGCAAAAATGCGCAATAAATGTATATCGGCGTGAATTTGTATAATAATTGATAATGAAAATATGCTGATTGAAGAAGAGCAACTAACGCATTTTCATAGCCGTGCTGATAAAGTGGTTTTCATCATCGTCATAGTGATATTTTATAAATACACTTCGTGATTGAGTAAATATGATGAAATAGTTGGTTATTGTGGTGGAATTGCATGGTTAAAACTGGAACGCGGTGTTGCTTCTGTACTTGTGAGTGATAAAATGTGTGATAACATAATTTTGTGCATTGAAGTTGTGATATTTCCACGCTTATTTCGGCGTGACAAATCGTGAATTTAGACGCCTTTACACATGATTGTAAGAAAATCCTTGAAATAGATTTTCGTGCACGTGAAGAACTCGTGTTAATTGTATGGCAGTGTAAAGAATTTACTCGTAAACGTTTATTTTTTTCAACACTCAGAGAGAGACGAATAAATAGTGGAATTCTTCCAATTGGCGCGCCTTCGCAAAAATTTACATTTGATCTCTTTTTTTCTATAGGAGAGGAGAAAAAAAATGTGTGAAGAAAAAATGTCTACGTTGCAATATTGAAAAGATAAAAGTCTGGCGGACTTTGACTCCACAAGCTGCCCAAAAAAAATGCAAAACACGTCGTGTTTGAATACTAAGAAGAAAACAGTTAAATAAACATTTCTGATATAAAATTTCTCTCAGTATTTATTTCACAATTCTAAGTGAATTTCGCTGGAAAATCGATAACTTTGCGATCAGTAATGTCACACGTCATCTCATGATCAGTAGAATGTGTCTGCGTTATTGGTGATCATTTTGTCACCAACTGAGAAAGTTGATAGAATAGAGAAAATAAAGATTGGGTATTTATAGGAATAATCGTTCTCTTGCCCATTTTTCTCGGTATTCTCTCGCCAAGTTGACACTGGCACTGAACTCTAAAATTCCCACTCAAGTTATCTTGAGTCAATTAAATTAATTTCTTGTATTTATCTCATGTCTTTCAGGCACTTTCCCAAAAAGTCACTTACCATTGAATTTCGCTGAAGATCGCATCACCTGAAAGTGCATTCGTCAAGTCGTGTGAAAACAAGAACATCAGTTTACTTTCCATTGCGCTCGTGAGGCGAGGAATGGCACCACCCAATGATGCTGAGAGACGGGAATTGATGGCATGGGAAGCACCGTTGAAGCAGGGACTCTACGATCCGGAGAATGAGCATGAAGCGTGCGGAGTTGGTTTTATCGTGTCCATTGATGGGAAGTCATCGCATAAGGTTAGCTATATCGCATAGTTTCCCAAACACATATAATCAATATTGCTCTTCTCTGTGGTCACAGATTCTGCGTGATGCCCAAACTCTATCCGAACGGATGATCCATCGAGGCGCTTGCGCTTGTGACAACGACACTGGCGATGGAGCCGGAGTTCTTGCGTCCATTCCGCATGATCTCTACGCCAAGGAGATGTGAGTAGATCATCAACTTTTCACGCCCTTTCCCATGCCAAAGATCACTAGCATTTTTGGGCATACCTCCAACTTGACCCACCTTTCATTTACCATCTTACCTTGGCATTGAACGAAGGACGCACTTTGCGTCGTGGCGGAATTCTCTTGATTTTTCTCCGATCGGTCGTCGGACTGATAAACGCCTCTGAGGCGGACTAAAAGTAAATAAGACGAAATTTTTGCACACATTTGATTTGTATATATAGTGGCGTCGCAGCCGGTTTGGATCATTTATGTGTGACTAATTAAGTTTACTGACCTTGTTTTATGGTGATCACTTTTTTTTCTCTCGCTCGCTCTTCATTCACATAAACGTGGGGACACAGACAGTGATTGTTGCATTTGGCGAGCACGGTTGGATATTGCTGATAATTCGGTCGATGCTCGATGGCTTTTAGGACATAATGAGAGCGCGAGGTGGCGGGAGAAAGACCGACGAAGTAATGAGTCGCACTGTGTAATGACTGTCAACTCGCTGTTGGCTGTTTAGCTGGGAAGTGTTATATTGCCATTGATTGATTAGAATTCAGAGTTAGATTTGACGACATGAACCAGACATTCCGATAGTTACTAGACAGATGCATAGTGACGAAATTAGATCCCAGCGCATTAATTAAAAAGTGAAATGAAAAGTACAGACTTGAGCACGTTAGACAATCAAGTTTGTGTGAGAATTTTTCATATATGTATAATTAAATTTGAGCATTCTGCTGCTAAACTCTCTACTTTTGCTTTCCGCAGTTTTCCTCGGTGAAGTTTTTTGGTGAAGAAAAATGAGACGTGTCTATCGTCACGGAAAATTACCAGCTGCGACATTGAATTGAATAATTCTGGTCAAGGTGTAATTCTTCCGTGTCTGGAAAAGATAGTGTATTTTTTGGAGATCAAAGATCATAATTTGCTTTCAAGAGCACTTGTGCAGTCGAGTGACACTCAGATTCACACCTTTGATTTCTGAAGATGTTATTATACTGGAAAAATGACTCCACTCCCGTCAATGCGCTGATAAAAGGCACTTTTACGCTGGTGTGTTTCTTTTTATCACGAGACTTATTAATCTTATCCGCGACAATGTGAGATGTTTGTGTTGATATAAACATGCTGCGAATGAATGAACATTTTGAAATTTTCACTCAACTATGCTAGTCTATAAATAGCCATTCCACTCTGGGTTGTAAATTGATTCCAACGTCGTAATTGTGTGCCCACGCGAAGAAAATGCACAATATCTTGTGAGGAGTAGCTGAAAAGTGACACCATTTTGTGTCAATGGTTTCCAAAAATTGATTCGCGTGCCAAAAAAACGTCGTCTAATCTGTCTGCGAATAATACCCGAGGAACGCAATGACACAGAAGATCACTTGAGTTGCACGTGAAGATCGAGTGATGGGTTATTTTGTGCGGAATGTTTCTTTTTTTTTCACCTCAACTTCCTACTCACTTCGCGGCATCGGATGGTCGAGAAGGGAAGCGAGCATGGGTTTGTTTGAGGAAGAATTGCGCAGTGGAGAAGAGGATTAGCTGCTCTAAAATGACTCGCTGTGCTTAGAGGTCAAATGGCAGCGATGACGCTATTTTTAGATTATGTGGAATTATTGAAATGACGATGTCTTGGAAGAAGTGATAAAGTTTGTCCTAATTACTGTTCATGCCACGAGATCGTGCAGTGTACCTGATAGTAGCGTTATAAAGAGCCTAAAATCGTCAATGACTGCTTCGCTCTCACTCGAGGCGCGTAATTTTTATGCGATTATTGTTTTTTTTTTCGGGATGAGCAAAAGAAATTTGAGTCAAATGATAACAGAGACTGGAAATTTTTCTACTTGTTTATGTGCTTCCTCAAATGATTTTCATTTTGTCTCGTCCGAGACGGTTTTTTATGTGGTAATCAAGATTATTGCGTAGGTCAGTGGCTTATTTTCCCATAAAATATTTGCTGAACTGTGTAATTAAATACTCTTTTTTTGGGGAGAAAATGCCGATTTTCACAGTTTATTTTTTGTACATCTTAGAAATGCTGAGAAATGACTTTTTGCAGATGGTTTTTCGGGGCATTAACACAATTATTGTTATGATATGACCTCTGAAATATGAGAAAAGCTGATTTATCAATCTGCTTGTAGGGCTTCCGAGGGTGTGATCTTGCCGGAATTCGGGAAGTACGCCACGGGAATTCTGTACTTGGACAGAAACAGCCATGCCGATGTGGAGAAGGAGTTCAACATCCTGAGTGAGACGATTGGGTTGAGCGTGCTCGGGTGGCGCACAGTTCCGGTGGCCAGTGAGGCAATCGGAGCGGTGGCGCTCAAGAGTGAGCCACTCTCGCGTCAGGTCTTTGTGACGGCGTCTGAGACGTCCACGCTGACGGAGGAGGAGCTCAGGCGGCAGGTGTTTGTGCTGCGAAAGCGTGCCACACACGAACTGCCCAAGCCCGGGCGTCGATTCTACATCTGCTCGCTGTCGCTCAAGACAATCGTCTACAAGGGGCTCTTCACGTCCGACCAATTGTGGGAATACTACGTGGACCTGAAGAATCCCGATTTCTACTGCTACCTGGCGCTGGTGCACACGCGCTTCAGTACCAACACTTTTCCATCCTGGGAGAGAGCCCATCCTCTGCGTATGATCGCTCACAATGGGGAGATCAACACGCTGCGCGGCAATGTGAACTACATGAAGGCGCGCGAGGGAGTGATGAAGAGCGAAGTGTTTGGTGACGAACTGAAGACGCTTTTCCCAGTGGTGGAGCCCAATCTCTCTGATTCCGGATCATGCGATTGCGTGCTAGAGTTTCTCACAATGGCCAGCAATCGTGACTTACCCGAGGCCGTGATGACGATGGTTCCCGAGGCGTGGCAAAATGACAAGACAATGCCACAGGATAAGAGGGACTTCTACCAGTGGGCGGCGTGTGTGATGGAGCCCTGGGATGGCCCGGCTCTCATCTCTTTCACCGATGGACGCTACATTGGCGCTATTCTTGATCGCAACGGTCTGCGTCCGTCGCGATTCTACGTCACGAAGGACAACATTCTCATCATGGCATCGGAAGTGGGTGTATACGATGTGCCGCCACAGGATGTTGTCCTAAAGTCTCGCCTGAAGCCTGGCAGGATGCTTCTTGTAGACACACAAGAGAAGGCTCTCATTCAGGATGTTCAGCTGAAAAAGCATATCGCTAATTCTCGTCCGCATTCTCAGTGGCTCAACGAAAAGGTGAGTGACTCTTCAAATAATATTACATAGTCCATTGGCTATCCTTTCTGTCTGTGATGTATAACTAATCTAACCATGTCTCTTTAATGCTACTCAACGCTTTTATTTCTAGATGGTGAGTTAAGAAGTTAAAGAAAATTCACGTGTTTGATGTAGCTTTTGCATTTTTGTTGTTGAAAAGTTTTTTATTTATGACATTCCACGTAAAATACTATGCTAACATTCTCCTTGTTTCACTAGATTGTCCTGGACGAGATCCGTCAAGCTGACATGCTAGCTGGTGGTGATAGATCGATGAGTCATCACGCGAATGGTCGTTTGGAAGTGAAGCGTCGCGATGGGATACTTGATCCGCGACTTCTGCTCTTTGGCTACACTACCGAGACCGTGAATATGTTGCTGATGCCGATGATTGAGAACAAGAAGGAGGCTCTTGGATCTATGGGAAATGATGCTCCGCTGGCGTGTTTGTCAGCTTTTCAACCACTTCCCTATGAGTACTTCAAGCAACTCTTCGCCCAAGTCACCAATCCACCGATTGATCCATTCCGGTAAGAATCTTTTCATCCTTTTTTGCAAACCAAGTACTTATGCATAATTTTTGCTCTCCAGTGAGAAGATTGTCATGTCACTCCAGTGTCCAATGGGCCCGGAGGGGAACATGTTGCAGCCATCGGCTCAGCAAGTTCATCGGATTTGGCTTAATAATCCCATTTTGAGTATTTCTGACACGGAGATCTTGAAGCGCAATCGCCACAGGGACTGGAAGACGAAGATTCTGGACATTACTTTTCCGTGTGAAGAGGGCCCTGATGGGTACAGCAGTGCTCTGCAGAGGGTCTGTCTGGAGGGACAAGCGGCAGCTGAACAAGGTTATCAATTGCTAGTGCTGTCCGATCGTCTGGCGGGTCCGAAGAGATGCCCCTTGTCAGCTCTGCTAGCTCTCGGTGCACTTCATCACCATTTGATTGAATCACGCCAGCGTATGAAGGTCGGAGTGATTGTGGAGACGGCTGAGGCAAGAGAAGTGCATCACATGTGTGTACTTCTGGGCTATGGCGCTGATGCCATCTGCCCTTATTTGGTATTTGAAATGGCAGCAGCGCTTAGAGAGGACGGTGTTCTGTCTAAGGACTTGACAGACCATCTTATCTATCAGGCGTATTCCCAAGCGATTGACACTGGAATTGCTAAAGTGATGGCAAAGATGGGCATCAGTACTCTGCAATCATACAAAGGAGCTCAGATATTTGAGGCTGTGGGTATCGGCGAGGATGTCATAAATCTCTGCTTCCGCGGAACTCAGAGCCGTATTGGAGGAGTGAATCTCAAGATTATGGCTCTGGAGACACTGACCAGACACGGTTTATCGTATGATATTGCGGCTCCTGATATGAAAATCTTGAGGAATCCGGGTCAGTATCACTGGAGAACTGGTGGAGAGGGACATATAAACGATCCGGCATCTATTGCTGCTCTGCAAGAGGCAGCAGTGGCTAACGATATGAGTGCTTATGAGAAGTATCGAGCCAACACAATGCAAAGTGTGAGACAGTGCACTCTCCGTGGCCAGTTGAAACTTGTGGAGAACCGACAGAAGATTCCTTTGGAAGAAGTGGAGTCCGCTTCTGAGATTGTGAAGCGCTTCGCCACTGGAGCCATGAGTTTTGGTAGTATTTCACTGGAGGCGCACGCCACTCTGGCCGTGTCTATGAATAGAATTGGCGGGAAGAGCAATACTGGCGAAGGTGGAGAGAATGCCGATCGCTATCTCAACCAGGATCCGGAATTTAACAAAAGATCAGCTATTAAGCAAGTTGCTAGCGGAAGATTTGGCGTGACAGCGGCTTATTTGGCCAATGCTGATGATTTGCAGATCAAGATGGCTCAAGGTGCAAAGCCTGGCGAAGGAGGTGAACTTCCTGGCTACAAAGTCACCAAGGATATTGCCAGCACCAGGCATTCGGTGCCCGGGGTGGGACTCATTTCGCCGCCGCCACATCACGATATCTACTCCATTGAGGATCTCGCGGAGCTCATCTACGATCTCAAGTGCTCCAATCCCAGGGCCAGAATCAGTGTAAAGCTGGTGTCAGAAGTGGGCGTAGGCGTTGTAGCTGCTGGTGTGGCGAAAGTGAGTGTTTTTCTTGACACATAGAAGAATGTTTTCTTTGAGAGTACTGATTTTGTATTTGATTTCCAGGGAAAAGCTGAACACATCACGATTTCTGGGCACGATGGCGGAACTGGTGCGAGTTCGTGGACAGGAATAAAAGCTGCTGGTTTGCCATGGGAACTCGGTATTGCAGAAACACATCAAGTTCTTGTATTGAATGATTTACGTTCCAGGTGAGTCGACAAATTCACGATGATCTCGCCACATTAGAACACACACAAACACATGATTCTCGAAGTGAGCGGCCGGGCATAAGAACCGGGGGTCTCGAAAAAGCGCCACGCAAAGACCGTCTCAGGCTCTCGTGAAGGTGTTTTGGGGATGATTGAGAGATGAGATCGGAGAATTAGTAAATACATTTTCTTTATTTATCATGCAATATTATTCATTGACCATATTTTATGCTTGTGCACATTTGAATCTCATTAATTGGTATCTTCTCTTTTTTCTCTTTTTTCTCTCTTTATTATCCTCCCTTTTTAACTTATTATCTATAAAATACACGCTGTGTGAATATGCAAAAAAAAACACGCAAAAACATTAGAGTTGTTGTTCAAGCTGATGGACAACTGAGGACGGGATTCGATGTGGTTGTAGCGGCTCTTCTGGGCGCTGATGAGTTCGGCTTCAGCACGGCTCCACTGATCGTCATGGGATGCACGATGATGCGCAAGTGTCATCTCAACACTTGTCCTGTGGGCATCGCTACTCAAGATCCTGTCCTGAGGGCTAAATTCACGGGTCAGCCGGAACATGTTGTTAACTTCTTCTTCATGCTGGCTGAAGATGTAAGTTAAATTTAATCCCGTCCATATGTGAGATCCTCTCATTTGACTGTTGATCTTTTTCCAGATCCGTCAGATTATGGCTAATTTGGGCATTCGCAAATTCCAAGAGTTGATTGGCCGCACGGATTTGCTAACCGTGCGTCCGGACGTCTTGTCAGAGAAAACGTCTGCTCTGAACTTCGCCCTCTTGCTCAAGAGTGCACTGGATTTGCGTCCTGGAACGAATATCATCGGTGGATCGATGCCACAAAACTTCGAGTTGGAGAAGCGAGCTGACAATGTGCTGATCGAGAAGTGCAGACCGGTGATTGAGGGCAGGCAGAAGTCAGTTGTCCTGAATATGGAAATTCACAATGAAGAGCGTGCTTTTGCGTCTACACTGAGTTATGAGATTGCTTCGAAGTATGGAGAGGCGGGACTTCCGGCTGGACAGACAATTGAAGTGAATCTAAAGGGATCTGCTGGACAGAGTTTCTGTGCTTTCCTTGCCAAAGGAGTTACAGTGAAGCTGGAAGGCGATGGGAATGATTACGTGGGCAAGGGATTATCTGGAGGTACAGTGATCATCACACCGCCCAAAGAGAGTACTTTTGAGTCTCATCTCAATGTAATCGTGGGCAATGTGTGCCTGTACGGTGCCACTGAGGGAAAGGCCTTCTTCCGCGGAATTGCTGCTGAGAGATTCTGCGTGAGGAATTCAGGCGTTACGGCAGTGGTTGAAGGAGTGGGAGATCACGGCTGCGAGTACATGACTGGAGGATTGGTGGTGATTCTGGGACTGACGGGGCGTAATTTTGCTGCTGGAATGTCGGGTGGAATTGCTTATGTCTATGACATTGATGGCAGTTTCCGTGGGAAGACAAACACGGAATCTGTAGAGTTGCTCCCACTTGATCAACCTGATGACATTGAGGTTGTTCAGGGGCTTCTTGAGCAGTTTGTGGAGCACACGGATTCCGTGATTGCTGGACAAATCCTCAAGGATTGGCCCTCAGTGTGCACGAAGTTTGTTAAGGTCTTTCCGCATGAGTATCAAAGAGCACTGCGTGTGCTTCAAGAGGAAGCCCTCGAGGCTGAGCTGAAGACCGAAATGAAGTCTATTGAGAATGGTCACAATCATGGTGAGCCAGCTGTGAAGGATATTGAGGACTCTGTGCAGGACGTGGCAATGGAGAAGAAGAAACTCAGTCAGATCCTTGACAAGACTCGTGGCTTTATCAAGTATAAGCGCGAAACCACTTTTTATCGTGATCCTGTGGAGAGGCAAAAGGATTGGGATGAGGTGTACAATTTCCAGCATGTGAGAAAGAATCTGAGACGCCAAGCAGCGAGATGCATGGAGTGCGGAGTGCCATTCTGTCAGTCAAACTCTCATGGATGTCCTCTGGGGAACATCATCCCGAAGTGGAATGATTTAGTGTTTCACGAGGACTGGCGAGAGGCGCTCAATCAACTGCTCCAGACTAATAACTTCCCGGAATTCACGGGACGCGTGTGTCCAGCGCCTTGTGAAGGCGCCTGCGTGCTTGGGATCTCTGAGCCTCCGGTGACTATCAAGAACATCGAGTGCACAATCATCGATCATGCCTTTGAGCAGGGATGGATCGTTCCTGTGGTGCCTGAGGAGCGCTCAGGGAAGCGAGTGGTGATTGTGGGATCAGGACCTTCTGGTTTGGCCGCAGCTCAGCAACTGAATCGTGCTGGTCACTTGGTGACTGTCATGGAGCGCAATGATCGTATTGGGGGACTTCTCCAGTATGGCATTCCCACCATGAAACTGTCCAAGGATGTGGTGAAACGTCGTGTGGATTTAATGGCCGCTGAAGGCATAGAATTCCGCACTGGTGTGAATGTTGGTCGGGATGTGTCAGCGGCCCAATTAGCCAAGGATTATGATGCTGTCTTGCTGACCACGGGCGCCACTTGGCCGAGGGATCTTCCTCTGGCGAATCGTGATTTGGGCGGTATACACTTCGCCATGGAATTCTTGGAATCTGGACAAAAGAAGCAGATGGGAAATGCGATTGAGAACATCTCAGCCACTGGGAAGAATGTCATTGTCATCGGAGGCGGAGATACAGGATGCGACTGCATTGCCACGTCTCTGCGCCAAGGCGCAAAGAGCATCGTGACATTTGAGATTCTCCCGGAGCCGCCAAAGGGACGAGCATCTGATAATCCTTGGCCGCAGTGGCCGAAGGTCTTCCGTGTGGATTACGGGCATGAGGAGGTGCGCGTGAAGTTCGGAAAGGATCCCAGACAGTACAGCACCACAACAAAGGCGTTCATCAGTGATGGAAAGGGGCACATTAAGGGTGTGGACACAGTCGAGGTGGAGTGGACAAAGACACCGACTGGACAGTGGAGCATGAAGGAAGTGGCTGGAACGGAGAAACACTTCCCGGCAGACCTGATTCTCCTCGCCATGGGATTTTTGGGACCTGAGAAAGGAGTTCCCAATGAATTGGGTAAGAGTGCCAAATTTATCAGTGCTCAGAAGATTTTCTCATGCGTCTCGTGTTGATTTTCAGGTCTGGAGATGGATAATAGAGGCAATATCAAGGCAGTGAATGGATCCTATGGCACTTCAAACGCAAAGGTCTTTGCAGCAGGAGGTGAGAGATTTATTCGTCCTTCAAAGGTGGAATGGCATCTTCAATAACTATTCATCTCACTTCTTTGACAGATTGTCGCCGCGGTCAGTCACTGGTGGTGTGGGCCATCTCGGAGGGACGTCAGGCTGCTCGTCAGGTGGACTCCTATCTCACGGGCCGCCCCAGTTCACTGCCAGGTCCTGGAGGTGTCATCGATCCCACGCGAATGCCGTAAGGTGAACGGCGCTGTAGCAGACGCGAGGACTCGCGAGTGCATCAATATTCCACTTTAACTCTTTTGCTGATCATCAAGAAAGCTTTAGTTGAAAAATCTGTGGTAATGTGTAGTCATTTGTGCGGGGCAGCGTGTTCTTGAGACACCAGCGCACAACCCGTATTTATGTAATTTACGTTACTTTCGGCACCTTTGCTGAACGGTTCGAAAGTATATAATTTTTATTTGTAAACACGGAAAAGCCCTCCTGGGCAATTAGAAGAAAAGTTCCGATATATTGTATCATTGTAGGTGAAAAGAAAATATGTTACAAGATTGTAGATTTTAGAAATTTTAATGTTTCTGTCGTAAATAGTTGACATACTAAGTGACTGGGCTTGACGTCAAGAAGTCTGTGAATGTTATCATCAATCTCGTCAATTATGAATTGAAGAACAAAACGACAGGAGAGGAAGATGAAACGATTCCTGGGACAGGGTTTGTGGAGAAAAAGAAAAGATATTCTCGTAATCTTAAGTGCATTGTTAATTCTTCCGAGACAATAATTAGTATATTAAGAGGAAAGACACAAAAAGAGAAACAAACAAGAAAGTCTGCATTTCAAGAGCTGTGTTAAGAAATCATTAAACAAATATCCTTGTCTGATTTTGTCCTTCCAAAAAAAGAAACTAATAATATCATGTTAATTCTTGAAAGAAAAATAAATGTGTTATGAAGCAATTTTCACTGTGATTTTATTTAAAGCAATAAAATATTCATATTTACAACATTCTAAGAATCATTCTTCTGCAATATTTTGTCATTTGCTGATATTCTCATCATTTTTTTGTATTCTTATTTATTACCAACTATATTGTCACTTACATAATACATGTAGTTGTGTTTATCCCACTAGATTTTATTATTATGTATCATTCTAGAGAAAGATATCCTTATGATGTGAAAGAGGATAGTGGAAAATGTAATTACAGTGTGGCACAAAATGTCTGTCCAACTTCACAGTCAATAAATTAAAAATAGAAAAAGCCTAACTTACAGCTTAAGTTCACTCGCAAAAATCAACTAAGATAAATCGTTGTGTCACACTGTAATTCTTGTTTTTGGGAATTTCATGCACCAAATTAAACATTATGCTTTATCACGTCAACCATGTCCAGCTGCACTTCTGATGATTCCACTCAAAAACTACAATTAGGTTAACTTTATTCATTCACGCACGCAATTTTTCAATAGTGAAACGTTTTTTTTTATGCAGAAAGCCCAAAAATACTAGTAGATTATTCTTTTTGTTTTTTTTTGTCTGTACCCAATAAATTTACGTCTTGTTTGCGTGATTAAACATCCAATTGGATCTCTGAGAATCATCAATATCGTCATCACACAGAGTCAACAAGAAAAGAAGTGACAGAAATAAATCTTTGGAGTGGTTAAATGAGAGGGAAAATCATGAAAATCTCTCGTTAGTGGTATAAAAGTATGTAACTTTATGCTCCTCTCGCTCATCCTCCGTGTGATGTGTTATAAGAAAAGGGGTGAGATCTACGCCAATTCGTCTTCTTGCGTGGAATAGATGTAGCCCTGCTGCTGCAGAATGTACAGTCTCTTCTCCACGGCATCCTTGTACTTGGACGATAGCATCTTGTCCTGCGGATTGCTGCACTTCTGCGCCAGCGAGTGCAGCAGTATCTGAGCCGTCTGATAGCGCGCAAAGCAGTCCTCAGGATTCCCAAACAGTTCATCCAGTGCCGCCGATTGACACATCTGAATGGCGTGATCGTACAGGATCTTATCGGCTGTTATATTGCTCGCTGTGGCTTTCTTTAGCAGTCCAGTGCCATTTAGCCTCTTCGATTCGTACAGAGTCGATCTGTACTTGTTGTTCATCGTCTGGAGAACTACAAATAATACAATGCATGGCGTATTAAGCAGTGTTCCAAAAGATGAATTCATCTCACTCACCATTCTTTACAGTGTTGGATGGCTTCAATTGGCCTTGCTGAAGTTGTTCTTGTGCCAAAACCATCCCTGAGCGGAGGAGATGTAAAGCCCTGGAAGATAGAAATCGCATAATATGAATTATCAATATTGAAAAATCAACATTGACATGAAACACTCAATAATTCAGAAGGAAAATCATAATTCTGTGAATAATTTCAAAGGATGTCACACAGCACTTTACTCACCTGACAAGCAGCACAAGACGCTCTGCCCTCTTGCAATGCTCCGGCGCATGTGGCGTGATTGGTGGCGCATCGGCTGACATTAGAGCAGAAAGTGGGGCACACCTTGCATCCGCCACTTCCAGAATACAATCCGTCAATGCGAGGACAAAGTTCAGCTTAGCCAGCGTCTCATTGTGTTCTCGCTCCAGTATTGTCTCGGCCGGCAATTCGGGAGCATGGAAAGTAATTGGATGCTCTGTTGCACCGCCCAATCCCGTGAAGTCCGGCAAAACAATTTGACTGGCGAGCTTAATGGGCATCTTGGCGGCCAGCACCGGAGATCCTGAAGGATATCGCCTCAGTGGCGATTGATGAGACGCCGCCGGACTCACTTGCCACGTGCACGGAGGCGGTGGCGGAGTCTCACTCCAAATCTGCGGCGATTCCGACAGTGAACCCGCCGAGGTGGACCTCCTGCGCTTGCCATCCGGCGGCGTTCCGATGACAAATTGCACCGCCGGCGGAGAGATAGAACTGATTTCCGGCGCCGTGCGATTCTCAGAACGCTTCATTGTGATCGGCTGACTGCGAGGAATAGTTGTGGCCTGGCGCATGGGTTGCGGCACGGGCTTAGGCTCTGAGATGGGCAGCGTGCTCGGTCTGGAAGGTGGACTGGCCGGCGCTTGCTGAGGCGATGCACCCAGAGATACACGGCTCTGGCGGCGCTCGTAGTTCACAACAGTGGCGTCACTGGGTAAATTATTGGGCACAAGCACAAAGTCATCAGAGCTCTCCTGGCTGGAGGAGGACTTGCCGGAACTGTGGCTACTGGACGCGATGGTGGCGCTCTCGGGCTCCGCCGCCGGAGCCGTAGGAATGGGCGAAGGCGCTTTGGGGGTTTGCGGTGTGGCCGGACGCTGCAAGAATGGATGATTGAAGAATCTGTCGAAGCTCATTCGATCCTTGGCATTGCGCCTGAGAAGTCCCATGAGCAGATCTGTGAGTTCAGGAGTAGTTCCTGGTGGGATTTTGGGCGCCAGACCGTCGTTCTTCTCATAGAAATTCCTGAGCTCTTGAGGCGTCTGCGCCTGGAATGGTGCCTTCCCTGTGAGACACTGGAAAATAGAAAACCAAAATCAGATGACAGGCAAGAAAATACATTGAGTTTCATCTCACCTGGAATACAATGGTTCCCAGTGACCAGAGATCCGCCTTGGCGTCATACTGAAGGGACATGATAACCTCCGGAGCCATGTACATTGGTGATCCGCACAGTGTGGCCGCCATATTCCCATCCTGGAGGAACCTGGCAAAGCCAAAATCCGCAATCTTCAGCTTGATTTTTGATGGTGGCGGAAAAGTCTTGCCATTGCTATGCGACAGCAGAATATTCTGCGGCTTGAGATCTCTGTGGACAATCCCCTTGGCGAACAGGGCCTTCATAGCGCCCGCCAGTTGAACCAGGAATAACCTGATGGTGTCCTCACTGAGACTTCCTCTGCCATTGAGATAATCCGCCAAATCGCCTCCATTGCAGTACTCCATCACGAGATACACATTGAGTTGTGACTCCTTGCAGTCCAGCAATGCCACCACATTCTCATGATGCAGCTCAGTGAGCTCCTTCAGGATCTTAATCTCCTTCCCCAAGAGATTCTGACTCTTTGCCAGACTCTTCTTTGTGATGCTCTTGATCGCCACCTGAAGGTTGGGCTTCTTTCGGTGGCGCCCTTTGAACACCACAGCAAAAGCCCCATGCCCTATGAGATCCTTGCTGTTGTACTCATATTCACCCACAATCTCCATCATCTTGAATCAACCTCAACGCACCCGCGATGGTGCTGACAAAATGTCCGGAAAGAGCTTGGGAGAGAGTCCACAAAGAAATCGATTTTTTCACTCGCTCCTCTTTCTCCACTTATCACATGTTTCCTACCCTAAATCACATCCACAACACTCACTTTACCTCACTACTTCCCCATTTAGTACTCCTATTGCACTTTACACGATGAAAATCCCCCAAAAATGTGCTTTTCCGCGATACGCAAAATATTTTTTCACTCAATAATGTCACTCAGCCATTTTGCGGAGTGAAGTTAGCTGTCTTCCCTGAATTTGTGGCGACGAAAAAACAGAGGGCGCAATCGACGTTCTCTTTTCATTATTCCAACGGGCAGACGAATAAAAAATCTATTCTCATCTTATCTAATATAAAATCCAAATCAATCGCCAAAATTATACCCACATAGTTATTTCTTCAATTCATATATGTACTACACACACAATGATCATAAATTTTGATGTCAATTCAATCATTACATTTTATTGACGCAATTTTCTCGCACAAAGGATCGAATGTTGCTGCAAATCAGGAAGATTTTTGCATGGAACTGAGCAAATTGGACACTTAAATCCACTCTTCTTGTGTGTTTGCTCCAGTTTCCATTCGCTATGTAGAAATAAAATATGACTCTGCAACTTGCTTGTCTTCATCGACATTCCACAAATCTTGCAATCAATTTCATTTTCATGATTTCTAGCATGTCTCTTTAGATCTTGAAATATCAAAAAGTTCTTTCTGCAAATATTACATTTGTATGGTGGGCCATTATGGGTCAGAAGCAATCCAGGATGATATATTTTTATATGATTGCGCAAGTTGCATTTCTTTTCGAAAAACTCCGAACAATAAGGACACTGAAAGTCGTTTTTTGGAGGCAAATGCGAGTCCATTATATGTCGGGATAGGCGACTTTTTCGACAAAATTCCATGCCACAAATTGGACATACGATACGTTTCTTGAGTTTGTGTAACTCCACATGCGTCATCAAGTTTCCAAGGTCCGGGAAAACTTTCTTGCACACTGTACATTCAGGAACATCGTCTGCGAAAGTACAGAATAATGAGAATGAAGGCATGGCATAATCGAAGAATTCCTCGAGAAAACTCACCTGCACTCTGAGGAAGACCTCTGTGATAATCTTTCATGTGAACCAGAAATTCACGCCTCGTTTTTAAGATGTCCTTGCAATAAGAACACTTTACTGGTGCAGAATTGGAACTGAACGTACAATACATTATTTCATTTCTGCAAATATCGCATGAAGCATGTTCTGAGCTTTCTGAGCCATAAATTGTCATATGCCTTTTCAGACTTTTCTTAGATTTAAAAGTGCGATGGCATATTTCGCATTTATTTCCTGCAGCAAATTTGCTACACTTGCTATGCCTTGCGACGTGGCATGCATAATTAGCGGCAGTCTTGATCTTCTTCTTGCAAATGTGACAAGGCAACATCTTTTGCTGTGATAACCATGATGCATTGTGTTGCTTTCGCATGTGAATTCTTAACAGATTTGTAGTCCTGGGCATCACACCGCAAATATGACACGGTATCGGCTTTTCAATGTGTGTTCCTATATGATGAAGAAGATTCAACTTGTCTTTAAACTTTCGCGAACAATGAGCACACGAAAGGTTCTTCTCTCTGTGTGTAAGCATATGAACTTGATATCGTGAAGAATTTGGAAAATCCTTGCAACAAATAGTGCATTTGAAATATATCTCGGATTTTTCATCGTCGTGAGTCTTCATGTGAGTTCTCAGATCATTTGCGTTGAAAAATTTTCTCCCCATGCAAATTAAACATTTGAACTGATTGGCTTCAAGAATTGGATCTTCTGATATTATCTCGAAGCTGATAAACTCCACATTTTGTGCAGGGAAATTCCTAGAAAAGCAATAAGTTATAGAAGGAAAACTTTGAAAGATCAGCAACATACTTTTCTTCTGCCAATTCCGGATGCTCTTGAATCTCGTACTCCTCCTTCACAATGTCACAGTTTACGAAGGAGTTTTCAGCATCACAAGTATAATCAGGATCTTCATTTTCCACTTTTATATCCATTTTCGTCCTGCACTTTCACCAAACTTTCCCAATCTCCGTATTTGTTTACCTTTTATGACAGCGCATACTGTGAAGTTTGTTCTATAAATGATAATGAAGTTAGTCACACAAAATATTTTTGAACATTTTTCCAAAATATTTCTCAACTCTCTCATTAATCGACAATATATTTTTCTCACAATAGTTCAAGTGCCTTTCCAAATGGTACCTCCATTTGAATTTCTTTGGACGGCTTGTGCACTCAAAATGACTCTCTAGAATAATTTGAGGAAGCGCCGATCCTGGATGAATTCTGCCAATGTGTTTAGATGGTAATTCGTATTGAAGGTTTTCTCGCAAAGTTCACAGATTTTCTTCTTGACTTCCTTCTTTTCCTTATTTTTCTAACATGTTCTCGTAATATGCGACCTATAACCCTCCACGCTGTTGTAAGTTTTGCAGCAATTAAGACACTTTCAAGACCAACGAGATCTCCTATAAGAATGCAATTGATGTCTTAATTTGTTCTCTTCGTACTTCGGCCCAAGAATTGAGTCTTCTGTGAGCTCAACATTGTCGACTTTTTCAATTTTCACATTGAATTTCCTGGAACAGACACAAACTTTAGAAAATAAACATTGAAAGCTCATCAACTTACACTTCGACGTTATATTCCGGGATGCATTGTATTGCGTACTCTTCCTTCACTATATCGCAGTCAATTAACTGAATTTCAGACTGGTAACCATAAGAATCATCCTCTATTTCTTCTTTTATATTCATGTTTTTATGCACAAATGATTTTTTGTATTTCTTTCCGCACGGCTTTCTGACGTTTTCCATCATTCATCCCGAAGTTGGCCAATTAAAAGGCATTTTAAAGCTCAAAGCTTCATTGTACTTAAAGGCTTGCCAGGACACTGCAGGAAATGAATACAAGGAAAAATCACAATGACCATGATCGACATCAATATCATGATAAAATATTTATTTTGGCGGGCATTCACTCTATATTTTTCCTACATTTCTCGTGTAAAAATCACATTACATGTTGTTTTGAATGCTTGAATACAAAAAAGATCACGTGTATACAAAGTGAGGCATTAATACAATTACCACAATTACACCATCTCAAAATCCCGTGTCGACAGCATCAAAATCCAAGGACTTCAGATATTTCTCAATCTTACCCCGCAGCTGGGTGTTTGGGATGGTCTCAGTAGAGGTGAGCTCAAGATTCGTCATTGGCGAGGTATTCTTATCCATCTTGAACCACTCTTCTATAGCAGCCGCTTCGTAGGAAAAGCCATCCTCAAGGATCACGGGATTCTTCATCAGCTCATGTGTTATTGGACAAATGTAGTCCAGTGGTATATCAGTACCACTCTGGGCGACGAGACTCAATAGAAGACTCCTCATTTCGGAGATATGCGAGTTCAGAGTCAGATTTCCAGCCAGATCCCATATCAGCACTCGGCGATCATTCGATCCGGATGCAATAATCGTTGAATTTCCATTGATTGTAATGCAATTGACGTAGCGTGTATGATCAGAGAGAGTCTTCAAGCAATTTCCCTGCATATCCCAGATCTTCACCATTCTATCCAGGCTGCTGGACACCAATAAGGTTCCACTTTCATTAAATCTCACGCAAGTCACCGAGCTTCCGTGGGCATTGATAGACTGCACACACTCAGCATTCATTCTCTCCGTGCAGTATATTGTTGCGCTGCCACAGATGTGCTCCTGTGGAGTTTGCGGAATCAGCCTGGTTCTCCTCTCCTCATCTTCATGCTTTCCGCGCACAACGAATAGCCTCCAAATCCTCAGATAATGATCACTGCCACAAGTTACCAGAGTGTAGATCGAAGTGCGAGGATCTGAGGCTAGAAAATATCAAACATTAGTATTCAAGAGGACTTACTGGCCATCGGATACTAACGATCAGTTCGAACTATCTTGCAAAAGTCCGCCGAAAGCACTCCCAGATCATGAGCATTATCCACAGAGCAGTCAGCAATGAATTTTTGACCTCCAACAAAGATAGAAAGAATGAGGGCAAGGTAAATTTGAGAACACATCACAAACGCCTGAACTTACTCTCAACCGTAGCCTCCAGGATGAAGAAGCGCAAATTTCCCAAATTACATCCTGTCAATAGAAGATAAGAGTCCTGTGAGAAGGCTAGCGTGTGGACAGCTTCTTCATGCACCCGAATGGAACTGAAAAGTCAAGGAATTAGTCAGAATCTCTTCTATAGAAGCAATTTGAGAATTACCTGATGAAGTTCTTGCTCTGTCCCCACATGCAGACGCCTCCACTGTCGTCAGAACTCACGATGACAGACCCATCTGGCCTAAAAGCACACGCCCTGATTGCCTCTCCAGCTTCCTGGTTGAGAACACTGACTTTCTGACCATTGCCAATGTTCCAGAGGATGATACTCCCATCCACAGACGAGCTCGCGAGCACTCCTCCCTGAAAGTGAGGTTACGTTAGTAAACGTCAAAATTTCGCCGCCGGTCGAGGTGTTTCTCAATGCCTGTATTTATCTGCTTTTTACTAGTCTTTCACTAGAGAAAACTCAGAGAAATCGATACGAAGTGTAATAGAGTGTATGTACAACCAGAAGCCGTAATAATCTTTGTGGAAGAGGTGAAAACTACGCAGTTATTTCAATGTGATTCTGTTGGTTCGACCGGGCAAATTACAGGAAGGAAAAATGAATGAAAAACGAGAGATTGACGCTCTTCTGTGTTGGACAACCAACCAGGTGGACAAAGGTGTCTATGTAATCACTCCGAACAAGCTTGCGGTAGTGTTTTTGCTGCAGGAGTACGTGAAATTGAGACCAGTGCTCTTAAAGAAGGCTATGGACTTTTTACCCAAGTACCGGAAGAACTTCAATCTCCTCCTGTTGAAACTGATTCAGTATCCGGACATGTCTTACAAGGAGCTATACGACCATCTCATCTCTTCGACATATCGGCTGCATGATGAACACTTAGCAGCCTTTCAGAAAGTCGTATCAACGATCTTAGAAGGGGGGATTGAGGTGTTTCACAACTTGCCGGCAAACATTGAGAAGATCATGAACGACACTGCTACGCCACCTGGAGGAATGACACAACTGGGTATTGGTGGACTCCTTCTCAGGCGATTTGTCATCACCCTGGATAGGATGACATTCCCAGAACTGATAAAACTCTACCAGAACGTCTGTGAATACTTTCAGAAGAGTATCAGAGCAATTGCTCTGGGCTCCAAGGAAGCAGGACTGATGATCGATCTGGAAGAGCAAGACGACGCCGTGAATCGCCTTAAGGGCGACAGGGAGTTCGGTCGGTGGTCCAGGCGGCAAACGGACCTCTTTGTGGCTCAACAGTGCTCTCTTCTGCAGTGCAACGAAACAAAAGCTCTCAATCCCAGAGATTTACAAGCCAAACTGGCGGAGATTATAATGGACAATCCTCTCTATTCTCAAGCGCACTTCTTGAATTACCTCAACTGCGTTCGCGTGAGAGATTACGTGGGCGCTGTGGACAATCTTCATCGTGCTTTCGACAGGAACGCCGTGAAGAATCTGTCTTCTGTGGAGACGCGCGCTTATCAGTATTTGAGTCTAAACCTGGCCATTCTTCACGCCCAGTTCGGATACATGCGAGAGGCTCACGTTAGTCTTCGCGAGGCAATAATGCTCGCCCAGGAAGTTGGCGATCGCACATGCCTTCAACTGGCCAATTCTTGGCTCAGTTACCTTGACCACCACAAGATTCAGGTTCCTGATCGCGTGCCCGCTAACTCAGTCGAAGCCAATATCATCAAATCCATCTCTCTGGGCATCCAGTTCTTCGTCAAGTCCGTCGCTCAATTAGGCTTCGAGCCCGCCAAGCAATTTGAGTTGCTAATGTGGAGTGATTACTTTAACTGCCAACAATCGATGCAGGAATTAATTGCCAATTGTATGGCCGAGAAAGCCGCTCTCTGGACACTCTACGGGCGCTATGACCTGGCCTCTCTCACCAGCCAAGTCCTACTAAGCGCCAATATGACACAGATGGGCAAAACGTATAATGGAGAGAATCTCTGTCATGCTTTGTGCTGCCTCGCCTTGTGGCTCAGCTTAAACGGAGACCATTTCCGAACGTTTTCAGTTCTTCAGTATGCCCGGAAGTGTTTCCCACGCGACCCCAACGCTCGTCTGTGGACTCTAACTGAACTTCATGTCGCCGCTACAAAGGCCATTCACGCGGGGGAATGGCAGAAGGCCAATCTCGCGTGCTGTCGCATTCATCCACTCGATAAGGTGATTAATCGATTCACTGCTCATCCCCCATTCTCATAGTGCATCTATTTTCAGAACCTGAGCCTCCTCCAGCGTGCCACCCTCAACATTGCACGTGGCAATTTATCAATAGCGAACGGACTTCTCCAAACACTTCTTAAGGATCACAGCCTAGCCAATCGAGAGCCTCTTGTGTGGACTCGCGCTATGATTCTACACGCCACTGCGCTCATTCCTTCACCCGAAGTCATCAACGTCTTAATTGAAGCTCACGAGTTTGCACGTCGCAAGCATTTTGACTACGAAGTCGCCACAATAGACAGCCTATTTGCTCATCAACTTCTTGCCATGGGAATGCCAGTGAAAGCCCTAAAGTCCTGTCAGGAAGCTTTGGACGTGATTCTCCAACATGGCGGAATCTACGATCGTGCTAAGATCATGTTCCTCTTCGTCAAGTGTTCAGTAGCAGCCGCAGAGGCGCCGAAGAAACGCCAAGAAATGGAGAAATGTGACTCATTCCTCATGGATGCCGTGAAGTTCTTCACCAAATTGGGTGCTTATGTGAAAGTCAAGGATATTTATGCCTTCATGGCGCAATTCTACCACGAAATCGGGATGCAAGCAGAGAGAAATAAGTGTGCTTTCAAGTTTCGTGAGATTGATGAGCAATATCCCACCGGAAGTTTCGAAGTGGCCGATGCCATTATTTGAATCGTCTATGGAAGTTAATAAATCATGAAGATTATTGTTTTCATCCAACAACGCAGTTACTCTAGTCTCATCACTCATGCACAATTAAACTTTCCAATCAATTGTTTTCCCAAGGAGAAAATATTGAAAAATATATGCGCTCTTAGAGAAATCTGAGCCAACTCAAATATACCGGCGATTCCAAAAACGTTAAAAATATCACTTTCGTTCTCAAACGTTAACAGAACACAAATACAAAGTGCCTCCCAGAAATTTGATTTTTTTTTAATAGTGAAGATTTAAAAAAGCAAAAGCCAAAAACCGCCAGAAAAAAATGATTTCGTTCATATCTCCACAGGCTCTCTTTCGTTGATATAAATGAACTTTTGGAAAAACTGTGAAGGAAAGTTTTGCCCGGCTTTCCAATAAAATTAAAAGTTCGTTTTCCCAATAGGAATCGATGGTATAACATAAATAAAGCGCTCTCGGTAATGCGGATACCATTAACAATTAATTGGGCGTTGTGATTTGGCGTTGAGGCCTGAAGTGGTTACTCAGGTGATCACGAGTGCCACCCTCAATCTCATAAATAAATCAAGTGGGAACGAATTGAGGGGAAAATTAATACCTGAGGCGACATCCGAACACTTGTTACGCCATACTTGTGGCCGATGAGGGGCGAGAAGCTCTCCTCCACGAAACCGCTGCCCACTTGCCAGCGGAACACCCGTACGGTTTTGTCGCTGAAAGCCACGAAATGCGTGATTAATGAGGCAGATGTGGAAGCTGTGCACATCTCACCTGGATCCCGTGATCAGGATGGAACTGCCGTGAAACTCAATCGATGTGACATCACTCGTATGAGCCTTCAATTCCTGCAGAACTTTTACATTCCCTACAAGATTCGACATTTTTCACATGCACTGCCAACTGTGTGTCTTACACGAAAATTATATGAAATGAATTCTTTTTGATTCAGCTAAAAATACAGTGACGGTTTATATATCTTCTGCGTTTCTTCTCAACGGCGAGATCTCACAATCACAGAGTTATCTGAAAAATGTGTAATGAGTCGTTTTCAGTATGAAAAAAATGTCAGATGGTCTTTTGATGAGTAACGGATATAATCTGAAACTAGAAAAGCTGGTTTTATTTACCAATTTTACCTCCGACCCTGTGTGTGTGCTTTCAACAATCTTATCGCGTCACTGCGAAATCGCTATCGCATTCCCCTTATCACGAATGACTCCCCGCAATTGAGAAATCTCACGATGAGTGCAAGTTGAGCAATTTTATGGGAACTTTGCGACAGGTTGGCTTGCCGAAATTTCGGTGACACTCACTCGACGGTCACTTTTGAACTGAATGGACAATTGATATCACTCTATTGTGACGTGAATGTAAAAAAATCGATGGCTGACCTCGATATGAATTCATTACAAGTGAATATTTGCTCTGGATGAGCTCCTCGTGGGAATATTATCGAATTCCCTCTCTGAAAGGAGTGACTATCGGACTTCAGCAATTTATCATGCAGGGATCGCATTACTTTATTTCCAGGTTCTCAGTTTTTGCTCAAAAGTCACGCAAAAAGCGGTTGGAAATAAATCGATGGACGCATTAATTGTTGATTAAACTCGTCACCTGAAGTGCCTCTTAGGGAGTCACCCGTTTAGGATCGCGCGGGAACATTGAAGTCTTCCTGATGTTGTCCAATCCCAAGTACAGCATCACGACCCGCTCCATCCCTATGCCGCCGCCCGCATGAGGAGGACATCCGAAGCGGAAGGACTCGATGTAGGCAGCGATTTTACTGATGTCTGCGTTGTCGTATGAAATATTAACAGCAAGAAATCAATTAGCATTGTAAATTTTATTATCGGGCACTTTTCTTAGCTTTATTTCCGTCTTGACCTTCACTGAAAACCTCTTTAACGGTTATTGATAATTTTAGGCCCTTTGGGAGAATTTTTCATAAGGAGTAAAGCAAAGAATGATTGGAAATGAGAATGTCAGAATAAATTGATTTTCCCTTGTCTTTTTTCATTCATGACGTTCCAATCACTCTCAATAGTGATTATTAAAGAGCACAATACTTGTCAATATAATTAAGAGTTAATTTCAAGGTTCATCAATTAACCTGATTACCAAGCTGATTACCGATTATTTGATTACAAAGCAATCTTCACTCACCAATATTGTGATGCTTCGCCCTCTCTGTAAGGAATTCCGGGTCGTGAATTCGCTGAGCGCCAGACAAGATTTCCTCTCCTCGCATGAACATATCGTACGAGTTGGAGTACCGAATGTCTTTGGGATCAGGCATCGTGTAGAAGGGCCGCACGGCCAGAGGGAACTTGTCCAAGATGTAAAAATCAGTGCCATATTTTGCCTTCACCAGACGACCCAAGAGCTTCTCACTGGGCGTCGACATGTCCTCCTCGTCGCCCATTTCCACGCCAGCTTCTCTCAACATCGCCACTCCTTCGGCAAAGTTCAGCTTCAGCGGTGGATCGAGAAACTGGAAAGGTTCCACTCGATACTGCTGATTAACAGCCGCGATCTCGGTCGCATACTCATCTCTCAGCCCTTTGAACATAGCCGTGAAGGTAGTTCCAATCGTCTCGATGACTTCATGATAGTGATACTTGAATGCCATCTCAAGATCGAGGCCCACAAATTCAGTCAAGTGACGATGTGTATTGGAATCCTCAGCCCGGAAGACTGCGCCAACAGTGAAGACCTTGTCAAAGTCAGCAGCAATTGCCATTTGCTTATACAGCTGAGGAGATTGAGCGAGATAAGCGGAGTCCTTAAAGTAGCTCACAGTGAAGACATTGGCGCCTCCTTCACTCGCTGCCGAGATAATCTTAGGCGTGTGAATCTCCGTGAATCCCTTTGCAGTGAGAATGTCACGGAAGAGACGGCAAACGCCCGCCTCCAGCCGAAAAATGGCTTGGTTAGCCGGCGTTCTCAAGTCTAACACGCGATTGTCAAGCCGAGTGTCTTGATTCACACGAATATGAAGACCTTCCGGATCGTCAGGGTTGTCCGGACGAGCAGCATCCTCAATCTGCAGTGGCAGTTGCGCCTTAGCCGCGGACACCACGTAAATCTCAAGAACAGACAACTCCAGGGATTGTTCAGTACAAGACTCGATCTTCGTGGGCACAGATATGGCCTTCGCTCTCAGATCAATGATGCTCTCCTTGTGGATGCTGGAAAACATACAACTCTATTGAGAAAACTGCGATTTCCACGCGATTTCGCTACTTACTTGCCACTGAATTTCACCATCTGCTTGGAGACTACTTCATTGACCGCAATGACACATTGAACAGTGCTGCTATGCTGTCTCAGGATCAGGAAGCACTGTTTGCCCTTGCTCCGAGACGTGTGGACTCTTCCACGCACCCAAACAGCATCCCTACCCACAAACTGAGACAGTTGAGAGACTTGAACGAAGATTCTCTCCGGGAATTTGTCCACAGATTGAATCATCGCCGGCTGTCCATACTTCCCAGCCGAATAGTCCTCAGTTTCTTCCTGCACATCTTCAGACTTGCCGGCTGCGGCTCGATGTTCCGCTTTCTTGGCAGCTTTCGCTGCATCCTTAGCTTGTTTCTTGGCCGCTTTCTTGGACTGCGCCTCAGCAGCTCCCTCAGAAGTGTTATCAGTAGAATCCACCACCATTTTCCTCCACTTTTTCCGCGAAAAACAACTGCAAATAATCACGAAGAGTATTTATCACCATGCGATCTCTAACCTCAAATAGTGAAATTTTAGGATTTTCGTCTTTCTACTGAAGTTCAGTATTTCTGGGTGAATTTCTGGTACATTTGGATTAACAAGACTATGATGTTGTGAATGCAAATGGAATATTTGGATAAAATAATACGTTTCATCACCTTTTTCTCACTTTATATTGCGAAATAGCACACGTAAAAAGGGGCACTCTGGAGGTTGCCAGATGGAAAGGCCTATTTTGGAATAGTCTCTTCGCATCTGGCAAGACGGAGATGCACTGTAAAATTTTATGCTGAAAAAGAATAATATGTTTTAAAACATGCGTTTTATTTATTTGGAATTCAATTTATTAAGTAGAGCAGCTTTGGAACTAGCTTAGAAATACAATTTTACACGGTGATACATAATACTCATGCCAGAAACAAAAATTAACTGTGTAATCATCACAGTTTTTTTGCTGTCATCTTTCGACAATCACTTCAGCTTGGTATCGAGGAAAAGGTGCAGAGAAAGATAAATTCCTCGACGTCAACACGAAAATTTGTGTGAAAAAAACAATCATTTCCATAGAATTAGGTGGTCAGGTGTACGCCCCGTGCATTAATGTGTAGCTTGTAAGTTATTTTGGTGGCGTTGATTGAGTCGCGGCGTGGACAAACATGAATCGAAGTGAGGGTCTTGTGCGACGTGTAAAGAATCGGAGTGAAAATCCAGGCAATTCCGAGCAGGGCGCAGCGAACTCGTCAGCTAACAATCACGAGGATGAGAAGCAGGAGAATGACGAAGACGTGGACGATTGCGATTCCAAGGAGACCAGGCTCACGCTCATGGAAGAAGTCCTGTTGCTCGGTCTCAAAGACAAAGAGGTTTGTTGTCACACACTCCTTATCTCGTCAGAGAGCCTCATCAGGAAACACTTCCTGACTTGGGCTATTCATTGGGGAGTATCGCTCAAGTGTGCTTTCGAGCGCGGTTATCAGTTTATTGGGGGAAGTGGGAGAAAAACCGTGTAATTGCTCGGAAAATGGCAAAAATGGTGATGTTGGGCGACTTTACGGACACAAGGTCGGTCGTAGCAGTTTTCTTGGAGACTTCTTGGAACTGCTCGTTTACACATTTTGTGAGCATAATTCGCAAATCTTAAAAAAAAAATCATTGCTTCAAGTATAATATGGTTATAAAATATATATTTTAGCTTTGTCAGTGCTTGAATCGTGTTTTATTTCCAAAACAAGGATTGCGGATATTTTTTTAATGATCTGTTAACTTCCAATAAAACTCAAAAAGAAAGATAAGAGATTTTGCGTTCAATCCGTTAGCTTATCGATCTCATACTTATGATTCTAATAGTCTTGAATGAATGGATAAGTTGGTATATGGGCAGAAAAATAATAGTATTTGCCCCAAAATCATTGAATTATGATGTATTTTATTGTGTGTTATAAAAATTACACGTGCGAAATACCTTATAAGTCTCCAAATTCTCTTATCTCGAGCATAAGCCGTGAGTTTAATTCTGATTCTTGCATCTCTTAAAGGGATACACTTCTTTTTGGAATGATTGCATCTCTAGCGGCCTGCGAGGCTGCATCCTGATCGAGTTGGGACTGCGAGGACGTGTGGAGCTGGAGCGTGCCGGGATGCGCCGCAAAGGTTTGTGCTCGAGGAAACTCTGCCTCAAGTCCGACACTCCGACAGGCGATGTGCTGCTGGACGAGGCGCTGAAGCACATCCGGGAAACAGATCCTCCTGAGACAGTGCAGAGTTGGATTGAGTATCTCAGCGGGGAGACATGGAATCCGCTGAAGCTGCGCTATCAACTGAAGAATGTCCGAGAGCGCCTCGCGAAGAACCTCGTGGAGAAGGGCGTGCTCACCACAGAGAAGCAGAACTTCCTCCTATTCGACATGACCACACATCCACTCAGTGATAATGTTATTAAGTGCAAACTTGTGAAGAAGGTTAGTCAGGATTGTGAGGAGTTTGAGCAGAGTTCTGAGGATGTTTTTGCGTTACAGATTCAGGATGCGGTTCTGTCGAAGTGGGTCAATGACCCGCAGCGCATGGACAAAAGGATGCTCTCGCTAATCTACTTGGCGCAGGCGAGCGACGTCCTAGAGAATGCCTTCTCGCCACTCAACGACGATGACTATGAATTGGCCATGAGACGCGTCCGGGAATTACTAGACTTGGATTTTGAAGCTGAGGCAGCCAAGGCGAATGCCAATGAAGTCATCTGGGCAGTTTTTGCGGCATTCACTAAATAATATATGGTAATTTTGCACGGACTTCTGTTAGTTAACTAACTATGTAATTGATTATTTTTACTACTTTCCAGGAGATCCATTTTCACAGTGAACAGAAAGTGAGCACAGAGTGAGTGAAATCAAGTGGAATCACATAGAAAATGCTGGCATATTTAATGACTAACATAAGAAAAAGGGAAACTCTGTGCATTGATGAAGGATATTTTGGGCGAGGAGTGTTATTAGGAATACATGTACACATTTATGAAAATTATAAACCAATAACTATTCTACTTACTATAAAGAGAAGATCATCTCAAAAAATTCCCTTTTTATCTGGTCTATGTAATGTAAACAATTTTGAAAAGATATTTTATTTCCTTTAAGTTTTTGCGCCAAGTTGAATGAGTATTTCTGAGGGCAAGTGTAGACGAGTTTTATTTTAAAAAAAAACAGGATTTATATTATACAATAGTTTAGTGACATTTTCAATAAAATAAAAATATCTTGAAAATACTAAAGCTTTTTCAAAATATTTCAAATTTTTCTCTGGTTTGAAATTTTAAATTATTTCGCCGTGAAATTCAAATCTGCCGCCTGTCCCAATTGGGACGCAGCGGCGAAGTTTGACGACAGCGACACCAACGCCATTCGGCTTGGATTCTCGAAACGGAAGGCACGCGTCGCGTTCTCTGCTCCCAAGTCTTATCGCAGAAAGGCCCGTAAATCCCCCCAAGCCAACAAAATATGCAGTGAAAAGTCACTCACGCGTCTATTGGGAAGTGATTGTCGATGCCGAAAAGTGTGCCGTAGTGCGTGAAACGCGGAAAAGTGTGAATTAAAGGCGGCCAAATGGAGAACGAAAACAAGCTGTCAAGGTAACGAACAAAGTTTTTTCGTTTCTTACTCCCCATTTCACCCATGAGTTTCTACGCATCACGTTTTCCCGGAATTCCTCCCTTCCACCATCTGAAAATGATGTACAATTGGTGGATTATGGCCTGAAGTATATTTTTCAACTTGAAATTACAGTACTTACATTGAAATATCAAGAGAATTACATGATTTTTGTGAGACGTGACAACAGAAATTTCGTGCAAGAGTAAGAAGGTTGTAAAAGAACGTGCGTGGGAAAGAGATAGTGAAATAATGCATGAGAACAGTCACAGAGGTCTCTGCTGCTGCGAGAGGTGGGAGTTTTTATCTTTTGAAATGAACTGCGTCTTCAGAGAGTCGTTTGAGGGGCGTTGTTTGGAATTAAGATGATATTTTCTTAGATAAAACACCTTTTCATGATACCTCACAATTACCAATACTATTCAAGATTTCTCTGTTGAAGTAGGGATCTCTTGAAAATATTTTTAAATCCTATTATAATAATACAGTGATAACAATAAAGGTTTTTTTTTAAAACTATCTATATGTCTAGGTAATTAATTGTAAATTATTCAAAAAGAATATTATTACATCTTACGATGACGTTTAGTTTCCACTGCCGTGTTTTTCCCGCAACTTTTGCGGTCCTTTGGAAAAAGATCGACTTTTTGTAATTTTGCTGCTCTATAAATTGAGCTGGGCGTAGCCTGGCTCTATCTTTTGATTTTTCGATGGGAGAAAAGGAAGGAACAAGTAATAATTTACCCAAGAGACGGTGACCTACTATTTTCTTCTGTAAGTAGTCCCTTCATACTGCAACTCTGGGCGCTATTGTCAAAATTGCCACGCAAAAATATTCACGTGAGAAGATATTGATCTTCGGCATTTGAGAATGCATGTGTTTTGTGTGTTGCTTTTATTGTGGCAAGGAAAGATATTTGGAAGGGATGAGAGGACATAAAAATTGGGATCCATGATTGTGAGAAAATGGAATATTTCTTGAAATTATGCATAGTGTGTGAAGCACAGGTAGACAAATAGTGAGTGCGAATGTGCTTTTCTTCCCTTGCTAACAGTTTTATATACATTAGTGACAATATTACGTCCTGGAAATAGTCAAATTCACTTAAGAAATATTCTTGTGTAAGTTGAGGATTCTCGGAATGGGGAAACAAGTGAATATTTTTTTTCACTTTTTATCAGTATTAATAATTTGAGTGGATAGGGAGGGGAGGAAATTGAGAGGAATGACTTAATTTATTCCACCGAATGGCACCTAAAAAGGGGGAATAGAAACCGGTCATTTAGAGCTAGAAAGGATAGAAATTTCAATGCGGGAAGTTATAAATACCTTATTTTATCAGCTCCCCGCTTAACATCACAGTTGAATTCACTTTCAGTCAAATTTCATTGTAAAATTTTCAACTCTGGTGCACAAATGATGACTATTCAAGGGTGAAAAATTGCAAGATGCAGTTTTCGCCTTAGCCATTCTCATGGGTAATAATTGTCGTGATCTGAGAACTGGGGTGAATTCTGTGTTGTTTGCAAATCAGACGTCTAATTTTGATTTTTCACCATGCCAAAGAAGGGGAGAAGGGCAAAAAAGAAGGAAGGATCGGATCGTCTGTGTGAATTTCATATTCCTTACAACACGAGAGGAGAAGCTTCGATTGAAAAAGGGGCGAAAATGTAATAAATTTGGTATTCAATTCACGCCTTTTCTACCATGTTTTCTCAATACTACATTTCTATTTTTTTTTCCTAATAATTTTCCTGTGAAATCTACATATATTTCATCAGTCGTGTTCTTTTTTTTAAATAAAATTCTTCGTCTGAAAACAGAGCGACACGCGGGAATATTTCTTTACGAACGTCTTTTTAATTGACAGTGCTGATGGTTGAGGGTCGATTTTTGGGGAATGTTACATTATGATGACCTTTTAACATTCCTGCTCCTATGGGACATGCTCTCTTGAGTGTCTGTGTCCCATCTACCATACGATCGCGAGAACATCGACCTTATTTCTCGAGGAGAAATCGAAGAGAAAAGAGAAGCAGATGTCCTGTTCCATGCTGATGTCGGTATAAAGAGAAGAGGCAAAAAAGAACACATGAAATTTAATTGCATGAGACCTTCGGGCCTTGAGGAGGTTATTTTACATTGGTGCAGTCTCGAGGAGAGTCCAAGAAACCCTCCACGGTTGGTGTGTGTAGACGAGGAGGGAGGGTGAGAAGGCAGTGAACCCCTCGTGAGTTCTTCGATCTCGGCCATCTACCATTGGTTGCTGTTGTTTTCCCTCCAAAAATCCCAAAGCCAGGCACGGTAGTTTTGTACGCAATTTGTGTGATCTTCCCCCCACACGATCGCGAGTGAAAGAGGAAGTAATAACAAGGGTTAATTCCTGCACATGTTTCACTTTGGTGATCACACACATGATGTACTCTTGTTCTTCCGTCAAGCTTTAAGAAAGTTCAAAGATCTTCACCTTAAGACGTTCGTGAAAGATCACACAGTGAGAAAACATTGCAATTTCTTCTGAAAGTATCCTTTTCATTCTTCCCTGTTTTTACATAATGTATGAATTCTATTCATAGACCAAAGAAATCCTGCGGCTCTTCCTCTGCTGATCATTGCTATTGTAATGCCACTATATGTGTGTAAAGTGTTCATGAGCGGCATTGTTAAACCGCAGCCCTTGGATAGAAAAGTGCTGAAGGGAGAGAGAAAACCCATATTCTTCTCTACATCCACACTAAACAAAAAGACGTCTCCCCGTAATCCTTGAAATTATGCTAAATGCTCTGCCCTCAGAATTCTCTGCTGCACGAACATTTAATTTATTAACTGACTTTGTTGTGTAATTAAAATTATATTGATATATCTTTTTCTCCATGATCACACAATTTCATCTTGTTAAAAAATGCCCAGAAGAATAATTAAAAAATATATTATTTCCCCCATTTTATGTTTTTGTATGCCTGTGTGTCCTTATTTATAGGGATCTCATGATGGCATGTATTCATATTATGGGGAAGATTGTTGAAATAGCGTGATGGGTTTTAATATATTGAAGGAAAAAACGAGGGAAATAGTCTATATACCCACTGTCCATACTCTTCTTTTTCGTTCCTACATCTTTTTTACTCGCGATGGACGGATCAAGCAATTTGATAGTCTCTGTGCTTCTAATTGTAAAGTTGAAATTACAAGGGACAAGAACTACAAGGGAAAAAGAGACACATTTAATGCTTAATCTTCGATTAAGGAATGCAGTGGATTAAGTAAAAAAAATAATGCTGGGAATTGCGTGAGTTTCAGGGGTATTTTATTTCCATTTACAATATTGTGGTTCACATTGCGATCATTTAACTAGTATCAAGTGTCTCGATTTAGAGAGCATTTGTGGAATTTCAACCCAGAAGAATAGTGTGTATTTTCTACACTAGTCGGACCCTCGGTATTTTCAGCATTTCTCAGGAGCGGCGCACGGTGAACTTTTCACTATGTTTTGGGTGAAACATCTACCAAACACCTGGTTCAATGTGAGCTCTTGCCGGTAAATGAAGGGAGAAAAGACGGAGATGTGGGCTTCTTTTTCCCTCCTTCAACTTGATGATGGGTCTCTCTCACGGTGGGTTTTTTGAAAAATGTGTGGCTGTGACATGGAAATAGTGTTGGTAGAAAAAGAGCGAATTATATGCATTACTTTGTGTATCGCGCATAAGGGTATATACGCAAATTACAAGGAGAGTGAGAGGAGAACTTGTAGACGAGGAGACCCCCTTTGGAAAGTGGTGTTGTGGATTATTATATTGAGGGGAGAGTGAAAGAGAGAGGAATCGACAGGGTAGTGTGGAAGAGGACAAGCGAGAGACGAACAGTTGGTTGACTATCTCAGTTGGTTTCCCTCCCAATGTCTGGCATCAGTTGCTTTTCCACGGTGGCAAGAGGGTGATCTCTCCTGTGTGCGATCCTTTGCGTGTTTTGGAATATCTTTTTGGGTTTGGTGTGGATATGGAATTATGAGTCGTGATAGTTCAACAGTGAATTTTTCCGAAATGTAAGTGTGGACTGGAGAAAAATCTGTTTTGAAAGAATTTACATAAATCCTCATCAGGCACTGGCATTAATTAGGGGGTGATTGCAAGATGTGCACCAGAGCGAATAAGGCAGAATAGTGTCGCTCCTGGGGTCTGAAATATTTGACTCTCCCTCTATTTTGGGACGTTCATTTCACAATTCAGTGCAATACATAATATCCACGGAGATGCGCTTGAGGGATTTTCCTTTAAATTTGTCAATTTTCCTTGCAGTGGTTCTTTCTCGAAGAACGAGTATGAGAGTGATTCGGCGCACGATGAGGAGATGTCTGAGTATTCTGACGGACAGAATGGGGACGAGGAAGGCGGAGAGAGAAGCAAGGGAAAGACGAGGTGGACGAAATATGAGGTGAGTGCCGAGTCAAGGGAAATACAAGATCGTCATCTTACTTGACTTATCTCTGCAGGATATCGCACTGAAGAATCTTGTGGATACGTACGGTGAAAATTGGTCTGTGGTGGCGAAGCAGATGAAGGATCGAACAGATGTTCAGTGCCAGCAGAGATGGTCAAAAGTTGTGAATCCGGAATTGATTAAAGGTCCATGGACAAAGGAGGTTTGTACAGTTTTTTCTTTTTTTGTCTCACTACCTGGACATCGATTGATTTTGTTACATATATGGGTTTCTTTTTCATGCAGGAAGACGACAAAGTTGTTGAACTCGTCTCGAGGTACGGGCCGAAGAAGTGGACCTTGATCGCTCGTCACTTGAAAGGGCGCATCGGAAAGCAATGCCGTGAGCGGTGGCATAATCATTTGAATCCATCCATCAAGAAGACCGCCTGGACGGATGAAGAGGACAATATAATCTATCAGGCGCATCAACAATGGGGTAATCAGTGGGCGAAGATTGCTAAACTTCTGCCTGGGCGCACGGATAATGCGATCAAGAACCACTGGAACTCAACAATGCGTCGCAAGTATGAGAGCTCAAGTGATTCAATGAAGAGATCTCGTCATGGAGGCAAAAAGATGTCTTTGCGCGCTCTCATCACCACCAATCGCAAATCCTTCATCCAGAACTGCAAGAAGAGCGAAGCTGTTGGATTGTCTGGTGATGGTGACCAGATAGCCATCTCCACGCAAAAGGGGGACTTTCTGCTTGAGGCCATTCGCAGCAAGGGAGATTCAGGATTCATAATGTCGCCGATCCTCAATAAGAATGAAAGTCGATCATCGTTCATACTTTCACCAGCCAGAGGGATGCAATCGTCCAAATATCAATATGAATACATGGGTAAGTAATATTGTTTGTTACTTCCTGATCACATACAATAGAATAAATTATTCTTTCAGATTCCCTTCAAATTCCACTTTCTCTGGACGATTTGCTGGAATCGCCTAAGCAGAGCTACAAGAAGCTGACCGACAATCCACCGTCAATCCTTAAGAGGTCCAAGAAGAGGCGCTTTTCCGAGGAAAATGTGGTAAATATTTGAGTTTCTTATCCTTGTAAATAACCTAGTGGCGAAATCAAGATAAAAAATTATTCATAGATCTTGATTTTAATGCTAGAGAATGTAGTTTTAGTGAATATAATTTAGCGGTGTAAGTGCATGAAAATGATTCAGTAGCTCTTGCTTATTTCACACAAACTTAATATTCTGCAATTCCTTTCCCATAAGATTCTCATGAAAAAAAATTGCTGTTACGGCGACAAACAATTCAATTTGTGTTTTTTTGAGTTCTTTTCTCTCCTTTTCTGATTAATTGCAGAAACATTTAAGTAACATGAATCAAATGGATGATGTTAAAGCGTCGGAATCGCCATCGGTGACACCCATAAAACCTCTCCCATTCTCACCGAGTCAATTTCTCACTTCACCCTGTATGAATTTGTCCCTTGACATTAAACTTCCGGCTAGTACACCTGTTCGAAACAGTAGAAGAGATGAAAAGGTAATAGATAATAATGTGCTTCATGTATCATTTTCATGCATTTGAATCTCGTGTAGAAGTATGACTTGGCTTTTCATGTAGAGAAAAATTCCATAGTTCACCACCAAAACGTGAAATATATATATATATATATATTAAATGAGTGTCTTTTACTTTATCTTTTAGGATGAAGAAAATGCTGCTCTAACTACACCACCGCCAGATGAGAAACAGCGTGATGATGACTTTTCTGCAGACGAAAAAGCCAAGAAGGGTGAAATTGATGGTGTGAATGTTAAGATTGAAGGCAAAAGTACTGGAAAATCTGGAAGATTTCCAGGAACTAATCCACGCACTCCAACACCCTTCAAGAAAGCCCTGGCTGAGCTTCGGCGTCAGAATACAGATTCATACGTGCCACCGAGTCCTGGACGACTTGTTGAGGATATTGTGGAGATGATGCACAAGGAGCAAATGCAAGATTCCACGGACAGTGTTTACGAAGGCACTGAGGCTTCTGTCAAAGCGTCTACAAGTACTGCTGCTGATGAGTCGAAGGAGAATTCTCAGGGGATACGCAAAGTGAGAAAATCTCTCGGAAGCGCTTGGGAGAATTCAGCAGATATACCTTATATGGCAGAGACTCCGGTGAGTGTCAAAGAAATGGGGTTTAAGTCTTTCGTGTTGAGTATTAAAGAACTGAATATGTTTAGTTGGGTTTGAGTCGCAAGTTTAAAGATCTTAGTGCTATCCAGACACTTGATATAGGAATAAAAATTAAAGTTTTAATAACAAATATATGTAACAAGATGCTGATTACTTGTTTAATGAAATGAGTGGTCATGAAAATGTCTTTATTCCGTTGAGTGAGCCAGTTTTATTATTTCAACTGCATTCATTAAATATTTCAGAGCAAATCCCTTAATTCTGATTCTGGTGTGCTTTTCTCGCCGCCAAGCATAATGAAGAATACTTTGGGCGATTCTGAACTGCTGATGGACAGCCAAATGGATGATGATGAGGATTCATCGAAGAAGAGCGGCTATCAGGTATATTTTGCACGTGATTGCTTCAACAACAACAGTAGCACTAATCCAGGCATGCGTGCCATGCGACCACTGCACAGTGAAACACAGTTTCTTTGGGCAAATGGGCGACACTTTCATGAGAGCAATAAGGAAAATGCAGGGCACGGTTTCGCAGAATTCAATCCTATGGTTGATGAGAACGATAGTTCTGTGAATTTTCAATTGTCCAAGTCAATTTATGCAAATCGACATCAGCAAATACCGTCAATTTCAACATTTGGGTTTAATCGGACAAATTTACTGCAAAATCAATTGAATTTCCAGCATCAGGGCAATATAGATGCCGCAAATTGTGCTTTTATCACAACTTCAGCACATCAACAACTTCCCTCTAGCAATATGCAAACGCACTGCTTCGGGAATGTTGTGAACCTAATGGGAAATCCTACAGCCACAATTACGTCACAGTATCAAAATGCGAATCAGAGCAATTTGACAAGAGATTCAAGTGAGAATGAAAGCAGAAATCGCTTCAAGACTTTCGATCTTAACGATGAATATTGGTTGGATTTTTCCCAATTGGAGTATCTATAAGAATTGCACTTTATTCTCATGCTTTACTCAGTCTCTTTTCACTCCGCTGAAACTGTGTAAATTTCTCTGTGGTGTCATTGGTCATTCAGTAGCTTCAATCTTATCCTCTTTTTTAATTAAATCATACCAAAGAAGTGTAATGTAGTCATAAACATGAGATAATGCATCTCAATATCTTTTCACGACTTTATCACATTCAGTTTTGAGAATCAAATGAAAGTGGGATTTAGAGGCAAAGCAAGGCTAAAAGATGGAAATAATCTCACTTTGTATAAGTGATGTTAGATTGTAAATACGATTTTTTTTGCAAGAGATGGAAAGATGACCTCAAAGAAGGAATAACAATAACCAATAAGAAATATTCAAAGTTTCTGCTAAATAATCTCGAGGAATAATGATTAGTTAAAGTGTATAAAAGTATTAAAATGGTAATATATTTGCACAGATTAATTTAACGAAACAAAGAAGTGACTAATATAATAATTTTAGTTTGTACAAAGGTTACAAGGATTACCAATATATTTCGTAAATTATACATTAGATACATTTTTCTCCTGACTAACAATTAAGTGTTGTTTTTTTTTAAATTTAAAATGAAAAAACGCAAAAACAAGAATTTAGAAGCTATATCTATATAAATATATGAGAATTATCTTGCACGAATCATATTAATATCATATATTAAAAATTTATATTTTTATTTTACATAAATCTTAATTATCGTCGATTTATTAGATTCAATAGAAGAAAGGGAAAAGCACTACGATCAGATCATTCAAAAAACAATCTCTGCAATCATTTACTAATCAAATAATTTTAATATTGAAAAGATGAAAGATTACATTTGTAATATCTCTTTTGCCAACCATTTGCATTATTCTGTTTATCTGCAAGGTTTGTATTCACTATATTTCTTATTTTCTATATGTTTTCAACAATACTCATTAAATTTACTTGAAAATACCATTTCATCCTTTTTGGCATTACAAAAAGAACGCTTAAAAACTCAGAAAAAAATAGAATAATGCATACAGGTCTGCTGGTTACAATATTGACAGACTAGGGTTGGTTTTAACTATGTTTATTTTGTTTTTGGTCATTATTATATGTAATTTTGGTTTTGAAAAATTTGACTTCTATGCGTGGTGAGCAGAAAAAGACACATGACATTACTATGTTTTCGTTGTATTTAATATTTTTGTTTGTATTTATTTAAGGATAAATCAAGATCAAGAACAAAGATTTAGAAGTGAAAAAGTGTAAGAATGATATGAAAACTAAGAACAAAGAAGTCATTTTTGTAAGACAAAATTATTTAGTGGTTTTGAGGAAGAAGAGCGGATTTCTCCTGTAATTTATTTCCAAATTATTTAATATTATTTATAATTTTATTGTAAGTGAAATCAACCTGTAGATGTGAGAGAAAAACTGTCAATATTGTACTTATAGTAAGGCAAGATGTGTTGACGAAAAAGAGAATTGCAAAAGTGAATAAATATAGAGATATCAAGCGATCAAAACTTGAGAAGATAAGAAGAGTTAAAAGAGATTTTTCTTTCTTTCCTTCAAATTGCAAACCTATTTGTTCAGCCATCGGTGAAGCGTTGCATTAAGTTTGAGGGACAAAAAACTAAGGGCGACCAAGATGAGAATTCTGAGAAAAGTGATGAGACAAAGGTGAGAAAATCCGTGATTACAGTTTAATTGGGGCTTTACTTATTTTTTCGTCCTCTGCAGATGATTCTGGATCCGAAGTGGGAAAAGTACGCCTTCGGCAAGACCAAAGATCAGGTGTTTATGACTCATCATGCTCACGTTATGCTGAAGAGAGGTCCAACTTTGCTGCCTCGTTCCCTGAACTTCTACAAGCAACAAGAGCCGATCATGATGTACTAAATCATGACGATGATTGATTGATTTACTTTGAGAGTGTATTTCGATTTCATATAATTTTTCATTACTGTACCCTTCGGCTACAGACGAGTAGTTTTTTTTCCTATAATTCTTTCTGACATTTTGCAATAATATAAAAATATTTTGTTTTAGGTATATCTAATTGTATCAATTCGCAGATGTATGTAACGTATCAATAAAAGAAGGAGATAAGTTTTCTTTCCCTGCGACAAAGTTTCAAATTTGATCCCATTTTGTGATGCATATGAGTAAAATTGAAAAGTTTTTGCATCTCAGTTTGATCTCGATGAGACGAATGTTGCTTTCGCAATATGGGCAGCCAAAACAGCCTTAGACCTGCTAAACTGTTCAGTCACTGTCTTTAAAAATGAGTGCTTTATTACATTCACTGAGTCAAAAAAAGCAATAGAAATGTACATTTTGGAGAGACTCAAGGGGGGGAAATGCTTTTTCACGCCTCAACTTGTCCCATGCCCTGCAGATTGTCCGACACCTGGAATTCCGCTCCCGTGGATGACACAATATCCTCCACAGTCACTCCATCAGCCAATTCGATGAGCGTGAGTCCTCGTTCTGCGTCCACAGTGAATACACACTTTTCCGTGATGATCATATCAACGCAGTTCTTTCCAGTGAGTGGCAAATTGCACTTGCTAAGGATCTTGTGCGAGCCATCCTTGGCTGTGTGCTCCATCGTAACAATAGTCTTGGTTCCTGGTGCCGCCACAAGATCCATGGCACCTCCCATTCCCTTCACAAGCTTCCCAGGAATCATCCAATTGGCAAGATCTCCGTTTTGAGACACTTCCATGGCACCGAGAACGGTGATATCAATGTGTCCGCCACGAATCATGGCAAAGCTGTCGTCTGAGCCGAAGTAAGAAGCTCCCGGCACTACAGTCACTGTCTCCTTGCCAGCGTTGATCAGATCCGCATCAATTTGATCCTTCGTGGGAAATGGACCGAGACCGAGGATCCCATTTTCCGATTGCAGCATCACATTGACACCCTTGGGGATGTAATTTGAGGACAGCACGGGGATTCCAATGCCCAAATTGACGAACATCCCATCGCGGAATTCAAGTGCCACTCTCCTGGCAATCCGCTCGCGATTCTTTGCCGCCGGAGTTGAAGCCACTACTGAGGCTTTCTCAGAGCGCACCTTCAACTTCTCAATGCGCTTCTCAAAGGACGGCCCTTTGACGATGCGATGCACAAAGATGCCAGGAATATGGATATTTTCCGGTGTAAGAGAACCCACGGGGACAATTTCCTCCACCTCGGCAATGGTAATCTTCGCAGCCTTGCACATGGGCGCGTTGAAATTCCTCGCGGACTTGTTGAATACTATTGTGAACCATTTGATCATTTGTGAGTCAAATGAATAGAAAGGTCAGCTAATGGTGAATACTCACTGAGGTTTCCCATCTCATCCGCTTTGTAGCCTTTAATGAGTGCGAAATCGCCCGTTATAGCCTCTTCCATGATGTAGGGTTTCCCGTTGAAGTTCTGGGAAAATCTCGGTTGACTAGCAATCTCCACCTTCTTGTCTTTCGTATACTTGATCGGAGAGCCCCCTTCGTGGATCAGCGTTCCGTAGGCGGTTGGTGTGAAAAAGGCAGGGATTCCAGCTCCTCCTGCACGGATCCTTTCAGCCAAAGTTCCCTGGAGTCATTAAGAAGCTTAGCTGACTGATTGGTTGATTGTCACATTGTGATCTCAGACTCACCTGAGGCGTGAGTTCCACCTCCAAATCGCCTGACAGGTACTGCTTTTCAAATTCTCCATTCTCACCGACGTAAGAGGCGATCATCCGCCGGATTTTGCGCTTCTGGAGCAGAAGTCCTAAGCCAAAATTGTCCACTCCTGCAATTACATAAAATTAGAAAAGCACAATTCACGGGCGCACATTTATCAGTCTGTCACTTTCATGCGCGGGGGGCACTGATAACGAACACATAAACAAACTAATCTAATTTTAACCTTCACCATTAATCATGTTTTTCTGTGATTTTTACGTAATGTCTCTCCCGCAGGAGATAGACAATTTGTGACCCAGTGAATCCCAACACCCTCATCTCACCGGCATTGTTGGACACCACCGTGAAATTGGTGGCCTCGTGCTTGAGCAGGGCAGCAATGAGATTCTCAGGAATGCCGCACAGACCGAAGCCGCCCACCAGTAGCTTTGCTCCGTCCTTGATGTCGTGGACAGCGTCCGCGGCGCTCTCATACACTTTTCCAGCTTTCCGCTGTGTAGAGTAGTGTGCGATGAGGATCTTAGGAGAAAAACAAGTTTCTATTTATTTCACGGCGCACGTCACCACCTACAGAGAGACCTTGAGGAGGCGCTCCCGGTCGCGATGGATGCTGATTTATGTCTACTCACGCGGGATGCTGAAAAGGAGTGCCTGAGGTGGCGATAGTGCGTGGCGACACGCTGAGAGACTGCACAGAGGACCATTTTCACGTGGTGAAGACACAATTGCGAGCGCTACTGACCGGGATGGTTGAGGAAGTGCGCCAGAGGAATTCTGCTACTTGACGTCGATGAAAATTCGCCGCGAATCGATGAATGTCAGATGTTTTCTGTTAACAGGTTTTGCAGCAAACTTCATTCTGAATGAGTCAATATATCAATTTAAGGTGTTGTGTTGTTTTCCTCGTTGTCGTGAAAATCCGTCTTCTACCGTGAATTTTCTCACCGTGAAGGACTTCTGTTGTGACCAAGAAGTAGTGCTGAGTGTGGAAAAATGGCATCCGTGGGCGATCAGTCTGAAGTCACTGTGAAATCCAAACGACCTTCAGGTAAATTGTCACTTTATTGTCTCTCGGGAAAATCGATAAGAAAATGTCTTTTCTCCACAGATTCTGCCTTTAAACAACAACGCCTTCCCGCGTGGCAGCCCGTCCTTACAGCTGGCACTGTTCTACCCACATTTTTTATCATTGGCATCGCCTTCATACCTGTGGGAGTCGCCCTGTTGTACTTCTCAGACAATGTCCAGGAGCATATCATCGACTACACATACTGTACGCAGCTGGGAAGTCTCAATAACAGTGTCACATGTGCTGATGTGATCAGGAATGATGGGGGGAATTGCACTTGTGAGATTTCCTTCACGCTGCACCAGGATTTCCTGGGAAAAGTGTTCATGTACTACGGTCTGAGCAACTTTTACCAAAATCATCGACGCTACGTCAAGTCCAGAGACGATGACCAGCTTCTGGGACGTCTTTCTCCTCTTCCTTCGAGTGACTGCATCCCATTTGCTTATGCCGATGATGGAAACACAGTGCCAATTGCTCCGTGTGGAGCTATCGCAAACTCCCTCTTCTCTGACACCCTCCAGATTCGTTCTCACGAGAACGGGCCCGTGCCTCTACTGCGAACGGGCATTGCCTGGCCCTCAGACCGCGAAATCAAGTTCCGCAATCCACCTGGAGATCTCAAGGAGGCCCTGCATGGCTTTGAACGCCCGCGCGCCTGGACACGCAATCTTTGGGAGTTGGACTTGGAGAATCCTGACAACAATGGTTTCCAGAATGAGGACCTGATCGTGTGGATGCGAACCGCTGCTCTGCCCAGCTTTAGGAAGCTCTACAGGCGCGTTGACCACTCCAGTGGGCAGTTTTCCGAGGGACTACCCAAGGGAGACTACACCCTCAAAGTGGACTACAGTGAGTCATGCAAACACCCCTGTGATTTTGTTTGATAAGCTCTTTTTTTGCTTTATTTGATTATTTACTCGCGAAATTTTTAGAGATAAATTGCTATGGAGTTTGACCTGTTAAAGTCATTATCACACAAACTGTACTATATACAAAGGCGTTGGGAAATTCAGCGAAACACTAATGATCGATTGGTTTTCTCTCTTTTCAGCATACTCCGTGACAGAATTTGAGGGCTCGAAGAAGATGATCTTGTCCACGACTTCAATTCTGGGCGGCAAAAATCCATTTCTGGGTATTGCGTACATCGTTGTGGGCTGCGTTTGTCTCCTTCTGGGAATCGTGCTGCTGTTCATCCATATCAAATTCTCGAAAAACACCACAGAGATGATAAATGTAAATCCTCGCACGCCCTATACATAATCGCCTGCCCGAAGCTGTGGGAGGGCGGGAGAAAGTATGTGATAAGGGAGCTGAGTAACAATGCCTTCTTTCCATTGTGGATGCCAAGTGGTTGGTGTAATTTAATTCATGATTATTCTGTGAGATATGCGCTTTCTGAAAAATGAATATTCCTCCATGGAAGCAAGAATGTTTAAACTCTATGACACACACGCTTTAATTGTCTTTGTGGACATCGAAAATGAAGATTTATTTTCCTTTTTCACCGGTTAAATATTGTATTATGTCATTTAGAGAGTTTAGAGACCAGAAATCACCAATTAAGTAGTATATCTTGTAATTGTTGTCAAAGGCATTCTGTGCCGGAAAATCACAAAGAGAATCTCCTCGCATGAGGAGAATTAATAAATAAAGGAAATGTGTTGTACCTCAGCAAGCGTTTGACTGGGTCACCCTGTGAGGGTGGCTTTGTTGAGCCACTGTCGCGCTCTCTGCCCCACATAAATCGACTGCCTTTGGGTGCGACAGAGCCAGCATGAGGAGTCATCAAGCCCCCATCCCAGAAGCGGATATTCCTTTTGGGCAAGTTCATTTCATTGCCAAAGAGAAAAACTTTTTGGTAAACATGAAGGAAAATCTGAGTCATTTCAGGCAAATTGGCCTCTCCCATCGAATCGTCTCAATCGGCTCTTGGAGCCTCTCACTTTTGCCACTTCGACTGCCCCCCTTCACGCGGAAAAGCGCTCTCTCGTATCCTCCCGGGAAAGTCCTGTTAATCTGGGCCACCGTGACAGTGCTCACCCCACCGTGAAAAGATTAGAAATTGTGCGGAAAAGTGGCCAGAGTGAGGGTAAATTGAAAGTGCGTGAAAAACCCTTCGCCGTATTGCATAATCGCAGGTGACTCCCGGAAAATTGCGCCTCTTTCCCGCCTCAAAGTCCCACGAAGGGGACAAAAATATTGCGTATGCTGACTCTTCAGCCAGCCACAACTCATAATCAAAGCTTTCGGTCAGTTTTATCGTGGTCAACTTCCTTTCTAAGCCGTACATTCTTATCGCTTCAGTTCTTGTCGCACAGAGTCGTTATAAAAGGACCAGTCTTGCCATGATTGCAGACCAGTTCCAGTACAGAGAATGTGAGTGCAAGAAAGTGCGTGGAAAATTGCCAGAGGGTTCACGTTTCGGTCGTTCGTTGGGTGTCTAGCTATGGATGAAAAGCGAGCTGCCCCACGAAGGGCTTAGACTGTGAATTGCCCTTTCAACTGTTTGCCCGTCAACCTCATTCGGTCATTGATTGTGGCGAGAATGGGGCCAGAGAATAGATTTTCCCGCCCTAAAGGCGAAGAGCCTCCCCACATATGGTGTACAATCGCTCATGAAGTGGAAAAGCTGAAACAGATCTAGTGTTTGATACCTGTTTGTAGAGCAATAGTGTGATATTAAAATACTTGCAATGAAGATGCTAGTGTTTGGCGTTGTGACTTAAAAAGGCTGTAGCCGAACGGCTTGGAAGTGGAGAAAAAATGCTTGTCTTTAAGTGAATAAAGAAATCCTGAAAATTTTAAAAATTACTTTTAGATCAAATTTATGCATGGATAAAATAAATTCGATGCAACGCATGCGATACACAATTTTCAGATATTTCTGATCAATTTCTGTCCTTGAAAAGAATAAAAAGTCAATAATATGGAAGCAAATATCTGAATTCTGGAAACAATTCTGCGGGATAATAAAAAGTTTTTGGCTCCATTTCTGGTTCATTCAATTCATATGCTTATCAATAGAAGGCGCTCCTTGATTGCTTCAGTCACTTCGGCACGGTTGTGAACTCTGCTAAGATAAATGGATTCGGCATTATCCCATGTCGGAAAGATTTGCCAATGGCCATACTTTCTCACTCCTTGTAATGAAAACCACGTCCTTCTTGAAGCGCTGTGCGGCTTGAAAATCAAGTTTCCGCAAAAGATGTCTGAGTTGTAAAGGGTTAAACGGTTAAATAACGGATGACCCTGTACATCCACCGCCACAATTTTTTTCAGTTGAAACGACAGAGGGAGTGGAGGTGCAGACGTCAAAAAGTATGTGAGTGAAGTTATTTTTATTGAAAATTGTGTCTGTATTTATTTTGTCTGCGGAAATTGTGTGAAAATTGGTGAAATTTCAAGGAAATTCCAAGGAGAGACGTCGAGGATCTCTCTGAGGCGGTGGAATGTCCGTTTCGCTCGAGGAAATTCTGCACGGTGTGCGAAAGAGACGTGAAGAAAGGGCGCACGAGAAGAAACGCGATGAGGCTGCCGTGGTCATCCAGGCTCTTATCCGGGGATGGCTCACACGGAGACGGCTCACGCGGGGCCTCTTCATTGAATTCGACGACCTACTGACTGAAGATCCCATCTTGGAATTGCGTGGATGTTTCCAAGTGTACAGTGTGGCATCGCGCTTTCTGACACGCCTCAACGAGCATGATCCTGACCATCGGGATCGCCTGGAGCGACTCTGTCGTTACTTGGTGGCCTCATTGGACTCAGATTCGCCAAAGACAAGCTACATTGGCGTGGCGCTGAATAAGGAGTACAGCCTGTCGTGGATCAAGCATCTGAAGCTGCTGCTGCACAAGTGCTGTGTCTGCATGGAGATGCTGAAGCCGGAGAAGCACTCAGAGAGCATCTCTCTAGCGTTGTACTTGCACACGCTCGTGGCGTTCACTTCTCCAAACAATTGGACACTGCTGCGGAACAAAGCTCTGGCTGGGTTAAAGCCAGGAATGCAGCAACTGTGCAACAATATTCTGGGCGGTCTCATTCAGAAGGGCTTCTTTGTGTCCCTGAGAAACGTACTGATTCGGGGAACGTGTAAGAGTCAAGTTACACTAAAGCCTATCTCGTTAACTGCCCTTCTAACACTAGCCACTCGTCCTCTCGTCACGGGCAGTTTCAGCGAGAATCTCCTGACGATGTTCCTAATTCACGTTCTCTCAGTGCCAGCTCTCGTGGCCACAGTTGAGACTCACATCCCAGAATTCATGGCACAGCTGCAATCTCTCAAGATCTTGCAACTCAGTGTGGATCTCCTCGGTGCTGAGATATCCATGCGTGTCATTACGAACAGCATTCAAGGCACACAGACGCTTGCCTTGCTAGCCAACCTTGTGCATCTCTTCAACATGGAACCCTTGCCAATTGCCACTGAAATGGCCTTTCCCACCTTCACGATCGTCACCACGAAACTTTTGCAGAGCATCCCGGCGTCTGTGGGCCCCAAGAGTGGCGCTTTCACGCAGTGGCATGAGCTTCTGGGTTGGTTCTCGCCAAGCGGCCAAGATGTAGCCACATCCACAGAGAATTTACCTGCGATTAAGCGCCAAATCCACCTTCTGTGGAGTCACAGGTCCGTGAAAATTCTCCTCGGCGACAATTTGAAAGCACTGACGGCGACATATGACAAGGCGGACATCTACGTGCCCCAGCCAGCTTCTAACTCTAGTCTCTTGAAGCGAGCACTCGAGAGAACGTCCAGCAAGGGATCATCAGCACAGGCAAAGTCATGGCGCAAGCTTGGATCCGCTGAAGTTACGCGAATTTCCTTAGTGGCTGCTTTGTACAACGCAGCCTTAAGTACTTTGGCGCAATTAAAATTGGACATCTTGTCTGGATTGTGCTACACAGATGCTGTGCTTCATGATCTGTGGCTTCTAGTGGCGTCTTTGGGTCCTATTTGCGGACTGAAATCTTTCTTGGAACTCCTGCAAGTCGGCGGTGGAACTTCTTTGGCGCCCCCGCTTCTTCTGCTGTTGCTCTTCAGCGATTGTATGACTCACTATGTGACGTAAGTTGGAGAAAAAATGATCGCATAACATTTCATTTAAGTATTCCTCCTAAGACACTGAAAGCGTTGATGATTTGAGAATCATTAACCCTTTGGGGTCAAACGTGAAATGAAATGATTACTTTTGGATGAATGAAGATTAAAAATATCTTTTTGTCTCTTGCAGGATTCTCGATGATATCGAGATGTACGAACAACAAACACCTTTCCAATTGACAGACTTCGTTGCTTTGTCCTATTTTCTCAACAATTTCCTGTATCGCGCCATTCAGGAGGGGCTTTTCGACCCGAAGACTCTCACGTCATCTTCTCTTTTTGTATCCACGCACACACTATTGCTTTGCCTCTATCGACGGGACTGCAGACGCGCCTTTGCACCCCAAAATCACTGGTTGATTCATGAAATTCGACCAGCACACTTTGTCAGCGATCTGGAAAAGGGCAAAAAGCACACTCAAGTGCTGCTGCAGAAGATGCCTCACGTCATTCCGCATGAAGACAGAGTCAAACTCTTCCGGAAGTATGTGCAGAATGAGAAGGCAGTGCTGGGACTGACAGAATCTGCATGTGCTGCTCAAAGTTCAGCCCTGATTACTATTCATCGCGACAGAATTGTGGAGGATGGATACAGACAACTTGCACTTCCGCCACACAGTCTCAAGGGTGTGATCAGGGTGAGATTTATCAATCAACAGGGACTCGATGAGGCGGGAATCGACCAGGATGGAGTGTTTAAGGAGTTCCTGGAGGAGACAATTAAGCGCGTCTTTGATCCATCACTCAATCTCTTCCGAACGACAACGGATCAGCGACTCTATCCATCACCAACATCTCATTTGCAAGAGAATCACTTGCAACTCTTCGAGTTTGTGGGACGAATGCTGGGCAAGGCGGTTTACGAGGGGTTCCTGGTAGAGGTACCCTTCGCCTCATTCTTCCTCTCCCAACTTCTGGGACAGACTCACCAGGCACTGTACAGTTGCATGGATGAACTGCCATCATTGGACAAAGAGCTTTACCGCAGTCTTACATTCATCAAACACTATCAGGTATGGAAGATAAGCTGAAACAGTCTGATGACGACTATTGCATTTAATTCTTATTTCTAGGGCGATGTTTCGGAGCTCGATTTGACTTTTTCAGTGGACGAGGACGTTATGGGGAAGATTGTGACACACGAATTGCATCCAGGAGGAAGAATACGCCCTGTGACCAATGATAATAGGTTAGTTAATAGCTTTTATGATTCTTCTTGCTTCAAATGTGTGTGCTTTTGGTCTTCACAGGATTAACTACATCCACTATATGGCCTATTTTCGGATGCACACACAAATTAAGGAGCAAACAGCAGCGTTTATTCGTGGATTCAGGAGTATCGTTAATCCTGAATGGTTGTCACTCTTCTCAACGCCAGAACTTCAGCGTTTAATATCCGGAGATACGGCGCCGCTAGATTTGAAAGACCTCCGGAAACACACGCAGTACTACGGAGGATTTCATGATTCGCACAGAGTTGTTGGTTGGTTGTGGGACATCCTGGCCAGGGACTTTACAGAGGAGGAACGAAAGCTCTTTCTAAAGGTTATTTTTTTTTACATTCGACTTCCTTCTGTAGTTTCACACGAAAACTATTGCTAAATCGTAGTATGCTTAAGAGGGACATATATAAGATTATGCTAATTTTTGGATGTTTTCCAGTTCGTGACGTCCTGTTCGAAACCTCCACTGCTGGGATTCGCCCATCTGGAGCCCCCGTTCTCCATTCGGTGCGTTGAAGTGGGCGATGATGAGGACACCGGCGACACGATTGGCAGTGTTATCAGGGGTTTCTTCACAATAAGGAAGCGAGATCCTCTTAATCGACTTCCTACTTCATCAACGTGCTTCAATCTTCTCAAGTTGCCCAATTACCAGAAGAAGAGCACTCTTCGGGAGAAGTTGAGATACGCCGTCTCGAGCAACACGGGCTTCGAGTTGTCGTGAATCGTCAACGAAATGCAAATAATAATAATCAGTAACAGTCGGTGTAATTTTAAAAGTTGCCACTTAGTGATTAATGTAGTGATTTTCACCTGAATGTCCATTTAATCAATCGTCTATTTCTCCGTGATTTTTTGTTGAATGTTGAACTGTGATAGAGGCATACCCTAATGAATTAAACCTAGATATATATCTATATACTAAGTGTGAAAAAGAAAGAAAAAAAACGAGAAAAACATAGATAGAATGATATGATTATATTTGTAATGAAAGATATTCGACGTCATTCACGTATAGACTACATATCGTAGACGGAGGCTGACAGAGGCTGAAGGTGTGTGTTTCGTAAATATAACGTAAATAACCAAAAATGTAAGAAAAATGTTCTGACTTCTAACTGGAAGGAAAACCCACTACATTTTGAAATCTGTGCTCTCCACTCGTGGTTTTGGCGCGGCCATCGCTCACCACTTTCCCCAGGCGGAGGTGAGTTTGTGTGTAGTATTGCCGCAGTGGCGCATTGTATAGTCAGTCCGGCAGAGGGTGCGTCTCGATAAAGTTGCTTTTCTTTGTGCAACACTGCGTTCCGGCCCCAAGAAGTGCTCTTTTGTCCACTGTGGAGCTTGGCCCCGAAAAGGTGTGGACAAAGTGCATCTCCGTGCGCGTGATGAGAGTGGTCCTCTGGTGATTGAAAGAGGAGCCCGTGTGTGCGTGCAAGAGTCGCCCGGGGGAAGTCTTTTGTGGGGTGTTCACAATCTTTGGGTGGTTGAATGACCAGCAAGTGCGAGGCAAAACCGGATCCGGAGCGAGTCTGAGTTGGGTCTCCTGAATGTTCTTGAGCTGCGCCACAGGTTCATCAGCCTCCCAGCGTTGCGGATGAACGAATCACGCAAAATACTGAGGTGGATTTGAGGTTATGACGCCACGAAGGGTGTGACGCCTGTCAGAGGGAGAAAAGTCGTCTGGGATCACCCCAAGTCGCTGCGAGAGCATTCCTGATTGAGTTCTGCTGTGGATTATCACCTTCCGGACAGCTGAATCCCTGGAAGTGCCGCGCGTGTGTGTGTGTTGCGTGTTCTTTATGCTGGGAAACTGGTAGGCTTTCCCGGAAATACGGGTACAGTGCAAATTGATACAAAACTCCTGTATCTGCAGGCAGATTGTGACGGTGAATCCCAACATCTTGTGTTGTGTACGAAGTGTAATGGTAGCTTGAGAGTCCTGTCGTGAAAATTCCGTGTTCGTGTTCCAAGAAACCAAGTGAATCGTCTTCTTCCAACCGATTGAGCCGCCCATGTACGTGATCTGATGGCGGCCGTTGGTGGCCCCACAAGGCAGTCGCGGGTCTCCATGAGTGTTTCCATGTCGCTGGTCCAGGGAGGAGCAGCCGGAGCGCCCCAGGGTGCCATATTGGCTGCCGCTGCTCCTTACTATCAGCCTCCGGCCGTGCCGCAAGATGTCCAGCCCGACCGTCCGATCGGATATGGAGCTTTTGGTGTTGTCTGGTAAGATCCATTACGCAATAATCCTCCTCAGTTCAGGCATGGCCCACTTCTCGTCTTCTCGAGAGCATCTGCATCTTGAGATGCTCCAGACATTGGCTCTTATTATGCAACAGAGAGAATATATGGGAGATGTTAGGTAATCAAGATGACATCCTTGGAGAATTACGATTCCTGAAGCCCATTTATTTATGATTGTCGGTGTCATTCAAGTTCATCTTCCTGACTTTTTTTTACACCAGCACGAACAAAAAAACTTAAGTGAATTATCGGTCTCTGATGTTTAGGGAAAAGCTGGTTTACTCTGGACAAATTCTCACTTCTAGGCTATAAATTATGATTTTCAGAAAGTATTGAATTTAATTCTCACTGCGTAAGATCTACATTAGGCCGTAGCAAATTTCTGCACAATTGTCAAAATAATTTCTTGTCTCCACGTGATCTCAAGGCATTCAAGACCAGCGATAATCAATATTGTCAAACATTTTCGCTGGATACTCCGGATTCAAGCATTACTTGCTCTGAAATATATTTCCGGAACTACACGTGTAGAGAAATGAACAGAAGTTTGTTTAAAGTTGAGATATTTAACATTGGAAGTTTCTCACATCGCCCACACCCAAAGACCATATCTCGAACGACACTTTGTCTGAGTGATCTAAGGACTTTAGAAGATAGGGAAAATTTTCTCTTAGATTTCCATTAAATCAAGACACAGTTTTCGTCTTTTATCCTATTAATTAACTATTATTTAAATTAAATTGAGAGAGTTGAAGTGTCTATCCAAATTACGTCTACTCTTCTGTACATTAAATAAAAACGAAATCTTCTGAAGCAGTGTGAGAAGAATAAATATTCGTGTCCAATGACAAATTGTAGACAAAATATAGTGTACAATATTTTGCATTTTTCAGCATTAAATTGCAAATATAATTATAGTCTCTATCTCCAATGGAACACTCCACTAAGCATGTCATATACATATAACATCAGAGAAGGTCAATGGGGTGTGTGTGTTTTACACTCCCCAATTAAATTGATGATAAAACCCTCTTTGTACTTAGAAGAGAGAATGCGAAGTCACTTGGACACAGAGTGGCCACGAAAAGCGTACCGCGAGTTTCAATTGAAAGTGTGAGAAAGAAGTCGGTGAGGAGAAAAAGTGGTAAGTGATTAAATATCACAGTCGCGAGTTTGTTCAAGGTTTTCCTGCAATTTCCCAATGTGATCGCGTATTAAATGACCATCCCACGTTGAATAATAACATTAGACGCTGTGTTTGTGTGTTTGTGTGCAATATTATGCCTATGGAGTTGAAGAGAAAAGAATAATAAAAACCGGAATAGGTGCATACATTTCTCAGTGGAACTCCCGCATTTCTGCATAAGATGACCGCAGGCCCATCATTTTCTCACGAGAAGTGTCAAAACATTGTCACACGGTCGCTTTATTCAAAGTAAATTCTCCTAAATTAATTTGCATAAACGCGAGTGGCCTGTTTTCGTCTGACATGATGTGAAAATTTGTTCTTTATGGGATCAACTTTTTGTTTCTCAAGAATCTTTAGGGAAAGTAAATTGTGCGAGTATGTGTGAAAACACCATAGTATTCTGAATTCCACGGATATTAAAGAGTCAACGTGTAAATTAAGGGAATTTCTAACAGAGTTTATTTTGTATTCCTTGTTTATTTTCCCTTCGTCACTTGTTGGTTGATCTTCGTAAAATTTAGCACGAAATTCTATAGACAAATAAATACACAGCAAATGTAATCCAAATATATGGCCACAAACACAGAGTGTGGCATATGAAGGGAAAATGTAATTTACACACTGTGGCAAAATGTATTTTTAAAAGTATTGTGTATGTTAAAAAATAAGTAACACAGACTTTGAAACAATGATACTATTAGAGCCAAATATTTCTCTTTTAATTTTTGAAAGATAAAATACATGGCAACAGAGTTGTGAGATGGTTTTCTCTTTAATTCTGGTACATTGCAATAAAATAAGAAATAAAAAATAATTTGGCAAACGAAGGAAAAATTGGTGAAGCAGCAATAAAGTTGAGAAAATGTTTACGAGTTTTTTTGCACTAAACAGCGACGCTTCTGGTCTCTAAATAATTTATTAATATTTAATCGTTACATTTATTCAAAAATATATTTAAACATGAACGAATTGATAAAGATCAATACTAATCGGAATAAAAATCGAATTTAGGCAATATTTTCACACTGATTGTCACACCTTGTGTATGGTATACCTTTTCCAGATATTAGGGAAATTGTCTCTAGGTCAATCAACTTGTATCACATTCTGTGTTATTTCCGTGTAGAAAATTTTCCACAGTAGAGGAGCTTGACTGTAAAAGGCAAGGGAACTTCTTACAAATTGATTTTTTGGACACGCCGAGAATGACGAAGTTTCTTTGACCGTGCGAGTCTTTGTTCCCATAATTCTCATCGAATCTCAAATGTTCTTTTTTCGCCGTAAACTCCGTCTCACATTTATGTTGGATTTCACACTGTGGTTAGAGAAGGACAGATAAAGATAGACAGAGAGAGAGAGAAAAAAAAACGAAGAATTAACGTGAATCATGCTTTACTTGAATAGAATTTTTTCACCTTCCTTTTAATCTTATTTATTTTATCTGGTTGTCTCGTGTTTTTTTTTTACTAATGTAACCTCCGGTCATGATAGGCAAAAGGTATGTGTATTAATTCTAATTCAGTACGGATCACGTTTGATACATAAATGAGCAATTTCTCAGGCAATAAAAACATATCATTTCGCTGTTTAGAGGGTCTTGCCAGCACTCCGTAATGCGATGACGCGAAAAGAAGGACTACGATGGGGTTTTTTCCCTGTGAATATGAGGGTTGGCTTTCACGCGCCACAATAATTGCGAAATTAGGCAGGAGAGGTACATATTTCCAAAAGGTTTCTCATCGCAGTCCAAGGATTTAGTGAATGTTCTGAGAAAATTGTTTTCGACAATGTTGTTTTCCTCTTTCTTTTTTTTATTGCAAAAAGTTTGCTCGAAAATGTGGGAAAAGGAGCGCGATTGTGTATGTGTCAGTGGATGGGTATTAAAAAAGAGTACAATGTTGGAGTTGAAATAGCGACGACTCCGGATAGCCTTGAATGAGTTCATCGTATCTGGTTCGTCGGTTGTTTTCTGTCCTCAGCATTGTGTTACTTCTTGGAGTGCGCGTCTTCCATAGGGGCTTAAAAAACGGCAATGCGTGGAAGAGAGAAGATTGGATTAGATGAGATGTGTGCTGTTGGTGGCTTCTTTTGCCCTCCAACATCAACCAAGCGACTCTTCATCACTCTTTGCCCCATCCCGAACAAAGTTCATTGCGTTTTCTTCCTCCTTCATCATCAACACACTCATATTGTATTAAAGCATCTCTTTATCCGATGTGCCGTGTTCTGTGTGTACACTAAGAATATTTGTGGCTTTTACTTTTTTCCAAATTCTTCTGAAACTTGTTTGTCAAGGGGACTTATGACAATTCTTTTTGGATCGAAAACTAGGAAACGACAAAGCATTTTTGTTTCAATACAATGACTAAAGTCAGATAATCAAACTTCCTGCGACAGCTATCCTTCTTTAAAGTAGCCACAGATTTGTCCGGTTAGGAGTATGTTTCATGTTTGTTCTGTAATCTTTGTAGATTAAAGGTATTTGTGGGCTGAGAAGGCTGAGGATGAAATACATTAATAAATGAGATCACACCCCTAAAAACTCATCCATGCATCAGATCTTGCTTTATTTTCAGTCTATAGAAAGCCTTTCAATTATAATTTCTTATTCCATCAAAATGGTGAACATATGGTAGGCGAAGAGGAATTCCAATTGGCCTCTTGGATAAATTTGCGGATGGGTAAAACGAGTCGCCAGGTGTTTTTCATACACGCACCTCTCTTTGTTCGTGTCGGTTTGCATCAGACGAAATCGGGCACCCTCTATACAAGGCAGAGAGGTCAGTTTTAGAGGAATTTTTTTTTTATATTTATATATATTAAATGCCCAGCACATAATTTTGTCTGGGGAAAGGCAAAAATTCGCCACCTCAGAGAGAATGTCTCTTTGGGGTAAGAATTTCGGTCTAAGCGAATCGTATTTCTCACGAAAATCCATGTGTGGTTGTGAAAAATGCTAATGGGAGAGAAATCACGAAAAGGCACAATTTACAATCTGGATGCATCACGTGGAATTGCAATATTTGAACCTAAAGCGAAATTCTAGAGAAATCTTTCGTGTGAATGATAAAACTAATTTTTTTTCCACTACGAAACTCTCGGATTTTTCCTCTGGACAATTAATTGTGTTGTTAGTATACCAGACAGATCTGTGTCTGTTTTTTTCTGCTACATCAACCTTTTAATTGTCTCTCGAAATTTTATGTGAGGTGTACAGTGATTTTTCTTGTTACATCCTCTGTTTCTCTCTGAATGTTTCTCGTAAATCTGGAGTGAGCCTAATTTACTAGGGACTTTGCGGATCCTTTGGGTATTTGCTGATAAATTTTTAAGTATGCAATTTAGTTCGGCATTCTCAGCTTGTGAATTTTTGAAGTAAATGAGTTTGGTACTTAAGCAATACCTTTTGGGAACAATTTGACACTGTATAATATGAAGGATTATGACATCATGTTCTTGATTTGAGGGATGATTCTTTACGTGGGTTTTTCTCAAAGTGACGTCAACCAATGTGTCTCACATTTCTTATTACCATTTCGCCAATACGAAGAAAGGAAAAGAATGCACACACAATACGAGACGAAATAAAAGCAAAAAGACTGCAAGAGAGAAGAAAGAGCCATAATACTAAAAATTGTATAATGGAAATGCTATAAACAGACGCAGCTTGCAGTTTTCAGCATCATTTATTATGTTGAGGGTGAGGGGATTTTTTGTGACGCCGCTTTTCTTTCAACTGCATCGTATTTTGCGCTGTGAAATGGTATTCATGTGTGAGTGTGTGTGTGGAAAA